ACAAATTGGTCTACCTCCCTCGTGATAGGTAACGGCGGAGAGAGATGCAGGAGTGAGTTTGCAAGGGAAATTTAGCCCAGAGGAGAAAAGTAGGCCTAAGCAAGAAAACAATGAGAACTATGGGAACTGGCTTACCTTGAGTAAGTCTGGTCCCCCTGCTGTCCCCCTCTATCCTTTCCCGGTTGCCTTTGCTTGGGTTCCCTCCCTCCCAATTGTCTGATTAGTTAGTTAATGTCTAGGAACTGCTGTGTTCAGTGCTAAATATCCTTGCTGTCTAACTAGTGCTGATAGCAGGGTTTCCCACCTCGGCCGGTCAACTGAGAGTCCTCGGAGTTCCTGCGCTCTTTTAGAGAGACGCAGCTCTTCTAAGTTGCTCCCCGTTTCCCTAAGTGGGGAGACATCCCAGAGGCACCTCCTTTGCTTATCCATGCCCTCCAAGTGTCCTGATTTTCGAGGGACAGTCCCGGAATTGCAGAAGCCGTCCCGGTTCTGTTCTGATCCCGGGATGCCCCGGTTTTCATTTCCCCTCCCCTCCTCTTCTCGGAGAACAATTAAAAGTGGTGGAGAGATCAGAGTGCCCACACTCCTGTCCTTTTTCAGAAACAGGAACCTTTGCCCTCTTTCTGTGTGTAGGTGCAAAAACCGAGTCCTGTTTATATGGAAAATAAAATACCTGCACTAAATGAAGGAAACAGTGAAGCTGGCACACAAAGCGCTTCCTAGAATTTTCAAGGGAAATGTACCCCAGGCTTCCTCAACCTCGGCCCTCCAGATGTTTTGAGACTACAGTTCCCAGCATCCCTGAGCACTGGTCCTGCTAGCTAGGGATCATGGGAGCTGTAGGCCAAGAACATCTGGAGGGCCGAGGTTGAGGAAGCCTGATGTACCCGATCCACTTTGAATTCTTAAATTACAGTGCTTCAGCAGCCAGCCATTTTTTAGGAAATGCATGGAATGTTTGTTCCTTTGTTGTAAATGGAGCCTTACACTGTCTACTCAGAAGCAAGTCTCGCTGTATTCATTGGAGCTTACTCCCAGGTAACTGCTTAAAGACTGCACAGTCTTATACTGAAATTCTAGCCATTTTAAATCAAAACTAAGCCCTACCGAGTTCAGTAGGATTTACTCTCTGTTACGTTCCTGGTCATTCTCACAGTTTATATTATTATTATTATTATTATTATTATTATTACCACCCACCTTTCCCCCTGACAGGGACTACTTAAGGCAGCTTACAGCTAGAACTTTATTTCATTTATTTGTTGAATGTGTTGTACATAATCCGTTCCCTCACACCTATTTTCTTTACAACAATCCTGTGAGGTAGGTTAGGCTGAGAGGTTGCAATTGCCTCAAGGTGACAGGCGTTCAGGTGCATATGACACATGCGTGTAGCAAGATCAAATGCGGGAGAAACTTCCTGATGTAGAATAGAAGGTCCCACTTTTCATCTGAGAAGGTTGGGAGGGTATTCTTACCCAGGTTTAGTCTCCCTTTGTGGCATTTTGTAATTTCTGAGTTGATTGACAGATATACTGGCTGAGCATAGGTAGAGGCACAACTCCAACCAGTTGCATGCTGAAGATGTTGATCACTGGATCAAATGAATGTTAAGTAGATTAAATAGTTTTGATTGGATTTCGAAGAAATGTACAATTAATTGCTCCTGTTTTGAATGTTGCTGTGTTACTATATTCTGTAGTGCAGTGATGGCCAAGCTTGGCCCTCCAGCTGTTTTTGGGCTACAACTCCCATCATCCCTAGCTAACAGGACCAGTGGTCAGGGATGATGGGAATTGTAGTCCCAAAACAGCTGGAGGGCCAAGCTTGGCCATCACTGTAGCAGGTCCTGCAGACCGCTATTATGAATAATGTTGTTTACAGGGTAGCGGGCACTGGGGATGAGTTTATGGAACCAGGGGGACAGACACCTGAAAAAGTTGGGGAAACATTGGCTTAAGCACTCCCGCAGGCAGCCAAATCCAACATCCTGCACCAGATCTTTAGAGAAGGAGGCAGCCACCAGCCCAAATTTGCAGTCCAAAATCTCTGCCTCCATTGCTTTCTCTGCAGCTCAATGTGGCTCAAACTACAGTTTGCTTTGGTATATTGCAACATCCTAGACAGGGACGGAGAACTTGTCCACCACCACCACTAGTTTTGGGGTATTTCCAGAGCTCAATGGAAAGAGGGAATGATTGTTAAACCACTTTGTAGCTCTATGAAGGGAACAAGGCTCTCCTAACAACCCTCAGCATCTCAGCTTCCATGATTTTTCAGGGGGGAAGCGTTTAAAGCAGTAACATGCCACTTTAAATAGATATGGCTTCTTCCTCTTTTTCCTCTCTTTTCCAGAAAAGAGATCTGCCATCTTTTTTTCTTTTCTTTTCTTCTCTTTTGCTTTTCTTTTTTTTTTGGAAAAGAGAAACAGAGGGGGAAAAGAAGAAGCCATGACTGTTCAGAGTGATATGATACTGCTTTAAATGTATACCTGTCAAGTGCCCCAGAAAAGCGGGACATCCCGTTTTTTTCTCATGAGATCTCAGCGGCCATTTTGGGTGCCGCTCTCATGTTGTGCTCTCACCCTGGAGAAAGCGCTTTTTTGGAGCTGCGATCTTGAACTCCCAAAAGTGCTTTGGGGGGGGCACGAGCACAGTGCAGGTCACATGACTCACCCAAGAGAGCATTCCGAAAGACGTACATCCTGCTTTTTGCATCAGAAAGAGTTGGAAGGTATTTAAATGTGCAGTGCAGACAGAGCCTGACAGAAATATTCTTTGTGATTCCAAGTGGTTTGGGTTTAGTCTTCATTTCCACTGTGGCTCCAACCCTGTTTCCATTTAAAGGAAAGCAACTTTATTACCGGCTTTCTCCTAGCTTTTTAACCCACATTGCCAAGCCTGTTCCAAGAGGATGGCTGATGGATAGTACACATGCTGTACACAAGGAAACAGCTGGGCAGCGGCTATCACTGAATGCTTCTTCTCCCCCAGCATCTAATGCCTGAGTCAGCTGCCTCACTCTGCCTAACAGCAGGGCCTGCTTACACCAAGGCCATTCATTCCCCACCCCTCAGTTCAAAACATGAGTGAAGATTGAACCCATTTCATAGATGGAAAGACTGAGGCTGAGAGTTCTCTTCCACCTAGGTCACCTGAGAGTGCAGGGATGGATGCGGGAACTGAACTCCTTCCACACTAAGATGCAGATTTGTGTTTCCCTATCTTTTCTCTCTTTCACCCAGAGCTGTGAAAAGAGCTTTTGAGCCTCTTCTCTCTCCTAAATGTCATGACAAATCCAATTCTGCAAATCTGCACCATTTGACAACTTCAATGGCTTTGCCCGTCCGCCCACTTTCGAGGCTTCTCCCTCCACCCCCCCTCAAAATAAAATCCCTTTTTTATTATTTATAATGAGCTGGCAGAATCAATGAAATCGGTGACAGCTGCAAAGATGTTACACTTCATTGTTTCTGTTGTCATTCACTTTGGCGGGATCTTTAGAAGAGAAGGATCAGAGAAGAGGATTGACTCCCAGGAAGCGTCAAAAGGCGGGGGTGGGGGAGAATTGTAAATCCACCTGCTGCTAAGCTCACCACACACAGCTCAGAGCCCCCACCCCACCCTGAAGTTTGGAACTACGTCTTCTACCAGTCCCAGCAGGGGAGAACCTTGGGGTCTTAAATTTCAGCCTGTTTCTCTGTAGCTTCACTTTTCGTAGTGAGGGAACCACCAGAAGGCCCTTGGACCTCAGTGTTCAGGCTGAACGATGGGGGTGGAGATGCTCCTTCAGGTATACTGGGCCGAGGCCTTTAGGGCTTTAAAGGTCAGCACCAACACTTTGAATTGTGCTCGGAAACATACAGGGAGCCAATTGTAGATCCTTTAGGACCGGTGTTCTATGGTCCTGGCGGCCAAGTCCCCAGCTGAGCTGCTACATTCTGCATTGGTTGTAGTTTTCGAGTGACCTTCAAAGGAAGCCCCACACAGAGAGCCTTGCAGTAGTCTAAGCAGGAGATAACCACATCTGAAGCTTGCAGTTATTTAACAGAGCCAGTGCTTTGTTCTATCCAGCGTGATACCTTTATTTTTTAAACAGAGACACACAGCTTTATTGCAGTCCATAGACCCAAAAATACACAGTACAGTCAAACCTCGTGTACAACGTAATATATACCAACAGTTATTATGGTGTAAGATTGGCCTTGCTAACCTGTCTTTAGCCTGTACATACTGATTTCTGATTTCTACAGCCTCCGAGAGGAATTTTGCTACAGCCAGTGTAATAGCATCAACCTTATCCTCAAGGACGGTGGTGCCCAAACTTGGACTACAACTCCCATCATCCCTAGCTAGCAGGACCAGTGGTCAGGGATGATGGGAAATGTAGTCCCAAAACAGCTGGAGGGCCACGTTTGGCCATCACTGCTCAAGAAGAACCTTGACATGGAAAGAGTCATCAATTTCAGGTTGTTCTGTTAATATTGGGTTGATTGGATGCCGTCTGACCTGTTTATACAGACTGCAGTGTAATAAAATGTGTTTCATACATTCAACATCCTGAGAACGTGGGCACAGCCCATCTTGGTATGGGACACCAGCCAATCTTCCTTTATTGTTCTTTTCTTTCCCTCCTCCCTTTCCTGCTTTGTAGGTAAGGAAGATGTAAAGTGGACCTCCAACCCAAGTCCCCACAAGTGTGTTCAGCAAGCCCCATATTTTCAGCTGGGCAATGCCTGGCTCTGTTCACACGTTCCACAGAGGTCTGCTCGCTTTGTTGTATTGCAAGGCTGGGGGACCCGGTGCTACATCAGAACTGACGTCCAGCAACTGATGTCTTGCAGAGGCATTCTGGTCATTCGAGGTCTGGAGAATCAGGAACCTTCATGTGAATAGAGGAACCGCCTTCCTTTCCCCTCTCCCTCCAGAGGCTGCAAGGCAGCCAGGATAGGGCCTGCGTGCACCGCCAGATCCCCATTCAGAGAAGACCCGAGGACTACAATGGAAGAGAATGTGTTCAGTGTACAGCAGATTCAGCCCAATGTCATTTCCGTGAAACTCTTCAAGCGCAAGGTTGGGGGTCTCGGGTTCCTGGTGAAGGAGCGTGTCAGCAAGCCACCCGTGATCATCTCCGACCTGATCCGAGGAGGGGCGGCTGAGCAAAGTGGCCTTATCCAGACCGGGGACATCATCCTCGCCGTGAATGGGCGCCCCCTGGTGGACATGAACTATGACACCGCTCTGGAGGTCCTGAGGAGCATCGCCTCCGAAACCCACGTCGTCCTCATATTGAGAGGCCCAGAGGGCTTCACCACTCACCTGGAGACGACCTTCACCGGGGACGGGACGCCCAAGACCGTCCGAGTCACCAGGCCCCTGTGCGCCACCTCCCCGTCCGTGGTTGACCTCCCGGCCGGCCTCGGGATCCACACCAAAGATCAGCGGCAAGGAGGTGACCATACAATGGGGGGCTCTGTCAGCTCTCGGTGCACCCGGGAGAACGGGCAGGGGGATGAGTCCCTGGTGCACGTCAATGGGGTGATTGCTGGGTCCGTCCCCAGGGACTCTCTGAAAGGGAGCGGGGACGTTTCTGACCGTTGCCTCAACGGCAGCGTCGAGAACAGCGAACTGTTGAAAGAGATCGAGCCGGTCTTGGACCTCCTGAAGAGCAACAACAAGGAGCTCAATGGAGATGCGCAGCCCAGGATGGTCACAAGAGACGCAGAGGTCCAGGTGGATGGGTAGGTCCCTTGGCTGTGCACGTTTGGTGATGTGATATGCAGAGAGCCATTGTGGTGTAATGGTTAGAGTGGTGGGCTAGGGCCTGGGAGACCAGGGTTTGAATCCCCGCTCAGCTACAAAGCTCACTGGGTGACCTTGGAGATCTCTCAGCCTAACGACCTACCTCACAGTGTTGTTGTGGTGATGAAATTGGGAGGTGGAGAACCATGTACACCGCACCTTGAGCTCCTTGGAAGAAAAGGTGGTATATAAATATAAATATAATATATTTGGTTCCTCAGAAAGAAAAAATGAAAGCAGAAATGATAAGGGCTATCAACCGTTTTATTCATTTTTAAAATTCATATTTATAATTATTTATTAATGTGTATAAATCTATATCTATACAGTGGTACCTCGGGTTAAGTACTTAATTCATTCCAGAGGTCCGTTCTTAACCTGAAACTGTTCTTAACCTGAAGCACCACTTTAGCTAATGGGGGCCTCCTGCTGCTGCCGCGCCGCCAGAGCACAATTTCTGTTCTCATCCTGAAGCAAAGTTCTTAACCTGAGATACTATTTCTGGGTTAGCAGAGTCTGTAACCTGAAGCGTATATAACCTGAAGCATATGTAACCCGAGGTACCACTGTATAGCTATATAGCTATAGCTATAGTTATAGCTATATCTGGCCTTTCTTCCAAGGAGGTCAAGTTTATTTTTCCCTCTCTCCTTTTTATCTTCACAACAACCCTGTGAGGTAGGCCACTTTTAGGCTAAGTGACAGTAAGTTGCCAAATTTGCTTCATGGCAGAGTTGTGATTTGAACGCTGGTCTCCCTGAGTTGATTTTTTAATATATATATATGTATTAGAAAAGCTGTTTTGTAATTTATGGATTTAAGCTTTGTTTTATCGGAATTTATCATTTCCCTTCTTATTCGAGATTCTTATATCCTGCCCTACATCCGGTTTGGAGCTCAGGGCAAACAGATTAATGATGATACAAAACAACGCATTTTAAAGAAAAATTGTTACTGCCGATATAGACGTATTTTTACCAAACGGCTTCGAAGTTTTTAAATCTGAAATGTGGGGTGCTAATATGGCCAATAACTACAACTTCCTGCTGCCAAAGCTCAGCAGAGGCGCTTCAGGGGGCCCCTCCGGACCGGGGAGCTTTTTGCTGGTATAATGTGCAACATGCCACTGACCCAATAATAGTGCGCTGGATTTATATTGGACTGTCCACACATCATTCTGCCTCATTGGTACGTTACTCAGGTTATGTCCCATGAAGGCAAGGCAGAGTATACTGGAGAGAATGCAACCAGACTGGTACAACATTCAATACCTGGTGGTTCTGCTGTGCCAGGGACTGGACTAAGGAGGAATGGTGGGGAGCACTGCCCCCCTCCTCCTGAACCTTCCTGAGAAGAGGAAGGCAGTCTTGATTTGCAGAGGTGGCTTGAGGTAGGTCACAGGTGAACAGATGAGTTGGGAGGTGATGGGAGAAGAGAAGGGGGAGACAGAGACAGATCAGCCAGCTGACACCTGATCACTGGAAAGCATTCCCCATCCCCCTTCTCCCAGAACCCAGCGTGCATTGAAAGTGCAAGAGCAAAAGACTCATAGACGATTAACCCCTGGCGGCCACCGTAAAAGGAATTGGCGTTGCTAGGAAGGGCAGCCCAGTTGGAGCAACGCCATGATTCGGGTGGCTGCACCCTCCATATTTCTCAGTGAATCTTGAATAAATACAGTGGTACCTCTGGTTGCGAACAGGATCCATTCCGCAGCCCCGTTTGCAACATGAGCAGAACACAACCTGCGTCTGTACGTCCGTGTGTTGCGATTTGCCACTTCTGCGCATGCGCATGACATCATTTTGAGTGTCTGCGCATGCATGAGCGGCGAAACCTGGAAGTAACCCTTTCTAGTCACCGCGGGACACAACCTGAAAAAACGTAATCTTAACAGAACGTAACAAGAGGTATGAATGTACATTGGTGAGAATGCCTTGTTTTTCTGTTTCCGGCATCCAGTCGTGAGGGAGGGCGACCAGATTCCCAAGTCCGACTTGCTGCATGGTTCAGGAATGGTGGGTCTGGGTGTTTCAGGAGACTACACTAATAATAGAAACAGTAGTAATGATAATGATAATGATGATGATAATGATAAAGATAATACCCTGCCCATCTGGCTGGGTTGCCCCAGCCACTCTGGGCAGCTTCCAGCACATAATGAAAACATAATAAAACGTCAAACATTGCAAACTTCCCGATACACGGCTGCCTTCAGATGTCTTCTCAAGGTTGTGTAGTTCTTTGTCTCCTTGATATCTGACAGGAGGGCGTTCCACAGGAAGGGCGCCACCACCAACATGGTGAAAAGGATTGCCTGTCCTGACCCTGCTTCTCTCAATATTTGCAGAAAACTCAAATGTACGAAGACCTGGACTTGGTAACTGCTGCCTGGTTAGAGGTAGCGAGCCCATCGCTAGAAGGACCCCACATAGTTCTCATTGCGGGGACGGTGGTCCCAAGTCTGGTCTCTTGCGCTAGCTGAAAGTGAGGGGCGAAAGCAGGAGGGACAAGTTTGTAGTCTGTGAGACCCCTTCTTGCACTATGTGCTTTTCCATAAATGCTTTTGGTTAGATTTGTTTCTGAGACACCTGCCCAGCTAAGCAGCCATTGCTAAATTGATGCATTTGGTATGTTTGTGAGTTTTCCCTGCTAACATGCGGCAATTGGTTGGGCACTGTATTATGGTTATGTTAAAGCTCTTTTGCATACTTATCATGGGCATAACCAGGATTTCTATTGGGGGTGGGAGGGGGAGGGGACAGGACTACCACCTGTCACCATCCTCTGTCTGGCTCTGTCTAGCAGATTTGGAATGGCATTTCTCAACTACGGTTGTTTTAAATTGCTTTCTTTTGACCCCCAAGCGCTCAGAAAAAATCTGCCAAAATCTTCAGACATTTGAAAACTAAGTAGTCAAATAATAAAAAAAGAACATCAGGGAGCACCTTTCATGCAGTTAACAAGCATATTTTGCAAAATTACAATGAGCACATGTTTTTTCAGCTTATTTTTTAAAAAAATCAAAACTAAAACAAGTTTCTTGGATTTGCTGAAAACTTTTAACAACATCATCCAAGTAACCTCAGTGAGCATTTCGATTTGAAATATTCCAATTATTTCTACTTTTAGTTTTGTTTTTTTAATTGACTTGATTTAGGGGGGGTCAGCTGCCCCCTGTATTGTATGATGTTGTGATGTCATGGATTTTTTATATAAATATATAAGGTAGGTAAGGAGCCCTGCAGGATCAGGCCAACGACCCATTGAGTCCAGCATCCTGTTCTCACAGTGCCCAACCAGATCCCCAAATGGGGAAACCTGCAAGCTTGAATCCCACAGGGCGGTAAACTGACCTGGGATAGCTCAGATTGTAGAGCACGAGACTCTTAATCTCAGGGTTGTGGGTTTGAGCCCCACATTGGGCAAAAGATTCCTGCGTTGCAGGGGGTTGGACTAGATGACCCTCGTGGTCCCTTCCAACTCTACAATTCTATGAAACTTTCAAGATGCCCCTCTGGCTTCTGCATAATAGTTGCAGGATCATGCTCCTCAATAGCTACACCTTCTGCTTCACATCTTCCTATTCTCTGCAGCACTCTATTTTCTTTGCTGAAGCACGAAAGGGGTCTGTAGTTTGGGGATAGTGACTTCCTTCTGTTTGCTGGCTCTCTCTTTAAAACACACACACACACACACACACACACACACACACACACACACTCATTAAAGCAACCATCAGCAAATGGTGCCAATTAATTAATGCTTGCAGCCCTAGTTTCATGGAATTAAAACTAAGTCATCACTTTGACATACCTGAGCGTTCACTGAATTCATTCATTCATAGTTTTTTTGCCCCAACTTGTTAAGATTGTCTCAGGTGCCTGTCTCAGAAAAAAAAACCCCACTAAAAAAAGCTGACAGGTTTGGCTTCTTGTCATCTTCCTTCCCCTCTCCCCCCACCTCCACCTTTCATTGTCGTCTTTTCTCCGTAACTGAACGGCAAGAAGGAAGTGATCAAAGCTGCTAGGATCGTAATCCCCTCCACACTTCATTCTGGATAAGCAAAGCCACTGAGACTGGATGCAAAGTCCTGGTAATGACTGTGTGTGATGCTCTCATTCTGCATCCCACCTTCAGACAGGATTGGGAAGTAGAGAGCGACTTAGAGGGGTGGTCCTACCCAACAGGCCATCAGAAGCCAAATATTCAGCTAGGTATGGGCAGGGCTATTGGGACACGGGTGGCACTGTGGGTTAAACCACAGAGCCTAGGGCTTGCTGATCAGAAGGTCAGCGGTTCAAATCCCCTCGACGGGGTGAGCTCCCGTTGTTCAGTCCCAGCTCCTGCCAACCTAACAGTTCGAAAGCACGCTAGTGCAAGTAGATAAATAGGTACCGCTCTGGCGGAAAGGTAAATGGCGTTTCTGTGCGCTGCTCTGGTTCGCCAGAAGTGGCTTAGCCATGCTGGCCATATGACCCAGAAGCTGTCTGCAGACAAATGCCGGCTCCCTCGGCCAGTAAAGTGAAATGAGCACCGTAACCCCATAGTTGTTCGCGACTGGACTTAACTGTCAGGGGTCCCTTTACCTTTATGGACAGAGCTGGGCATAACTGGGGTAGCTCAGTCGGTAGATCTTGAGACTCCTAATCTCAAGCTCCTGGGTTCGAACCCTACATTCCTGCATTCTAGGGGTTTGGACTGCTAGATGACCCTCCCGGTCCCTTCCAGCTGTACAGTTCTATGATTCTATGTGCTTTGAAAATACAGAAGCATTACAATTCTGTACCACAGTAAACTCAGATTTGGCGACAGAGGGAAGCCGCTATCTATGATACGTATAAATTCTGCAAATATGCAAATTGTTGTTTTGCTTTCTGCAGGGTTTGTGGCGTTGCACCCAGCAGTTTGCACCACTTCTTGTCGAAACAGAAACCTTTACAAGGTCCTGAAAAAGAAAAAGGGGGGGGGCTGTGAATAGGGGTTCAGCGGTTAAACCATCTGCCTTGCTTGCAGCATTTCCCAAGTTTGATCCCAGCTGGCATTTCCAGATTGGGCTGGAAGGGACTCCTGTATGAAACCCTGGAAAGCTGCTGCCAGCCAGTGTAGACAGTGCTGAGTTAGATGGACCACCCTTTTCCCACTAAGGAGCTCAAGGTTCTCCCCTCCCCATTTCATCCTCACAACAACCTTGTGAAGTAGGCTCGGCTGAGAGACAATGACTGGCCTCCAAGGTCACTCATTCCCTGTGGGGATTTGAACCTTGGTCTCCCAGTTCCTAGTCTGACCATCTAACCCCATGGTTCCCATGGCACACGCCCCACAGGGGGGCAATTTGATTTTTAAGGGGGGCAATTTGGAAGCTTGTTGAGACCAAGTTAATGGCCTTTTAGGCTTCTTCCACATGAACAGGAGTTCACTTTTTGAATAATAAGAACTATATGTCACCGGGGGGTGGGGGGCGTGCATCCAGGATTTTAGAGATGCTTAGGTGGGGCATGGCCAATGAAAGGTTGGGAACCACTGGTCTAACCACTCTGCCACACTGGCTCTCTCCTGTGTGGCAGAATTATGACCACACGCCCCAAGGATGGAGCCTTGTGAGCAAAGACTCCATCTTCATCATTTAGGTTGCCTACCCCCTACTCTCTCTGTGGATAGACAGTGGGGTGGGATCCTGATGCAAAAAAAGACCCTTCTGTTAGCATTTAACTATCACCCAGGGTGCAAATTCCGATGCCCCCTAGACAGCATGTGAGATGCTAAGGAAAGCCTTCTTCCCCACCCATGAGAGGTTGGGTTGCCATCTGTCATGGATGCTTTAGCTGAGATTCCTGCATTGCAAGGGGGTTGGACTAGATGACCCTTGGGGTCCCTTCCAGCTCTACGATTCTGTGATTCTATGAGAGCCATTGGGGAGGCATTCTATCTCCTCCCAGCTCCTGGGTAAAAATAGAGCATGGCTCATTCAGTGTCCAGTAACCTTGTTCTATTTTTCCCCCTTGCCTAAAGATGGCTGTCACGTCGTATATCCAGCTCCCAACGATGCCATCTAGATAGACTTCTGCGGCGAACTCCTTACAACTATTCGGAAGCATTTATTTACATATAGGAAGGGACATTGCTTGGCATTAGAGCCCACGCATTGCACAGAGGAGATACCAGGTTCAACCTCTGACATCTCCCCGGGTAGGAAAAGCTATCAAGCTGCAAGCTTCCTTTAAGAGCAGTATGATTTTCCCAGAGGCTATGGGGTGGCCAGTGGAGGCTAGGCCATTTGGGCAAATTGGAGCATTGCCCCACTGACCTCAACCTGCCCTCAGCCAAATCCCACCCTGCCTGCCAACTTCCTTACAACTAGTCCAAGGGATGGCACTGCCTGCCAGCTTCCTCTTCCTTCGTCTCCTTTGTGCTTTTGTAGAACACAGCAGGAGGGAGGATGGGGACAAAACTAGAATTTGTTGCTTCTGCCTCTCATTGTCTCTGGCGCCACCTACTGTTAGCCTTTCTGCCTGTCACCACCTACTGTTTGTCACCACCTACTTTCTGCCTGTCACCACCTACTTTCTGCCTGGCACCACCTACTGTTGACGCGGGTGGTGCTGTGGGTTAAACCACAGAGCCTAGGACTTGTTGATCAGAAGGTCATCGGTTCGAATCCCTGTGACGGAGTGAGCTTCCATTGCTCGCTCCCTGCTCCTACCAACCTAGCAGTTCAAAAGCACGTCAAAGTGCAAGTAGGTAAATAGGTACCGCTCTGGCGGGAAGGTAAACGGCGTTTCCATGCTCTGCTCTGGTTCGCCAGAAGCGGCTTAGTCATGCTGGCCACATGACCTGGAAGCTGTACGCCGGCTCCCTCGGCCAGTAAAGCAAGATGAGCGCCGCAACCCCAGAGTCGGCCACGACTGGACCTAATGGTCAGGGGTCCCTTTACCTTTACTGTTGAGTTTCCTGCTTTCTGCCCCGCCAGCCCCAATGGGCGCTAACCAGCACTTGGTGTAACCAAAGCTCATGGGGTTGACCGTAACTCAGCAATAGAATGCTTGCAGTGCAGGCATCAAGTTCAAAGTTCGAGTTGGTCTTCCAAGGAGCCCAGATTGCCGTCACCAGTCAGTGTGGACAGCACACTGCTAGGCAGCTTCCTGAAATAGGTGACCATGAGATTTGTCCCCCGGCGCTGGTGGATATGTCATTGCTTGCTTAGCTTTCTTCCTGAAATGCTAGTTGGGGTTGTTATGAGCAGAGGCACAGTCATATCATCTGCTCTGTGATTGGCGCATGGGCTGCACCAGCGGAATTAGTTGATATCTCGACCTGGAACGCAGATGGCTTCAGCTCCAAGTCGTCCTGTCACTCACCCAAGAAGGGGCGAACATCAGCCACGGGGGCTGCAAGGAGTCCAGGATGACTCACTCGCTTGGAAACAAAAGTCAGCAGCATCAGCTGTGGGGAGGACTCAGGTCCCTTAGGGGCAATACACAAATATGCACAGAAAAAGAGGGAGAGGAATAAATAGCAGGGCAGAGCAGGGCACAGAAAGCTGGAAGGCTGGAGATGGAGAAAATCTAGTGCCTGGAGAGATGAGATATCCGAAATGAAACAGGTAGCTGTCATTTAGGCCATCTGATCTGCTGGCAACAGAGTTTGCAGGCAGGCCATCTTCCCACAGAGGACAGGGGAGATAGACAGTTTGGTTCACGTTTAAAAGCCAGCCTGCCTCATTTGAAATCCTTTGGAATGGGCACTTCTCCAAATTTTGCAATGCACTTCTGCAGCCAAGTGTTGGCTCAGTGGTCAGAGTGCTGGACTAGGACCCAGAAAAGTTGTTGTTTAGTCGTTTAGTCATGTCCAACTCTTCGTGACCCCATGGACCAGAGCACGCCAGGCACTCCTGTCTTCCACTGCCTCACGCAGTTTGGTCAAACTCATGCTGGTAGCTTCGAGAACACTATCCAACCATCTCGTCCTCTGTCGTCCCCTTCTCCTTGGGCCCTCCATCTTTCCCAACATCAGGGTCTTTTCCAGGGAGTCTTCTCTTCTCATGAGGTGGCCAAAGTATTGGAGCCTCAGCTTCAGGATCTGTCCTTCCAGTGAGCACTCAGGGCTGATTTCCTTAAGAATGGATATGTTTCATCTTCTTGCAGTCTGTGGGACTCTCAAGAGACCCAGAAGAGACCAGGGTTCAAATCCCCACTTGGCCATGAAGCTCTCGCTGGGAGCCAGTCACCAACTCTCAACCTAATCTACCTTGCAGGGTTGTTGTGGGGGATTAAAAGGGGGGGAGGGAGAACTGTGTGCCACCTTGAGTGCCCTAGAAGAAAAGGTGGAGTAAATGCAATAAGTAAATAAATGTGCCAGGGTAAATTGTAAACGTATAGATCAGTGAAAATGAGATGCATTATATTAGGAGGATTTCACTCATAGGTACACATGTTGGTTCGATAAATGGCATGGAGGCGGTGGAGAGAGAAAAGATTTTGTCCCTCTCTCATAATATCAGAATCCACGGGCATTCAATGAAGCCGAGTGCTGAAAGACTCAGGACAGATAAAATAAATTACTTATTCACTCCGTACTTATTAACGGGCACTGTTAGAAACTCAGGTATATACGGTAAGCTAGGCAACAAATGTCTCCTTAAACCACGGTTACATTCCAAATCGTAATGTCTAGTTGCCATTTGGGGGCAAGATGGCTCTAAAGTCTTTTTTTCCCAAAGGATGGACTGGCTGTGATTGATTCTCAGTTAAACATCTGGCTAGTTCAGATGACGACACTGAGCTAGGTTAAGAACTTTGAGAACTGAAAGAAGGAAAGTCTCTTGATCCAGGGACAGTCCACATATCTATCGACCTATTCCTACCTCTCTCTTTTTAATGGTGACACGGACCATTCATAAAGTAGGGATATTCTTCACAACTGTGAACAGGGCAGTGGGGTGGGGTAACTGAAGGCAACCTGCAACAATTAACTATAATGTTGTTAACTGCTCCTGCTCAGGCTGCGCAGAAAAAACATTTTGGTTCCTGGAATTCATTCTGGTTGTGCAGATAAAACATAACTCACAAAATTCTACAGGATGAGATATTAGTGTGTGTCAGCAGTCAAGATCCAATGATCCCAAGGCATGCAATTCCAGATGGTGGAGACGTCAGTAGCCATCCTGGCGCCCAGGCACCTTCGCTTGGCCACAAGTGGTCGATAGCCAGGTGCAAAATGCTCCTGGCCCCTGGCTAATTTCGAACCCTGCCCATGGGAAGCAGTGGTGGCCCCCAACTTCTATGGCTTTAATAGAGGATTGGACAAATTCATGGAGGAGGAGAGGGCTAGCAGTGGCTACTATCCACAATGGCTTCAGAATACAAGCTGCTGTAAATTGCAGACAGGGAGAGTGTTCTTGTGCTCAAATCCTGCCTGTGGGCTTTCCCATTTGGGCATCTGATTGGCCCCTGTGAGAACAGGATGCTGGACTAGACGAGCCACTGGCCTGATCTTGCAAGCTCTTCTTACATTGAACAAGTTGTAAGTGGAAAACATTGTGTTGTGAAAATCATTGCTCTGGAGTAGGATTAGTGGAAGGGACTAAGCTTCTCAGGGAGGACTTTGGGTACCACCCTCAGGCACTTCCTGAGCTCTACATTGTCCTTGCTGCTAAATCTTTTTATTTATTGTTTCTTTCTTTCTCCCTTTCCTTTCTCTTTCTAATTCTAAATCTGCCCTCAAGTACATCCTTGTGGTTAGCTGGTGGATAGCAAGGCAAAGCCTTTGGATTCCCTTCGGTCCTACCTTTGCCTCCCACTGGGCACTTGAGCTCTTTATCTTTGCACATGATGGTCTCATGTTCTTGGGTAGGAAGTGTTTGTCCCTTTCTTCTGGGTACATTTCAGACTTGCCTCTGTTAATTGCAGGCTGGCAGGAGGAGGAGGGGGGGGCTTTCTGCTTTCCCTTTGATCCCCTAGGATGTGGGCCAAGCCCCACCTCTCCAAGACCCCAGATCCCCTTTTCAGCATGTTCAGATTAGATCAGCCTCTTTTCTTGCTCAGCTGAACTGAGATGTGCATGTCCTCAGAGGACTTTGGGGGGGAAACTCAAGCTCTTACCTTTGCCTGGCCTGCCAATCTTGAAATAGAAATATTAGTGACCGGACAGGGAAAGCCGCCAGTTGCCTGTGGAGAGATCTAACCAGGAACTGAAGTTCTCTTCCTCCTTGGGACTTTCAGACACAGCTGGGCAAGCGAGGAGTTGTGGGAATGCTGACAAGACAGAGGAGCCTGCCTCAGGGCAGACTGGGTCTGATGCTGGGGCTAAACTAGACTCCCTCTGTGTGAGAGAGACGGACAGACAAACAGACAGAGAGGGATGGAGGATGTGTTTTAACTGAAAAGTAGCACTGGAGGTTCTGAGCAGAAGCACAGAAGTAAGTGGGGAGGAGATACTTAACCCTCCCCTCCCCGCCCATTTTCCTACAGAACCTATCCCCCCTACCTCAGCTGTTTTCACACATGAAGGGGGAAAGGTGCAAGTTCTGCAGGGAGAAAACCAACTGAACTGAGGGCAACTTCGAGCTGACCAATTATGGGAGAGGTAAGGGTTCGGCTACCCTCTCCTCTGCTGTTTCTTCATTGAGATTGGCAACTCCCCTTGCTTGCTTTTTAGTGGTGTGTGTGGGAGGAAAGGAGGGAACAAGAGGGAGATGAGCTGTAGCTCAATTGCAGAGCATTGGTTTTGCACGCAGAAAGGCCTGGATTCCACCCCTGGCATCGTCTGGTAGGACTTGAAGATGCTAGGGTAAAGGGACCCCTGACCATTAGGTCCAGTTGTGGCTGACTCTGGAGTTGCAGTGCTCATCTCATTTTATTGGCCGAGGGAGCTGGCATACAGCTTCCGGGTCATGTGGCCAGCATGACTAACGCCACTTCTGGCAAACCAGAGCAGTGCACAGAAACGCCGTTTACCTTCCCACCGGAGCGGTACCTATTTATCTACTTGCACTTTGACGTGCTTTTGAACTGCTAGGTTGGCAGGAGCAGGGACCGAGCAACGGGAGCTCACCCCGTCGCGGGGATTCAAACCGCCGACCTTCTGATTGGCAAGTCTTAGGCTCTGTGGTTTAACCCACAGCGCCACCTGCGTCCCCAGGAAGATGCTATGCCTGCCTGAAACCCTTGAGAGTTCCTGCTAGTCAGTGTAGACATTACTGAACTCAGTGGACCAACAGTCTCATATGGGATGAGGCAGCTTCCGATATTCCTTTGCTCCTATCAGCTGTGGGGCTCCCCATCAAAGACATCTCAACACAGAGGCCCATCGAAACCTGGAGCCTGCACAGCTAAGGTTTCCTTCTCCTGTTCTCCGTTTAAAAGTGTGCACAGTGCACATGCTGGGGTTGATGTGTATTGAATGGAGAATGTGCATATACATTAGGCATTTTGCACAGTTGCTCTTTGGGATGCAGACTGTGTGCACATTAGAAGCATGGTTAGAGAACAGCGGGCATTGCCCCGCCATTATGCATAACCTCCATAGGCCATGAAAAATTCATGCATTAATGCGGAAATGTGCATAAGGGTCCAAGCGGAGAATATGCACATTGACTTGGCTAATGTACCAAAAATACCCTACTTGTGCTAATGAGTTGCATGCCCCTCATCTGTCCCGATTTAAGCAGGGCATCCTGTTTTGGGGGGGTGCATGCTCTCACACACGTCACCTGGTTCCCCCGAGATTGCGGCTGTGAAAGACACTGATTTTGGGGTGCTTTGCTTTTGCACGAGTCACGTGACTCACACAGGAGCTCGGCCCCAAAAGACACACATCCTGGTTTTCCTTGGGGCCACGTTGGAGGGTATGGAGTTGTACACATCCATCAACATCATTTTTGAGACTGTTCACACTAATGGGGCAATTATGCAAAAAAATAAAAATAAACCCACCTCTCTGTGAGCAAAGGTCACTGCATTATTTTCCCCTAGAATCTGGTGAATGTGCAAAACACCTGGTCATTTATGCAGATTCTCCATTTGACTTGCACTAGTCAGTTTCATGCATGGGGGTGAGTAATGGAGAAGGAGATGTACGGTACTTCTTAAGTAGTCCTCCCCTCTGGTACCTTCTTCCCCTGCAATAGCAAAATTGACTAGCAAAGGAAGGAAGGAAGATTCAAGCAGCAGATTCAACCCTTCTTCAGAAACAGATCCTCATGCAAGTAACTCCTGCAGGGAGCAGCGTGTGAAATATTTAACTGGACAGAGAGTCCAAGGCACAAACGGGAACGAAATGAGGTGGGTGTGACTTGAACAGGTCTTCCCCCCACTTTTTCTAAGCTGCTGCTATCCTGTGTACGAAAAAGAGGGCACAGCTATGCCCACCCATGGGAAGAATCCTGTGCATGAGCCAAATTTGGCCCACCAAGCCAATTTCCCCAAACCACTGGTGACATCTGCTGATGAGCAGAAGGACAGGGATTTACCATGCAGTACCTATGCAATTCTGTTCCCAGCATGGTGCAAGATTGTGAAGTCTAAGTGTCAGGGTTTAATCTCCACTTAGCTGTCTGTGGGGATGCAGGTGGCACTGTGGGTTAAACCACAGAGCCTAGGGCTTGCTGATCAGAAGGTTGGCGGTTCGAATCCCCGCGACAGGGTGAGCTCCCATTGCTCGGTCCCTGCTCCTGCCAACCTAGCAGCTCAAAAGCATGTCAAAGTGCAAGTAGATAAATAGGTACCGCTCCAGTGGGAAGGTAAATGGCGTTTCCATGTGCTCCTCTGGTTTCGCCAGAAGCAGCTTAGTCATGACCCGGAAGCTGTACGCCGGCTCCCTCGGCCAATAAAGCGAGATGAGCACCGCAACCCCAGAGTCGGCCACAACTGGACCTAATGGTCAGGGGTCCCTTTACCTTTACCTAGCTGTCTATGAGTAGAGAGTCAGGAGAAGGGTGCAAGATCGTGGATGTAAAAGGGGAGGAGAGATTCCCCCACAAACATGGGCGTAGCCAAGGAGGAGCAGTGGGACAGCTGCCCCTCTGAAATCAAGTAAATCAATTAAAAAAAATTAACGGAGGTTCCGCCTGCCCCCACAACATAACTCCTGGCCATGCTTTTGCAAGTCTTCTCCCTCTTCCCTTCCTGGTTTCAAGGACTTAAAGGGGGAGAGGTTTGCAAATGCATTTGTGAGCCTCCCTCTTCCTTCACTTTCAAGTCCCTGATATCATAAAGAAGGTCGTCAAATGCGAAGCAGTCACAAAAGGGCATTTGCGAGCCTCCTCCCTCTTCCCTTTTAAGATCCCAGCAGAAGGGATTTTTGACAGGTGGCAAACCCACTCACCTTTCAAACCCAGCCCCTGAGGCAGATCCTGATAAGGATCTGTCCCACGGAGCCGAAAAAGGTTCCCCACCCCTGGCCTACGCCACATCACATATTTGATTATCCTTTTGTGTTTCACCTCGTGGGTTTCTATTTGCAATTAGATCAACAAGCCTAATCATGAATAAGAATTTGCTGCAGATCAAAGTTTCCTGTTGCTCCTTTCTAGCTCCCCCCACCCCCCAGTTTCTCTTTCATTATCAAAGTCTCTCTCCCTCCCTCCCTCTCTCTCTGTCCTCCCCCTTTCAAGGGGAGGCAGAGAATTACCACGACTGCATCCTGGCATCTACAACCCTTGCTAATTCCATTTTGTTAGTAAGCTTCGGTGCTCCCTGATCTCCCAACCACGGGATCTTCGTGATCCTGCCGATGAGCCAGTGTGGTGTAGTGGTTAGAGTGTTGCCCTAGGTAAAAGGTAAAGGTAAAGGGACCCCTGACCATTAGGTCCAGTCGTGGCCGACTCTGGGGTTGGCCGACTCTGGGGTTGCGGTGCTCATCTCGCTTTACTAGCTGAGGGAGCCGCCATACAGCTTCTGGGTCATGTGGCCAGCATGACTAAGCTGTTTCTGGCGAACCAGAGCAGTGCATGGAAACACCATTTACCTTCCTGCCGGAGTGGTACCTATTTATCTACTTGCACTTTGACGTGCTTTTGAACTGCTAGGTTGGCAGGAGCAGGCACCGAGCAACGGGAGCTCACCCCGTCGTGGGGATTCGAGCCGCCGACCTTCCGATCGGCAAGTCCTAGGCTTTGTGGTTTAACCAACAGCGCCACCCGTGTCCCACCCGTTGCCCTAGGACCTGGGTTCAAATCCCCGCTTGGCCATGAACCTCACTTGAATGTGACCTTGGGCCAGTCACTGCCTCTCAGCCTAACCTACTTTGCAGGGTTATTGTGGGGATTAATGAGGAGGGAGAGAGCCATCTATGCCACCTTGAGCTCCTTGGAGGGAAAAGGTGGGATATGAATGCAATAAATAAGAAATGAATTAGAAATCCTGTCTTACAGGGTGCGTTCCCAGGTTGTCGTCTCCCTGGTGTCGCTTCTAGGCTGTCGGTATTTTGTGGGAGGACTCCAACCACATACCAGAATTTTGGGGTTTCACAACGGAACTGGATGAACTTTCTTGCCCTAGTGTCAGGGTGGGGGGTCTTTGTCAAGCCAAGTGTTGTTAGCGTACAGCTCCCATCATCCCCCTGACTCTGGGTCTTGCCAGCGGAGGCTGATGGGAGCTGGATTTCAGCAACATCTGGATGGCCCAAATGCAGCAAATTCACTTTACAGCATTTTTTTTTTCCAATTAGGAAAGCGATAGAGGGAAAGCCTCAAAAGGTGTGGGATGGGCAATTATTTTTATTTATGTAAGACCATTTACATATCGCTTAATTATTTGCATCTTGAAGCGGCGTACATAAAAAAAGATCCACGGAAAATGGGGAACTCTTCCTGTATACATAGACGTGCCTGATGTTGTCGTGCTGCACCTCACCAGGGAGGGCATTCCATAACTGGGGAGCCACCATGGAAAAGGCCCTGTCACAGGTCAGGGGCCACCCAGGAAGTCCCTGCAGGTGGGGCCACCAAGAAGCCTTCATATGACGATCTTAGAGTCTGAGGTATATACCGTAGAAATAATTTCTGGGATTGTCTCACTTCAGAACAGCCCAGAATGGAGACGAGATTCTGCTTCAAGGCCAATTCTCTCTCTCTCTCTCTCTCTCTCTCTCTCTTTCTCTAAAGCACTCCTTCCAATAATTATTATTTATTTATACATACATACATACATACCGTACATACCCTGCCCATCTGGCTGGGTTTCCCCAGCCACTCTGGGCGGTTCCCAACAGAATAATAATACAGTGGTACCTCAGTTACAGACGCTTCAGGTTACAGACACTTCAGGTTACAGACTCCGCTAACCCAGAAATAGTACCTCGGGGGTTTAGAACTTTGCTTCAGGATGAGAACAGAAATCGCGCGGCAGCGGCATGGCAGCAGCTGGAGGCCCCATTATCTAAAGTGGTACCTCAGGTTAAGAACAGTTTCAGGTTAAGAACGGACCTCCAGAACAAATTAAGTTCTTAACCCAAGGTACCATGGTATTGATGATGATGATGATGATGATGCAGTGATAAAACATCAAACATTAAAAACTTCTCTAAGCAGGGCTGCCTTCAGATGTCTTCTAAAAGTCAGATAGTTGTTTATTTCCTTGACATCTGATGGGAGAACGTTCTACAGGGCGGGTGCTACCACCCAGAAGGCCCTCTGCCTGGTTCCCTGTAACTTCAATTCTTGCAGTGAGGGAACCACCAGAAGGCCCTCGGAGCTGGACCTCAGTGTCCGGGCTGAACAATGGGGCTGGAGACGCTCCTTCAGGTATACTGGACTGAGGCCGTTTAGGGCTTTGAAGGTCAGCACCAACACTTTGAATTGTGCTCGGAAACGTACTGGGAGCCAATGTAGGTCTTTCAGGACTGGTGTTATATGGTCTCAGTGGCCACTCCCAGTCACTAGTCTAGCTGCCACATATGATTTCCCACGCCTGGTTTACAGGGCTGAGGACAATTGCAGTTGCTCACATGGAAATGTTATGAAAACCTGCTCTAAAGTTCCCATTGCAGCAATATTCCTGTTTATGGAGCACTGTCAGAATGCTTTTGTGTTCCTTGCAGATATTTTCTAGGCCCCAAGCGGGGCAGTGGATGGCAGGAAGCACACCCTAGGTGTGTTTCAGAACAAGGGTTCCAGTCCAGTCACAGATTATACTTCTAGCTGAGTGGATTGTCTTCTACCTTGGTAAGGAAGGAAATGTGTCTGCTTTCCCAGCTTGGTGTTTATATTTCGATGGAATGGCTTTGATCAGATAAAGGGAGGGAGGGAGCAAGCAGAACCCCACCCATCATTAAAGCACATTTGCCAAAGTTAAGTTGGAAGAAGAAGAAGAAGAAGAAGAAGAAGAAGAAGAAGAAGAAGAAGAATTCTTTTATTTATACCCCGTCCACCTGGCTGGGTTTCCCCAGCCACTCTGGGAGGCTTACAGCACATAATTTTTTTTGTAAAGCATTAAAAATTTCCCAATACAGGGCTTCCTTCAGATGTCTTCTAAAAGTCAGATAGTTGTTTATTTCCTTGACATCTGATGGGAGGGCGTTCCACAGGGCAGGCGCCACTACTGAGAAGGCCCTCCTGGTTCCCTGTAACCTCACTTCTCTCAGTGAGGGAACCGCCAGAAGGCCCTTGGAGCTGGATCTCAGTGTCTGGGCTGAATGGTGGGGGTGGAGACGCTCCTTCAGGTATACTGGGCCGAGACCTTTTCACCCTGTGGTGGTAACAGCAAGAGAACACAGGAGCATAGGGAGTCAACAGCAGGTGAGATGAGAGGTTGGAACTGGGAGCAACTCAATTCAGTCTGAAAGCAAGCCAGTGTGGTGTAGTGGTTAAGAGCGGTAGATTCGTAATCTGGGGAACCGGGTTCGCTTCCCTGCTCCTCCACATGCAGCTGCTGGGTGACCTTGGGCTAGTCACACTTCTCTGAAGTGTCTCAGCCCCACTCACCTCACAGAGTGTTTGTTGTGGGGGAGGAAGGGAAAGGAGATTGTTAGCCGCTTTGAGACTCCTTTGGGTAGTGATAAAGCAGGATATCAAACCAAACTCTTCTTCTTCTTCTTCATCCACACTTTGCAAAACAACAGGAGAACCAAAGCACAGGCATGCTTTGTAACTGATGGAATTGTACAGTTGGAAGGGACTCCCAAGGTTCATCTAGGCCAACCCCTTGCAATGCAGAAATCACAGATAAATTTAACCCTGAAATGGACATCACCCCATTATTTAAAACCTTCCAACAAAGGAGAGTCCAGCAGCTGTTTCCTGTTGAACAGCTCTTACCCTCAGAAAGTCCTTCCTAATGTTTAGCCCTCTGTTGTCCTTTGAATCCACTGGTTTGAGTCCTCCCGTCTGGAGCAGCAGAAAGCAAGCATGCTCTCTGCCTTCCATGTAACAGCCCTTCTTTCAGATATTTGAAGATGGCTATCCTATCCCCTCTCAGTCTTCTCCAGGCAAAACATATCCAACTCCCTTAACCGTTCCTCGGCAGGTTCGGTTTCCAGACCCTTGGTCATCTTGGTCGCCTTCCTCTGAACACCTTTCAGCTTGTCGATACCCTTCTTAAAGTGAGGTGCCCAGAACTGGACACAGAACTCCAGGTGGGGTCTCAGGAGGGCAGAATAGAGTAGTACTGTTACTTCCCTTCATCTGGGCACTAGACTTCTGTTGATGCACTTCTCTGAATGCTGCACGGTCTCCTTTATTGCACTTAGCCAAAGCCTTTGACAATATATAGAATGTCCAATGCAATACAGTAATACCTCGGGTTAAGAACTTACCGTATTTTTCATTCTATAAGACACACTTTTTCCTGCCTAAAAAGTAAGGGGAAAGGTGTGTGTGTTTTATGGAGCGAATGCAGGCTGCGCGGCTATCCCAGAAGCCAGAACAGCGAGATGGATTGCTGTGCAGCGCTCCCTCTTGCTGTTCTAGCTTCTGGCTTAGCTGCGTGAAGCCTCTTCAGGGCATGGGGAGCCTTCATCCCGCTGCCCTGAGGAGGCTTGCCCCACCTCCTGGAAAAGCCCCCAAGAGCCGCGCTCCCTTTAAAGAGCCGCACGGAGCATGTGTGCGGCTCGTGGGGGCTTTTCTCTGAGGAGGGAGAAGGGCAGCCCGGCAGTGACAGGCTCTGCTCAGCACTCCCTTTAAAGAATATTTTTTTCGTGTATTCCCCCCTCTAAAAACTAGGTGCATCTTATGGTCAGGTGCATCTTATGGAGCAAAAAATATGGTAATTCATTCTGGAGGTCTGTTCTTAACCTGAAACTGTTCTTAACCTGAGGTACCACTTTAGCTAATGGAGCCTCCTACCGCCGCCGCGCAATTTCTGTTCTCATCCTGAAGCAAAGTTCTTAACCCAAGGTACTATTTCTAGGTTAGCGGAGTCTGTAACCTGAAGCGTCTGTGACCTGAAGCGTCTGTAACCCGAGGTACCACTGTACATGAATTAATTTTTTAAAAAACTTGAATTGAAATCACAAAGCAACCGTTAGGAACCATGTATATCATTGTCCGGGGTAATGTATTTATAATCCATTACAATTTCTTTTATGATTAGAACCAAGTTTATTGGCTGCCACTGCAAATTTAGGTAGCAATTGCATGAAGTACAGCTATTTATCAGCTTGAAGTTCAATTGTCCCTTCCCGAGGAAATTGATCTGGATGCAGTTGAAGAATGGGTGACAATTTCCCCCCATCTGGGCTCCCAATATAAAGGACAGAGCAGCAAACAATGTGTAAGGTCTTCAGTCTAATTGCACCCAAATATACATTTCCATCCTACAACTGAGATTCCAAGGAATCTCCCATCCAGATAGTCTTGAGGTGTGACTGGCCTACCTCGCAAGGCAGTTGTGAAAGGGAGGACTAAACAGTCTTACCTTACCTCAACCCTCTTAAGATTGCTCCATATTATTATTCTGGTCGTGCAACTGAAACTCAGAAATAATAGTGTGGCAACTTTCTGATGCATGGTTTGGTTTCTTAGCCTCCTTGGATTAAAATCCAAATAAATAAACCTTTCCCCCCTTTTCCTTTTCCTTTTCTTGCTAAAGTGGCTATTGTACAAACGTACAACAGCTTGGCTGTGAGAAATCTTTATGCAATCAAACAGCCTGTTCAGGCCAATGGCATATAGCCTTAAAAATAGACAATGAAAAGACCCGGTCGAAACACCAGGGCTTTGTGCCAATAAGGCTGTTGGCAATTTCCTATATGTGGGTTTGGGTTTTTTTTGCTTTTGTTGTCCCCCCCCCCCCCATATACGGATATAATGAACTAGCAACAGCCCCCTGCTGTGAAAGTCATTTGACGTGGGTCAGAAGTAAATTCTTTGAAGACGGAAATTGTTTTGATCCTGGGAGAAGAAACGAACAGTTGCAAGTACGGCAGTGGAAAGATTTTTTTAAAAAAACCGTCCATTTTGAAGGTTACCACGTTAAGCCAGCTTCCCTAGATTTCCTGTTTAGCACAGACGATAACTGCTGGAAGTTTGGGTGCAACTCGGCTTGCAGAAAGGGGTTTGCATGGGGCTTAAGGGTAAGGGGCCTGCAGATTCCCAGACTACCCTTGCTCTTTCAACCTCTGTGCTGACTTCTTTCTATCCTTTGAAATTTAGACTAAGACCAGAGTCCTTTCCAACTCTACAATTATTTGATTCTCTCCTGTTTGCAACTTCCTCCTCCTCCTCCTCCTCCCACTTTCTCACGAGGGTATTCTGGTCCAATCCCCCTGCAATGCAGGAATCTTTTGCCCAAGCTGGGGCTTGAACCTGTGGCCGTGAGATTAAGTCTCATCCTCTACTGACTGGGTCTTTTCATCATGGAGGGGACGACTGTTACCGGAGGGGTGGGGCTGGCCGCCTGCTCAGGCTGCTTGATGGGCAACTTCAAAACTCCTCCTCCATTTTTTCTGGCTCTTTATCTTTATCCTTCGTGCTGAATTCTCCATCCCCAGCCTTTGTGCTGGCAACGGACAGAATCTCATATTCAGAGCAACCTAGGCAGCTGCCTTGAACTATCCAACCATTGCTTCAGCTGGCCCAGCATTGTCTGCACTGACTGGCAGCAGCTCTCCGGGGTTTCAGACAGGGAGTCACCGGCGATTGAACCAGGGACCATCTGCATGTAAGGCTGATGCTCTGTCACCAAGCAGAGGTTCGCCCCTTGCAATGGGCAACGAAGATTCTTTCTCTGCAATGAAAGGACTTTGCAGCCAACTCTCCAGGAGAGCAAACACTCTTCGGTGCCTTCTTAGCAGAGCTGTCCAGATCTGCTACTCTGTGAATGGATTGTCTGCTCCACCCCATCCCTGAATAATGATTATTTTAAGAACTTCCATTTCCTGATATTTTTTTTATTTTTTAAAAAATAGAATCAGTGTTTGTTTTCATTTTGAAATATCCATTGTTTTTGCTTCCAGCCAGCACACAGGGATTCGTCAGAGTTGCTTGCCATTGGGCCAAGTCCTTTTCCTGATCCCTCTCCTAGTGCCCCCAAACCCTCCCGGATTTGTTTCTCGGTTTTAACGCTTCGGAGCCTTGGGGGAAGCTAGGTGGGAAGCAAAGACCTCGGTGGACCGCCTTGCGCGACCTGACATTCTGCACGTCTAAAACCAGGTTGGCTTCAGTCACGGAAACCAGGAAGACTTGCCAGCTGTGCCCAACACCTGTTGGAACTGGTAGGGTGGAAGGCCGGAAGGCTGAGAGTAGGTGGAGCCCAATGGCGGAGGAAGGGGGTGCGGGGGTGCGGTCTGCCCTGGGTGTCATCACTGAGGGGGTGACAAAATGAGTTTTTTGTGTGTGTTTTTTAATTGGGCTCACAAAACTTTTTAGGAGTGACATGGTGGCTTCGGTGCCTGCAGGTTCAGTGCTTCCTGAAACAGCAGTGTAGGACTTGCAAATGCCTACTGCCTCTCCCTCAGCCGCCCTACAGCTGAGGGGGAGGCAGAGGAGGGGCTCCAAGCATTGGAGAGGCTCACCCCGCCCTCATGGGCAGCTTGCCCCACCCCCGGCTGCAGGACACCCCCCCACACCAGGCACCCGAGCGGCTAGCTACGCCGCTGGCAGAGCCAACGGATTCTGGTTGTGTCTCCATCCTCCATGCTGAATTCTAGAAGGCAGCACTGAGGCTAAGGAGGAAGGAGCTGGCAGCTAGACCATCCCTTGAGAGGTTGTGAGTATGGAGGCAGGCAGGCGGGAACTGGCTGAGGTTGGTGGGGCAGTTCTCCCCATTGCTCTAGTGGATCAGCCTTTATTGGCTAATAGAGAGCCAGTGTGGTATAGTGGTTAAGAGCACTAGACTCATAATCTGGTGAACCGGGTTCGCATCTCCGCTCCTCCACATGCAGCTGCTGGGTGACCTTGGGCTAGTCACACTTCTTTGAAGTCTCTCAGCCCCACTCACCTCACAGAGTATTTGTTGTGGGGGAGGAAGGGAAAGGAGAATGTTAGCCACTTTGAGACTCCTTCAGGTAGTGATAAAGTGGGATATCAAATCCAAACTCTTCTTCTTCTTCTACATCCTGGTGGTATTGTATCCCTGGCAAAATGGGGCAGCCCAAAGGCTTGCTAGTGGGGGCTGCACAGCTCCCAAGTACCCCTGAAAAAAGGGACAGCCCATTTTTTCCAAGCCAGATAGCGGCAACCGTTTGGGGCATCACAGCCTTGCTCTCTCGCATGCTGTGCTCTTGCCTCAAAAAAGAAAAAAAGAGAGAGCTTTTTTGGGGGGTCGTGATATTTCACAGCACCCAAAAATGTGCTTTTTTGGGGGTCACTGTACAAGATTTTCCTAGGGAAAGTTCCTTTTCAGGTTGAAAAAGTGCAGCACGGGTCACATAACTGGCCTGGGGGTGCATCCTGGAAGTCACACGTTCCTGTTTTGGATCTGGAAAAGTTGGATGGTATGAGATTGACTGAGGGCAGAAGGGGCAGCCCACGCTTGCCCAGCAGTGTGTGCACACATGCGTGCAGACAGCAGTGAGCTTCGTGTATGCAGTGCAACTTGCGTACTTTGCAGCCCTGCATGGTTGCTTGGTGTTGTCGCTGCCGTCAGTGAGCCTTTTGTATATGTTGCAGCTGGTGTGCAGTGTAGAGGGAAGTGAGGGGCAGACAGCCCATTTCGGAGAAGGAAAACTCTGATCCTAAACCTCCGCTGTCCTGCAGGGTGTCTTCAGGAGAAGAAAAAGATAAGGTGTGACCCCTACACAAATCTGGAGTGGAATCCCTAAGGCGGTTGGATGGTGCCTTGCACGCCTCCTTCCAGCAACTCCTGCAGCCAAGCTGGTACCAAACATCTTGCTCTGCTCTGCTCTCCTTTGCAAGACCAAGAGCTGGGGTCTTGTCATCTGTGCAGCCCAGGACCTCCATACACACTGCCGTGGCTTGCTCCACGGAGAGGTCACTTTGAAGCCACTAACTTAGCCGTTTGACTTCATCCCCAGAGGCGCACTACATTGTCTCTTGTGAAAGGCGTATGCCAACAACAAAAAACATAGGTTTAGGAGCATCAGGTCCCACAGGCTGATGCAAGTGTCTAGACTTAATACAACCCAAGGCTATTTTTCATCTTCTTCTTTGAAATACAAAATTGTAATTGTTTTAATTCAGACCATGGGACAACTTTGTAATTATAGACCATGGTTTCCCCTCTCTGTATGTTTTATTTCTGACTTAGTAAATATCCTATATTCTTTACTGGCGATTGTGACAACTTACCCTTTTTTTAAAAAAAAGGTGTTATTTCATTTCTCTCCCCCCCCCCCAACTTGTTTGTTGTTGTTAAAATTCAATACAAAATATTGGGGAGCGGGAAGAAAGGTGAATACTATATCAAAGCTAATAATAATAATGTCTCAGCCAGCCGCTGTGATCTGCCCAGTTGTGATTGGGAAGAAAGAGATGGTTTTAGTTTGCAGAGGGAAAAGGAGGCAGGGGGTGGAGACCCCTTTGTACCCTCCCTCTTGCTCCCTCTGGCCTGTATCTCACAGGGCCAAGTATCTGCCTGCATTTGCATGGGCAGGTCAATGAAAAAATGCTGGGAACACGGCATGGCAGAACTGGCAAAGGGAACAATGTGGCGCAAGTCGAAATTCTGGGGAAGACGGGGCATAGCAACATCTATAGTGGTGTGCCTGTATGGACTTGCAAAGACAGCAGCTCTCTGTTGTTTTGCAAGTGTGAGATGCATATGCACAGCTGGGCAGATTTTAATGTGGCTGTAAGCAGATCCAAGAAGGGTAGTTATGCCTCCCCATGTGCCATCAGCAGTTGATCCAGGAAAGGTCCTCCTCCTCCTCCTCCTCCTCTTCTTCTTCTTCTTCTTCTTCTTCTTCTTCTTCTTCTTCTTCTCCCCCCCTCCTCTTCCTCTTCATTAATTGTGTGTAGCACTCTACATCTGAAGATCACAAACACATTTCCTTCATTCTGTGTAGGTATTTTATTTTCAGTATAACCAGGACTCCGTTTTTGCATCTATGCACACAGAGAGAGAGAGAAAGATAGAGAGAGAGAATGCAAAGGCTCCTGTTTCCAAGAAGGAGGGGGGGTTGTTCTGATCTCTCCACCGCTTTTGATTGTTCTCTGAGATGAGGAGGGGAGGAAAAAGGGAAAACCAGGACATTCCTGGATCAAATCAGAAATTGGGGTAGCTTCTGTAATTCCAGGACTGTCCCTGGAAAACTGGGACACTAATAAATTGGAATGATGTGTGGATAGGCTGGTAGAAATCCCCCAATGTTGCATCAGTCACATATTGCAGGATACACCTGTAAAAAGTAAAAGAATACAGGCCAGATATTTGTTCCCTCCACTGCTGACCTGTTGAGGGGGTTGTCTCTTTGGCCTCCTCTCTTCCAGTTTCCGGGAAGCAGACCGGAAGTCACCAAAGGCTTTGCCATCAGGAATGGAGAACGACCGAGTCTTCAACGACTTGTGGGAGAAGACTGACGCAGCCTCTGTCGCGAGCAAGCCCTCTTCGGACAAGGACCCGGTAGGTGCTAAAAAGGAGGGCAAGGAGGGTGGAACTGGGCCTCATCTGTTCTCACACAGGGGCAAAGTAGAAGCATAGCCTTTGAGATATGAGGTTCATTGGCAGCTAACACCCTTGTCGGGTCCCCTAGCCCTGCCATTAGGCAGAGTGAGGTGATTGCCTCAGGCGGCATATGCTGGGAGGTGGTGGTGTCCCTCGGTTCTTCCTCCTGAGTTTTCTGACCATATTCTTCTGTTGGGAAAGAGAGCTTGCCCTCCACCTGTATAACCACCCTGCTGATCTCCCTCAGTGGCAGTGCAGTGCTTCATTGCCAGTACTGAAGCAGGATTTGCTACTTGCTGGATAGGGGTGTGCACGCGCCATTTTGCCTCAGGCAGCAAAATAAATTGGGCCATTAATAGCAACAAAAATAATGGTCTGGTTTTGTTGTTTTTTAAGTCAAAGAATGAAATATCTTAAGGATTCCATGACAACCCACCAAGGGTTCTTTTTCCTTGCCTTCTGATTACAGATTTTTGGCCACTTTTTGCCATCACATGACCAAAGTAGGCTCCAACAGCATGAGGGCTAGGAACTTGACCTCTAAAACTTGACCTCTCAGAAATTCCAAGAAGAGCCTATCGTGCTTAAAAGCTCCTTAAAAGCTTTGATTGTTTAAAGTGATACAATACTGCATTAAATTTATACTGCAGACGGGAGTTAAGTTTCTCAGTTTTTCCAATCTTAAATTCAGTCCTCCACATTTCTTCAGCAATTTGCATTTAAAAAACAAGACACCTCATCCCAATCAATCTGCATTGCAGTGCATTTTTCTGCTAGTAAACACATTTTGTAGGCAGCTTTGACTAATTTGCAAGCAATTTTCTCCAACATAATGTGTGTGTATGTGTGATGTTCTCATTAATGTGTGCAGGTTTATGCAGATTTCTCCCTAACAAATGCATTTTTGAACACCATGTTTGGTTGGAGAACTGTGTTGCAAAATTCGGCGAAGTGCAGCTTTCGAAGGACAACTGTGTTTCAGTTTGCGGATTGCAAATTAGTTAATTTCCCATTAAAATACAAACCAAATCAAATTTCCCCTTGTCGCTGCTTACGGCAGCATCTGGAGGCCCAGAGGTTCCCAGTCCCTGAAGCAGGCAAACCTTTTATCTGATCCAGCAGGACTCTCCTAATAAACGCTTGCCGTGATCTGAGCAATGCTACCACATTCCAGTTGTCACACCCGCCAGTACAAAGCTTCTTATTTCGTGTCAGGAGGAATTTGAGCAGGCGGAGGTGGAAGGGGGGAGAAGCAGGACTTTGTTTGACCCTGCCTGTCCCCTCAAGGTGGCCTCATGTTCTTCCTATAGGCTTGAGAATGAGTTTCCCAGGCCCTTCCCTGTAGTGAGTTCCTGCTTAGGAACAGAGCTCTTAAAGAAGCAGGACGCCATTTCCAAGGGAGGCTTCTTGCAGATATCTCCTGGCTGGGCGATGCATTGTAACTGTAAGGTTGTCGTCATGCCGAAGTTCATGTGGCTGCCAGTAGGGGGCCATGGCAACTCCAGATGTAGTGATAGACAAGCAGGCCGGCGAGCAAGCTAGCAGGTGGCCAGTGGTCCAGGTGGGTAGTTAGGTGCTAGGAGGTGCTTCAGTTTGCAAAGTGCTCTCTGAAGCACTTCCCAACCCTGCTTGCTGGTTTGATGGGCTATGAGGTGAGGAGAGATTTGGGTAGGTGAGGGAGTGGATAAGATGCAGAGAGAGGAGAGGTTGGTGATGTGTAACCTGCCCATCTGACTGGGTTGACCCAGCCACTCTGGGCGGCTTCCAGCAGATAGGTAAAGGTAAAGGGACCCCTGACCATTAGGTCCAGTTGTGGGCGACTCTGGGGTTGCGGCGCTCATCTCACTTTATTGGCCGAGGGAGCTGGCGTACAGCTTCCGGGTCATGTGGCCAGCATGACTAAGCCGCTTCTGGCGAACCAGAGCAGTGCACAGAAACGCCGTTTACCTTCCCACCGGAGCGGTACTTATTTATCTACTTGCACTTTGACGTGCTTTCAAACTGCTAGGTTGGCAGGAGCAGGGACCGAGCAATGAGAGCTCACCCCGTCGTGGGGATTCGAACCGCCGACCTTCTGATCGGCAAGTCCTAGGCTCTGTGGTTTAACCCACAGCGCCACCCGTGTCCCTTCCAGCAGATATAAAAGCATAATAAAACATCAAACATTTAAAACTTCCCTATATGGGGCTGCCTTCAGATGTCTTCTAAAATTCAGGTAGTTTATTTCCTTGACACCTGATGGGAGGGTGTTCCACGGGGAGGGCATCGCTACCGAGAAAGCCCTCTGCCTTGTTCCCCTTTTTGCAGTGAGGGAACCGCTGGAAGGCCCTCAGTATCTGGGCTGAACGATGGAATAATAATAATAGTTTTAGAAATGTGGAGGACTGAGGACTGGGGCAACGAGAAGCTGAGAGAAGTCACATTTGATAGATTCTTCCCTCCCTAATGAGAGATAGATAGATAATTTATTACTGTCAGAGACCAGCTTATAAAACACCCTTGGGTGTACAATCCCAGAAGGAAAACAAACATTTAAAACAATGTACAACAATAAATTTAAAATTTATAAATGTGATAAGCGTATAGACACTTAAAACTTTAAGATAAGCTACCACAGAGAGTCCTTAGTGAATTTCTTGGCATTTCCAGGTAGGGCTGGGAGGGACACCCTGTCTAAAATCCTAGAGAGATGCTGCCAGTCAGTGTAGACACCATTGGGCTAGATGGTCTAAGGCAGTTTCCTAGGTTCCTTTTGCAAAAGAACCTCAGCTGCTTCCCAAGCCAAGGCTGGCTGGTGTTTCCTCCTTCCTGACAACTGCGTGTTGTGCAAACAGTGTTTGATGGATGGCGTGGAAAAGCTTTGTGTGGTCTCCTCCCACCCCCCTGCCTCAGCTCTGCCCTTGTTTCCTTTTGTGGGCTGTTTCTGGGCTTTCCCTGCCAACTTAGTGTCCTTATTGTATGCAGGATCATGATGGATTAGCTTCTATTGTTACCACGTAAGCACAAAGAGCAGCAGCGGCAGCGGCAGCAGTATCCCCTGCGGCCAGAGCTGGAACAGCATTCTGGCAGCAGGTTTGGAATTCAAGTTAAGCTTCCCGACTTCAAAATCCTCAGGACGGAACCGCTTCTCCCAACAGCGTCAATTTTCCCAGGACAGTGGCAGGGGGAAGCTTCAAAACCTTAACTGCATTCCGCTTTCCTGATCCTGTTTCCTAACTGCAGATATTTTCAGGGCACTCCATAACTATTTTTAAAGTTTATTTTTTTAAAAAAGGAAAAGTTGGGAGATGCAACCTGGGCTGTCCTGCTTCATGGCATCTCAGCATTTGAAGAAATATGTTGATTTGTATGCCATAATAAATCTGCGAATTATTTGCAGCGTGGCAAGGCTCTTTGGTGCAGCAGACCTAGGTGGTTAAAAAAATATTTTGACTTGGGGAATGTTTAGCTCTGTCATCTACAGCGTCTTCTTTTGAATTCTTCCTTTTAACGTTGTCTTTCTACATGCCACGTCCCAGTGGCAGGCAGGGCCATGGGCAAAAGTGAGCAGGGCAAAGGATGTACTGGGCGCACCCTCGTAGAGTAGGCTAATTTCTACACACGCTCTCAAACACCCATATCTCTCCTCCATCCAGGAAAACCAAAGGCATTGTCAGAATTGAAGGACACAAGGCAGCCTGGCCAGAAACACCCGAGGAAGGTGTGAAGCCAGACTGGGGGGGTGGCCTGGAGAGAAGGGGAGTGGCTTGGGAAGAGTTCCAAGGGCATTTTAGAGAGGCCTGAAGGGTCAAATGAAAGCCCGACTCCCATACCCAGTGTTATGTACTGAGGTTCTCACCCTGGGCCAGCAGGGGGATACTGTAGGTAGTTATGCAAATAAGGGATCGAAAGTGACGTTCAGTGATTGGATAGTTTTAGAAAACTGTTACAGTTACATTGTACTGGAGCTCTATATAAGCAGGCTGACTGAACCCTTCAGTCCAGTTCTTTCCTGGCCTGTGAATAAACAAGAGCTGTTTGAAGAATTGCTGTGTCGTCTGATATGTTCACCCACAACTTAACACCCAGCATTTGTAGTATGAAAAGCTATGGGATTTTCACAGAATGTTTTCAGGACTTGCACAGATTGGAAGTGAAGCGGTATATCTGCCCCCAAACCTTTGCAGGCAGAAACGTTACAATATCAGGTATAACTCCCTCAATACAATAGTGAGTGCAAATCATCGTAAATGCACAATAAAGTTGGTTCCAGAGAGAGAGAGAGAGGTTGTGCTGTATGGGAAAGTATAGAGCCGTATGGAAAGCCCTTTAGTGTTCTAGGCAATGTCAGCTGAGCAAGACTAAATCTCTCATGCCTTGTCTTTCACTGGTTGGGATTTCTTGCTGCTAAGCTCTATAAAACTCTCTGTTGCAGGCTTAGTTTCTCTCCACGTTGAGGGCTGCTAAAATCCTTCCCTCCCCTTAAGCCGCTGTTAAGCTTCCCCTCTGCCTGGATACGCAGGCTGTTTCTTTTCCATCCTCCTTTAACCATGTTGTTCCACAGAACTCCTCTGGCTCCCAGATCCAGGGTCTCCATTCTCCACTCCTAGGGTTGGCCAACCACAAATGTTCAACTTGGTGGGGAAGAAAATAAGCCTCCCTCCAGGATTTTTAAAAAACTCTAATATTCTTTGCTTAAATGAAGCAGAGATTACAAAAGCTTTTGGCTTCCTTACCCTGAGGATAGTTCCTTCCAGGTTGCCTCGCTGAGGACTAGAAGGCTTGCTGCTGCAACAAAATGAAACAAACAACCTGCATGGCTTCTAATCCCAAATTTCAGAATTTGAGAGTGATCCTAGGCCTGTGTATGTTGTAGACCAGGGGTGGGGAAACCCTGAGGGCCAAATGTGGCCCTCCAAATCTCTCTGTCTATCCCCTCCCAGGACAAACATACCCCTAAATCTCCCTGAGTGCTTTAGTCAGGCTGGGAAGCGCCCTTGAACTCTGAAAACGCCTCTTGCTGCTGTATGTAAGGTAAAATTTACATTTGTTGCTCTGCCCACTTTTGCCTCTGACCCCGCCCACTATTTGCATGTGGCCCCAGAAGTCTGCCCAGAAGGGGCCACAGCCCTTTGGTTGAGAAAGCTTCCCTTACCCCTGAAGTCTTTTTAAAAGGAAAAAAGGAAAAAAGTTGCATTTAATTTGCTCAATTTGTTATGGATTTGTTAAAATTTTGGAAAATCAATTAAAAAATGTTTTTAAGGTAGTAACCTACCTTGCAGGACTGTTGTAAAGATGAAACACGGAAAAGGTTTGTACATGTTTAAACTGCTAGTTTTTCCTTGCGCCTCTGATGGTTTCAGTCACAGTTTTTTGTTTATATTTTGCAAGTCAGCATCTCTTGTTCTCTTGTTTCTCATGACTGTACTCTCTCCAATTGCCTGTTTGTATCTCATTGCAAATATCCATGTAACCAGCTATATTATTTCTTCCTGTGAATGTAATATTCCATTGCCAGCCTTGGTCTGGTTTGGTTTTCATGTGTTTGTCTCATGAAGTTCTATTTTGTTATTGGGGTTATAGGGATAATATTCAATAAAAATACTTTCCAGAGAGAGAAAGAGAGCTTCCCTACTCCTGTTGTAGACGTTGAGAGCCAACCACCACTATGAGCTGGGCCAGGAAAGAAGAAACTGGCATATTGGGAATTGGGATTCCACAGAGGAAGCTGCAATCTTAAGGACTAGAAACCTGAAGCGACGAAAGCAGTATTCTCAGGAAGCCAGACTCTGGCACTTGAGTTCTAAGCTTGAGAAACAGAGTTGGAGGACAGACAAAATCCTGCACATGAGCCTCTTTCCAATGGGGTGGATGTTTGTGGCCTAATACTGTGTTCTTGTTCTTTTGCTCTCTGCCCCATGCCCACCCAGTTCCCGCCCTCCGGCCGGCAGTCACCAACAAAGAATGTGGTGAATGGAAGCCCCTCCAAGTGCCCACGCTTTGCTAAAGTGCGGAACTGGGAGACCGGATCGGTGCTCAACGACACTTTGCATCTGAAGAGTACCATGGTAAGTGAGGCTGGCATTTTGCAATATGTTTGGGGAGGGGTTTCTGCTAATGATTCCTTCTATGTTGTTCAAATAAGTGCCTGCACTTTGGAACTCCCTGCCCATTGAAATCAGGCCAGGCGCCTTTGCTGTTTTCAGCACCTTCTTTAAGGGGGGGGAGGGTTAGGCAAGTCTGTGTTTTACTGTGTAATTTTATTTTCTAATGTACAATGGTACCTCTGGTTACGAACTTAATTCATTCCGGATGTCCGTTCTTAACCTGAAACCGTTCTTAACCTGAGGTACCACTTTAGCTAATGGGGCCTCCCGCTGCCGCCGCATCGCCGGCGCACAATTTCTTTTCTCATCCTGAGGTAAAGTTCTTAACCTGAGGTACTATTTCTGGGTTAGCGGAGTCTGTAACCCGAAGTGTTTGTAACCCGAGGTGTTTGTAACCCGAGGTACCACTGTATATATATTTCAAACGGCTGTTTCTGTTTATATTTTGATTTTTTTTAAAGTTAACTTTTTTAAAAAAGAAAAAATATTTGATTTAAGTAGCAGGAAATGCACTTCTTTTTCTGCTCCACCCCCAACTTTTTGTTGAATTTTTGTGACATACGAAAATGTGTACACACTGAAAAAACAGGTGACAAAAAAAAAACCTAATACAGTGTTGCATAAACAAATAACTACAGGAAACCAGTATTTCAGAAAAAACCAGTCTGAGTGTGAGGTGTGGGTGGCTGAGATAGCCAAAGATCTTCAAAGATATGAAGGGCTGTCACATGAAAGATGCCTCAGGCTTGTTTTCTGCTGCTCCAAAGGGGAGGAACCGAACCAACAGATACGTATGACAAGAAAGTAGGGTTGCCATATTCCAAAAAGTAAAAATCCGGACAAAGGTGTTGAGATTTTTTTATGGGTCAAAGTTGTTCAGTTTTATAGGGGGAACATCTCCCCCCCAAAAGAAACGTTTTGGGAATTTTAACGGATTTCTAAAGCTTCTAAAAAAAAAAATCACCCAACTTGCCATGCATCCGGGTTTCCCCAGACATGTTGCCAATTCAGTGACAATCCGCCCAGACGCCATGGGCCGAGACCACATAACACCGGTCTTGAAAGACCTACATTGGCTCCCAGGACATTTCCGAGCACAATTCAAAGTGTTGGTGCTGACCTTTAAAGCCCTGAACGGCCTCGGTCCAGTATACCTGAAGGAGCATCTCCACCCCCATCGTTCTGCCCGGACACTGAGGTCCAGCTCCAAGGGCCTTCTGGTGGTTCCCTCACTGCGAGAAGTGAAGCTAGAGGGAACCAGGCAGAGGGCCTTCTCGGTAGTGGCACCCGTCCTGTGGAACGCCCTCCCACCAGATGTCAAAGGAAAAAACAACTACCAGACTTTTAGGAGACATCTGAAGGCAGCCCTGTTTAGGGAAGCTTTTAATATCTGAAGGCCTATTGTATTTTAATATTCTGTAGGAAGCCGCTCAGAGTGGCTGGGGAAACCCAGCCAGATGGGTGGGGTATAAATAATAAAATTATTATTATTATTATTATTATTATTATTATTATTATTATTATTATTATTATTTCGCTGGCCAATTCTTGGATGTGTCCAGGAAAACCAGGACTTATGGCAGCCCTACATGAAAGGAGATTCTGACTAAACATTAAGAAGGACTTTCTGAGGGTAAAAATCATTCAACAGTGGAATGGATTCCCTTAGGTGGTGGACTGTCAAGGAGCTGTTGTGACCATGCATTCTTCTGCTTCACCCCTTTTCCAGGTGACCCCCTGCAGTGAGCAGGTCTGCATGGGTTCCATTATGATGCCTTCCCAGCACGTCCGAAGACCTGAAGAAGTCCGGACAAAGGAAGAGCTGCTCCCACTGGCAAAAGAGTTCATTGATCAGTATTATTCCTCCATCAAGAGGCAAGTCTTGCACAGGAAAGGTCTGGGACCCTCCTGCTTGACAGGGTGAAGAGGGTTCTCTTCCAGAAACCATTCAGATTTCTGAAAATAGACCCATTTCTTTATTCCTATACCGGGAAAGTGTGAGATGCAGATGCTCATTCTTGTAACAGGGAAGCTTTGCATGGCTGTCCTCTTTCAGTTCATGGCAAGTCAAGGCATATTATACATTATAGGCTGCCTTATACAGAGTCAGATCATTGTACCATCTAGCTCTAAATCTTGCTCTCTGAATGATAATACAGTCGTACCTTGGAAGCCAAACACCTTACGAGTCAAACGTTTTGGCTCCCAAATGACGCAAACGCCGAAGTGAGTGTTCCGGTTTGTGAACGTTCTTTGGAAGATGAACGTCCGACGTGGCTTACGCAGCTTCCAATTGCGTGCAGGAAGCTCCTGCAGCCAATCGGAGGCCGTGTCTTGGTTGTCAAATGTTTTCGGAAGTTGAACGGACTTCTGGAACGGATTCCGTTCGACAACCAAGGTACGACTGTAATTGGGATTTCTCATGTCAAATCTTCAGTTGATGGACGAGCCAGGACATCGTCTACGTACAATATTACGCAATCCTTTGACTCGGGACTTGATTTATGCCACATCTAACTCACGTCTACATGGCAAATGCTAGAGGAGGAGTGAAATCTGTGGGTGTCCCTTGAAACTGAATGCAAATTTGGACCAGCATCTTTGATCCACTGGGATGATGAAAAGGGTGTTTGCCAAATTAATAATGACAGTGGTAGGGCTGGGCGACGTATCGATGCATCGTCCAAAACTGAAGTCCATATCGTGATATCGGTTTCATAATTTTGACCTGGCGATATATTGCGAATCATGATGTGTGTGTGTTTGTGTTATGCAAAAATCACAATGTGGTAGAAACCTTGAAGCCAGCCAATGCCTCAACATAGCTCCATCCTTATTTCAGACATCATGATATATCACAGTGTTTAGCTGGTGATATATTGTGATGCTGAAAACCAGATATCTTCCATCCTCAGTCTTGGAGGCAACACTGTGTTCGCCAGATGTTACTAAACTCCAACAGCCACCACCCCTGCCCATTGGCCATGCTGGCTGGTGCTGGGATCCACAAATGTTGGATTCTAACCTCTGGAGACCACCACCTTGTCTCCCCTGGGTCTACGCTGGCTGCCAGCCACTCTACAGGATTTCAGGTGGAGGCATTCCCAGGGAATCCTATCTCTCCCACGATGGCAGCCAAGAAGCAGATAAACAAGAAGAGTTCTTACCAAGTAATTTTATTCATTATTCACAGAGAGAGAGAAAGGAATGTAGTATCCCAAAGATAATGACGTTGCTCCGAGTAAAGTCCCAACCCCTCTTTCTCTCCTATTCTACATCACCCCTGTGTCAGCTAAGCTGAGCTTTCTGTTCTACTACTCTCAATGCACGCCTGGTCCTGGGAGGGCGGCCAGGATGCTTTCCAAAGACCCTGAGTCTATCAGTTGTCTCTCCCCTGGTGCTTCTTATTCCTGCTGTTCATCTCCCAATATTTCCCAGCTTCTCCCCTCTGCAGCCTCTGAACTATGACCTTCTGCAAACCACTGTTGCAATTCTATACTGTCCTCCTCTTCTCAGGAAGGTTCAGGAAAGGGGGGGCAGTCCCCACCAGTCCTCCTCAGTCCAGCCCCTGACACCAGCCCTACTTGGAGTTGTCAGGGATTGAACCTGTGGTCTTCTACGTGCAATGTAGATGCTCGACCAAGGAGCTGCTGCCTCCCCCCCCACACACATTGAAAATGGGATTGCACACTTGCAAAACGTGACCCAGATTTGCCCATCACAGTGGTGTTGTTGTTGACCAATGACTGCTTCTGTACAATCCTACTCTGGCAGGTTCGGCTCCAAGGCCCACCTGGAGAGGCTGGAGGAAGTCACCAAGGAGATAGAAGCTACAGACACCTACCAGCTGCGAGACACAGAGCTGATCTACGGGGCCAAGCATGCCTGGCGCAATGCCTCCCGCTGTGTGGGCCGGATCCAGTGGTCCAAGCTGCAGGTGAGGTTGCATATGGTGTGTCAGTTTGCAGTCCTTAGTGCAGAAAGTATTGATCTGATACATAGAGATCTTTCCTAGTCTACTTAATTCAAGAGGGTTCTGGGAGCTTCTGCATGTGAAAGAAGGTTCATGATGTTTGGGTTATGCCTTCAGAGAAGCTGAGTACAGCTGGCTTAAACTGGTTCTCTTATCTCTTTCTGTCAAGGTCATGCTGAATATAATTATAGGCCAGAAGGAGCTTAGGTTTCACTCATTTTCTCTTTCTATCTCTTTTCCGTCTGGTGTGGTGTTCTGTATGCTTAGTGTTATGTTTTAGACTTATTATAAGTATAAGTTTAAGTCTGCTGCAACTGGATTTCTTATGGACAGTGCCAATCCTGAATGTATTGGATTTGTGACCATTATGCTCATTTGCCTTCAGTAGCAGTAAAGCTCTGCTGGATGAAATATTAATTGCCTCTGGTCTATTTTGGGGGAATCCTGCAACGTGTTTTAAGTTTTTCTCTGCTAACTATACATTGGAATCTACTCTGGATCAATACTGAGTAGACTTTAAATGACATGGTCATCATTGTTCATTCATTTAATGATGAATTAAATAATGGCTGGTAGCCATCCTGCCTCCACGGTCGAAGGTGGTATGGACTAGGGTCTGGGAGACCAGGGTTCAAATCCCCACTGAGCCATGAAGAGCTCCCTGGGCAACTTTGAGCTAGCCACTGTCTCTCAGCCTATCGACCTACCTCACAGCGTAGTTGTGAGGATGAAATGTGGAGGAGAAGAATCATACCAGCAGCAGCAGGTCCTCAGAGGGAAGGATGGAATAGAAATGTAGCAGTGATACTTTCCCCCCCCCAAAATCAGGATTTCTGTACCCCGCTCGTCTTTGTTCCTGTCTGCTGAACTCCGTTCCCTTTGAATCCTTTCAGGTCTTTGACGCCCGGGACTGCACCACGGCCCATGGGATGTTCAACTACATTTGCAACCACATAAAGTATGCCACTAACAAAGGGAACCTCAGGTGTGTGGTGTTTGTAAGCCTCTCAGTAGGAAAAGCTTCCCTTCATCTCTGCTGAGGGTTGCGGCATTCCCTCGGGGATGGGAGGCTGGGGGTGACCTCAGAGCCAGTGACGGGCTGGGCTGGAGGCAAAAGGGAATTTATCTTTCTCAGTTAAATCCAAAACTATCCAGGTAAGCCAGGGATAGGAAAGCTTTATTGTCTGTTGAGGGCCACATTCCCTCTGGGATAATCTGATGGGGGCCGAGAGCCAGCAGTGTGAAGATTTGGCCTTGTTGTCTGTCTGGATAAATATCAGTGTGGAATTTCAGGGGTCCAGGCAGGCAGGCCCCTTTTCAGTGTACTCCATTGTCCTCTCCCCCTCCCCACAGGACATTGACTGTTTGCAGAGGGGTTTTCGCCCCACCTCCTCCATCAAGTGTCCCACCCCCTCCTTTCTGTCCCTGCTCAACCTCTCACTGTTCTGTTCTCCTCACGCTTTCCTCCTTTCCTTCCAGGCTCCCCAAGACCACCGCATGAAATTAGGCAAAAGGTTGCAAACAGCCACACAGGCCCCGAGTTGTACCAGGCATCCAAAGCGCTGCGACGCCACTTTAGGCAGACACGGCTTCCCACAGGCAGCACTGGGAACTGTAGTTTGTTAAGCGGGCTGCGAGTTGTTAGGAGACCCCTCTTCCCTCCCCTCAGAGAGTGGTGTAACAAGGAATATTTCTTCACAGGGAACACTGGGAACTGTAACTCTGTGGAGGGAATAGGGGGTCTCTTAACAACTCTCAGTACAGTGGTACCTTGGTTCTCAAATGCCTTGGTTCTCAAACAACTTGGAACCCAAACACTGCAAACCCGGAAGTAAGTGTTCTGGTTTGCAAACATTTTTCGGAAGCCAAACATGCTCCGTTTTGAGTGTTACACTTCCATTTTGAGTGCCACACTTCCAATTTGAGTGTTACGCTGAGGTCTGTCTGTTTTTGCTATTTATTTTGCGTTTTTGTTTTTGCAGCTTTTTTTGTTGTTTTTGTGACTGTGTGCAACCCAGTTCAGCTACTGATTGATTGATTGATTGTGTGACTGCAGTACGTTGTTTATTGCTTTCATTTTATGGATCAATGGTCTCATTAGATAGCAAAATTCATGTTAGATTGCTGTCTTAGGGGTTGTTTTTAAAAGTCTGGAACGGATTAATCCATTTTGCGTTACTTTCTATGGGAAAGCGCGCCTTGGTTTTGGAACGTTTTGGTTTTGGAACGGACTTCCAGAACAGATTAAGTTTGAGAACCAAAGTACCACTGTCCCCTAAAAAAACAAAAAAACTACCTTTCCCAGAAGTCTCTGTGGGAAGCCATGACTGCTTGAAGTGGTATCACAGTGCCTCCCAGCCTTCTACCCTACCAGTTCCAATGGGCACCAGCCGCCACTGCTCCTTCACCAGTCTGAGCCTGGCAACCCAGCTGTTGACTTTTGACCTGTCTCCCCAACACCTTGAACTCTACTCTTGGGGACCACTAACACCCAGCCCCCTTTTCCCTTTTTGATGCCTTTTGTAGGTCAGCCATCACCATATTCCCCCAGAGGACGGATGGGAGACACGACTTCCGAGTCTGGAACTCCCAACTCATCCGCTACGCTGGCTACAAACAGCTGGATGGCACCTTCCTGGGAGACCCGGCCAATGTGGAGCTGACTGAGGTTGGTGCACAAGGAAGAGGGATTTACACTCCTCCAGTCTCCTAGCCATTGTAGAACTGTAATCGTCTTATTTATTGCCATTATCATAGCCAGATTTTATTAGTCAACCAAATATGGGTTATAGCCGAAAACAAACTAAAAACAAACAAACAAACAAACATTATCATAACGGGTCTGGTATGAATGTGGCCTTAGTTGGATACAACCCAGTATTGTTCCTAAATTACATTTCAATCCTGCCCTTCCTCTTGAAGGAGTCTAAGACAGCAAACATCAGCATATTAGAACAATGCAATTTAAAATAAGTTAAGAGCTTATTTATCAACTATTAAACACCACCTGAAACATGTTGAGAGTTCTTAGGAGGCCCCTATTCCACTCACAAAGCTACGGTTCCCAGAGCTGCTTAACAAGCAATCCCTCTTCCCAGGGAACTCTGGGAATTGTAGCTCTATGAGGGGAGGAAGGGGCCTCCTAAAAACTCTCAGCATCCTTAGAAAACTTCAGCTCCCAGAATCCTTTGAGGGAAGCCATCATTGTTCACAGGCAGCTCTAGGAATTACAACTCTCTGCCTCATGCAAGAGCTGTGCCTGGCTGCTGGTGTCCTGCAGCATGGATCACAACCAATCGGTCCTCTTTTCTTTGGACACAGATCTGCATACAGCAAGGGTGGAAGCCACCCAAAGGCCGCTTTGATGTTCTGCCGCTCCTGCTCCAGGCCAATGGCAACGACCCTGAGCTCTTTGAGATCCCACCTGAGCTGGTTCTGGAAGTACCCATCAGGCACCCCAAGTAAGTTGAAACGCCTGTCTTTGTTGTTTCACCCCCAAGGATGTTTGGGGAGCCTTTTCGGAGTTGGCTATGGCTGTGGGCGCCACCTCAGATAGGGGATCTGGTTGCATCCTTGTTGATCTTGCTGTGTGCACATGGAAAGGGACACGGGTGGCGCTGTGGTCTAAACCACTGAGCTTCTTGGGCTTGCCGTTCAGAAGGTTGACGGTTCGAATCCCCACGATGGGGTGAGCTCCCGTTGTTCTGTCCCAGCTCCTGCCAACCTAGCAGTTCGAAAGCAAGCCAAAAAGTGCAAGTAGATAAATAGGTACCACTGTGGCGGGAAGGTAAACGGCGTTTCTGTGTGCTCTGGTTTCTGTCATGGTGTTCCTGTTGCACCAGAAGAGGTTTAGTCATGCTGACCACATGACCCGGAAAGCTGTCTGTGGACAAACGCTGGCTCCCTCAGGCTGTAACTTTGTGTTCCTAATTCAGAGTGTCTCGCCTTGCCCTGCCCTTCCCTGTTTGCAGGTTTGCCTGGTTCAAAGACCTGGGACTGCAGTGGTATGGGCTGCCCGCAGTTTCCAACATGCTACTTGAAATCGGTGGTTTGGAGTTCTCAGCCTGCCCCTTCAGCGGCTGGTACATGGGCACCGAGATCGGAGTCCGCGATTACTGCGACAACTCCCGCTACAACATCCTGGAGGTAGGAGAGAGCCTCTCACGAGGGTTTAGAGCATTTGACAGTGTTGCAATTGTGACAATATCTCTGTAAGGCAGGCCAGAAGGGGGAAACTAAGGTTGAATAAGAATGGCCTACCTGCAATGAAATCCCAGTCAGGATTTGCTGGTAAAGAGCTCTCTGTGCTACAGTTTACACCTCAGTTTGTAAAGATCTATTGCTTTTAAAGATCTCTTCTTCACAGACCATTCCCTGCTCTGCTCCACAATCTCTTCAAGTCCTTTTGAAACGACCAGGAGGTGTTTTTTGAACTGCGACCCGATTTGCAATGTAACACTGAACCATGGTCAAAGTTAACCATGCATAATGTTAACCAAAGTTAACAAACCATTGTTAAATGGTGGACTTAAACTTTGGTTTATTACATTGCAAACTAGTTAACAGCACCAACAAGACCAGCCAAACCTTGGGAGCAGTTTGAATTTGATGTCCAATCTTCACTAATGGCTCTGTAGCTTTTGGGAGGTGGCAGCTCCTTAACCGGAGGAGTTCCAAGACTGCACGTGACAGTAAACTATGGTCAATGTTAACTAAAGCTAATAAACCAACTGCAGTCTTTGAGTAATGAGTGACCTTTGATAAACCATAGTTAAGCTGCTGGCCTGAATTCACATATAACACTAAGCCATGCTTTAATAAACCATCATTTAATAAAACCATGGTTTAGCATCATCTGTGAAGCAGCCAACGGAGAGGGTATGTGTGTGCTCTGCTCACTTGAGCCTCTAACCCCTCCCATCACTGGCCTGTGGCCCCCAGAAAGTTGGGCAGAAGGGAATGTGGCCCTTGAGCTGAGAAAGTTTCCCCAGCCCTTGCAGGAATCCACAACTTTGGATATTTGGGGGGAAGAAATGCTTTTCGCTGTTGTTCCACTGCAGGAAGTTGCCAAAAAGATGAACCTGGACATGCGGAAGACCTCATCGCTCTGGAAGGACCAAGCGCTGGTGGAGATAAACATTGCTGTTTTGTACAGCTTCCAGGTACTGGGAAACACATCTCCCCAAATGATGGCCAATTAGCCAACCCTGCAGTCTTCCCTTGAGCCCTTTCTCCATGTGCCCCACCCCCTGATAGCCTTGTCCTCTGTGACGTAAGAACCTGTTTTGCTTAAGAACCCATTGACCTGGTGCTCCCACTCCTACAGAGCGACAAGGTGACCATTGTGGACCACCACTCGGCCACGGAGTCCTTCATCAAGCACATGGAAAATGAATACCGCTGTCGGGGAGGTTGCCCGGCTGACTGGGTGTGGATCGTCCCACCCATGTCCGGGAGCATCACCCCCGTCTTCCACCAAGAGATGCTCAACTACAGGCTGACGCCCTCCTTTGAGTACCAGGTACACAATCCACTTCCTGCCTTGCGCCCACCATGCCCTGCCATGTGGTTCAGTATCTCTCACCCACTAGGAGGTGTTGTCATCAACTTGTTGGATGCAGAGGATGTGGTGGGAGGCACCGGCTGGGGACGCCCCAAGGGAAGACAGCTCAGAGCCAGGGGATTGGTGGTGGGGTGGCAATGAGTGGCCAGTGTCAGGCTTCAGGGAATCGGTTTCCTCCCCCTATGGCAGTAGATAAGCAGAACAAAGGGAAATGAGTCTTCTTACCTGTTAGAAAATTTAATAATCACAAAGAAAGAACAAAGAACACACATCCTAGAAATGGCGGTGTTCCCAATTAAGTTCCCTCCCCTCTCCGTCCCTAGTCACCCACATCACTCCTACATCTTGTAATCTGATCTTGTACCCTCTTTTCTTTCTGTTCTGACACTTTCTGAGCTCTCTGTGTCTTTGGGGATGGGGGGGGGGGGTGAACGCTGTCCAGAGACTGTGAATCTGTTAACTCTCTCTCTCCTAGTGTTTCTTCTGCTAGCTGTTCCCCATCCAGTATTTCCCAGCTTTTGCCTTCTGAACTATGCCCCTCGGCAAGCCACTGTTCCAAATCTATACTGTCCTCCTGCTCCTGGGAAGATTCAGGATCAGGAGGAGGGGGTGGCTCCCACCATTTCTCCTCAGTGCAGCCCTTCTCAGCACGGTCCCTGACAGCCAGGGGGAGGAGGAGGTGTCAGAAGCTGGAGGCGCAACAGGGTTTGGTGAGCAGGAAGTGTCTGTACCAGAGAGCAGTTCAGACTCTGAGGATGAAGCAAAGGTTGGGGAGGAGGGGGATCAAGAGGTGGCTGAAGAATCCAGGGAGTCTCCTCCTGCTGCTGTGACCAGATCCCCTTCCCTCCTGGTCTCTGAGAATGCACAGAGAAATGAAAAGGGCAGAGGAGAGATTAGCTGTGTGCAGATGTAGTTTGAGACTGCATGGGGAAACCCTGGAGAAGAGGAACCTTAGAGAGGGGTGGGAAGGTGGGGACCTTCGTTCCTCGTAGCTGGGTCATTGGGGCAATACCTGCTGGGAAGGATTGTCAACACCACTAGGCCTGAGCTGTATTTTGGCTTCCTTGAATAGTTCACTACATTGCTATTGGTGGTTGATTACTTTGGTGCTGACCTGCGTCTGACTCCAGCCCTCACAGGTGTCCAGCAAGTCAGAGGTTGGGAGATGCAGAATAGCTAGGGCGCTGTCTAGCAAGTAAGGGGAGGGCTGCAGCTAAGTGGAAGAGCAGAAGGTCCCAGGTTCGATCCCTGGTATCTCCAGTTAGGCAGGGGAAAAAATCTCCTCCCTCAAACCCTAAACAGCCACTGCCAGTCAGTGTAGGCAGTACTGAACTAGATGGAATAATGGCCTGACTCCATATGAAGCAGCTTCCACTGCCCCTTGCTTCAAAACCTTGAGGACTGGAATCTTAGCATTATTTTAAAGGGACGTGTCATAGCTTAGTGGCAGAGCACCTGCTTTGCGTGCAGATGGTCCCAGGGTTCAAATCCCGGCACCTCCAGGTAGGTCTAGGGACAAATATCTTCTAGCTGAAACCCTGGAGAGCTGCTGCCGGTCAGTGTAGACAATGCTGAGCCCAATGGACTGGTTGGTCTGGCTCAGTATATTAACAGGGAGAGCAGCAATGAGATCCTGATCCAAATTGTGTCCTTCCAACACCACTGCTCACCTTGGGACAGTGAAGTCTCTGGTGCTGACCACACAAATATACTCGAACCAGCTCTGGTTGTGGGTGTGACAGATCCCCCCCCTTCAGTTTGAGGGTTTATTTTCTTCCCATTCATCCGGGGTTCTTTTCTTTTCTTCCCAGCCCGACCCATGGAACACCCATATCTGGAAAGGCATCAACGGCACTCCCACCAAGAAGAGAGCCATTGGGTTTAAAAAGTTAGCCAAGTAAGTGAACTACTTTGTGTTAGGATATTTCCGTTCCACCTTAAAAGGGAGCAGGCTTTGTGAGTCACAGAGTCTGCGCATTTCCTGTTCACAGGAAGTTTATGTTTTCTATAGCTTTCGTTTCTCACTCTGTGTCTGGAGACACTGAAGCAGGCAGTCATGTTTTTCGTTGTTCTGATCAACGCTGAATAAAACTTGTAAATAATGCTCTCCTGAGTGCGACTTTCGCTGTGCATTATCTGCTGACAGAGCGTGCATTGAGTTCTGGAATGTGGCAGGCTATTTCTGGAGCTCATGTCGCTAATTGCTGATACTGCGTGTCTACGGGAGATCGATGGATCGTCCGGCAGCTGGCTTGGGGCCATGATGGACTTTGTCTCCCTGGCAGTATCCCAACACTTTGCTGGGTCTGCTGGAACTAGTAAGGGAAGAGGGAAGCACTCAGCTTGTGGGGTGCTGCAGTATGGCTACATCCACACCATAAAGCACTATTATACCACTTTAAACCATCGTGGCTGTTCCCAAAGAATCCTGGGAGCTGTAGGATAGCTATCCCAGTGTGCCAGTGTGGTGTAGTGGTTAAGAGCGGTGGACTCGTAATCTGGTGAACCGGGTTCGCTTCCCCGCTCCTCCACATGCAGCTGCTGGGTGACCTTGGGCCAGTCACACTTCTCTGAAGTCTCTCAGCCCCACTCACCTCACAGAGCGTTTGTTGTGGGGGAGGAAGGGAAAGGAGAATGTTAGCCGCTTTGAGACTCCTTCGGGTAGTGATAAAGCGGGATATCAAATCCAAACTCTATCTGTTTGGTGGAGCATGTGACTCTTAATCTCAGTGTTGCGGGTTCAAGTCCTATGTCGGGCAAAATATTATTGCATTGCATGGGGTTGGACTTGATGACCCTCTTGGTCCCTTCCAACCCCAACGATTCTATGATTCCAGAAAGGTTCAGCCCACCATCTTATTATTTTCTTATTTATTGAATCTATATACTGCCCTATACCCCAGGGGGTGTTGTGTGTCTCAGGGCAGTTCACAGAATAAAATCAAGATATAAAACCTCAAATTACATAATAAAAATAAAAACGATGACCGAATAACCCCCACCCCCAAAAAAAACATTTTAAAAGGGCGTAGGTGGTGTGTGTGGGGGGGTGGAGTTTCTTCCAATCCTATAGAGCAGATTTTGGGGAGGCGCGTGAACGTGTGTGGGGTGGAGAGGGGGCAATCCCCACGGGGCTAGCAGGAGTCCTTGTGTTGTTTCCCCTAGCACACTAGGTTAGTTGAATCTGGCCCCCAAAAGTCGAGCTCTGGCTGGGAAAGAAAAATGGGAAACCAAAGGTGGAACGGAGTATCCTGGAGAAGGGCAGGGGTGGCTGGCTAGAACCCTGAGCAGGTGCACTCCTGTTACAAGGAGAGAATAGGCTGCAGCGTTCAGTTGCAGCTCCCACATGCACATTCCTAATCGCGATCCCTTTTTCCTCTCTTGTCTGTACAAGCAAATGTGCAAAATTCACTTCCATCTCTTAGAAATGTGGCTTCCCTTTGTTGTAGGAAACACACACACAAAAAGGACTGTGGCTGGGAAAATCCCTGATGAGGGAGCACAATGCAAGATGTTTGCAAATGATTATATATATATATATATATATATATATATATATATATATAATGCGAGGTCACTACAAAATTAATTCACCTGGGATGGCAAAATCTCTTGAGCCAGCCTTGCGTGGTAATCAGACCATTTGTATTCAATCCACCCCAAAAGTCTGACAAAAATGCAAGTCCGGCCTGAAAAATAAAACAAAATCAAACCTTTCTCGTTTATTGAAGATTATCAGAGACACCCGTTGACCCAGTTAAGTTGCATTTACCGATGTCTCTCTGGGGCTTGTGAGGCATTTCTCAATCATTCTGAGAGCTTTACGGGGCGATTATCGTTTTGGTGGAAATACCTTTCTACCCTTCTGTATTCTTTTGATTTTAAGCTGTGCGCAGGGTAAGCTGAGTCTGCTTCCCTTTAGAAGGCTGTCAGCGTTTTCTTTTATTCTCAGTGACCTTTTGTGCTTCTTCCCTGCCTTCAATTTATGCAAATCGTTTTTGTAAGCACCCCCCTAAAGAAAAGGGGTGAGAAACTGGTGTTGATATAAGCTGCACACACACAGACTTGCTCCCATTTTCAAGGGAGAGAAGAAAAAACGTATTAGCGCACTTGAGGAAAATTCTGAGGTTTGCAGTGGGGGCAAAACAATTGCTTGAAAAGAGGATTGGACAATGGCTATGTTCTGCCTCCACCATCGGAGGCAATATACTTCAGAATAGGTCAAGGTCAAGGACCCCTGGACAGTCAAGTCCAGTCAAAGGCGACTATGGGGTTGCGGCGCTCATCTCGCTTTCAGGCTGAGGGAGCCGGCATTTGTCCACAGACAGCTTTCCAGGTCATGTGGCCAGCATGACTAAACCGCTTCTGGCACACCAGAACACCGTGACGGAAACCAGAGCGCACAGAAACACCGTTTACCTTCCCGCCACAGTGGTACCTATTTATCTACTTGTACTGGCTTGCTTTCGAACTGCTAGGTTGGCAGGAGCTGGGACAGAGCAACTGGAGCTCACTCCGTCATGGGGATTCAAACTGTCGACCTTCAGAATACCATCTACCGGAAACCTAGGAAGGGAAGAGTGCTATTGCACTCAGGACCTGTTTGTGGGCTTCCCACAGGTATCTGGTTGGCCACTGCGAGAACAGGATGCTGGACTCGATGGGTCATTAGCCAGGGCTCCTAACACAGGCACCTCAATAAACTAGCCCAGTAAGATTCAGGCAAAGTATACAACTCCTCGCAAGTAACTGATCAGAGGTGCTTGTTGTTAAGAGAGCATCGTTTCAATGACTTTTGCCATCCCTACTTAAAAATGTCATTTTTCACCTGTGCAAAGTTTGTGTGTTCATAGAATCATAGTTGGAAAGGACCCTGAGGATCATCTAATCCAACCCCATGCAATGCAGGAATACGCAACTCTCCCATACATTTGGTTCAAACCCACAACCTTGGCATTGTCAGCACCAGACTCTAACCAACAGAGCTATCCAGTTGTTTGGGGACCTTCCGTCTGTATCAGGAACCTGTGGGCCTCTAGAGAGCATTGGACTACAATTCCCATCATCCCTTGGCATAGGCCGTATGAGCTGGGGCTGGTGGGAATTTGAGGCCAGTGACAATGATGAAGACTTGGCCAGACGCTGTACCCACCCCAGCTCACTCAGAGAGCCAGTGTGGTGTAGTGGTTAGAGTGTCGAACTAGGAGCTGGGAGACCAGGGTTCAAATCCCCACTTGGCCATGGAGCTCACTGGGTGACCTTGGACCAGTCACTGCCGCTCAGCCCTAAACTTCCTCACAGGGTTGTTGTGGGGATTCGGTGAGGAGGGGGAGAACCATGAATGCCCCCTTGAGCTCCTTGGGGGGTGGGAATATGGGAGATAAGTGCAATCAGTCGATCCAATCATACCTGCAAGATGTATGTTTTACCCACGTCACATTCAAATGTTACATTCTTAGGTGTGCACTTCTTAAATAAATCATAGGTATAGACCTAAGGAGCATCTGAAGTCAATTCACCTTTACTTGGAAGGTTTTGTTCAGTGCTTGTGGTTTTCTTGCTATCATCAAACACATGGGTGCACACCTACCTTTTAATGTATTGAATGCAAACTCCACCCTGCATATGCAAAAATACAGATAAAAATAATAATGTTGAGAGTAACCAGGAGGAAAGATCAGATCAGCTTCCCAGGTCAATAAATCTTCCTTCTTTTCCCCCACCCTCCTAGGGCTGTGAAGTTCTCTGCCAAACTGATGGGGCAGGCAATGGCAAAGAGAGTCAAGGCCACTATCCTGTATGCCACGGAAACTGGAAAATCCCAGGTCTATGCAAAAACCCTGTGTGAGATCTTCAAGCATGCCTTTGATGCCAAGGTAGGATCCTGGCTGTTGTTCCAGAGTTTAGCTCAACTTCTCCAACCCTCCAGCAAGGAGCTGAACTGCTTTTCTTCGAGGGCAAAGACATGTAACTTTTGACAAACCATTGGGCTGGTCTGAAAGGGCCCAGCCTGTGTTTAAGAAAGCTTTTCCTCTTTAAGATCAAGCTTTGGCAGGTGGTTTGGGTTGGGGGGCGGCGTGCTGAATGGTTCTGCAAATTTGCAGAAGGCACTAACTGGCTAGTCACCATACCTCCCTCACCTGTACATAAAACTGTTCATGTTTTGTTTTGTCCGTAAGGCAAAGAAACAAATGGATAAGCACACATTTAAAAGCTAGCCTGTCGTGAAGCCAGGAAAAGTCAAAATACAAGCATCCACTGCATTTATATGTTTATTTGTGTGTTTGTTTGATAAAATTAACGCTGGGTGGTAAAGAACAACCCCCCCCCAAATTGCACTAGGTTCAAGGGTGGGCCCACATACAGCGTGTTACAGTAATCAAGCCTTTGGGACTCCTAGACATTGTTCGATTCCAGTTCCCACCACCCCTTACCGCTGGCCAAACTGGCTGGGCCTGGCGGGAGTTGGCAACATCTGGAAGGCCACCACAGGTCACTCCATCCTGGACAGCCGTCGGGATCCTTCCCACGAGCCTCTCTGTGCCCTTTTTCTCCAGGTGATGTCGATGGACGAGTACGACACTGTCCACTTGGAACATGAAACTCTCGTGCTGGTGGTCACAAGCACCTTTGGCAACGGAGACCCACCAGAGAACGGGGAGGTAGGAGGGAGATTTTCTTTGTTCATTTCGTTGGGTTAGGTTGACTGAGTCTGCAGATCTTTCCCCACAGCAGAAAGGCCTGAATTTGTGATTGACAATAAGAATGAAATGCAGGTCCCCTCCAGATCTCGTTGGCTTCAGGAAGATAGTGGTCTCATGTGCCTTCAGATCACATCCTAAAATGTTGGCTTTGTTCTTGGCAACTTGTTATGGTACTTCTGGAAGACTTGACGTGGTGGAGCCACAGTCTTGCAAAACAGTCTTGTCTGTGACTGGGTGGCTCCGCTAGCCTGTAGAAAAAGTAACCATTCCAGGATTGGTCCCTGTACCCACTTAAAAAAAGTGAGGTCCAACCCAGCCCACATTTTTTTAGCTTTAACTGCCCTATATTAATGTTTTCTGCTGAAATGGAAATGTTGGTGGAAGTTTTGAAGGCAATGCTGAGAGATGATCCCTAGCTCGGTCAGTCCTAAGCACCACCCACAATGCGACAGACCTTCTCCTCCAAGGCATCCTACTTGACCATTTCCCCCTGTTGCACTGAGGGCTTTTGGGGAGTTGAAGTGCAAGTTGTGGTGCAGTTCAGTCGGGGGGTGGGGTCTGCCCTTGTTGAGCAACATAAGAAGCTTCCTAATCCTGATCCCCCAGTCCAGATTTGTGGTTTTTTCCCCCATCAGTTGGAGCCTCAGCTTCAGGATCTGTCCTTCCAGTGAGCACTCAGGGCTGATTTCCTTAAGAATGGATAGGTTTGATCTTCTTGAGAGTCCCATGGACTGCAAGAAGATCAAACCTATCCATTCTTAAGGAAATCAGCCCTGAGTGCTCACTGGAAGGACAGATCCTGAAGCTGAGGCTCCAATACTTTGGCCACCTCATGAGAAGAGAAGACTCCCTGGAAAAGACCCTGATGTTGGGAAAGACTGGAGGGCACAAGGAAAAGGGGACGACAGAGGATGAGATGGTTGGACAGTGTTTTCGAAGCTACTAACATGAATTTGACCAAACTGTGGGAGGCAGTGGAAGACAGGAGTGCCTGGCGTGCTCTGGTCCATGGGGTCACAAAGAGTCGGACACGACTAAACAACTAAACAACAACAAGAAAAATTTTAACTTAATTCTGTTCAATGTGCCTGTTCTCCCACATGTTTACACTTCCCTTCATTTCCCAGAAATTTGGCTGTGCTCTGATGGAAATGAGGAATCCCAACTCCAACCTCGAAGAGAGACGGTGGGTGTGCTAACCCTGATCCAGGAATTATGAATTGCGTGGGTTGTTTGTTTTTTTACGGGAACCCCAAGATCCATCAACCAGAGCCAGGTGCAAAAGAAAGACAGGAACTGAAGGCCAGGGTACTTCCGAGCACATTCTGAGCCTAGGGATTCGCTTTCAGTGCCAGAACTGATTTGAGCTCAGTCCTTTTGTACACACACAAGTCCCAGTGGACTGGTAGGGTGGGAGGCAGGGAGCCCAACAGCAGGTGGCGCCAGAGGCAATAGCCAATGGAGGCAGAGCCTCCTCCCTGTTGAGTTCTGCAAGGGCAACAATAAGACTAAGAGGGAAGATGGCAGGCAGGTGGGCTCCAGCTAGCTGGCTGGTGACAGGCTGAGGTTTACAAGGACGTGTGCCCTAATGGACCAAGTCAAGTCTTCGCCTTAACTTTCTTTGATTGCAGCAGCCTTGTTCTGGTGTGTGCGGGGAGGTCATTTGGTTGCTGCTGCTGTTGAACAACTAGGAGTCTAAACTGCTTGCTGCAAATCAGCAAGAAGCTTGGAATACAAAATTCCTAGGACGCTCATCCACCAATGATTTCTCAACCAGCAATTAGGAAGCAGTTACCCTGAGCAGCCACTAGGTGTCAGGCGTCCACGGAGTGAGCCTCTTCCTTTGACCAGCATAGTGGGCTAGTTCTTTGCATCTTGAGAACCAAAACAGATCCGTCCTGATGCAAATGATCTATAATTAGATCTCCTGGCTACTTTTTTAGTAGGTCTACTGGCACTATCAGTGGAGCCTACCTTACAAGGATGTTGTAAGGATTTGAACCTGGGATCTTGGGCATGAAAAGCAGACACTCTGCCACTGAGCTATGGCTCTTCCCTAATATAAAACAAGCATAGGGAGTTGTCTTATACCAAGTCCAGGCCGTTAATGCATCTAGCGCAGTATTGCCTACAAGCAGAAGTTCTCCAGGGTTTTAGGCAGGGAGTATTCCCAGCCTTGGGGATGGACCTACACGCAAAACAGATTCTCTGGCACTGAGTTACCATCCTCTTTTGCAGGAGCTACAAAGTGCGTTTCAACAGTGTCTCCTCGTATTCGGATGCTCGGAAATCTTCGGCTGATGGACCTGAAGCTAGGGACAACTTTGAGAGCACCGGTCCGCTGGCCAACGTCAGGTGAGCAGGGCGGGTGAACAGTGGGGAGTTCAGAGCTCACATTGCAAAGCTGCAATCCAGCAGTCCAGGAGGTGGAAGACATAGTATAATCTTGGCCCAAGAGACAAATCTCACTCTCTGTCTATGGCCTTCTGTCGGGCTGAGAGTGACCCCTGCTGGCTCTTGTTGGCCGTGCAGCCACCACCTTGATGTCTGCTTCCTTGTGTACAGGTAGGGATGGAGAAATTTCGATTAAGTTCTCAGCGGGAGGCGAACCAACCCAATCTGCACTTTCCAGAAGAATGTGCAAACTGAAAACTCAGCCATCCTCCGAAATTTGCAGTTCTCTGGATTTCACAATGTGGCTATCGAGTCTAGCCCCGTGTGCAAAAATGCATACAGTACGGCAAAGCATGCAGAAAACTGCATATGTTAGTGGGAAATAGCATACAAAGTGCATTCTGTTATTATGAGACAATCGCTTTGAAATAAATGGGTAAATATAAGGGAGAATGGCATATGAGTATGGGTACATTAGGAGAAATCAACACTGAAATGCCGATTAGTTTTCATGAGGTCTTTAAAATTTTTTTGAAAAAATGAAAAAATGAGGAATGGGGAATGTTGACTGATTCACCTCTCCTGCTGTCCTACAGATTCTCTGTCTTTGGATTGGGGTCACGGGCCTATCCCCACTTCTGCGCCTTTGCTCGCGCTGTGGACACGCTCCTGGAGGAGCTGGGTGGAGAACGTATCCTGAGAATGGGCGAGGGGGATGAGCTGTGCGGGCAAGAGGAATCCTTCAGGACGTGGGCCAAAAAGGTCTTCAAGGTAGCCACCTTCTCTTCAGCCTCCTGCCAGGAGATGGGATTAGAAGATGGAGAAACATTGGGGAGAGGGTATCTCAGGGCCACGAGGCCAGCCCTGTTGTAAGCAACTGCTCACAGACAATGGGTCCCTCAAAGGGGAGATGTTGGGCCATCACCTCCAAGCCATCAGAAATTTGTGGGAGGGTTTTGAACTCATAGCCTGGAGATTTCGATCTGCGCAAGTAAAAAGTGGTTTAGAGAGCTGCCCCACCCTAGTGCAACAAATCCACCTCACAAAAGGAGAGAAGAGAAACTAATTTGCAGTTAGGGGAAATTGGAGCAAGGGCTCAGTAAAAGACCAGGCGTGATCTGTGGATGATCAATAAATGGGTTGTCTGAAGGGTGTCGGAGGCCCCTTGGCTCCATCAGGAACTGGAATTATTTGGCAGCCACAGGTGCGAGGGGTAGGTAGGCAGGAGAAGGAGCTGGTGGGCTCTGACAGGCAGGCGTTTGGGAATGGACGGCAGAGACCCTCTCAGAGGAAGCAGCTCTGTCAGCTCTCTCTCCTGCCCCAGAGGCAGATTTAGGGGAGTGCGACTTGGACACAGAGCTGCAGGAGGCACCGCAACTATTATTTAGAATAGAGCATGAGAGGCAGGGGGCGCTGAATTTTGGCATCACACGGGGCCCGGCTGAAATTTGAGACTCCACGGTCTGGCCCTGCCAACCCCCTCCGGGAATCACAACTAGGGCAGGAGAGTCCCGTGAGTGAGCTTGCCCTGCCTTGCCAACCGTCAGGACATCTTCACAGCTCTGCTTAGCCCTTTCCCCAAAGCAGAGTCCTGAGACGAGGGGAGGAGCCCTAGCTCGACACCTTTCTTCCACCCACCCACCCAGCCTGCCTTGCTTTGCCTTGAGAACTTGGTTTGTCCTGCAGGCAGCGTGTGATGTGTTCTGCGTGGGCGATGACGTTAACATCGAGAAAGCGAACAACTCCCTCATCAGCAATGACCGGAGCTGGAAGAGGAGCAAGTTCCGCCTGACCTATGTTGCCGAAGCACCCGAACTGACACAAGGTACTGTGGCTTGCCGCTTACTTCCCCAGTGCCTGGTGGGACGGTTTCAGAGGCAGGACTTGGCCGGGCTTGGGTACCCGGTAGTGGTTGCATGAGCGGAGAGGCGGTTGCTCACCTGGCTTCCCAAATCTGAGCATCACTGCAGGTTAGCGGGAAGGAGAGGTGGCAGGGAGTTTGGTGCGGTGCAAGCACGGTGTCACATTCGCTCCGCTGCTGCCCCCACACCACCCTGAGCTCTTTGAAGCCTCACCTCTTCCCCTCTCTCCAACTGGCAGCGGTGCTCAGCATTGGGAAGTGCGCTGAGCACCACTGCACTGCCGACACTTTCCTGCCAACTGCTACAGTGGTGCTGTAATAATGTTTTGTGGTGTTTTTGTACTTTTTATAATGTTGGATGTGGTGGGGGAACCTCTAGCCCACGCATAGGCAAACTCTGCCCTCCAGATGTTTTGAGACTACAATTCCCATCATCCCTGACCTGTTAGCTACGGGTGATGGGAGTTGTAGTCCCAAAACATCTGGAGGGCGAGTTTGCCTGTGCCTGCTCTAGCCCCAGGGACTCAATATAGCCCTACAGGTTTCACATTCCAGGCCACATGCACCTTCTTTGATATTGTGCTGTGCCGCCCACCAGCCAGAATATGTCCTTGAACCACAGTCGTGACACTTGCAACTAGTCCCCGCAAACAGGACTAACTGACTCTCTTTCATTCGCAGGCTTGTACAGCATCCACAAAAAGCGAGTCTTTGCAGCCCGGCTCCTGGCACGTCAGAATCTACAAAGCCCCAAATCTAGGTAGGAGCTGCAGGCTCACCCCTGCCAAAAATGGCAAGTTTGAGAAGAACACAGCTTCATTAGGCCCAGAAGCCATCATGTTTGCATTCAGTTATGAACTAGTCCGCACAGAGCACCAAATCATGGTTCGTTAAACCATCGCTTAATGTTATGTGTGGTCAGTGGCTTAACCACGGTTTGTTCTCTGACAGCAAACCATGATCTGAAACCATGGTTTGCTGTCTGCTTCCAAACCTTGATTTGCTTTAATGATGGCTTGGTGTTAGCATGTGAACCCAATATCCTTCCATTTTGTTTGGGCCCCCAGACACTCACCAAAGGCATAAAACAGAGTCACAAAATATAGGGTGGGTCCTGAAAATACACATATTCTCGTCCACCAGCCCCCAGGCTTTTGAGGGTGGTGGAACCACCAAGAGGGCCCCCTCTGCCAGTCTTGATGCTTGAGAGGGTCTTTGGAGAAGGGGGACACATTTCTGATATTTAGGGCCTGGGTCCTTTAGGGCTTTAGACACCAACGTGAGCCCAGAAACGAACTGAGAGCCACTACCTAAATGTGCTATGTGCAAGGTCTACCTAATATCTGTAGAAGTGGGGGGTTTTATCTGCAAAGAGCGGCACACCCAAAGCCTTCCTTACTCGCTTTAGCCGCTCCACAATCTTCCTCCGGCTTCACACCAACGGACACCAGGAGCTGCATTATGAACCCGGAGACCACCTGGGCGTCTTCCCAGGTAACCACGAAGACCTGGTCAACGCCTTGATCGAACGGCTGGAAGATGCGCCCCCTACCAACCAGCTGGTGAAGGTGGAGCTCTTGGAAGAGAGGAACACGGCTTTAGGTAAGGAGCAAAGGCGCTATTGTTGTTTTTTCAGTTCTCCTGGTTGGTCAGAGTTGACTTCCTTATGTAGGAGCCATTCCTTGTTGCTTCAACATCTGTATTTTGCTTGCTTGGGTGCCTGCAGTAGAAGACTTAGGGTTGCATCCAACATTAATCAAATTTGGAGCAGGCCCTACAGAAATTAATGGAGATGACTAATGGAGGTTCATTAATCTCATTGGGTCTACTCAACGTTTCACCTAGTTGAAGGCAACCCTTTTTCTCCCTTCATTTTTCTTCCTAAAGTTGTTTTTTTAAAAAAAATAAAAAATTCAAGACTTCATAATGAAGTTAAAACAACAATCCAGTAAGAAATGGGAAATGAAATAAAAGAGTTGGGGAAAACGGTACCAAAAAAAGCCAAGGTAATAAATTACATTCTCAAGAGACTACACAATGCGTTAGATGTTACAACAAAAACTGACCTGATACAGAGAGAACACAAAACAAATGTTATGAATACCAAATAAAGCTATATTTCATCGGAGGTTGCCATCCCCACAATTGGCCTGTCAAACGTGTAACAAATGGCCACCAAATGGAGGCAAAATCCATAGGTTTCGCTGAGCCCTGAGATGCTCTTAATTTAAGGGTCCATTTCCCAGAAATGAGAATAAACATTACTTTATCGAGCCAAGTATTTACAGCAAAGCTCAGGACTCCTTTCCGCCTTGTGAAATGGGGAAAGGAGCAGCTACTGATAGAAAAATGGTACGTGGTTTGCATATTCAGCCCCTCAGAAATTGATAAAAGGCACCGCTTTAGCTGCAGCCCAAGGTACTCTTAATTTAGGAGTGAAGTGAGAATAAACATTACTTTATTGAGCCAAATATGTTGAAAGAAACCCAAGGACTCCTCTCAGTACTGTGACATGGCGAAATGAGGAGGCAGAGTACCTGCCTTGCGTGCAATCCCCAACAGCATCTCTGGGGAGGCCTGGGAGGAAATCCTGCCTGAAATTCTGGAGAGATGCTGCCAGTCAGTATAGGCAATACTGAACTAGATGAACCAAGAGTGTGGCTCAGTACAAGGAAGCTTCCTGTGTTCCTGTGATGGCATGTGAACGCTCTCCGCAAGAAATGCCTCTGCTCACTCAGAGATACATATATACAGTCTTTATTTTACATTTGTACAAGCAGCACGTTACAATCATGCATCTGAATCCTCCGGCTCAGATTCTTGGAGTGCCTTACGCCTGCCCCTTCTCCAACAGAAAAGACGTGGAATTTTCATGTGATGTCTCTGTCCCCTCCTCATTAACACTCTCCTTTCCTGGGCAGACGGAACAGGCATTGCTTCACTGTTTCAACACTGTTCCAACACTGTTCCAACATCTATGAGCTGTCCCTCCTCCTGGCTTTCCCTTCTTTCCTCCACCGCCACTTCCTGCCCCCCTTCCTCTGCCTGTCTCTCCTCCTCCCCTTCATTCTCCGTCAATACCATGACAGTTCCTAACAGAAAAGTGGTAAGTGGTTTTCATCTTAAATACACATTTGACCCATCCGAAATGGATAAAAGGTCACGTGCCCCGATAGACCAGCCTCAATGCAGGCCAACCGGCTTCTGTCTTGACAGGTGTCATCAGCAACTGGACAGACGAGAACCGCGTCCCTCCCTGTACCATCTTCCAGGCCTTCAAATATTACCTGGACATCACCACCCCTCCCACGCCAATCCTGTTGCAGCAATTTGCTTTGCTGGCGACCAGTGAGAAAGAGAAGAAGCGCCTTCAGGTTCTCAGCAAGGTAAGTCCGCAGTCTGGAAAGGGGTGCGAGAACCTTGCCCTGTATATTATGTACTTGTACAGCGGTACCTCGGGTTACAAATGCTTCGGGTTACAAATGCTTCAGGTTACAAACTCCTCTAACCCGGAAGTAGTTGCTTTGGATTACAAACTTTGCCCCAGGGTGAAAACGGAAATCGCGCACCGGTGGCACGGCGGCAGTGGGAGGCCCCATTAGCAAAAGCGCACCTCAGGTTAAGAACGGTTTTGGGTTAAGAGCGGACCTCCAGAACGAATTAAGTTCGTAACCCGAGGTACCACTGTATCATGTTTGCAGGCAAAGCTGCAAATGAACTGTTGTATGTTCTCGTGGGGGGTGGGGAATTGCCTATTTCCTCCCAAGGGAAGGGAGGAAGTGACAAAGCTAAGCCTGGCAGGACATCTTACTCTATGGTATTAACCCCTTCCGGCACTAATTAGACTTAAGCGCATTGGTTACACAAGGCTGATTATCCCACTGTTCTGTGAGACAGCTCTTTGCCCCTCACATGCAGACTGATCTGGGTTCTGCAATAAGGGATGTCAATCAATCCGTCCAGTCATGCATCACAACTAGGTCTTAATTGTTGGACTTGTCTGAGATGGCAAACTTAACATGTTTAATTAGAGAAAAACCACTATTGACATTTCTTAAGGATTGGAAACTTCGTACGGACTTCTTTTGTGTGAACAAGGAAATGAATTCGGAATATCTGGATTTAAAGATTGAAAAAATATTGGCTTATAGAAAACAGAATAATTGAATGTTAATAAGTGAATACTATATGTAACTGACAAAGAACCAGAAGTCTTTCTAGCTTTTTCCATTTTCTTTCTTTCTTTCTTTCTTTCTTTCTTTCTTTCTTTCTTTCTTTCTTTTATCTTTCTTTCTCTCTCTCTTTTCTTTTTGCTCCTGTTCCTTTTTTAGATTAGGTTTTAAAAGTATTTCTTTTATTCTGGTGTATTATAAAAAATATAGTTTGTATTAGACATGAACTTTTGTATATCTTTTGATAAGTGTCAATAAAAAGTAGGCGTATTTTTTAAAAACAACAACAACTACTACTAGGTCTAACTCAGAGCAGAGTTGCTGAAATGAATGAACCGAAGTTAGACACATCATTGAAAGGCAAGACAATTCACCCTCCTGCTTCTTCATGCAGCGTGTGGTTAACCTGTGGAACTCACTGCCACAGGAAGCAGTGATGGCTGCCAGTTTGAACATCTTTAACAGAGGGCTACACAAATTCGTGGAGGCGGATGTCATCGCCTATCAGACATGAATGCTATATTCTACCCCCACCCCAGTCAGAGACCCATGGGCTGCGTCCATCTAAGGCAGCCTCTGTCATTGAATTCTACACAATATTGATCCAGAGCAGATTCCAACGTACAGTTAGCAGAGTAAAAACTTAAACATGTTGCAGGATTCCCCAAAAAACAGACCAGAGGCAATTAATACCGTATTTTTCGCTCTATAAGACGCACCAGACCACAAGACGCACCTAGTTTTTGGAGGAGGAAAACAAGAAGAAAAATATTCTGAATCTCAGAAGCCAAGAAGAGCAAGAGGGATTGCTGCGCAGTGAAAGCAGCAATCCCTCTTGCTCTTCTGGCTTCTGTGATAGCTGCACGGCCTGCATTTGCTCCATAAGACGCACACACATTTCCCCTTATTTTTTAGGAGGGAAAAAGTGAGTCTTATAGAGCAAAAAATACAGTATTTCATCCAACAGAGCTTTACTGCTACTGAAGGCAAATGAGGATAACGGTCACAAATCCAATACATTCAGGATTGTCACAGTCCAGGACCGGATTTAGGTTTGATGAGGCCCCTAAGCTACTGAAGGTAATGGGGCCCTTTATATGTCCAGCTGTCCTTTGTCAGCAACAAAATGTCGCTGTTTTTTTGTGTTGAATATGTGCTATATGGTAATTTATGGACCTAATAAGTATCTAAAGCCATTTGCACATTACAAAATATGTATTTTATCAAAGTAATTGTTGAACTGAAATACAATTAAGAAGAAGTATATTAATAGCGAAATTTGGGGGGCAAGAGAGTGGGGCCCTAAGCTATAGCTTGTTTAGCTTATACATAAATCTGGCACTGGCACAGTCCTTAAGAAATCCAGTTGCAGCAGACTTAATTTAACCTTACAATAACTTATAAGTCTAAAACCTTAACTCTAAGCATACTACGTACAGAACACCACACCAGAAGGAAAGAGAGACAGAAAGAGGACGTGAAACCCAGGCTCCTTCTGGCCTCTTATTATAGTCAGCATGACCTTGACAGAAAGAGATAACACAGGCATCCCCAACCTTTGGCCCTCCAGATGTTTTGGACTACAATTCGCATCATCCCTGACCACTGGTCCTGTTAGCTAGGGATCATGGGAGTTGTAGGCCAAAACATCTGGAGGGCCAAAGGTTGGGGATGCCTGAGATAACAGAACCAGTTGAAGCCAGCTGTACTCAGCTTCTCTGAAGGAACAACCCAAACATCATGAACTTTCTGCTTCTTCCTTTCACACAGAGTAGCTTCCAGAACCCCCTTGAATGAAGTAGAATAAGAAAGATCTCTACACATCAGATCAAAACTCTCTGCAGTAAGAAATGCAAACTGACAGCTTCCTGTGTCCCCTATGTGCAGGGCCTGCAGGAATACGAGGAGTGGAAATGGTCCAAGAACCCCACCATGGTCGAAGTTCTGGAAGAGTTCCCGTCCGTGCAGATGCCGTCCACCTTCTTGCTGACCCAGCTCCCGCTGCTTCAGCCTCGCTACTATTCCATTAGCTCCTCCCCTGACATGTACCCCGACGAGGTCCACCTCACGGTAGCTGTGGTCTCCTATCGCACCAGAGGTAAATTGGGACCGCAGCTCAGTGGCTGCATCACTTTTGTGTGTGGAAGTTGCCGGGTCCTGTCCCTCTAGTTTTAAGGCCTGGTCTGAAATACTGGGGAGCCATCGCTAGTCAGCATATAGACAATATTGAACTGGAAAGATAGATCATTCTAAGGCAGCTTCCTGTGTTTAACCTTGAGTTGGATTTTTATTATTATTTATTACAAAATGCACATTTAACCAAGCCTTATGAGGAACAGTTGAAAGAGCTGGGTATGTTTAGCCTGGAAAAGAGGAGACTGAGAGGAGATAAGGTTGCTGTTGTTTAGTCGTGTCCGACTCTTTGTGACCCCATGGACCTGATCACGCCAGGCACTCCTGTCTTCCACTGCCTCCCGCAGTTTGGTCAAACTCATGCTGGTAGCTTTGAGAACACTGTCCAACCATCTCGTCCTCTGTCGTCCCCTTCTCCTTGTGCCCTCCATCTTTCCCAACATCAGGGTCTTTTCCAGGGAGTCTTCTCTTCTCATGAGGTGGCCAAAGTATTGGAGCCTCAGCTTCAGGATCTGTCCTTCCAGTGAGCACTCAGGGCTGATTTCCTTAATGGATAGGTTTGATCTTCTTGCAGTCCATGGGACTCTCAAGAGTCTCCTCCAGCACCATGGAGATATGGTAGCCGTTTTCAAATATCTCAAGGGCTCTACATGGAAGAGGGAACAAGCTTGTTTTCTCCTGCTCTGGAGGGGAGGACCTGAACCAATGGCTTCAAGTTGCAAGAAAGGGATTCTGACTAAGCATCAGGAAGAACTTCCTGACAGTAAGAGTTGTTCTGATAGTGGAAGGGTCTCCCTCAGGAGGTGGTGGAGACTCCTTCCTTGGAGGTGTTTAAGCAGAGGCTGGATGGCCGTCTGTCATGGCTGCTTTAGCTGAGATTCCTGCATTGCAGGGGGTTGGACTAGAGGATCCCTGATTCTCATGTCCTACTCTAGAATTCTATTATTCCCATAGCGTTAAGTTAAAGTCACTCAGTGATATACTTTTCCCACTGTCGAGAAATGTTTGCTGGCAAAATTGACAATGAAACTAAGAGGAAGTGACGACAACAAATTTAAGGAAGATTGGAAGGACTTTATTGCATATATACAGAAGCAATGTACACAGGTTAATACATTAACAGGGTTCTAGGACTACTTGTAATTTTATTATGAATGGACAATAAGTACCGGTAATTTGAATGGTTTTTAAATTTACAATGGGCATGTGGTATGCTGTTAGATAATAGAACCAAGGAAGGGACTAGGGGGAAGTCTATTTCTTCTGTTTGGTTTTGAGTTTGTATTGCTGTTGTTTTATTTTTGTTATTTTTGGAAAATTAATAAAATATTAGTTTTTTAAAAAGAGAGAAATGTTTTTGCCAGCAGAAATGTTGTTGCGCACAAACAAAAAGAATAATTTGTTGTGCTATAAGTTTCCACTAGCGCAGCTGCTGTGTTGAAATTCCTCTGTTGTGCATCATTAAAACTCACACATAGCAAAGAGCGTGTTGGATACAAGTTTTGTGTTCCCGCTGCAAACCTGACCGGTCTTCTTCCTTCTGTTTTTGCCTAGATGGGGAAGGGCCTATCCACCACGGGGTCTGTTCCTCCTGGTTCAACCGGATACAGGCGGACGAAGTGGTGCCATGTTTTGTCAGAGGGTAAGATGGGGGGTGACGCTGTGGGTTAAACCACAGAGCCTAGGACTTGCCGATCAGAAGGTCGGCGGTTCTAATCCCCGCAATGGGGTGAGCTCCCATTGTTCGGTCCCTTCTCCTGCCAACCAAGCAGTTCGAAAGCACGTCAAAGTGCAAGTAGATAAATAGGTACTGCTCTGGCAGGAAGGTAAACGGCGTTTCCGTGCGCTGCTCTGGTTCGCCAGAAGTGGCTTAGTCATGCTGGCCACATGACCCGGAAGCTGTACGCCGGCTCCCTCGGCCAATAAAGTGAGATGAGCGCTGCAACCCCATAGTCGGCCACGACTGGACCTAATGGTCAGGGGCCCCTTTACCTTTACCTAAGATGGGGGAAAATTGAAAAAGTGTGGACAGCTGTGGAAAGATTGGACCAGATGCCCTCGGAGGTCCCTTCCAACTCTACCATTCTGTGATAATAACACAGGGATCAGCCTGCTAATGTGTGATCATAAGAGAACTCTTCTTCCTCCCCCCCCCTTTATGCAGAGCTCCTGGGTTCCACATGCCACAAGACCCGCAGGTTCCTTGCATCCTGGTGGGCCCTGGGACGGGGATTGCTCCTTTCCGGAGCTTCTGGCAGCAACGGCTCTTTGACGTCAAACACAAAGGTAGGTCCAGTCATCTACATGAGTGGAGCAGGGCTGGGTGGAGGCTGGCACATTAGGGCAAATGGGGCACTACCCTCCCAACCTACGCCTGCCCTCACCTATTTGCCCTCTATAAATTTATTATTTATACCCCGCTCACCTGGCTGGGCTTCCTCAGCCACTCTGGGCAACTTCCAACAAAATATTAAAATACAGTAATGCATCAAACATTAAAAGCTTCCCTAAACAGGGCTGCCTTCGGATGTCTTCTCAAAGTCTGGTAGTTGTTGTTCTCTTTGACATCTGGTGGGAGGGCATTCCACAGGGTGGGTGCCACTACCAAGAAGGTCCTCTGCCTGGTTCCCTGTAACTTGGCTTCTCGCAGTGAGGGAACCGCCAGAAGGCCCTTGGGCACTGGACCTCAGTGTCCGGGTAGAACAATAGGGGCGGAGATGCTCCTACTTGCAACCAGCCCTAATAACATTGCCTGCTGGATTAGGACAGTGGCCCATCTAGTCCAGATGTCAAGGACTGGACAGAGGAGGAATGGTGGAGACCGACCCCTCCCCTTCTCCTACACTTCCCAGAGAAGAGGGAGACAATACAGCGGTACCTCCGTTTACAAACTTAATCTGTTCCGGAAGTCTGTTCTTAAACCAAAACCGTTCTTAAACCGAGGTGCGCTTTCCCTAATGAGGCCTCCTGCAGCCGGTGCCCTTCCACCATTCAGTTTCCGTTCTTAGACCGAGGTAAGGTTCACAAACCAGGACACTACTTCCGGTTTTGCGGAGTTTGTAAACCGAATCGTTCGTAAACAGGACTGTTCTTAAACCAAGGTACCACTGTATAGGTTTAAAACAGTGTTTGCAGAAGGTCATAGTTCAGAGGCTGCAGAGGGGAGAAGCTGGGAAATATTGGGAGGGGAACAGGAAGAAGCATAAGGGGAGAGACAGCTAACAGACTTGGTGTCTTTAGAAAGCATTCCAGACCCCCCTTCTCCCAGAACCAGGTGGGCATGGAAAGTAGGAGAACAGAAAGCTCAGAGGCAGAAAGCTCAGATCTGCCAATGTAGGGATGACGTATAATAGGAGAGACGGAGGGGGTGGGACTTTACCCAGAGCAAAGCCATTATGTAAGATAATTCTCCCTGTGAATACTGAATAAAAGACTTGGTAAGAACTCTTCTTGTTTATCTAATTCTTGGCTCCCCACCGTGGGAGGAATCAGGTTCCCTGAAGCCTGGCACCAGCATCCTGTTCTCACAGCAGCCAGCCTGTCAGAAATCCGCAAGGAGGACCTCAGCATAAAAGCCTTCTCCCCTCCCACAGCTTCTAGCAACTGGTATTCAGAAGCATTGCTGCCTCCAAGCATGGGGGCAGAGCATAAAGTAGCCTTGTCCTCCATGAATTTCCCCAATCCTCTTCTACTGCCACCTAAGTTGGTGGCCATCAGTGCCTCCTGCAGGAGGGACTTCACTTCCATAGTTTAGCTATGAGCTGCATGAGAAAGTACTGTGCCCCCGTCCCCCCCCGCTCCTTAACCTTCCGAAATGCATTGGATGTCCACAGTTTCTAGTGTTACGAGAGAGGATGTCCAGAGAGGGATGGCATCTTCCTGCTGCTCAGTCTCCTCTGCACTCAGCAGGGAAGAGGGCAAAACTAGAATTAGTTAGCTCTGGCTGTCGTTGACTGTGGCGCCACCTACTGGTGACCTCCCAGCCTTCTGCCCATCCTGCCCCAATGGACACCAGCTACCACTGCCACCTAGAACATCAAGTTCCCTCTGGGCATGGTATGAAACCCGCTGTTTGTGTCTGATCACTTGTGTGGTTCTTTAGCTTGTGTTTTGAAATGGCGGGTTGTTTTTTGTTTTATATATGGATTAGTTGCCTCCTGCTGGCATGCCTAGGAGCTCAGTTAGTACAGCATGAGATTCTTAAGCTCAGGGTTGTGGGTTCGAGTCTCACCTTGGGCAAAATATTCCTGCATTAGAGGGGGCTGGACGAGATGACCCTCGTGGTCTCTTCTAGCTCTATGATATGTTTTGCATTCTCCCCTCCCACCTCCTCAATCTGTCCCCGCAGGGCTGAAGCCATGCCCCATGATGCTGGTCTTTGGTTGTCGACAGTCCAAGATTGACCACATTTACAAAGAGGAGACCTTGCTGGCGAAAAGCAGTGGTGTCTTCAAGGAGCTGTTTACGGCCTACTCCCGTGAGCCAGACAAACCAAAGGTAACCTGTGATCAGCAGTGATTCCTGAGCTAGATGATTCCTTCTGCAACTGTATGGTTCTAACCCACCTGCGGATGGATCAAATTGTTTCGCTCACATGTTCATTCATAGGTCCATCCAATCCTGTTTCTGCTTTAATCTGAGAGAGGCAGTGTGGTGTAGTGGTTAGAGTGTCAGACTAGGACCTGGGAGACCAGGGTTCAAATCCACACTGGGTCACATTGGGGCAGAGTCACTGACTCCCAGGCTAACCTACTTCACAAGGTTGTTGTCAGGATAAAATAGGTGGGGAAGGAGAACCACGTACACCACCTGTAAAGATGGGATATGTGAAGTCAAAAAAAATAAGGGTTTGTTTCCCAAACCACTGAATATCTCCACTGCCCTCCTCTGAATCATGGGCTACCTGGTGTTGGTCACTATCTCCCAGCCTAATCTACCTCAAAGGGCTGTTGTGTAGCAAGGGGAACAATGTCTGCTACCTTAAGCTCCTTCTAAATACATTTTTGTTTAGGCAGCTTTACCTTGAGATATACCGTATTTTTTGCTCTATAAGACTCACTTTTTCCCTCCTAAAAAGTAAGGGGAAATGTGTGTGCGTCTTATGGAGCGAATGCAGGCTGCGCAGCTATCCCAGAAGCCAGAACAGCAAGAGGGATTGCTGCTTTCACTGTGCAGCGATCCCTCTTGCTGTTCTGGCTTCTGGGATTCAGAATATTTTTTTTCTTGTTTTCCTCCTCCAAAAACTAGGTGCGTCTTGTGGTCTGGTGCGTCTTATAGAGCGAAAAATACGGTAACTCAATCATTTATGGAAGATCAGTTTTGTAGAGGATAAGAGGGTTTTTGTAGTTTTTAGAGTTGTGTGAATGGTTTTAGAGTTTTCTAAACCAATATAATGGTTTTTTAGAACTTGCATTTTAAGGTTTTATATGTATCACTGTGGTGGCTTTGTGCTGCGAAGCAGTCCACAAATTTGTTAAAGAGATAAATGAGGTATTATTTATGTCATTGTCTAAAAATATGCGTGCAAAGATTCCTCTTTAAATAGGTACTTTATCTGAATGCATGCATTCCTTAAAAAAACAAAAACAAAACCATAACAACACAGAGGTGTTTAAAATGCATTTGGAGCACATTGTTTTGAGCCAAAAGCTGCATTTCAAAATTCAGAGAAGCGTAAAATCTTGAGGAAAATTGCATTCTGATCCAGGCGGCAATATGGGAAGCGTGAATTAGGTTGGCTTGCACTAAAATGCAACCCAGACGACACTCTTTTCCATCCCTAACTACGTCTGAATCTTGTGAGGACTGTATAGGATATTGAACCTACCGAATACGTGGCATAATTTGGATAATATGCAAAATATGCAGGTTGCCCCTACCCCTCCTACCTTCCTCTTTGGGGTCAGCTCTGCAGTTCATTGGGCTGCCTGCAGGGGGCGCTGTGCAGCAAGGATGGGAGCCTTCTTCTGCAACATGAAAGCAAACACACACACACCCATTGCTGTCCACTTTCCCTTCCCATAGAAATACGTGCAGGACATCCTTCAGGAGCAGCTGGCGGGAACCGTCTACAAGGCGTTGAAGGAGCAGGGGGGGCACCTGTATGTGTGCGGCGACGTCACTATGGCTGGAGATGTCCTCAAGACAGTCCAGAGCATCGGGAGGCATCAGGGCAAGCTGACGGCAGAGGAAGCCAGCGCTTTCATTAGCAAGCTACGGGTGAGCAGCCATCCCCACCACCCAGCATGCCATGGGGGCAGCCCATGGCGTCAGGCCCCCTGCCAACATCCAGAGCTGAAATCAGGTGGCTCCTGAACACAGGCCCCGCCTTCATCACTGCCCCTGGTGATTTTGCAAGGTCCCCAGGCGAGGAGATTACAATCGAAAAATCAGCACTGGTCCCCTTGAATTTTAGTGCCCCCCTGGGTAATCCCACTGCCCCCCAGGAGGCAGCAGCACCCACTTTGGGAACCATCCTCTTCTCCCTCATTGCCATGCCAACACCAAGCACTTGGCTCTGAGCCTTCTCCCCTGGGGGGGGGGGTTCCCCAGTTTCTGTCTCCTTCCCCTCCTTTGCATCCACGCATGAAGTGAAGGACATGAGGCAGGAGTTGGTAATGCAGGTGAGCTGTGCACAAGCAAGCTGCCAGCTAGCTATGCTGAGGCTCTTTTTATTAGCACAGTATGCAAAACCAGTCAGGTACATTTCGGACTGTGACCTTTACACATCTTCCAATCCTGAGATTGAGGGGTGGTAAAAAGTTATTTTGGCACCTGTTTCCACCGCTTCATTTTCCCCTTGCACAATGTATGACGAAGGAGACAAAGGTCACAGACAGAGCATGGCAAACCACTAAGAGAGCAAAAGGTTAGATAGAGGGCATGATGTTCAGACAGCTGTGGCTTTGTCTGCGGGTGGAAGTGTGCTTCACACCTGACGGTCTTTCCTTCACACGCACCCTCTTTCCCCAGAACATCCCCTTCACTGGCCTTGCCTCAGGCTCTCTGTGGGTTGTGTTTGCCTGGCCAGGATTTGTCCTCAAGCTCTGATAATGCTTCATTGTTCCCCGGGTGGAGATATAAAGAGAGGGGTTTGAGAGAGGGGTGCGTGGACAGTAGCCTGCCGCACTGAGCAAAGGAAAAAAATCAATTTTCCCGCTGACATGTGGGGTCCCCGGCAGCTTGAACAGAAGAGAATGTGGCCCTTGGGATGTTTTAAGTTCCCACACCCATTGTAGTAGCCCTTTGCTGTCTTCTCTTGTAAGAAAGGAGATAATAATAATACTAATTTATAATAATAATTTATTATTTATACCCCGCCCATCTGACTGGGTTTCCCCAGCCACTCTGGGCGGCTTCCAACAGAATATTAAAATACAATAATCTATTACACATTAAAAGCTTCCCTAAACAGATTCTAACTTTACAAGTCGTACCTTGGTTGCTGAACGCCTCGGAAGTCGTGTGTTTCGGCTCCTGAACGATCGAAAACCGGAAGCGAGTGTTCTGGTTTTCGAATGATTTTCGGAAGCCGAACTTCCAGCACGGCTTCCGCAGCTTCCGATTGATTGCAGGAAGCTCCTGCAGCCAATTGGAAGCCACGCCTTGGTTTTCGAACAGTTCTGGGACTCGAATGGACTCTTGGAATGCATTGTGTTCGAGAACCAAGGTACTACTGTACAAGAAAAGAGATTCGGGTTAAACATTAGGAAGAACTTCCTTGTGGTCGGGGGAACCGTTCGACAGTGCAATGGACAGCCTCGGAGGGTGGTGGGCTCCCCTCCCTTGGAGTTTCAGGGATTCCTTCATTGCAGTGGGGTTGGACTAGATGACCCATGGGGTCCCTTCCGACTCTACACTCCTGAAATTAACCGTGCGTTGGTTTTTCTCCTCCTCCTTCCCACCCGGCCTGCCGCACTCCCCGCAGGATGACAACCGCTACCACGAGGATATATTTGGAGTCACCTTGCGCACGTACGAAGTGACGAACCGCCTCCGGTCCGAGTCGATTGCGCACATTGAGGAGAGTAAGAAAGACACGGACGAGTGAGTCGGGCCCGCTGGCTTCCTTTCCTTTTCAAACCGGCGCTTTTGTTTCCCCAGAAACGTGTGGGCTGGGCGAGAGAATCCCTTTTGTCGTTCGCCTGACGCCATCGCTCGAGCTACGCTCCAAGAGTGGGTGGGGATCACCAGGGAGCAGGCATGTTGAGCCTCTAAGCTCTGCTTGCAGAAGTTCCATCCCTGGGATTGCTGATTAAAACCAAGGGTGGGGAGCCTCAAACCCAGGGGCTGAATGCAGCCCTCCCGGCTGCTCTGCCCAGCCCTCGGAGCTTCCCCCAAATAGGCCACACCCCTCAGGAGTCCTGGCCTTTTTTTGCCTGGCCTGAACACACCTCTCGGACTCTGATAAATGCTTTTCGCTTGCCTGGAGAGAGGGGTGTGAGTAGAAACAAGCCTACTGAAGCCAGGGTGGTGTAGTGGTTCAGAGCAGTGGACTCGTAATCTGGGGAACCAGGTTCGCTTCCCGCTCCTCCACATGCAGCTGCTGGGTGACCTTGGGCTAGTCACACTTCTCTGAAGTCTCTCAGCCCCACTCACCTCACAGAGCGTTAGTTGTGGGGGAGGAAGGGAAAGGAGAATGTTAGCCGCTTTGAGACTCCTTCAGGTAGTGATAAAGCGGGATATCAAATCCAAACTCTTCTTCTTCTACTACTGCATGCGAGGTGAAATTTGCATTTGTTGCTCCGCCCACTTTCCCCTCTGGCCACGCCTACCAGGCAGGGTTCAGCTGGAGGCAGCAGCCCTTCTAAAAACCGGGAGCCAGTGCTCTTGCACTTGGGTTCCTGCTTGCTGGTTTCCCTCTCTTCCACAGGGAGAACAGGATGCTGGGCTGGGTGGGCCATTGGCCTGATCCAGCACAGGCCCTTTTTGGTTCTCATGCCCAGAAAGGAATGCAGCCCTTGTGCTGGAAAGGTGTTTTCCCACGCCTGTTCCAGAGAAAAACCCTGGGAAGCTACTGCCAAGTTGGAGTAAATAGCCCTGGCAGTGGTGGCTGGTGTCTATTGGGAATGGTGGGGCAGAACTTAGGGGAGCTAACAGCAGGTGGCGCCAGAGCTAAAGATAGGCAGAGTTCTAGTCACCATTTCCTACCTGCTAATTTCTGTAAGGGTGATACTGAGACTCCCATTTGCCCTAGTATGGCATCCCCAACCTGCGGCCCTCCAGATGTTTTGGCCTGCAACTCCCATGATCCCTAGCTAACAGGACCAGTAGTCAGGGATGATGGGTATTGTAGTCCAAAACATCTGGAGGGCCAAAGGTTGGGGGTGCCTGCCCTAGTAGGTGAGCCTCCACTCTGCCCCTCCCATTGCCTGCTACCCATCCCGTTCAACTGGAGCTAGGAACATAAGAAACTGCCTTGTGCTGAGTCAGAGCATTGGTCCATCTGCTTCAATATTGTCTACACTGACTGGCAGAAGTTCTCCAGGGGTTAAGGCAGGAGACATTCCTAGCCTGATCTGGCAATGCTGGGGATTGAACCTGGGACTTTGAGCATGCAAGGCAGATGCTCAACCCCTGAGCTATGCTCTCTCTCTCCACATTAAGTGATCCTTCAAGACACCCTCAGCTATGTTCTAGTGGTCCACAGAAGTGAGAAGGGAATGAGATCCACTGTTGTAATATTTTGTGCCTTCTGCTGAGCTGGTGGCACCAGCTGGCCTAATCCCAACCCAACCCTGCCACCTACTGTCCAGAAATGGTATTGGCCATTCAAAGAGGCTTTTTTTTTGCCACATAGCGAAGTTGCCGCAGCATTCACAACATACATTTAAAGCAGATTTATACCACTTTAGCTGTTGTAGCTTCCCCTGAGGAATCCGGGGAGCCATCGTTTGTTAAGGATGCTGGGGATTGTGGGCCTTCGACTGCAGAAGAAAGAGGCAGGCAAGAAAGGCTTATTCCGTGAATTAAACTTAGGAGCTAAGCCTATGGTTTGGTTCACGCATCGTAGTAAGCCAAACTATGGCTTAGGTCATATCCCACACCATACATTTAAAGTGCATTTAAAGCACATCACGTCTCCCAAATACTTCTGAGAACTTACCCCTCACAGTGCTGCAGTTCCTAGTTCCTTAATAAACCACAGTTCCCAAAAAACTTTGGAGGGAGCTAAGCACTCTTAAGTGTGTGTGATACGCGTATGGAGATCCAGGACGTCTGTTGTCATCGTTGCGTTATGCCACCTGTGTGCATGGTAATTTACAAAGCCCAAGAGGACAGGTCTCTGCCCCCAAGTAGCTTACAATGAAGCATTTGTTTCAATTACAGTGGTACCTTGGTTCTCAAACATAATCCGTTCCGGGAGTCCGTTCGACTCCCAAAACCGTTCGAAAACCAAGGCATGGCTTCCGATCGACTGCAGGAGCTTCCTGCACTCAAGCAGAAGCCGCAGAAGCCGTGGAAGCTGTGGAAGCCGCATTGGCTTCTGGAAAACATTCAGGAGCCGATTTGTTTGACAACTAAGCCGTTTGGGAAACAAGGTACCACTGTACATCATAGGCTGCAATCCTAACCCCACTTAAATTCAGCAGGGATTAGACCTGAGATTGGAGCCAATGTTGTTAAACCCACTTAGTGGTGTCCTGATGATGATGATGATGATTTATTATTTATACCCTGCCCATCTGGCTGGGTTTAAAAACAGAATAAAACATCAAAAATTAAAAACTTCCCTAAACAGGGCTGCCTTTAGGTGTCTTCTAAAAGTCAGATAGTTGTTTATTTCCTTGACATCTGATGGGAGGGCGTTCCACAGGGCAGGCGCCACTACCGAGAAGGCCCTCTGCCTGGTTCCCCCAATGCTCTGTTTTGGATCAGCAAAGCACTGTTGCTCAAGATAACGCATAAGCTGGTTGCTGGTGCCTTCGTTGAGCAATAGATTGCACAGTACATTTTTGCTAGGGCAAGTGTTGCACTGCATTCTTTTCTTGTGCAATGGTAAAACTCAGCCATCCACTAGAGCAAAAGCCCCTTGCCCTAGTAGACAAGTGGACTCTGGATATGGCCCCTGGTTTGTACAGGTCAGGCTCAGATACAGTGCACGATAATCATACTGCTATTGATGTGTGTAGTGGGGGGGCGTGTATTGTTTTATTCTTAAATGTGATGGTTGTTTTTTAACCCAGATATGTAAGCAGCCTAGAGATGGTTTGTGTTAGGCAACTAATAAATAACAGCAGTTAATAACGATGTATTAATTTTATTTGCCTTGTTTGAAAAAAATTCCAGAACTGGAATATGTAATAGCCATTCAGTTCTAAAAGAAACAGAAAAAACACCCCAGGGAGGAAACCGGCGAGGACATTTGTCTCGTGTATAAGGTGTGGGAATGTTCAGGATGCAGGAGAGGATATGTTTAATGATATCCTTCCTAACTTGCGTTAGCAAGTTCTATATCTTAGCAGAGTAACATTCCCCTTTAAACGCACAGCGGTTTGCTTGTTGCAGGCTTGTCTGAGCCTCTCAATATAAGATTCCTGGTAAGTTCCCTTCTTGTCCCTCTTAAAAAGAATAACACGACAGTCTTATTAAAGTCAATATAAAAGTAGTTTACTCACAATCATTCAGTTCACAGTTGGATCCCTGAAAGCAGACTTAGGTTACAAAACTATCCCATAAGGGAGTTAGTTCCTAAGTGACTGCCTGTTTGCAGTGACTGCAAACAGGCAGTCACTTCTGCTAACACATGGAAAAGCAAAATGGAGAAGAGACAAAGGAAGGAGATGTGCTCCCTTGCCCAGGTTAAGCCTCAAACAGACACACAGGCCTCTAGTCACATGCAGAGGATGCTCAGGAGGAAACAGGAAGTTAGACTCCTGACTGGTACAAAGCATAGCATGTCCATTCTAGGAATGTTGTACTTGACTGCTCTGTGTTTCATATCCCATAAGGCAGTTGCTTTGTGGTACTGCTTGGGGCAGGTAGTCACACGATGCCAAAACGTGGGGTTACGCAGCAGGGTCTAGCTGTGATTTCTGCATTGCAGGGGAGTTGGACTAAGTGATCTAGGTCCCTTCCGGCTCTATAATTCTATGATTACAGTGGTACCTCAGGTTACAGACGCTTCAGGTTACATACGCTTCAGGTTACAGACTCCGCTAACCCAGAAATAGTACCTCAGGGTAAGAACTTTGCTTCAGGATGAGAACAGAAATTGTGCTCTGGTGGCACAGCGGCAGCAGGAGGCCCCATAAGCTAAAGTGGTGCTTCAGGTTAAGAACAGTTTCAGGTCAAGAACGGACCTCCGGAACGAATTAAGTACTTAACCTGAGGTACCACTGTATATATTATGTGACTGCATCCCTGTTTAGTAGCCAAAGGGAAGTGCTGCCCACTGGCCCAGCGTCTGGGGTGAGCAAGTGTTTACGATGTTTTCCGTCCAACTAACGAAAGGGTGGCATTTAAGCCAGGGAATGCATAACTTGCGAAGGGTGAACAAAATGCATGTGAACTCGAGTGGAGAGGGCGATGCTTTTTTTTACATGCCTTACCATGCGTGTGTGATTTCTGCTCTAACTGACGGCTTTTTTGCAGGGTGTTTTGTTCCTAAACGTGACCGCGTCGCGTTGCCCGAGGCAGGAGGCTGAGCCAGGCAAACCGCGGCAGCTCCAGCTGCTCTGCTCCAGCCCTCGAAAAGGAGAGGGGTCTGGACCTTGTACTGACATGTCCGCATCCGCTCCTTTCCTCCAGGGACTTCCGCCAGGCCCACAACAAACGGTCGTCTGTGTCTCGTCCTATTGTTGTGTCCTGAAGGATGTGTTTGTTGACGCTTGGATAGCGAGGGAGGAAGAGACGGAGGACAATGCTGGTGATATTTCTCTCCCCTCCACACCGCCACCCTCTTCTCGCGTCCTGTGGCAGTTTATTTTCCTTCCGTGTGACCTTCTCTGGAATCTCCCACCGTGGCGCGATGGCTTTGAACGCAACCTGCAAGCAGCTCCGGCAAAGACACACAACTTCCGCTCGTTCATGACAAGGCCGTCTTCATGGCTGCATGAAAACCACCACCCTAGTGGTCGTCATCTGCATTTTGTGTGTGCGTGTGTGTGTGCGTGTTCTGGGGTGGGTTTGGAGGGTCACGGTCAGTTGCTGTTGAGTTACGCAGCAGAGGAACGCAGAATCGCCGCTCTTGTCTGTTTGCCAAAATCTCTGCCTAGCATGATTTGCTTCAAGCAGTGGGTCACTCTCTCCCCTGTCCCCTCCTGCCACTGCCCCTTTCATTCCTGCAATCTGGCAGGGGGGAAGAGGGAAAGTATGGCGGGCAGCTCCTCCTGTGGCTTTGTTCTTCTGCAGCCTCTCAGTCCTTGCATTCAAGGTGGGACTGGCCTTCGTTGCACAGATAATGGTCGCACCTTCGTACGGCATACCTGCGCAGTCTCTTAACGTGATGCACTGCCCCGGCCTCCCTGCTCCCTTCCCTGCACCTTCCGCAACGTGTTTGAGCACTGATCCAATGGCCGCAAAGTCAGCAACACAGCTGGATATGGCAAGCTGGGTGGGCTGTAACCAACAGACTGCCAGGAAGCAACTGTGGGTCATCAGGCATTGTGGCTAAAACACTATTAGGAATCCAAGAAGGTTTCATTCATGTGATGTGCTTTTTCCTTTACTCCTCAGACAGAGAGAGAGAGAAAGAAAAAGAATGAGGATGGTACCAATGGATCACTTCTATAGAACCATAGAACTGAGATGGGGAATCTGTGGTCCTCCAGGTTTTGATGGGCTATGACTCCCATCATCTTCTGCTGATTTCCCATTCAGGCTGGGGCTGATGGCATCAGGATGGGGGAGAAATATGATCCCGTTCACATCCAATGCTGAGCTTACCTAATTCACACTTTGCCAAATAGTATGCGGACTGAAACATCAGTCGTTCTTCGAAATGTGCACTTCTCCCAATTTTCAAATGCCGTTCTCCAGCTAAGTAACGTGGACGCATACACTGGAGTAAAGTGTGCATATAAACGCGTATATTAGCAAAAGTAACATACACAAAATGCATTGCATTAGGGGGAATTACTTTGCTTAAAAAAAGTGTATGTTGGGAGAAAATGCAGACTTGTTAGGAAAAATTCGCATTAAAATTCTGGTGAATTTTCACCAGAACAACAAAATCACGAGCTGAGATGGTAACGTGGGGGTTCTAATTTAAGATTGAAAAAACATGAGAAACGGAGAAAAACAAAAAATGACATATTTGCCCAACATCATGTCCAAGACCATGAGTAGGGAAACTAAGGCCCGGGGGGCCGGATCCGGCCCAATCACCTTCTAAATACGGCCTGTGGAATCAGCATGTTTTTAATTGAGTAGAATGTGTCCTTTTATTTAAAATGCATCTCTGGGTTATTTGTAGGGCCTGCTTAGTGTTTTTACATGAGTAGAATGTGTGCTTTTATTTATAATGCATCTCTGGGTTATTTGTGGGGCATAGAAATTCGTTCATTTTTTTCTTCAAAATATAGTCCGGCCCCCCACAAGGTCTGAGGGACAGTGGACCGGCCCCCTGCTGAAAAAGTGTGCTGCCCCCTGTCCAAGACCATCTGGTGGGCCACAGGTTGCCCATCTTTACAACAGACCAAAGCCAAAGAGGACAGAGGAAGGAACAGGCAGACTACATTCATGAACTCTTTCTGATGGCTTCCAGAGTTCTCCAGTTACAGAATATGATTGCCTATTCTGATAGATCACTGCTTTTCTAGTATCAGAATAAACCCAGGGCATCCCCTTCCTCCCTAAGGAGATAGATGGATCTCCCAGCAGTAAAAAGCTGAATTACTTCCAGTAGGAAACAGCTGGATCCTAAACTGTTGCCTTCTCATTGAAGGGTTTTGCTGTCAGTGCCAAAAACTGTGCTTTCTCGCTTGGTGTTTCCTTTTGCTTTGTGTAAAAAGGACAACATGGGGAGCTGCCAAGGCAGGGGCCTGGCGTCTGTCGCAAGCTCTCAGCATTTGTGAGATGCTAGAAGCTGCCTTATTCTGATTCGGAGCAATGGTCCATCTAGCTCAGTATGGTCTACACTGGCCGGCAGATGCTCTCCAGAGTTTCAAGCAGGGTTTCCTGCTAGCCCTCCCTGGAGAGGCCTTTGGGGGATTAAACCTTGGACCTCTGCCACTGAGCTACAGCCCTTCCCCAAAGGTCGGCTGTGAATTCCTTTTGCCCACCTTAAGACTCCTTGAAGCTTACAGACATTTGACTATGAGCTTGGCAGAGCAAGACAGCAGTTTCCTTGGAGGCCCAAGCATGTGCTTTTTGCATGGGACAATTGCTCTCGTTGGTAACAACATCTGAGCCATGACAAAACCCTGGTTGGGTTTAGGTCCCCTGGTTTGATTCACGCTACCGTCTTACGCACCAGAGATGTGGAGATATTTTCTAGTCCAAGGGCCGCATTCCTTGTTTGGCAACTTTCTGGGGGCCACATGGTGGGTGGAGCCAGGGGCGAAGGTGGGTGGAGCAGCATATGCAAATTTCCCCTTTGCGTAGTAAGCTACTTTCTGCTCATGCTCACACACCGTTCTGCGACCTCCGTGCAGAGAAACAAGAGGCAGCAACAGAGACTTCAAGGATGCATTCAAGGCAGGGGGAAAGACCCATGGTGTGAGGGGCAATTCCTGCGGGAGTCTCAAAGGCCAGAGAGAGACTTGGAGGGCTGCGTGTGGACCCTAGGCCAGAGGTTCCCCACCCCTGCTATGCACACCTGGAAGTAAGAGGAACCATGGGAACTTCCTTCTGAGTAGACAAGGATTGCATTGATTTGTAAGTGTAGTGGCAAAACTGATACAACCAGGTGGCTGATATCCTTAGAACAGGGGTGGAAAACTGGGGGCCTTGCAGATGCCTCTGGACTCCAACTCCCATCAATCCCAGCTACCATGGCCAATGGTCAAGCATGGTGGGAGTTGTAGTCCAGGAACACCCAGAGGGATCGCAGGTACCACCACCCCTGCTTTATTCTAATTCAGCATGGCGAGAATCCCCCACATTCTTGCTCAGTCCAAAATCCCATGCATCCCCACAGACACAAAGTCTTGGTCATGCCATGCCTTTGCGATCAGATAACAAACACAGCCTCTTGCCTCGCAAAAGAATAGAACGGAACCACCACACTGTGATAGCGTCACATTGTTTTCCCACATCAGGTGACCCAGACACACACTCAGCTGCTAAGAGGATCCCCACCCCACCCCACTTTTAAGATGGGTGAGTGCAACTGGAAGTCCGGAGCACCAGCCAGCTTATTGTTTGTGAGTCAACATGCAAAGGCACGTGAACATTCGTTTTACCTTGTTTGTATCCCGTGTGGCTCGTCGGTCTCTCGAGAGGTTGAAAAAGCAACCTGCCAAAAGTGGGAGGAATTGTAACAGGCCAGATCATAAGGAGGGGCAGCAATAAGCCCACAAATAGCTCAGTTTGCTCAACACCCATGCTCAGCAACATGCCATGGCAGGCGAAGCTCAAAGAGACGGCACCATCACCAGTCAAACACTAGAAGGCAATGCTAATTTGTGAAAGTTGAATAAGTTCCCCTGAAGAAGATAACTGAAACACATTGGAAACATTACCATTGAACCTCTTGGATTTTGTCTGCTCCATTCTGCTCCCCTCAGAAAAGGAAAACATAAAAGCAACCAACCACACTTTGCTCTAGTCCCTTTTCAGTGAAAGCCCTCTTGCCTTGCTCTGCTGCTTGTTTGTAGAAAAGGAAGTGCAGTTTCATCTCATGGGAGAGGTTTTCCAGGCTCCTACTACACAAAAGGAGCGAGAGAACAGCCGTATTCAAGGGGGATCTTTGTTCTATGAGTTGATGCTTGTGTTTTGTCACGAGGTGCCATTCCTGAGCTGTGCGCAGCACGCTATGTCAACACCTAGTGATAGAAATCAAGCATTACAATGCAATGGCAGCACATTTCATTTTTTTCAATCCACATGTTCCAGTGCAGAGGGGTTGCAGATTGAAACAGAAATGTTCCCGTGCAGAGATGGTGCAGACTGAAACAGAAATCTGTACCCTAACCCAGGCTATTGAATATTGATTGGGAAAACTCTCCTCTGCTCCCTCCCACTGGCTTCAGCAGGTTAACTTAGACCTAAGTGTCCTCTGGATCAAGCAAGAACAAAAATGCATTTGCCTGTGTAGGGCAATGATGTAATATGGGTGAGTACAATCCTGAATGTGTACAGGTCTCCCAAGCAGCTGTTAATGTGATCAGTTTCCTCTCCCTATTCTTCAGCTCAGCTCCCTTGTGTCACTGTGCCTTTTATTATTATTATTATTAATATTATTATCATCATCATCATCATCACTGCCATTAATAAACAACTGATGAACAAATTACAGTTGCATTCCTTGGTCTGGATGGGCAGCCTGGTTCATTTTGAACACCACACAAATGTATGATAATTTGGAGGGTGGGGGCGGGCAGGTCATATTTAATCATATCAGTGCTTTAAGCGGCCGGAAACATTTTACGTTCCTTTACCTCCGAGCTCTTGATGCTGCCAAGTCTCTGCCGTTTGTACAATATGCTCAGCACCTTTCTTCATGGACTGACTGCTGTTCTTGTTTGCGAGGTATCCACACTGTTCTAAAGCATGCACCTTCTTTCTGTATAGTTCGGATCTTCTGGTTTTATGGAATTAAAAAGAAAAATACTTATGCCTGTTTGCATTGCAATCAATTAAAAAAAGAAGAAGTGAATTGACTCCGTTGTCATCTTCTACTTTATCTTTTAAGGCCTGCCCAACCTGAGGATCATGGTTCATACTACAATCGGGCTAGGCATTCATTATTCCAGTCATTTATTAATTACTTATCCATTGCTTTAGGGGGCGAAGCTCACCTTACTTTCCACACAGTGCGTCTAGGCCCCCAGTGTGGAGTGACTCTGGAGCAACGCTATGTCAGGGGCTCAGAGGCATTGTGGGGCAATTAAAATGGCAGGTCCCAATGTTGGCACGTGCCAGCCAGACTTTGCTGCTCCTTCTAAGCCTGCAAGCTGTTCACTGTCCGCTAAGGCAGAGATGGGGAGCATCCCATCACCCTCCATCATGGGCATTCCTGGATGCAGCTGACAGGGTTGGAGGAAAACATGTTCCCCATGGCTGCTCTAAGGGAAATCCCATGGGAACTTCCAGTGTTCAGTGAAGGTAGGCATAGAGCTGGACAATGGAAGAGCTCAAATGAAAGCCAACTGCAATATTCATTCATTCATTCATTCATTCATTTATTCTGTGAACTGCCCTGGGATCTTATGATGAAGGGTGGGATATAAATATAAAAAAAATTATAGACTGCTGTTTATTAAGAAAAAGCAACACAGTTTGCTACAGAAATACATAAAACCATGCAGTGAAAACCACATTTTAAAAGTTAAAAACAGACATCAGTTAACCATTGTATTCTTTATTGCCTGAATATAAGCCTGGCAGAATTGAAAAAGTTTTGAAAGTTGGCACGTTAGGCCCCCTCCTGAATCTCTAGTGGCAAGGTGTTCCACAGGACTAGGCCCATGACACTAAAGACTTAAGTTTCTTTCTCTTGTCAAATGAGCCTCACCATCCCGGGGAATGACCAGTGACATGCCTGCAGATGATCTCAATGATCAAGCTGGGATACAAGGATGGAGGTGCCCTGAACCAACATTGTTGAGGGCTTAGTAAATTAACAGAAGGCCCCCACTTCTGCAGCAGCAACAGGGAGATATTGAGCTGCAGCCTACTGAAGCTTTCAAGGCTGACAAGATGCAGAGTGTGACAGGCAGGGTCTGTGAGGCTGGGGAGATGGAGTTACTGCAGGAGACTCACCCTCTGGTGGTAACAGGGCTGTGTCTTCCAGCCAGGTGGTCCCTGAATAAGATACTGATGCCCCACCTCATACGAGACAACAGCTTCTCATCTTCATCAGTGTCCTTTGCCATGTGCTGCATGGTCTCCTATGGACCACAATGCCCAGCACACCAGAGACTCTCATGAGGCTCCGCATTGTGCCAGACCTTAGCTGGGAGCCTGCAGCAGCACGGAGGAATGGTTCTGAGCTGCTGTTTCAAACCACATTCAAGCAAATTCAAGCTCTGCAATTAAGTTTGACTGGGGTGTCTTGCACAACAAACCTGCTTCCTCTAACAGGACCAGACTTTTAGGAATAAGGGAGGCGAGGGGAGAGCGTGGGCAACACTTGCTTGACGCGACATCATCTGACCTCCCCACCAACAAATAAGGATGGATGCTCAATTGACAGGTGGTCTGGAAGCACCCTTGGTTCAGATGATATCATGCACATGCTCTCTCTCACGCAAACATACATACAGAGAGCAAACACCAAGATAAGAGCAGTTAGGCCAAAATTAAGACTGGACTGGCCCTTCCAATCCATAGATTTGCTTATTTCTTAAATATAAGGAACTGAGCTTTTAATTCCCATGGGAAATCATGATTTCAAGAAGTATGCAGCAACCAGCACAAGCAGGTTGTGCACATCATACCCAGGATGGTAGGACAGTTCAGTTGGTAGTGATAAAAGATGCAGTCCGGCACACTTTTACTGCGTGTGTGATCAAGCAGAGTTACGTACGTCTCGGCGCAGCTCCTAGAAGCTTTTAATGATGGTTGAGCTTCACACAGAAGGCAATAAAACACTCATGGACGCCATAAAGCTTCAGCCAAGTTCTCGTTTACTTGACAGGTCATAAAAGCATAATTAGCAGCAATTATTTAAGCATTTACCGCAGCGGTGGTAAAGGCACACGTAAGTTCAAGCCTCTCTCTTTCTCTCTGTGAGTTGCAAGCAAGAGGAAAACAATAAAAGTCACCCTGTTATCAGTGCTTCCTGTAGTAGGTTCTGCACATGTCCAGAGAACAGTTCCTACAATAAGTGTCTTTGCTGAGTCCTGGCAGTGATATAAAGGTGGGTGGGCCTGCAGCCAAACACATTAAAGTATAAGCATCCATAATTGAAACACATCATAAAACAATCCCACTAAATAAAGCAACCCTGTGATTCAGACAAGAGATTCAGGACAAAGAGATCAAGGGAATTTCTGGGTAAACATAAGTATTTGTGGGTTGGGGTGTCTTCAGTGTCACACAAATATATTTTCTTATTTGTTGGTGGACTGAGGGGTGCACCCCTGGAGTCCTTAACATGGGATCTGCATGGGTTTTTCCCCCAGGAAGGGCTGGGTGGGTGTGGTAAAGTCAAACAATGAAAGTGGGAAACAGGCTAATTTCTCCTCTCCCTCACCCCCACCCCAAAAAGGAGGCATAGTGCCTGCACGTCTTGTTTCATATCTCAGGTTCTACAAATGCTAGAAAATTACTCTTTTTAAAAAGAAAATAGCAGCGGCAATAATAATAATAGAAACCTGGGGGTTATGGTCCATAACCCAATTTTTGCCTCCCTTCTCAGGTTCTACAAATACAAAAAACCTACTCAAAGTAGGAACTCTGTTATAGTTCATGGAGTGGGAGGGGGGGGGACTATTCCCTTCCCTTCTCCCACTCCCCACCCCATGAACCATAACGACTCCAAATTCCTCCTCTTTCTGAAAGTTCTGCAAGTGCTCGAAGCTCACCCTTCCTTTAACAGGCAGACAGGTGGACAAAAATGCAAACTGGGAATTTAGGGTAGCGCTTGATGGGGGAACTGGTATTCCCCCTAACCCCCACCTCCCGCTGTTCCCTGATTAGTTTCTTTTTCCTGCCCCCTGGGAGATGAGAGGAATACTGTAACCAAAAGAAAAAGAAAAAAAAAGAGCGAGCCGTGGCCGGTGCGCCTCTATGCGAGGAAAGCAATTCGCAGACGCTCCCTGGGCGTCCCTTTCCTTCTCTCTCTCTCTCTCGCCCGCCTCATTCGTGGTTTCCCCCGCCCCCTTTCTCAACGCCAGCGTCATTCTCCTCCCGCCTCTTCCTGCCGCGCCCGCCCGCCTCTTTTTTCGGACCACCCTTTTCTGCGCCTCCGGCGTGTGTCTCTTTGGAGACGCCCCCTTGGAGGGCCGCTCAGGTAAACAGGCAAGATGGCGGCGCCGGAGAGGGCAAGCGAGGCGGAGACGGGCCCCGCGGAGGCGGACGGGCCGGAGGGGTTGGCTCTGCCGCCGCCGCCTCCTCCTCCTCCAGGGCCCGGGCCGGCCCCTCCGAGCCTGGCGGAGCTGCCGGGGGAGCTTCTGGAGCTAATCGCGTGCTGCGGCCCGCTGAACGCCTCCGACGTGGTCCGCCTGGCCTGCACCTGCCGCCGCCTCAGGGAGGCCTGCCAGCCCCGAGGGAAGGTCTGGAGGGAGCAGCTCCGGCTCAGGTGAGCCCCAGGGACGGGTGGGGGTGTGTGTGGAAAGAGTGGAGGAATGGGGGGGGGGGGCTCGGAAAGGTGGCAGGAGCAGCGACGTCCATAGGTCGTGGTGCCTCTGAGCATGGGCAGAGTGCAGGGAAGAAGGAAGGCCTGGCGTTGTTCTAAGCGCAAAGATGTGCGTGTTTCAGGCCGCGTAACGGTGACGTCGAGAAGGTGGTGCCTCTGGGCATGGGCAGAGTGCAGCAGGAGGAAGGCCTGGCGAGGGAGTTCCCTGGAGCATACACAGCAGCAGTAGTTGCACTGGGTAGGTGGTGCTTCTGAGCATGGGCAGAGTGCAGCAGCAAGAAGGCCTGGCGTTCTAAGTGCAGAGATGTGCATGTTTTAGGTTATGGAGCAGTGACGTCGAGAAGGTGGTTCCTCTGGGCATGGGCAGGATGCAGAGGGGAGGAAGGCTTGGTGAGGGAGTTTTCTGTTCCCTGGAGTAAACACAGTAGCAATAGTTGCATTGGGTAGGTGGTGTTCCTGAACATGGGCAGAGTGCAGCAGGAGGAAGGCCTGGTGGCATCGTCCTAAGCTCACTGGGAGTTTTCAGGCTGATGAAGCTCACACAGCATTGTCAGTGGGAAGGCGGTGCCTCTGAGCATGCGTAGGGTGTGTGCATGTGATGTTGACCCAAGCACAGTGTAAGGGCAAGAGAGTTTTCTGTTGTCTGGAGCACACACAGCAGCAGTGGTTGCATTGGGAAGGTGGTGCCTCTGAACATGGGCAGAGTGCTGCAGGAGGAAAGAGGAGGAAGGCCTGGTGTTGTTCTAAGTGCAACACAGTGACTTTGAGAAGATGGTGCCTTCCTGGCATGGGCAGAGTGCAGCAGGAGGAGCCTCTGAGCATGGTTAGAGCACAGAAAAAGGAGAGTTTGGAGCCTTTGCATCTACAGCAGAAACAGAGACAATCAAGAATATGGTGTCCCTGAGCATGGGCAAAGTGCAAATGAGGAAGGACTGGAGGTGGCATCCTATGCACAGAGGCTTCAGTCCTTACACGTAGCCATAGCAGTGATAGTGGGATGGTGATGATGCCACTGAGCATGGAGAGAGTACAGAGGCAGGGAAAAGTGGAAGGTCTAATTTCCCAGGTGCAGGGAGAATTTTCTGGCCCTGGACATTGGTATGATAATTCCTGAGCATAGGTGGAGTGCAGGGGGAGGAAAAGGAGAAAGGGCTGGTATCCCTGGCCCAAGGGAAGTTTCCACTGCCAAGGTTTCGAGACACAACAGCAATAACAGGAATACTGGGAAGATAATGCCCCTGAACTGTGTGTGTAAGGCAGCTGATGGGAGTTGTAGTTCAAAAGATCTGGAAGTCACATGTGGAGTAGGCCTGGGCGATGTATCGATACAAGATTGGTATGGGGGCAGAGTGGGATGGCAGCTTCACTCAGAGGAATATTGCAGGTGAAACCGCCACCGCTCCTGAGCCAAGGGAGAAACAAGCTGCAGCTGGGAGTGGTGGCAGTGTCACCTGCAATATACTGCTGAATGAAGCCACTGTCCTACTCTGCCCCTTGTACTGGCAAAGAGAGAGAAACAAGCTGTATCACCGAGGAGCCGATACAGCTTGTTCCTCCCTTTGCTTCTTTAACGTGTTTGGCTGAGGAGCTGCATGCCTCAGCCTAGCAGTTGGGGCTGTTCAGCTGGGGTGTGTGAAGCACCCCCACTCCCCAGCTGCAGGAGCCCCAATCCTTCCGCTGCTTGCATGCAAGCAGGAGAAGGATCAGGGATGCTCAGCTGGGGGGTGCGAAATCCAACATCTGCCATCCAGAGCCAGCAGCAAAATAGTGGCTTTGAGAACTGAAAGAAGAAAAATCACTTTATCCAGGCACAGTCCGTATATATATATATTGGCAGTGTTAGAAAAGCTAGGAGCCAAATGTCTTCTTGGACCTGGGTTGTTGGCGCCAAAACAGAATGTCTAGTCGCCTGGGGTGTGAGGGTCGGCAACACTTTTTATTTATTATTTTAATAAGCATGAATTAATACGCAATTCACATAAGTGACACATTGTTAATATCACATTTTTAGCAGAAATTGCTAATATATGTTTGATTTGGTGTTGACAGTAAAAATATTGGTACCATACTTGAGTTTTCAAAACATTCTACTCTTTATTGTTAAACTCCTTAACATAGTGCCTATCCTTAACATATACTTGGAGGCTTCAAAGCACTACAGTTCAGTAATTTTTGAGTGTCAGCCAGGCACAAAAAAATGGCACCCAGACTTTTTGAGGTGCTCACAAATGGAGAATCTTTAGGTGCAAAATGCGCCTTGCGCCCTGCTAATTTCGAACCCTGCACCTATTCCGACCTCTCTTAATGGTGATACGGACCATTCATAACTTAAGAATGTTCTTCACAACTGTGAGCAGGGTAGTGGGGTGGGGTAAATGAAATGGTTCCTGAAATTCATTCTGATTGTGCAGATAAAATGTACATAATTGATAGAATTCTACAGGATGTGGTATTAGTATGTGAAAACAGTCAAGTTCCAGTGATCCCTAGACATGCACCTCCAGATGGTGAAGATCTCAAGCGCCATCCTGGTGCCCAGGCATCTTCACTTGGTTGTAATAGTCAGGTGCAAAATGTGCTAAGTCAGGTGCTTGACTAATTTGGAACATTGGGTGGGGTTGAATCACATGCAGGCAAATTCAGGCAGTGCAATTGATTAGTAGGTCTTGTGTAACAAACCTGTTTCCTCAAAGAGCAGAATTTTTGCAAAAAAAGAAAAGTGCTCCAGAAAGTGTGGGATAATGCTTGTTTCAATACGGTGGCATCTAACCTCCCCACAAACGCATCAGAATGAATGCTCAATAAAAAGCCAGTGTTGTCTAATATCCCTGCAAACAAATCAGGGAGATGAATGCTTAATAAGCTGATCGTCTGGGACCCCAAGATCTCTTCTTTGGTTAGTCACAATTCAAACACCATTGGCACATATTAAAGTTTGGGTTTATTTTTTTATTTAGCGAAATATGTTTGCCCCTTGATTGTAGTAATACCTGCAAGCTGCTTACAAGGAATATTAAAATGATCAATGAAAAATTGTTGCATTACGCATCAATTTGCTCTGACCTTGAACTTCATTTGCCATTTTCCTGCATGTTCACCCAGTTTGGAAATTATCATAATGGCAAACAGATTTTTGTTTGTTTTTAAAAGCTCATAGTAGTGTTCTCTGTCATTACTAAAATAAGTGATATTCTGTATCTGTATACTTTCATCACTGCTTCATGCTGTTCTCGATTTTAGCATCTGAACTGCTGTCAGGGGCCCAGTGAACCTTCCATGAGGAATATGGCCACACTGCGTTACATTATTTCAGCAACTGTTTATTTTAGGGCAATGAGTAAAGAATAACTCCTCCAACTGAAATTGCAGTGGGGGTTTCAAGGCACTCAGATGTAATTACTCAAGATGGAGCCTGGCCCAGAGTAACAGGGTCAATATCTCAACTTTTGCCAGGAGTCCAGCGATCAGAGAAACAGCCGCTTTTGGAATACAGACTCGCGATGGCTCACGTGGCTGGCTCTGAATCTTTCAAAGGTCCAACTTGGCGGCTGAGATGATAAAGCCGAACTCTGAATCGCAGACAGAGAGCCTGGAAAGCGACCCAGGAAAATTGCTTGCTGAACTGGGGAGCTGTCCGTCGTTCAGCAGCCTCTTTCACAGGTGGGGAGAGAATATTCTCTTCCTTTTAATTGTTCAGCCTGAGTTTTGCAAGCCAACTGGCAGTTAGAAAAAGCAATAAAACCATGTCTTCTTCTGCCAAGACATGGTCAGAGCCAGGCTGCATATGAACTTCTCCTGTTCTCAAAAATGGGCCAAGATAAGAAATTTACATATATTGGTCCAGTTCTATTGTCACTGACTGTGTGAGAGAGCTTGCCTGCAAGTTATGATTTAGTCTCCTACAGTGATGTATTCTGCCACACCATCGCCCCAAAAGTTAACAGATTCACATCCTGATTTAAAAAGTTGAAGCCATTGTTGTGTGTTTGTTCACAATACTACTGTGCAGCAACATTGCCATATATTGTGAAGGTGTTTGCAAAGTGATGTTCCTCATCTGGAGCAAACGAGACATAAAATTAGCCCTCTTTCTAGCCAAAATTTGCAAACCTGTTGACCAGCTGTTTTGGACTACAACTTCCATCAGCCTCAGCAAGGGCTCCATATTGGAGAAGGCTGCTTTGGTCATGTATGTCTCCTGATGCTGATTATTGTTTAAATAATAATTAGCCAGCAAATAGTCAGCTTGGGACTGGCTGTGGCAGGAGCAGTCAACCCTTTGCCCCAATCATGGTCCAGATCAGCTATTTATTAAACAAATTCAGGAATTGTTGTTATTATTTTATCCCACTTTGGTTGAAATTAATGAGCCTGAGGTCCATTCATTCTGAGGGGTTTACTCTTAGGCAGGAGTGAGGCCACATTCACACCATGCATTTAAAGTGCTATGATAAACATAGTTGTGGCTACCCCCCCCCAAGAGTTCTGGGAGCTGTAGTCAGTTAAGGGTGCTCAGAGTTTTTTGGGAGAACTCAAGTTCCCATAGTTCCCTGTGAAGAGGGCTTGATTGTTTAGCCACTCTGGAAATTGTAGCTTTGGAAGGGGAATAGGAATCTCCTAACAGCTTAGCACGAAGGACAAAGGGCCGTTGCTCAGTGGTAGAGCACACAGTTTGGTAGCGAACCTTTTCAGGATCAATCTGTAGCACCTTCAAGTAGGGCAAGAGGTGGGGAACCTACCTGAAATTTCTGCTCAGGGTAGAGTAGAGCAGGTATCTTCAACCTTTGCAGCCCCAGGATTCACTTTTAACCCAAACATGCATTTTGGGACCTGTTTCTTAATCTTTTACCACATATTTCCATGGTGGGAACACTCTTCCATGGTAAGAGTGTGACCCATCTTAGATCAGACAGCAGTCCACTGGTGGTCCTGACCCACCAGTTGAAGACCAGTGGAATAGACTATACAGTGGTACCTTGGTTTAATAACAGTCCTGTTTACGAACGATTCGGTTTACGAACTCCACAAAACGGGAAGTAGTATCCCAGTTTGCGAACTTTACCTCGGTCTAAGAACTGAAACCGAACAGTGGAAGGGCACCGGCGGTGGGACGCCTCATTAGGGAAAGTGCGCCTTGGTTTAAGAACGGTTTCAGTTTAAGAACGGACTTCCAGAACGGATTAAGTTCATAAACCAAGGTACCACTGTACTGAACTAGATGGAACAATATGAATCTATGTAGAACAGCTTCATTGTGTAATGTGTGTGTATCGGGATATTGGTTAATGTACGAACTAGATAACTCAACCACAACTCTTTGTTTTCGCAAATAGCCTATGGTCCTGTCCAAACTCCCACATGGATTTTGCATCCTTCAGATCTCTCTTGACTGGCAGTTTCTACTGTGACTCCTGCTTTTCCTTTGTGTTCTGAAAAAAATATGTTAACTTGGGAATTGTTCAAAAGCTGACAGATAAGGTCTATATCCACATCTTTTGGTTAATCCTAGTGTTGACATTTTGTGAGGAGGAAGCACATAGCTTGACTGGGCAGCCTCTGATAGGCTTTATCTCACAGCCATGTTATGCCAAGATTTCTCTTCCAGAAAACCTTCATGGTGTTGAATAGATAGGCAGGTGCATCATTAATCCTCAATGTCACAGGAGCTTCCAGGGCACCAGGGTTTGCAGCAGGTAGCCCAGAATTACAGCTCATGTTTGGGCTTTATTTTCCCCCCTGTCCTGGATATCAAAGAGAGCTTTGGGTTCCATGCCACCCAAAGCGGCTGTTGGCACAGCTCTCCTGTGCCCGATACACTTGGGAAATAGGGAGCAAGCGACTTCCTCCTACATTTCCTGGCAAGAAGCAAATGCTGGACACTTGGCTGAGCTGCTCAGAAACACGGCTGCAAGTCACAGGGCCTGTGTCCTCTGAGGCTAATCCCCTCCACCCTCCCTTTGGCCTCTCCAGCTCCCAATGCCGGCCAGCTGAGGATGTGCTCTGGCAGTGTACACACACTGCCGTCGACCTCCTCCTGGTTCAAGGGGGATAGGCAGATTCAAGAAGTTATAATCCTTTTTTGAACACAATGAATCCTCAAAGCAGCATTCGCTGTGATAGTTTGCTGGAAGAAGTGCTGCAGGGTGGGGTAGGGAGTTCTGCCACCTGCTATTTAGCTGTCAGGAAACGGGAGCTCATGTGTTGCAAGCAGAAGGGCCCTCCTTTAATCCCCGGCATCTCTAGGTAGCAGTGTTAGAAACTGAGATGCGAAAGTTGGAGCTAAATGGCACCTTAAACCTCGGTTGTGGGCGGAGCAACAGAATGTCTTGGCACACTTTTTTAATAACAAAAATACAAAGCTGAAAATGAATGAACTTCAGCTAAAATATTATCTTCCTTTTTCACATGGTCTAGTCCTAGACCTGCCTACCCCCCTAATATTCTTAAGAGGGTCTCTTCTCCAGTTGTCAGAGAGTAGCTGGACGTGGGGAGGCAGAAAAAGGTCCTCCTTTCCTTCCACTCTGCAGTTTTAATCTGAAATTGTAGGCACAGTACTGTGCCCAGAACTCAGAAACTGCATGTGCTGATGAAATTCCCTGTCGCAATATGCGCCTAGAACAATGGGAGTTTCAAACACTGCTAGGTAGCGTTGGGAAAGACTCCTGCCTGGAGGGCTGGAGGGTTTCTGCCGGTCTGTGTCAGTGATACTGAGCTAGATGACAAATGGTCTGGCTCGGCATAAGGCAGCTTCCTTATATTTGGAGGTTAGAGACAAGCCCAGTGGGCACGCCCCTTGCATTTATTCTGGATGCATAGCATGTGTTTTGCATGCAGGAGGTCCCAGGTTCATCTCCGGGTAGTGCTGGGAAAGACTCCAGTCTGAAATCCTGGAGAGCTCCTGCCAGTCATTGTAGATGGTTCTGAGCTAGGTGAAGGGATGGTCTGACTTGATATAAGGTGTTTTCCTTTGTGGCTAGGGGATGTCTGCAGTAAGATACTCTACTTTGAAAATATAGATAACAAGCTGGGGAGCTCTGATGAGTCCTCAGTAGCATCCTCACTAGATGGATTGAGGTTGAATCTCGAAAAGACAGAAGGGGGACATGGGGCGGGCGGGTAGGTGTGGAGGACTCTCTGGTCCTGAGCAGGGTAACTGCCACTAAAGGACCAGGTGCACAGTCTGGGAGTCATTTTGGACTCACAGCTGTCCATGGAAGCACAGGTTAATTCTGTGTCGAAGGCAGCTGCCTACCAGCTCCATCTGGTACGCTGGCTGAGACCCTACCTGCCTGCACACTGATATAAGGCATCTTCCAATGTGGCTACGGGATGCCTGCAGGAAGATACTGTACTTTGAAAATATAAGTAACAAGCTGGGGGGTTCTGAAGTGTCTTTAGTAGCTTCCTCTCCAGCTAGGCCTGAACTAGCAGTATAGCAGTCTAGTGATATAGTACATTTTCCTTACAGGTCTAACCCCTGGGGCTCAGGAACAAATGAGCACCAAGCCTTGGGCTATTTAGAATAATTTGTGTGACTGGGAGAGCATAGGGATGCACCTGTCTCCTTCACTCCAGGCGCAGCTTAGTGCTATTGGTGTTATTTGACTCCCAACTCCTCATCAGCCCCAACTAGCACGGTCAGCGATTATGGGATTTGTAGTCCAATGACGGTTACACCTCTCTTCAGTAAGGGGCTTGAGCAGTTCAGTTCCCCACCCTGCTACCCCAGCTGATGCCCATCATTTTTGGACCATGGCAAAAAGCATGCTCAGGCCTTGTTGGAGTGGGGCGCAGGGTGAGAGGGGGAGGATCTCTTTTTTAAAAATAAAAAAGCAAGAATATTTATCCACTTACCTTCAGAAAGTCCCCCAAATATTCAGAATTATATAATTTATATAGGGCCACATTTCACAGCTGGGCATGAGATCTTCAGCCCATACGGAGGAGTGCCTCTGTTTAGGGTTCTAATCAGCCTGGAACAAAAGGACTCATCAGGGTGAGCCAGCTGGGGAAGGAGACCCTTCTTGTGTTTTTTCCCCCCATTCCTGCCCTCCTGAAATCTTTCCCCACTGTGCCATGAATGTTTCATCAACCTTAGTGTTTAGCAGGGTGCCAGTCCTCTGGAACCTCTCACTGTAACAGATGAAATGGGGTGTGTGCATGTGCATTACACTTGTGGTGTACCTCCTTTGACCTCATTCCTTCTCCAGGATACCTCATTCCAAGGGGGGGAAACCCGTGGCCCTCCAGCAGCTCCTGGACTCTAGCTCCCATCATCCCTAGCCAGCATAGCCCAATGGTCAGAGATCATGGGAAGTGCAGTCCAACCACGGCTAGAGGGCCACATGCTTCCCATCCCTGTTAGTGGTTCAAGGAGACCACTTCTCCTTACTCCATTTTCCTGTTCTCTTCCCCCTGCCTCTTGGCATCCTGAACAACTCCGTGAAGATGTGAATTGTTGGCCACTGTGTTTTGATTTGTCTGTTTCTTCCACAGGTGGCCATCGCTTATGAAATATTATAACCAGGTGGACAGCGTGAATTGGCTGGAGGAATACAAACAACGGCATAAAGCTGGCTTGGAAGCTCGGAGAATCGTAGCATCATTTTCCAAAAGGTTCTTTTCGGATCATGTAAGATTTCTTGTTTATTTGAGAAACACTCGTCCTGTGCACGCCATGATCCTTTTGTGACCCAGGATACAAAAGCATGCTTGATAGTTTCCTAGTGGGTTACAGGAAAAGTCCTAAGAACTGAGGAAGCTACTTTGAGTCCATTTACTCAATATTGTCTACTGGCAGCAATTCTCCAAGGTTTCAGACAGAGATCAATTCCAACCCTACCTGGAGATGGAGATGCTCTGCCACTGAGCTATGACCCTCCCCACAAAATAAGCTGCCTCAGACTGAGTCAGACCATTGGTCCATCTAGCTCAACATTGTCTACACTGACTGGCAGCAGCTCTCCAGAGTTTCAGATGGGAGTCATTTCCCTGCCCTGGGATGCTGGGGATTGAACATGGTACCTTCAGCATGCAAGACTGATGCTCTACCACTGAGCTATGGCCCTTCACTTAAGGCATAGAAGCCTTAAGATAGGCCATTGGTCTATCTAGCTCAATATTGTGTACACACTGACTGGCAGCAACTCTCCGGGGTTTCAGACACCTATATGGAGATGCTGGGGGTTGAACCTGGGACCTTTTGCATGTAGAGCATGTGCCCTTTCAGATGAGCCATGGCCCTTCCCTAAAGTCCTTAGTGATGGGATAACATTATGTTCTTTTGCTAGGTGCCCTGTGACGGCTTCACTGATATTGAAACCCTCGAGTGCCCAAGCCACTTCTTTGAGGATGAGCTGATGTCCATCCTTAATATGGAAGGAAGGTGAGCCTGAATTTTAAAAGAGCTAGGAGGGGCTGCAAAAACAAAATTGCATTTCCATAGGGCTGCAAAGTTTAGATTAATTGATCGGCCAGTTAAAACATTTTTGACTGACTGAAGCAGTGCACCTGATTTACCCAGCCAGCAGATTTTAAATATTTTTTACAGAAACTTAACAGACACTGCAAATTCATGTTGCAATTTAATTCTTAAACGTTTTATTTTATTAGCTGCATTCATAGCCCTCTTCTTCAAAGAAGTTACAAGAGAGCAGACATGATTTCCTCTCTGGTTTTCTTTTGCTTTATCTTCACAACATTACTTCAAGGTTGGTGAGGCTTACAGAGAGTGACTTGTCCAAGGCATACCAACAAGCTCCATAGCCGAGCAGAGATTCGAACCTGGTCTTATACCATTCCAGCTATTAACAAGTGCTGGTTTTGACCTATAAGGCCTTAAGCAGCTCAGTACCGCAATACCTCAAGGACTGCCTCTCCCCAGATACACCGACCCAGACTCTGTGATCATCATCTGAGGCCCTTCTTTGTGTGCCTACTCCTCAAGAGGTCCAGAGGGTGGAAACATGAGAACTGGCCTTTTCTGCAGTGGCTTCCCATTTGCGGAATGCTCTCGCCAGGAAGGCTCATCTAGCACCTTCATTATACATCTTTAGGCACCAGGTGAAAACGTTCCTCTTCAACCAGGCCTTTGGCTGATTAATATTCTACGACCTTTTAAATGTGCTTGTGGGATGTGGGGTTTATTGTCTGTTTTTGTTTTAACTGTTTATTTTGTGCTTTTATTCTGCATTTTTATCTTGTGAACTACCCCGAGATCTTCAGATGAAGGGCGGTATATACCTTTGATAAAAATAAATAAATAAAATAAGTGCCAGTCTTATGAGAAATGTTGCATTCTCTGTGCAAGAGACAATCGGAAATGCCTCTCCTGAGATGTTACAGTGCATAATCTAAAAAAAAAAGTCTGCTTACCCCCTCTCTTGTATGCAAATTTATGCAGATCTAATTGATTAAAACTGCAAGGACTGTGTAGGAAGTCTTAAAAGCAGAGGCAGACAACCTGTGGACCTCCAGATATTGCCGGACTTCAGCTCTCATCATCCCTGGCCATTAGTCATGCTGACTGGAGCTGACAGCTATGTTCCAACAATATATCCGAAAGCCCACAGGTTCCCCATCCCTGTTTTAAAAACTACACTGAAGTTTTATAGCTGCTTGCGTGCTCAGCTTTGTTTCACCTTCTAACAAGGCTGCAGCTTAATATTTTGCATTGGTGAGGTTTCTGCTTAACATCATTTGAGCTGCTGCGTTGGCCGCTCACATTCTTATTAAGAGCAAATTTATGCTAACGATGCTGCAGTCTTTGCCACTTGCTATCATTAAGCTAAATTGTTTCCCTGGAAGCCGTCCTGACAGTGTGTCTGTTCCTACTGAGCGCCCTGATTGACTAGAGGATAATGCGTTGTGAGGTTTGATCTGTTTGCTGGAGTGGACGGATCTGAATTGGGAGAAACAGGAGCATCACCTGTGCATGCATTCAGAGCCCAGGAGGGTATAGAGCAGGTGTGGGGAACGTAGTCCATCTGTTGCTGAACTGCAACTCCCGTAATCCCTGGCTATTGCCTGTGTTTGCTGGGGCTGATGGGAGTTGTAGTTCAACAACATCTGGAGTGACAAAGTTGTCCATACACCTGGTATAGTGAAACAATAGGATGTGAGTAAGAAGCATTCTGTAGAATTGGGTTCTTGGAACACAAAGAACACAAACAGTAGTTAAAATTAAGCGCTTTTGGAAACAGGAGTGAATGCTTCTGCACCCCTTCTCGTGGCTACAGGAACCAAGCCAGGCTAATTCCCATCATGATAAATAATAATATAATAATAATATTTATTATTTATACCCCACCCATTTGGCTGGGTTTCCCCAGCCACTCTGGGCAGCTCCCAACATAAATAATAATAATAATAATAATACCATCAGACATTTAAAACGTCCCTGAACAGGCTGCCTTCAGGTGTCTTCTAAAAGTCAGATAGTTGTTTATTTCCTTGACATCTGATGGGAGGGCTTTCCACAGGGAGGGTGCCACTACCGAGAAGGCCCTCTGCCTGGTTCCCTGTAATCTCACAGTGAGGGAACCATCAGAAGGCTCTCAGAGCTGGACCTCAGTGTCTGGGCTGGACGATGGGGTGGAGACCCTCCTTCAGGTATACTGGGCCCGAGGCCTTGGTCTGAATGTAGCCATTCAGATCTTGGGTCTTCCCAGTCTTAGTTGGTCTTTCTTGACCACTACATTGCACTGTCTCTCAAGAAACATCTTAAATATCTTTGCACACTACATTTTCTTACTACAGAATAATTATTAAATTGGTTTTCTGTCCAAGGCACTGACACAAATGTAACAGCATCAAGTCTTCCTCGGCCGTTCTCTTAAGTAAGTGGCATGTGACGTTTCGAGTCTGGAAGGATCAGTACCCACCATATTTACACAGTGGTCTGAGGACCTTGCATCCCTCCAAGTCATAAGGTGGACTTGGAGGAATAGTTTTCCATTCTTAACCCCACAAAGAGTCCTGGGACCTGTGGTTTGTTACGGGTGCTGTTAGGAGACCCCGCCCCCTGCTGATATTCCCCTCACAGAGCTACCATTTCCAGAGTTTCCTGGGGAAAAGGATAGACCGTTAAGCCACTCTGAGAACTGCAACTTTAAAGCCTTCCTTTATTCTTTTTGGCCAGGCTCCCCGGTGCAATTTTTCTGCATTGTTTGCTGATCCTTATCTCTTTCATCTTTCTACCCCTCTCTTGTTTGTTGCTGAAGTTTAATAAAACTATTGATGTCGGCAAAAATCCCAGCTGGCGTGAGAGTATTTGAGCGGCATTGTAGTTCTCTGCCTGCTTTTGCATTCCGCAGATAAGATTGTGCTATAGGGGTCAGAAGTTGTCTTTTAAAGTCATGGGAGATACCTGAGCCGTATTAATAAGATCCTGCTTTCAGGGCTTGGTAGTTGTTTCCATGCTCTGCTTGGCTAGCCCCTTATAATCACGCCATTCAAGCGTTTCTCTTTGTGCGCCTGGCTTTCCTCTTCCCATTCTTCCGACTCAAGCGGTTGCTCACCACAATGGTTCTCCTTCACTGTGCAGGAAAGGCCTGACGTGGAAGTACTATGCAAAGAAAATCCTTTACTTCATGCGGCAGCAAAACATATTGAAGAAACTGAAGGTGTATCTTCAGCGCCCAGCGGATGAGCAGTCCTTTTTGGAAGGTGAGTGGAGGCCTCAACGTGATAGCAAGCATCTGTCCTACCAGCCGAATCTTTATTGTTTAGCCAAAGGCTCTGCGTCACACAAAAGAATCCAAATGGAGCATCACTCAAAATGTAGTTAAAGTAAAATAGTGTGATCTACTGGCACATCCAATATTTTCCAATGCAGTTACAAAAAAACAAAAAACCTCATTGTACTCATTACAAAACGGGCAGAATCTTAACCATTTTGTAATTTAATTCAGTGGTTTGTCCCGAAATCAGCAGTCCAATCTTTTTCTGTTCCTCGTATGTTCTCAAATATTATTTCTGAAATGCACACGCTCCATCTTTATCTGGATTTGAAGAGCTTTATCCCAACACCCCCATTTGCTTTTCCTTGTTTAGCTTTTAATTTCCTCTTAATGCAATACAGACTGGCCAGTTTAATTCTTCACTTACCTTACTAAAATGAGAATTCCCTTCTCCTTCACTTGCCAATTATCTCTCTCTCTCTCTCTCTCTCTCTCTCTCTGTGTGTGTGTGTGTGTGTAAGGTTAAAAATGTTTTTATAATTTCATGAGGAGGGGCTCTTTGGGGAAAAAAATCTATTCCAAAGATGGGGAACCCCAGTCCTCCATCCCTATTTGGGCCTTGGGGCTCTCCTAGACCACGCCCCCTCACAGAGGCCACGCCCTCTGTGTTTGCTTAGATGTTATGTGCTCATGAACCATGATAATGCCTTTTGCTTAACTTGCAGGAGAGAGGAGAGGTGGGTGGGTGGGTCCCATCTGTTACTCCACCCACCACTGTTACATGGCCCTTGGAAGGCTGCTAACTAGCGAATGTGGCCCTCGGGCTTTAAATGGTTCCCCGCCCCAATCTAATCAACTCACCACTCAATTCAGGGACCCAGCGGCTACAGCGCCCCATGGCAGGTGTCTGTCCAGCCGCTACTTCCCATTACCCGGCAGCTCTTACCATTCGAAATTAAATCTGCTCACAACCCTTGAGTAATTTTAATGGAATATATTTCTGCCCTGCCTCTCTTCCGGGTTTTTCCAGGGGCTGTACTGATTGACCAGTATTGCAACCCACTGTCGGACATCTGCCTAGAAAGTGTCCAAGCCCAGGTTGACGATATTGTGGCCAAAGTTCGGAAATTCCTGAAATCGAAAAACTCTAGGCACCCAAGTGTGACCCAAAAAGCAGGTATTGTACAAAGCTACTTGAGTTAGTTTTTTGTTTGTGTTTTTTGTTTTGTTTTGGACAGCCTTTTCTATGGCAATGCAGCTACTCTGCGCTAGGGTGACTTGTAGTGTTGGAAGGAACCACAAGGGTCATGTAGTTCAACCCCTTTGCAGTGGAAGACTTTTTCGCCCAACGTGGGGCTCAAACCCACAACCCTGAGATTAAGAGTCTCATGCTGACTGATACTGACTGAGCTATCACACCTGGGCGAGAGGTGAGGAGAACATTTTCCTGACAAGGGCCACATTTCCTCTGGAGAAATCTGTCAGGGGCCACATGCTGGCAGTGAACAGGGCCAAAGCCACCAGTGGACAGAGATGCCCCCCCCTTCTCTCACTCTTCTCACCCAGCAGAGGCAAATGACATTACGATGGGAGTGGCCGCAGAGACCATATAACACCAGACCTGAAACACCTACATTGGCTCCCAGTACATTTCCAATTCAAAGTGTTCCAATTCAAAATGACCTCGGCCTAGTATAGCTGAAGGAACGTCTCCACCCCCACCATTCAGCCCGGACACTGAGGTACAGCTCCGACGGCCTTCTGGCGGTTCCCTTACTGCAAATTTACAGGGAACCAGGCAAAAGAGGGCCTTCTCGGTAGTGGCACCCTCCCTGTGGAACGCCCTCCCATCAGATGTCAAGGAAATACAACTATCTTGACTTTTAGAAGACATCTGAAGGGAGCCCTGTTTAGCGAAGTTTTTAATATTCTGTTGGGAGCCACCCAGAGTGTGAGGTGATGGATTTGTGCAGGCGACTGCAGGAACTCAGTTTCTGGAAGCCCCAGGAAGGGAGAGTGCTCTTGTGCGCAGGTCCTTCTTGTGGTTTTCCCACAGGCTTCTTGTTGGCCACTGTGAGAACTCTCCCGTTTTCCTAGCAGTTTCAGCGAATTAATTTATTCTTGTGTTTCAGGGGAGGTCTTGATCGTCTCTCAGGTGGAGCTTCAGAGGCAGGTCCTCGATGCCATGAACTACGTCCTCTACGAGCAATTGAAATACAAAGGGAACGAGGTGGATTACTACAATTCCCTGAATTCGTACATCCGCCAGGTAAAGAGAACAAACAAGTCGGAACAGGAGAACTGACTTGCCCGTTAACTTGCCTTTTTTGGCATAGGAATATGTTTGCATGCCGCCCTAAAGGCAGTGATTTAGAATGAACAGGTTAGAGATGTGCCTGGGGGCAGGCGGAAGTTAGGGTTCTCTGATCATCTGAGCCAATGGGCAGGGAGTGGTGCAGCATGGAGAGGGGAGGATGTCCTGGCAGCACAAAGAAAAGAGGCGGCAGACAGTTACTGTCTGTTGCCTCTTTGGGACCATCCGCTAGCCACCAGAGACCTAGTTACTCCCAAGTCTCCTCTCTGTCTCGCCCTTCCATCACCTCATCATTGCACCCTTTATTCTCCCAGGATTTGGGAATATCAGCTCGGGGTTTCAGATAGTGCAATCTCACGGCACTACTGCTGTTCTCGTGCTGTTTTTATCCATTGTATCTGTTCTTAACGTTATGCTTTTATTCTTCCATGGGAAACCACTTGGGGAGCACAATGTGGGGGAAAGCGGCTTACACATCTTACAAATAAACGAAACAGAGAGACAGATTGTTCTCAGTGGTTACATGGGAGCTTCTGGGCCTATTTTGTCTTCCTCGCCTTAAAAGAACAGAGGATCCATTGTACTGCAAGGCTGTAAACCAACCAGTCCCTGTTTTTGGGGGTGGGCTTAAACATAATCCCAGATCAGAGGGACTACCCCTCACCCTCACTGTTGGTCTCGTTTTCTTTTTCTGGTTTCAGGTTTTGATCCACAGGACTGGAATCCCAATCAGCTTGTCGGTGCTTTACTTGACAATTGCCAGGCAGTTGGGTGTGCGGCTGGAGCCTGTCAACTTTCCCAGCCACTTTTTGCTCAGATGGTGCCAAGGGACAGAAGGGTAAGCTTTTAAAGTTTCGCTTGGCCTCCCGCCCTCCCACCAGGAACCTTGTTTTCCGAGCTGGCAAGGCAGCAAGAGAGGCAGCTATCTCAGGCAACAAGATGGCTTCGGCGTTGCCATTTTCAAGTTAACTGCTGCCAAACGGCAAAGTAATGGGAAGGGTTTGTGTGCGTGTGTGTCCTTCTACTGCAGAAGAGAAATGGGTCGCGTTCGATTAGAAAAAACCCCACTACTTGCCATAGTCATCAATAACATCGGTGCGATCTCATTATCTGCCAGGGATCTGGCCAGCCGTGGAACCGAAAGTTATACATTTCACTCTGTAATGGCTCTGACAGTGTCGCAAGATGGCGGGAATGCAGCTGCCTAGAATAAATGGTAGCGGATTTCCAGGGGGCGAAAATGGCATTTGCCCATAGACACACACACACACACACACACACACACACACACACACCCTACGCCACCCCTGAGAGCAGTCTCAGCTCCCCATGGGTTGCTTCTTCGTGCAGCCAGAACAACACCGTCATGCAAAATGTGTACCCCTTTTCTCTGTGCCTAAGGGGTGCTGTATTAAAAAATAAAGCTGTTTCTGCCCACCTCATTGTATGTCTGTACGCACACCTGTTCCATGTCAAGGTATACCCACCACTCCTGCCATGAGGGTGACAGCCCCATTATTGCGTGGAAGAGCACTTTGTTTCTTCTAGAAAGAGAAGCATGCTATGCTTGCTAAAGGCTTGCCCTTCGTTTTTGCTTTCTTTCTGCAGAAGCACAAACATCTTTGACTATGCCTATATCGACGCTTTTGGGAAGGGGAAGCAGCTCACTGTGAAAGAGTGCGAGTACCTGATCGGGCACCACGTGACCGAGGAATTTTATGGCGTGGCGACAGCAAAGGAAGTTTTGCAGAGAATGGTGGGCAACTTGTTGAACATCGGGAAGCGGTAAGAACCCAGCAGAGCATTGCGTCAAAAGCCCTTTCTGAGGAGACCCAAAAATCGCAGGTTCGGGTGGTGAAATGCCGCAGCTGCTAAGAGGCAGCCACAAAGTGGGGAGTCCAGGGTCCAAGTCTCCTAGAAGTCTTCTGCTTCTGATCTGGTATGGCAGAAGGCAGGAACCTCAGCAGTTGATGGAGCTAATAGCAGGCAGAGCCAGCTATTTCCAGTCCTGTCCCTGTCCTCCTCCCAGCTAGGAGCTGAGACTAAGGAGGAAGCTGATAGGCAGGGCCATCCCTTGGACTGACTGCAAATAGAAAGGCAGGCTGGTTGGGGCAGAGCAAGGTAGGTGGGGTAGTGCCCCCATTGGCCCTGATCAACCAGTTTCATGAACATGAATGAAAGCATAACCTTTGTCTTTGCCTGTTTCTGTTTGCCAGGGAAAGCACTGATCAGTCCTACCAGCTCCTGCGAGACTCCTTGGATCTGTACCTGGCCATGTACCCAGACAACGTGCAGCATCTCATGCTCCAGGCTCGATTATACTTCCACCTGGGAATCTGGCCAGAGAAGGTACTTAAAGCCTTGTGTGCCATCACTTGCCCAGGCTCCTGCCCCAAAACACGCAAGCAGAGCCCCTTGCTTGCCGGTAAGAAAGAGATCTTAAATCAGGCAAGCCTTATCAACAGACACAGTGCTCAGGGGTCATAGTGCAGGAGTTCAGGAGCAGGGCAAGAAGTTCTGAACTGGATAGAAGTGGCAAAGGTGTCCCAAAATGTTTCCCAGCCACGCCTGCCAAGCCTTTAAAGATGAGGCGTGGCATGCTCTCTCGTGAGACTCTACTGCCTTGCGGAAATGTCAGGATTGCAAACGTGTGTTCTGTCAGAGCAGGAGGGTCTGCTCCCAGTCTCCCTACCCCGTTGTCTGTGGCACCAGCTCACGGAAATGGCAGCTGTTTGCAACGTTGCATTATTTTGCCTTTCTTCTTCAAAGGTGCTGGACATCTTGCAACACATCCAAGCGCTGGACCCCTCCCAGCACGGAGCAGTGGGCTATTTAGTTCAGCATACTCTAGAGCACATCGAACGCCGGAAAGAGGAAGCGGGGCCTGACGTGAAGCTCCACTCGGAGGAGAAACACAAAGACGTCTGCTATTCTGTCGGCTTGATTATGAAACATAAGAGGCGAGTCCATCCCGTTCCATTCCTCCTCCTCTGCTCAGTATTCTGTGCTTGTTTGGTGTTCTTGCAGCATCAGATGTTTGCTTTCAGTTTGAGGATCATCACAGATTCAAGCACCACCGATAACCTAGTTCCGGAAGCAGGATTAGTATCTGAATCTCCATGGAAGTTCCCTGTTGCATAGTTAAAATGGCAGAACCAGCAAGTACAGGCAGGATCAGAGCTGCTCGTCCCCCAATCCCAATCGGCTTCTAAGCTGAACCTCAGCAACAGTGGCAGTAATGCCTGTGGGAACTGATTCAAAATAGCTTGGTACCCTAAGCCCAGTTTCAGCCATTTGCAGATGGGAAAGGGTTACTGTTTTTTTCTCCATAATACTCTTTGGGGGAAATTGGCTGGGGACCATCTGCCAATTGAATCTGTGAAGGAGCTTCACTGAGCACCTACCCAACGATGAAATGTAGAAATGGGTTGGCTGTTTTGCCCTAAAATCTGGGCTGAAAGTTCAAAAGTTCAGCCCAGTCAAAAAAAGAAAGAAACGTGATCTGGATGAAACGAGCAAAATTTGTCCCCAAATGCACAAATGTCTTTTATCATGAAGGGAATAACATACAAAGCTGCCAACCAGAAAAAAATAGCGTATTTTATCTACAGCATTTATCCATCTGTATACCGTAAGAATGGGGTTAAAATTAGCTCCCTGGGAACACTGTTCTATTTCTGTATTCGATGTTATTTTTAGTTGGCTTTGGACATGTTGTACAAAGACCAGCAGATAACAGGGATATATATAAAGGGGGCATAATTTTTGTGTGGCCCCCGGGAAAACATGTTATTACAACAGAGAGAGAAATTGTAGTTCCTGAGCTATTGACACTTTCTCCTGGCATGGATTTTTTTCATGTACAAAGAGTTATCTCTTATTGGGTCTGTTTCACACATAACACTAAGCACTAGTTTGTTTAACGAATCATGAGCTGACCACGATTTAACCCTCAGATGATCAAACAAAGCATAGGTTTTTTCTCCGAAGATTGTTTTGTTTTCCAGCTGTTCTTGTGGCTTGGAGAGCGTCTTAGGTGGCCCAACAAACACACGGTTAAGGAATTGGGCTTGGTTCACACATAATGCCAAGCCAAAATTAAAAACAAACCATACTTTATAAGCCTGCTGCAAACCATGGTTTACAGTTATTGTTTGGGAAAATAAGCAAACCATGGTTTAAGTTACAGGGCTGGGTTCACATGGTCAAACAAATCAAAATCAAACTAAGCTAACCATGGCTTAGTGGTTTTTTGTAACCCCGGCTACCATTTAAGAACAGTGACAAAACAGCAGCAGGAAGATTGTATGACAATCTGGGATTCTGCTATTGAACACTGTAAAAGGCAATCCCAGCTTCCTCAGCCAAGAGGCAGTTTTTTTCAGTGCTCTTGTGATAACCAAGGTTTTTTCATTCTGTCAGGTTCAAATAACATAATGTTGGTTATTGATTACCATAACACTATGCAAAATCCTTGGTGGAAAAGTTGTGATCCATTTGAAATTATTGATGTTTTGCTCTTTTTGGCTCTTTTTGCTCTTTTCATTCTACTTAGAGTAGACCTACTCTTTCCATATACAAGGGCTGGATTCTTTCCTTTGTGATGTTGTCATGTGAAATTATGGCTGAAATGAAGCGGGGGGGACAAGAACCCTTTTTTCCAATAGGATACCAGTCTCTTATTTTCCTAGGGGTGTTTTGCAATTGTCAACAGTTACAGCTATAGAATCAGAGAAATGTAGAGTAGGATATGGACCGAAAGGGTTCTGGCTGCGCAGAACCTCTTGATTCCACCCAGGCACCCCAATGCGTATGTGCCATATTGCCTCCGATTTGACTGTCAATTAAGTTGTGCGCCCTTCCCCACCGTTTTTCAATTTAGATATGGCTATAACTGTGTCATCTACGGCTGGGACCCGGCATGCATGATGGGGAACGAATGGATCCGGAACATGAATGTTCATAGTTTGCCGCATGGTTCCCAGCAGCCCTTCTACAACGTATTGGTGGAGGACGGATCATGCCGATACGCAGCCCAAGGTAAGCAGCACTGGGACATTCTCCTTCGGGGGAAACGGGTTCAGCCGCTTCTAATGTGGAAAGAAACCCCAGGTTTTTAACATATGCCAGTGAAGCTGTGCAAATCAGGGGTGCAGGCTGGTGTTAGAAACTGAGATATGAAAGCTAGAAGCTAAATGGCAACTTAAGTCTGTGAAAGGCAGACAAGAAATATTAAAGAATGAAAATAAGCATGCAGGTGAAAAGTAATATGGGATAATACTCATTGTCTGTCTCATGAGTATAAATAAGGTAAGAATTGTAAAAGGACGTAGTGTAGTCTGCAGATCAAAAATGCTATGCAAGTAATATTTGAAAAGATGGGATCTTCCACTAGAGGGTGCTCTGTACCGCTACACAAATGGGTGTTTGGAAGGGTTTTTCTTAAATATGCAACCTGCCATATATTTTCTTATTCTAAGTATTGAGCTTCACACTCAGAAGTGCCCAGATGATAGGCACCTAGCTGGTTCTTTAAATACTAGTATTGCCTGGGTGATGGGTATGTACCTGCCTGTCCACCTCCTTTAGTTCAAGCTGTATAATTGTAGATGAACTGGTATTTAAAAAGAAATCATCTCTCTCTCTCTCTCTGCCTGCCTCTCTTCATCTTCTCAAGGCAACTCCCATCAGACCCAGTCAGAAGAGCCAATGGCTTGGGATGATGGGAGTTGTAGTCCAGCAATGTCTGCAGAGCCACAGGTTCCCCATCTCCGCTTTCAGCATCTGCCCACAGGACCACAGATGGTCCTGATCCAGCAGGCTTTTCTTGTGTCCTTACGATGACAAGTGTTTACTTGAGGAAAGCGTTCAACACAAACAGGGAGTCATTGCCTCATTGCCACCCTCCACACCTCTCTCAGAGAAGACACATGAAGGAAGGCCCTCTGGTGGCAACTGCAGGTCCAGTCCCTATAGGGCAGGCATAGGCAAACTCCGGCCCTCCAGATGCTTGGGACTACGATTCCCATCATCCCTGACCACTGGTCCTGTTCGCTAGGGATGATGGGAATTGTAGTCCCAAACATCTGGAAGGCCGGAGTTTTCCTATGCCTGCTATAGGGATTGGCTTTTTGCAGACTCACACAGCCAAATTACCAAGAGGGGCATATTCTCAGAGCTGACACTGTGTTTTTTTTCCAAAGTATCCTCCGCTCTGAATGGCAACAGAGTCCCCGAATAACAGCAGATACGAGCCACTTCTTCAGGAGAGGCTGGTCTGTTAGGGCATGTAGGATTCCACCCTTCTGATCTCGGCCTGCCCACAGCCAGACCCCACCTGCCTGCCTTCTTGCTCACAGGAAGTCCAAGGAGAAACCCTGCCTGCCAGCTTCCTCCTCCTTAACCCCAGGGTTGCCCTTCTAGAACTTGTCAGAGAGGAAGACAGGGTTGGAAGTGGAATTAGTTGGCCCGGCCTTCCTTTGCCCCCGACTCTGCCTGTTGTTGCCCAGTGTCATGACCCTGCAGTCATCTTCCAGGGATGAGGCAGAGAGTCTGAAGCAAAAGGCAATGGGTGTGCAGGCCAAGCTTCAGAAATGAGTTCAGAGAGACCTGGGGCGGCTAGTACCCCCCTGACCTGAGAAGGTGGCACTGCCATCCTCTGACTCAGAGGACTCCACTGCAGGAGGACTGGAGGAAACCCACCCCCACGCTCCATCGCAATAGGAGGTTCCAGGGGCAGGCTGAACCTTTGAAGTAGAACAGCAGCACCTTGCAGATGCTAAGAATTGGGCTGCACCTGGCGCTGCTGCCGCGTAAATAGCTGTTTTAGCCTGTTCCTTGCTAGAGCTCCCTAGATCCTTGCCTTGTTTACTGCCTGAACCTTGACCCACCGGTGTGGCCTTGCCTTCCCACACTGCAGAGCCCCACAGCCTCCCCGCTTTTCTCCCTGCCAGTCCCAAATGGGCACCAGACACCCCCACGGTTCTTTTTGTCAAGCTTGCAGAAACGGTCACCTTCCCTTTGTTTCTTCCTCTTGCAGAGAACCTGGAGTACAACATGGAGCCCCGAGAAATCCCTCACCCGGACATTGGCCGTTACTTCGCAGAGTTTGCCGGCACGCACTACCTAGCAAACGCTGAGCTGGAGTTCCGGTACCCCGAGGACCTGAGGCTGACGCTTGCGGATGTCCAGAAAACGTACGGGAACAAGGAATGAACTTCTGTCTGTCTTTGCTGGTGTGAAAGATGGCTTTAGTGCGGTGGCGGCAGCAGCGAGAGCTGCGTCACGGGAACCGTTCTTGACAGTTCTCCGGCTTAACTAGGGATCACATTTTGCTTGATAACTAGGGGTGAAGTTTTTTGTTCTTTAACCACCCAGCTAAAGCCGTGCCAATACTAGTGAAATACTGCAGGACACCTGAGCTGCTGAGGTGTGCAGATGCTACTTGTCGGAAATGACTTCTGTGTACGAAGTACATGGTACTCCTTACCGCTCTTGGACCTCGAAAGCTCTTTGTTTCCCCACCAAAGACTTGGGGGAGTGTTTGGGGTGGCCTAGAGACTGGAAACGTTGGCACCTTACGGATAGGGTTAGTCCTCCACATTTGCGGTGCAATGAAGGTCTTGAGTTATGTGCATACCCTGGAAAGAACACGGCTTTTTCACAGACCTCGTTGCCCACCTTCAATTCCATGCAGCCCTGTGCCAAAATCTTGGGAATTATATTGAAACTTCTTTGTCCAAAGATCTTGCACTGAGCCGATCTCCTCCCACTGCTGCAAACAATCGCTCATGCTAGCTTTTTTCTCCAGGCTTCATAGATTCCATTACACACACACAAACACGCACACACACACACACACACACACACACAAACACACCGCACTCCTCTTGCTCTGCACCAGTCTTGGAAGGAGCTGCTCATGTTGCTGTGATATTTCCCTGTGCCTAAAGAGGAGTATCCATGCTGTGCTGTGAAAACCTCACGTTTGTCAAGACAAATCTCCTGGGCTTTTTGTGTGTGTGTGTTTGTGTAGTCAAGGGCTGCCAACCTTTTGGAGCCAGTGGGAATTTTGAGATGGTGCCATGGGCACCAGTCACAAAATGGCTGCCGCGGGTGTGGGTGTGTAGCGTGAAAGAAAATGGCTGCCGCCCCCCCAAAATGGCTGCTCAGAATGGATGGGAGGGCAGGTGGTCCAGTCCTGGCATCCAATGAAATTAGGGCGTGTTTAAAGCAGGGGAAGGTGTTGAATGTAGGAAAGACTAAGCAAACAGAATCTGAGCAGGAAGAGCACAGAGTCCCTCCTGCGTTGTGGATTTTTGAGGGGATGTTTACTGGGGCCTTTTGTGAGTGCTGTATGAGGTACCGGTGGGCACGATGTTAGTGACCATGGTTCAAACCAAGCTCCATTTGGAGGAAAACAGGAAGTCCTATTAATCAGGGAATGTCCACGAAATCTTAGTTACTTGATTTGCAGCCCAGCAACCAGAACGGTACCTAAGCAGGCTGGGGGGGAACAGCTGATTGTGCACCTTTGTATTTCGTTAAACACTGTAAACATGCACCGCGAAGAGGTGGGAAACATGTAATTTTAAAATGGGCATCTTTCTAAGCAGAGGGCAGTCAATATTTACCAGATTGCTGGCTTGGGAAGGCTTCAGGTAAACTACAATTATCACGTTGCGAGGGGTAAAACAATATGTAGTTTTGAATGTTAGTAGCAGAGAAATCATTCCTTTCAGGAGAACTCTTTGTAGTGCACGCGGTATTTCTAGTAATATTTTAACCAGCGTATATCCTTGTGAAATTCTCTCAGGGATGGGCAATCTGTGGCCCTCTGTTCTTGGGCTACATTTCCCACCATCCCCATGCTGGTTGGGGCTGATGGGAGCTGGAATCCAACAACATACGGAGGTCCACAGGTTCCTCACCCCTCTTTTACGTTATCTGCTGGGGACAACTTGAAGCAGTTTAGAGGGCTAGTCCAAGAGAGCCAAAAAAACCTTGAAAGCATTTGTAGTAAATGGAATCAGAACTGGAGAGACAAAATCCTGCATAGCAGGTGTGAGGGACCTCTGGCCTTCCAGATGTTCCAGAACTACAATTCCCATCATCCCAAGCCTTCTGCGTTCACTGGGGATGAAGCGAGTTCTTTCCCCCCATTACGTTTTACTAAGTTTCAACATACAGAATTTCGTCTTCCTTCTCATTTTTACCAACTTTCCACCCCATTTTCCATGCAAGTTGTCGTTTCTCCCCTTCTGCTGCAACCTGTCTTCCATCAAATCATAACCACAATATTATCATCTAATTACCTCTGCCGCTCGTAGATCAAATCCTGCTCGCGAGTTCATCGTGCTATAATATTTATTTAAATAGTCCGAAAAGGGCATCCATTCTTCCATAAAACACTCATCAGTAGATTGTCTTGATTTTGATGTTAATTTTGCCAGTCATGCACAGTCCATTAACTTACCCATTCTTCCTTGGTTGGAACTTCTTCTTCCTTCCATTTCTTCGCATGTAGAATCCTAGCTGCTGCTGTTACCTACATAAACAACTTCCAACATGATTTTTGAGAGGGGATTTCTGCCCCTATCATCCCTAACGTAAATGCTTTGGGCTTTTTTACATATATAGGGACGAAGGGAGTTCTAATTCAGCAGCGTCTGTGGGGCCGGAGGCTCCCCGCACCCTGCCCTACAGTTCTCAGTACGACATGAATCCCGATTCATCATTTCAGGGGTAAGAACTTTAGCAATACACTGAATTTCCCCCTCTCTTTTGGGGAAAGCTGCTGCTGCTGCTGCTCCTCCTCTGCAACTAGGGAACAATGTGTCTGCCTCAACCTCCTCCGCCTGCAGCTGGCTCCTTTTTAAAGCATTCGTCTTTAAAGCTGTCAGGTCAGGACCCTGTACCAAGGTGGGCTGCAGCAGCAAGCGCCATCACCATACACTGAATATGGTTTAAAAAAATAAATGAATGAAAAAGCAGGTCCCCAAATGCATGCTTGGGTAAAAGACTGAAGACTGCTGCTTTTAAAAGCGTGGCAGGATTCCTGCCACTGAGTCTTGGGCCCTGCATCAACGCTAGGCATGCGACCTTGATCCAAAAGCTCCTTTAGTTCCCTTTTCTGTGTTTTTAGAGTAGTCAGATACTTGGCCTGTGGTACTTCCTACCAAGGTGCTCTCAGATTTTGGTTTGTTTTGTAAACCACTTAGAACTTGTCCTTTATATGGAAGGTGCTATATAAATAAATAAATAAATAAATAAATAACTCGAAACAGTATAATGATATTAAAAAAGAATACTTTGTACAGCTAATCTACAATATGCAGTTTTGCTCACAAAAATGAGATTTTTAGAGGAGAGTTTCAAACATGGAGGGGTTGGGGGGGTCTTCTTATCTCCCCCTTCCCCTTTGCTCTTGATAGCATCTCTGAAACAAAATGTTCACTTCTTCAGGTTATAATAACTGTGTTTATATCTATCTTGTCTTCTAGACTGTTAGTCCATAGCTATACTTTATTCTACTAGTAGTTGATGGCAGGACTACAGAGGGGGGTTAATATAAATGAGTGTCTTTGCTTGGGCATTTCTATATTTTTAAACAGGGTGGATTCTGGGCCTGTGATAGATACACGAATGGAAGTCCATTTGCTGCTGTGATTTATCATTCTATGGAACTGCATCAGCCGCCCTGTCATAGTGAATTGTGTGTGTTCAAAGTGACTGCTGTATTGCTGGCTCTCCATGCACTAGTTTTGTTTTAATTTATGCACAATAGGTTATTTTTAAAAGAGGTTCTTGGCTTCAAGCTTGCCTGGGGAAATTTTACACACACACACACACACACACACACACACACACACATATATATGTATATATATATATATCGCTTTTCGACCAGTTCGTAGGCCAAATACTCCTTTCCAGCCCTTTCTGTCCCATCTGCAAGTTTATCCCCAGGCCACATATCCTGTTCAATGACTTCATAGAATTGTAGAGCTGGAAGGGACCCTGGGGGTCATCTAGTCCAACCCCTTGCAGTGCAAGAATATGCAGCTGTTCCATCTGGGGATCGAACCTGCAACCTTGGCGTTAGCAGCACCATGCTCTAACCAATTGAGCTACCCAGGCTGAATTCCTTGAGTGCTTCTGCCTGGCTGGGATATGTTATTGAACTGTGGTGATGCCTCTTGTTTGTCTCGGTGGAGAGATTGGGGGGAGGGGCAGGAAGTGGAGATTTGTGACTTTTTTTGTAGCTGGATCGTGGCCCTTGGTACAGAAGGAAAAGTTGCAGCTGTTGCTGCACCTACTTTTCCCCACCCACTATCATGTAGCCCTCCCAGGCTGAAAAGCCTTCCCCATAACCCCTACATCTAAGCCTCTCCATTATCCCTGCTGGTTTGGAACTGCCTGTGGTTCTCCCAGCGGGAAAAAGAAATGCACTTTACACATTCCCAGAGGGGGCTACCTTCTTTATTAACAGTTTCCTAGTCTGGGTCTGAGGCCTGGTATTGAAAACAGGTCCTGAGACTGAGAGCAAGAGCAAGTCACTCCCCAAATGTGTGTGAGAACTGTGGCCAAATAGATACATCTCCGTACAACTGGCACACGTACTTTCCAAACTTGGGAATAATTATGAGACTTGAAAGTAGGGCGGTTTAGTGATTGTTGTGGCCTAAGCTTCTCTGCTCAGAAGCATATCTCACCAAGTTTGATGCCCAGGATTTTAAGGACTTGAGGGTATTCCTGCTGGGTCAGATCAAGCATGAAGATGTATGACTAGCCTTGCTCGATCAGGCCAAGGTCTTCTCTAGGTCTTCTAGATGTGGGTGGACCACAGCTCCCATCACCCACAACCACCTTAGCCTAATGGTCACAGGTGGTGGGAGTTGAAGTCCACCCATGTGGACTTCTCATCTAGCATCCATTTCTCATTGTGGTCAACCAGATGCCGTGGGTAAGCCATCAGGCAGGTTCCAAGAGCAGCATCACTCTCCCGTGTGATCCCCAGCAACTGATTCTCAGAGACACATACTGCTTCTGACTGAACATTGTTTCCGTTTTTCATTTAGTCCAAAGCACATGCACATGTTAGCCCAAATTCTTCCTACCTCCCCCAACCCAAAGCTCCAATACCAGAAGAGACTCGGGCTCAAAGGAAAGTGGCCAAAGCAATGGACAACTGAGAGAGAGAGAGAAGAATCTCACCAACACACCCCTCTCCTGCACCTCCTTGCGTTATCAGAGCAGGTGCATAAGCAAACAAAGATGGCCACCACTGTTGGGTGGCCACAAGTGTATGACCGAGAACATATCCCAGAATTCTCTGGAAAGTAGGAGAGCTGCATGGCAAATTTGGAGAGCCTTTCCCAAATGTCTGGATGGAGAGCCAGAAGTTAATGGTCGTTTCCAATCATTCCTGACTGTTGGCCATGTTGGCTGGTACAGATGGAAGTCCAGAAGCATCTGGGGGCGCATCTCCACTGAGTGTTGGCTAGGACAGTTTTTGTTGAATGTTGTTCCTTCCTTAGGATGATTGAACCCGAGCAGAGAACCTTGTGTAACTTAATGGTTAAGGTCAACTGGTGAAAACGGTTGTTCATCCTAGAGCGACAGGATGCGTTGCTTCCTTGCATGAACTCTTTGTACTGATAAGGTGCATAAGCTCTTTGCATGGAGGGTCACTGGATTGAGGCTGTGAACTTTTTTCTTTTTCTTTTGCATCCAACTTGTGAATGATGGGAACACTCTGTGGTGAACTGGCAATATGTTATTTTGACTGCTGTGGATTTTCCATAACTTATTTTTCATGAATTGCTTCAGGGTGGGTGTTGGGTTTTTTTGTTTTGTTTCTGGAGGGGTTGAAGGAGTTGGGAGTTTGTTCCTAGACTATATGGTTGGGGAAGAGATCCCAATAAAAGTAACTACTGCTTTAAATATTGACTCTTGGTCTTCTGTATTAAAACTTCCTACATTCCAGTAATTTCATATTCTCTCTCTCTCTCTCTCTCTGTCTCAAAAAAAATAAATTAATTAAATTTTCTGTTTTACAATTTAGAGTATTCATTTAAACAACCTTAAAATATAAATGACTTCCCTTCTTCTCTTTCCATGGTTCATTTTGCATATCATAAATCCCTGCATATTTTATATAAACTAAAACATTCAATATTCCATTATTACATTCATCGAAACTTGCTTACACTGCTGAATTTATCTTCATGCTGCCAACGTTTTCAAGTGTACACAATTTCCCCCCATATATTCAATAAACATTTTCCATAGTGAATTGAATTTTTTTTTAAAAAAACCAGAGTCCTTTTTGTTGGGGATAATTCAGATGGAAATTCCCAAGTGTCAGAAAAGGTTGCTGTTTTTTTGTATGCCACTACTGCAGCCTGTGTTTTGTTAGCCCAAAAATGGAAAACGAGCGAAGTCCCAACTAAAGAATGGCAACTTAAACTGATGGAATATGTGCAGTTTGTGGACCTAACATATAGCGTAAGAGAACAAGAAGAACATACATTCCAGTAATTTCTACCAGAAGTAGCCATATTAGCCTTTTGCGGCAAAAATTCTATCAATGGCCACCAGCCATGACGGCTGTGTACACACTATGTGTGTGTAGTGGCAGAGACAATATTCCTTTGAATGCCAGATATTGGAGTAACCATTGTGCCATCCGCTCTTCGCAAACTCATGAAATGACAACTGGTGTAGGAATAAAGGTGTTCCTGTGCGTGTTCTTGTCTCTCACCTGCGAAACATCGGAATGTACATAAGCAGAAACGGTCCATAGGAACTGCGGGTAACCAGGAATGATGCATCACCCGGTGTCTGACCACATTTGCTCGTAAAAATAATGGCTTTGCCTAATTGTTACTGTCTGGGTTAGAGTACAATATGTTTGGCTGGCAAGAGTGCTGCAGACTGACAATTAGGAGGCTGCTTTAAAACAACAACAACAACTTTTTTAAAAGCACAACTTGGGTCAGGCAAATTGTAGGGGATTGCAAGGGCGTTGTGCAGGCTGCTGTGCTTCGACCAACCCTTTTCAAAGTGTACAAAATGGTGGCTTGTTTTTTTACCTCTGTTTTCAAATGCAGTCATTTTCAAAAAGTTGCTGACTGGTATGGTCTCAGACTGCTAGACCCCTGGAAACCAGGGCGAGCTGTATAGATGCTGAATTCTCTCTCTCTCTCTCTCTCTCTCTCTCTCTCTCTCTCTCTCTCACACACACACACACACACACACACCACATCTGCACTGTAAATTTACAGCAATATCATTTCAATTTAAACAGGCATGGCTTCCCCCAAAGAATTCTGGGAACTGCAATTTGTTACTGGTGCTCAGAGCTGTTAAAAGACGCCTCTCTCACTCCCCTCACAGAGCTACAATTCTTAAAGGTTTCCTGGGAAGAGGGCTTGATTATTAAGCCACTCTCAAATTTGTAGTTCTGTGAGAGGAACAGCGGGTTGGCAACCTTAAACTTCATCACCCTGGTACACGACCCACTAAGCCCTCCGGGGCAGCATGATCATTGCGGGACTCCCTGGAGGATGAGAAGTGCAGAGCTTTTGCTTCCCAGTCCTGCGTTTGGGAGAAGCACCTGGAAATGAGACCCAGCACATCAACGAGGCACATGGGAATGAAAAGCGAATCCCCTTGAAGAATCCAAAGGACAATGGTGATAGGTCTTTGCAGCTGACTGTAACACGGTTTGGGCTAGGGAGTGGGGAGAGCAAATGCTCTAAACTTACTGAAGTTTGAATCCAACCTAGTGTAGATGCATCCCAAGTCAGTTTGAGGTGGCATGGGTGGTTCTGAAATTCCCCTTTTTATCATCGCAACCACCCTGCAAGGACAGTTAGACTTGAGACAAAACGATTGGGTCAAGGCAATCCTTGGAGCTTCATGGCCAAGTAGAGATTTGAAATAAGCTTTCCCGTCTCGGTCTGACTCTTTCTACACTACAGCACACCAGCTTTCCCTAAATGGACTATGCTAAACACTATTATTACATTTTAGGTATTTATTGTATTTCCTAGGGGCTTCTCACTCTGCAGACGCCGGTGGCGCTGTGGGTTAAACCACAGAGCCTAGGACTTGCCGATCAGAAGGTCGACGGTTCGAATCCCCACGACAGGGTGAGCTCCCGTTGCTCGGTCCCTGCTCCTGCCAATCTAGCAGTTCGAAAGCATGTCAAAGTGCAAGTAGATAAATAGATACCACTCCGGTGGGAAGGTAAACGGCTTTTCTGTGCGCTGCTCTGGTTCGCCAGAAGCGGCTTAGTCATGCTGGCCACATGACCCAGAAGCCTTACGCTGGCTCCCTCGGCAAATAAAGCGAGATGAGCGCCACAACCCCAGAGGGTCACGACTGGATCTAATGGTCAGGGGTCCCTTTACCTGTACCTTCTCACTCTGCTCACCAACCCTGCCTACGAACCAAACACTTTACCAACCTCCCTTCTCCCATACATGGCCAACCTCCCCTCCCTTTGACTAAACTTTTTACACCTCACCCAGCCCCTCGCCTATCCCCTCACACGTCACCCGAAACCCTGCTGCCTGCCCCACGTGCTGCTTGCTCACTTGCCTGACCTGTTACCATGCTGCACTTGATGTGGCCACCTACTGGCAGCCAAGCAAACTGCAGCATGACAACAGCCTTACATTTTTATGTCTATAGGAAGATACCCCACCTTTCCTCCAAGGAGCTCGAGGTGGCATACATTGTTTCCCTCCCTTCCCATTTTATCCTCACAACAACCCTGTGAAGTAGGCTAGGTTGAGAGACAGTGGTCTGGCCCAAGGTCATCCAGTGGATTTCATAGCCTAGGGAGTACAACTCCAGTCTCCTGGATCCAAATCTGACCCCAAACTTTGAAGCAGGGAGAATAAGTACTTGCTGTTTTCTTGGTCTGCTTCTGCTACAGATAAACTGGCAGGACTGTGGTTTGGCGCCAGTCGAATTGCTGGGGGAGGGGTTTCCCTCTCGTACGTGCAGAATTTTGCCCTCGTGCTTGGCAGCGAAGGGGGATGCTCTGCCCAATAGCCCGACAGCATGCGGAAGTCAGCATGCCACAAGTGTATGGAGCAATAAGATAAGAAATTCACTGGAAGGGAGGGTGTTTGCACCCTGCAGATGATACAGAAACTGACAGCTCTTTGCCTGCCCTGACAGGCAGGCAAGCGCAATTTCACACTTCTCCCCTGTCAAAACACCCCTCGACAAGCTGACTTGGAAAGCAGATTCCTCAGACATGCTGCCTTGTATCTTCCAGGAAACCTGTCTTGTTATGGTGGTGTTCGGAACCAGAGATAGGCAAGAGTGCCTTAGTAGGCAGATTTCCGTGTTTTGACGGCATAATTAATTTCTCTTTGCTAGTCAGGAGGATGTTGCCACGTGAGCAAAGCAGCTTTTAGAAGATGCTGTGCTTAGATGTGACGGCTGGGCATGATATGCACGCAGAACTATAGGAAAACATTGGAACAGATCGCAAAGTATGCCCGTCATCGGATCTCACCGCCCTCTGAGCCGCTGGTTGTATGACATGCATTATTGCGCCATTGATTAGGTTAGCGAGAGCAGCCTCTCGTCTGTGCTCCCTGTCTGGCTCCTGAAGCTATTTGATTCATCTCCTATCAGCTCTTCCCAAATTTCATATTAGTTTATTCCTTGTTTTGGTTCCTTCCTCCAAACAGCTCAGAGTAAGAGCATAAAAAGAGCCTGCTGGATCAGGCCAATGCCCCATCTACCGTATTTTTCGCTCTATCGGACGCACCCGACCATAGGACGCACCTTGTTTTAGAGGGAGGGAACAAGAAAATAAATTCTCTCCCTCTCTGCGCAGCGCCTCTCCAGCGAAGCGGCAGGAGAAATGGAGCCCCTTCCATTTCTCCTCCCACGTCGCTGAAGGGGCGCTGTGCAGAGAGGGAAAGCTGCGCAGCGCCTCTCCAGCGAAGCAAAGCCAGGAGAGCAAGAGGGGTCGGTGCGCACCGACCCCTCTCACTCTCCAGGCTTCAGCAAAAGCAACGCAAAGCCAAGGAGTGCAGTGGGGGCGCTCCCACTGCGCTTCGGAGGCTTCGCGTTGTTATTGCTGAAGCCAAGGAGCCTGCATTCACTCCATAAGACGCACACACATTTCCCCTTAATTTTTGGAGGGGAAAGGGTGCGTCTTATAAAGCGAAAAATACGGTAGTTCTCACAGTGGCCAACTTAGATGTTTGTAGGAAGTTTGCAACTTGGACCTGAGCTCAGCAGCACTCTCTCTTCTTGTGGTTTTCGGCAACTGGTATTCAGAAGCATTACTGCCTCCAACTGCAGATGTGCATAAGTTTAGGAAAGAATGAAAAATGTCATGGAGCTGGTCCCATTTGGTTAGATTTCCCTAGGGCCGTAAGGGACCTGGGAGGCCATCTATGTAGTTCAACCACCTGCTTAACAGAATTTATTTATCTCACTAACAAAATTTATATACAGTGGTACCTCAGGTTACAAACGCTTCAGGTTACAGACGCTTCGGGTTACAGACTCCATTAACCCAGAAATAGTACCTCGGGTTAAGAACTTTACCTCAGGATGAGAACAGAAATCGTGCCTCAGCGGCGCGGCAGCAGCAGGAGGCCCCATTAGCTAAAGTGGTACCTCAGGTTAAGAACAGTTTCAGGACCTCCGGAACGAATTAAGTTCTTAACCTGAGGTACCACTGTACTCCTTGATTGTAAGCAAACTTCTAAACTGTTTGCAATATTATATATTATGTTACTTATTTTTATATATGTATATGTGTGTGTGTGTGTGTGTGTGTTATATATATATATATATATATATATAGTGTTTTATACAAAACACAACTATATATATATATATATATATATATATATATATATATATATAACACAAACCCATTAAAATTATTGATTGAAACCCTTTTGTTAAAAAATGGGTTTTAAAAAATATTCAAAGGATGATGAACATCAACAGCAGCTTAAAAGAGATAAAACGCATGTCACTTCTCTATGTCTAGATAAGCTTGCTTGATTAAAAAAGTACAGTGAAGATGCCATGCTAAATGATCGCTTCCTTACAATAATCCCAGACAGATGGCCATCCACAGGCCTGAAGAGAAGGGCATACCCAAAAATGACTGGACTGAGCATCTTCCTTCATCTCTAGTAATGGGATGCCATCCTTCACTGAGACTGCACCAGCTGGCCAGATCACAGCACACTGAACCGGCTATGTGGCCTCCGTAGGAGCCAACTCCCCAATAAAATATTTGAGGGGACCACCCCACCCCAAGTTGATGGGCATTGCCACCCAAATGGTGTGCATGTGCCGCATCTTGAGGACAGGGCTTATCCCCCCCCCCAATTTTATTCAAGTTGGCACAGAGTTCGCCATGAGCAGGGCATCCCACTACCTTCCCTCTTGTATTCGATTTTTCTTTTCCAACAGGTCATCATTCTGTGGCTGCCAAGTATCCTCAGCCTTCCTTGGACTGCTCTGGGAGAAGCAAAGCCTTCATTTGCTTTTTTTTTACTTCTGAAAACGGCCAGCTTTCTGTGAAGACACCAATCACGTCCGTCCTCTTAAGTAGGCCCCTTGTTGGCTTGAGTTCTGCTGGCACTCATCACCTGCGTTTGCTATTAGAGGGAGTGATTTAGCGTAGCAGAGAGAAGAAAGAGAGATTTGGCTTTGCCCCAGACTTTCAACTCTCCACTTAGGGCTGATCTTTAACTGGACAGTCCCGGAAAGCTGTTCTTCATATCCTCTCTGGAGAGAGCTCTTTAGCAGCCCGTGCTTTGCAGCATTCTGAAATCAAGGAGGGTGTGTGTGTCTATTTTGCAGTTGAGAGGGCAGGTCGTTCTCCATATACCCAGGGGAACATTTAGCCTAGTCCCCCTAATTCACTGACCCTGCACCACTGTAGACCATGCTAAGCAAGGTAGACCAATGGTCTGACTCAATACACGGCAGCTTCCAGTGCTCTTGTTTACATTGGGAAACCACACGGCAGAACAACTTTTATTTTATTTTGCTTTCTTTCGTGCTGGCAGCATTATGTGGACATGACCCTTTCGTGCTGGTCATGTGGACATGACCCTATCCTGTAGCTGCATCCCATCGAATCAGGAATGCTTCAATTATGCAACCTTGCTCTCCCTTTCTCCCCTTCTTCCTTAAGTGTCATGCAAGGACTGCATCAATGCTGCAGTCCCTAGCTCTTGCCACAGGCAAACCTGGCCTCTGTTCAAATAGCAGCACCGTTGGTTGATGGCCAGAGAGCGGGAAAAGTTGCTTAGCAGACCAAATGTGCGTTAGAGGCTTCCTGGAAGCCTTTGCTGGAATATTTGCAGCATGAGATTCGAACAGCACCAAATCCTTGGTATTCTTTCGATGCGTAGCGGCCCCAATCCGGTGCCCTCCAGAGGCTTGGGACTACAACTCCCATCAGCCCCAAACAGTTGGTAGGAGCAGCTCTCCCTCCCTCCTCTCTCGTCTCCTTGCATGTTATTTTTGTTGTGTTGAGTCAGGACCCCTGTCAGGGAAGCTTATTGCTTTCACAAGCAAAGCTCTTGTTTTTCTTTTTCACCACATTAAAAAAGGTAAAGGGACCCCTGACCATTAGGTCCAGTCGTGACCGACTCTGGGGTTGTGGCGCTCATCTCGCTTTATTGGCCAAGGGAGCCAGCGTACAGCTTCCGGGTCATGTGGCCAGCATGACTAAGCCGCTTCTGGCGAACCAGAGCAGTGCACGGAAACGCCGTTTACCTTCCCACCAGAGCGGTACATATTTATCTACTTGCACTTTGACATGCTTTCGAACTGCTAGATTGGCAGGAATCACCACATTAGGAGGGTCCTAAGAGCTGGTGAGTAGAGATGGAAGGAAGAAACCATTCCGACCAAAGAGGAATGGCAAACCAAGTGGACTATGCTGAAATGGCAAAATTAGAATCGGAAACCAAGAGGACAAGAACTTCAAAAAAGAATGGGAGAAAAAATTATAATGTATTTAGGAGACCATTGTAAGCAGATGAAAATATTAGCAGGACTTTAACTGCACTTGTAAAGTAACCAAAAATATGGACAATTTAGATGGCTATAAAATTTGGATAACGAACTGATATGCAGTTGTAAACATTGTCATTAGGACCCATGGAGGGGATGGGGTGGGGTCCTGAGAGTCAGAGAAATCTCTTTATATGGTTTTTAATTGCTTTTGTTATATGTTTATATGTTCTTAACGTCAAATAAAAATTATTTATCAAAAGAAAAAAAAGCTGGTGAGTAGGGTGACCTGCTTTGAGACAGTCCATCATAACCTGAGCCTTTTCCTGAACGCTCACCCATCACGGATACCCAAGGACACTAGCCACCAAAGATCTTGTGCCTAACATCTGCTAGAACCCCAACATACAGTCACAACCTTGCAGCTGCAGGTTACTGTGGAACTCAGAGAGCCAACTCTGTCTCACCTTTTCAGGACAGGTAAGTATTATTTGATCCCTACCTTTCCAATTTCCTAAATCTCTCTACCCTTGCATTCTCCAAATCTCCGTTGTTCGCATTCCCTGGGGCATCTGGGACTCTACCACAGCTCTGCCACTTCTGGATAGCACCCTTCCCCGTTCCTTGTACAGCAACAGTTAGACAAGGGGTGGGAAACTGGTGATCCTCCAAATGTGCTTGGGCTCCAACTCCCATCAGCCCCAGCCAGCAAAGCTCAAAGGCCATGGATGATGGGAGTTGTAGTCCAGGAACATTCAGAGGTTCCTCCCCCCTGCCTTTTTGATGTCTACACCTGACCCAGTACCAGGTTGTCAGGTGTGCATGCAGGAGCCAGGCCCTGTGAACAATAGGACTTTGCAAGACTGGGGCCTTCCTAAGTTTATTCTGAAGAGGCAAGGTGCAGCCTCACAGGTGAGGCCGATTGGTAACTCACAGCACCTGGTGGCAAGAGCTGGGAAGGGATATAAGGTCAGCATTTTCCCTTCGGCTCTTTGCCACAGCAACATGTTCCCTGCCTTGCTGTGTTTGACTCCTTGACTCCTTGCTTCCTGACTCTCAGACCCTTGGCTTCTTGACTCCCGGCTCTCTGACCCTCAGACCCTTGGCTTCCTGATTCCTGGCTTCTGGACTCCCGGTCCTGCTTCCACCCCGCCATCTTGCCCCCGGTCCCGACTTCCCCAGCCGGGACTTCGATCGTCCTTGAACCGGACCATGACACAGGTGCTGAATTCTTGAAGGACGAACCAGAATCCCCACAGGTTGGGGACCTTGCTGAGGATCTCCTTGAGGGTTCTTCTGGATGGAGACCAGCTGAAGAAACCAGAGAAGGTTGGGACACACAGTCCTCAACAGAGCTGGCACCAAGAGATCTGGACCAAGGAGCAGTGACATAGCTTGTGTCGACGGACCCAGAGTCATTGTACATCTTGTGGGCAAGGAGTCATCTCATCAGCTAGTAATCCCTGAAACATCACCACCAGGTGGGTTTAGGATGTGGGCCAGGAAGTCAAAGGACCCCTCCCTGAAGGTCTGTAGATGTCAAAGCAATGAAGGGGGCTGTTTGTGAAGTTTCTTCTCCTTAACACACCTGTGTGCAAATGTGTACATGTGAGCAATAAAATGCCATTTATTTATTTTATTGCATTCAAATCCTACCTTTTCCCTCCAAGTTGCTCAAGTCCCCACAACCACCCTGTGAGGTAGGCTAGGCTGAGAGGCAGTGACTGGCCCAGAATAATCTAGTGGGCTTTGTGGCTGAGTGAGGATTAGAACCCTGGCCTCCCAGTCCAGTGCTCTAACCACTGCACTGCACCATCTCTATGCAGTGCCGAAACGGCACACCACTGAGAGTCATTTTTGAAACCTTTATTTTTATTTCTAGCATACTTTTAATAGGACTTGTGCTTTGCATTGTTTCCATAAATAGCTCCTTCTTCTGGCATCTTTTTTCTTTAACAAAAAAATTCAAAGGAATATTTTTGTAGTCTGTAAAGGCCAAACTCTTCTTATGCTAAATGCTGTTCGGTGTTACATCTTTTAAAATAGCCTGCAGGAAGGGGGAAATGAACCCTTTCCTCCCACACGACAGCCCCTCTCTGCACTATGCATTTAAAGCAGTATCATATCATTTTAAACAGCCAGGGCTTCTGCAACCAACTCCCTCAGTGAACATGGGAGCAAGGCAACATGACCCAGGAGGGGTTTTCTCTGAGTGGCAGCGCACATTGAGAATCTGCAGCAAGGACTCAGAGTTCCTGAGCAACTTATTTCCAGTTAAAGCTTAGCTGCATAAAAAATACAAGTGTACTTTAATTAAAAAGCTCTCCATGAGGGATAGCGCTGAACAGTGTCACTAGTAAAGGCACAATGGTTAGGGTCCGTTATAAAATGGTATTGCAGGTTTAAATGAGAACTTTGCTTTCAAGGCCCTTAAGCAAAACGATTTCTCAGAAATCTGTTGCTCCCTAGAATGGGTTTACCATGCCTGTAAAACAGCTCTAGTCAACTTCTAGGACCTTTCCCTCTACCTGAGGGATTTGTCAAGCTTATCGTATTGGACAAACCCCTAAGCACCCTAAACTGCTTTCCTAGCCAGGCCCTATCTGACAGGTAAACTGTCAAAATGAGCCTTTTCCATCCTCTCTCCCACCCGATGGGACGCTTCTCATCCCTGCCATGGTTGGCTGAGAGTGTCCTGGAGGTTGACCCAACGGTCTGTCCATCACAACTTCCCCCAAAGAATCATGGGAATTGTAGTTTGATAAGGGTGCTGAGAGGTGTTAGGAAAAACCCCTGTTCCCCCTCACAATTCCCAGAATTCACAGCTAAGATGGATTGACTGTCAAACCACTCTGAGAAACATTGCTCTGTGAGGTGAATTGTGGGTCAGGCAGTTGGGAAACACCGCACAAGAGACTTTGACAGGTGGGCGGAACAACCCAGCTGTCTATCATCATACTTGAGTGATTGACAGGTGGGTTGTCCCGCCCACCAAACAAACTTGTCCTACAGGGGGCTGGGGACAGACAGCAACCTGGCCCGCTGTGCCAAAAAGGTAGGCCACACCCCTTCTCTCGAACACCACAAGCTTCATTTAGAACAAAAAAGGCTGCAAAGTTTTGTTTTTCAGTCTCCTGCACCATTGAAACAGCGTGTTCCATAATTCTCTCTAGACAAGTGGGCAAGAGGCCAAGAAATGAATTGCAGAGGAAGACTTATTGGCAGAGGCAGAGACTTGATCATCTGCTTCTTCCTTGAGCTTCTCCTAAAATGTTTTTGCACTTCCAAAAGCAGCAGCTGAAAGGAGGAGAAGAAGGGGAAGCTTTTAGAAGTCTCCAGACAAGAAGAATGGTGGCATAAAAGCCCAGGCTGTGTGGCCTGGACCAGGGGCTAAAGGGAAGGAGAAATTAGATTCAGTTTGTGTTGCAAGGCCAAGCTACCTAGCCAGAGGCACTGCCTTGGGCCAAAGACTTGGGGGTAGCGTTGTGTTGCACATGTGGCATCACACACGTGATGCATGACACACACCTATGACATCACGCGTGCAACGTCAGGAGGAGGCCTTGCCCAGCTCCATGGAGCTTCAATGGCTGCGGCTCCTCCTCTCTTGCTCTCAAGTTCATAAAGGGAGATATTGATCTTTCAGATAACCTTGGCCCTGGCCACATATGAAATGAAAACAGCAGACAAAACGCATTAGGTTAGGGGAGATGGCTTTGCAAAAATGTGTACATTATGGCAAAACTGCATGCAGAAATGTGTCTTTCGGGAGGAATTTGCACTGAAATGCTGATCAGGCTTTAACTATAAACTGATATGGAGAACCGAGCTTAACAAATGGAAAAGGAGAAACTGAAAGCGATAAGAGCCCTCCAACCCTAAGCTACAAACAAACTACACTCTGCTCCTTTGGGATCACAGAGGCTGTCTCTTAACTGATCTCACTGGAGGGTGTTCATTAGGGCAGATGGGGGCACTGCCCCACCAATCTCAACATGCCCTCAGCCAGTCCCCACCAGCCTGCCTGCCTTCCTACAACCAATTGGGTTGGCTCTGCCTGTTGTGGGCTCTGGAAGCCACAGAGGGGAGAGTGCTCTCATGCTCAGATCCTGCTCAGAGGTTTCCCAAAGGGATCAGGTTGACCACTGCAGAAGTGATGGTTTTAAGAGAGGACTGGACAAATTCATGGAGGAGACGGCTGTCAATGGCTACAAGACACAATGCCTGGGATAGCTCCGTTGGTTAGAGCATGGTGATGATAACTCCAATGCTGCTGGTTTGATCCCCGTATGGGACAGCTGCATTTTCCTGCATTGCAGGGGGAGGGGGATTGGATGAAATCAGGGGTCAGCAGACTTTTTCAGCAGGGGGTCAGTCCACTATCCCTCAGACCTTGTGTGGGGCTGGACTATATTTTGGAAAAAAAATATGAATGAATTCCTATGCCTTACAAATACCCAGAGATGCATTTTAAATAAAAGGACACATTCTACTCATGTAAAAACATGCTGATTCCCGGACCATCTGAGGGCCGGATTTAGAAGGCGATTGGGCGGCATCCGGCCCTCAGGCCTTAGTTTGCCTACCCATGGATGAGATGATCTTCGCGGTCCCTTCCAACTCTACAATGATATGGTTCTGTTGTGTGCCTCCACAGTCTGAGGCAGCAATGCTTCTGAATTCCAGTTGCTGGAAGCCATAGGAAGGGTCTTGCAGTCGGATCCTGCTCGCTGCTTTCCCGCAGGCACGATTTCTATGTTCTGCCCCCTTATTGGAAGCAGAATGATTCCTCGTGATTCCTAGCAAGTTGAGAGAGTGTTGTGGGGCTCAGATGCTGCTGTCAGGCTCCCCATCCCAGAGGCATTTGGCTGGCCAAGGTGACAAGAAGATGCTGGATTGAGTGAGCCTTGGGCCTCATCCACCAGGGCCCTTCTTGCGTCCTTGTTTTGAAATGTTTTAGGAAACATGTATGGGACGCAGGTGGCGCTGTGGGTTAAACCACAGAGCCTAGGACTTGTCGATCAGAAGGTCAGCAGTTCGCGCGACGGGGTGAGCTCCCGTTGCTTGGTCCCAGCTCCTGCCAACCTAGCAGTTCGAAAGCGCGTCAAAGTGCAAGTAGATAAATAGATACCGTTCCAGCGGGAAGGTAAATGGCATTTCCATGCACTGCTCTGGTTCGCCAGAGGCGGCTTAGTCATGCTGGCCACATGACCCGGAAGCTGTACACCGGCTCCCTTGGCTAGTAAAGCGAGATGAGCGCCGCAACCCCAGAGTCGGTCACAACTGGACTGGGGTCCCTTTACCTTTAGGAAACATGTACAGCATAGAATCATAGACTTGGAAGGGTCATCTAGTCCAACCCCCCCGCCCCCCCCGTGATGCAGAATTTTTTTGCCCAAGGTGGGGCTCGAATCCCTGACCCTGAGTTCAAGAGTCTCACGCTCTACCAAGCGGGGATGCAGTAAATTGTAGGGGCTAGTGGCTAAAGCAGATAAATATCTGCCAGTTCCCACACCCCTCAAGCGCTGGATGCAGTGTGGCGCTTTCCTTGTTACCATGACTGCCTCCCCCGGGAGATTTTTGCCTGGAACAAACAGAAGACAGCGCGTTCCCAGTGGGGTTGGCTTTGGTGATGGCGAGAGAAATCAGCACTGGGTTCCTCAGGTGTGCTGGAGATGGCAGGCTTTTGGACCCTGAGGGAGCCTTCTCTCTCTCCCTCCTTCTCTATTAGTGGCTCCTGCTTCCTCGAGATTTAAAACTCGCCAGCCCCTGCAAGGAAGTCTTGGCTGGTGTAGCTGAGGCTGCACCTGCAGTCAGCCCCCCTGCTCTCTCGCGCTTGCGCTGCTGGTTTGTGACTCGCCGGGACTCTGCTGAACTTCAGCTGTCCATCTCTCCCTCCACGTCCGGGGCCCTGGATTTTATCCAGAGCTGCAACCGCCTTTGCAGAGATGGGCTCTTCCCACTCGGTGCCGGACGAAATCCAGGAGCTTGCAGACAAGACGGGCTGTGAGTATACTAAACTTTCCTCTCGTCGCTCCCCAGTGACCTCCCTCCCCTGCAGGACTTGGGAAGAGATGGTTTTGCGCTTTCTCCCTCTTTCCCTTCCATCCCCCCCCTCCCTGTACATCCCAAGGGCAGCTGATCCTTGGCGCAAGAATGTGGCTTGACAGCTTGAGCAACTCCGGGCTTTTTCCTCTGTGGGTGAGAGGAGGAGGGCTTATCTTTCAGCAATGTGATTGAAATCCTGGCAGTGTCCGTGCGCGTGCAAGTGATGGCATCTAGCAGAAGCCGCTCAGCTGGGGGGAAGAGGAAGTTTGCAAAGGAGACCACCAGTTTCGCAAAGCGTTTTGTGTCTGCAGGCTGCGGTTCGGGGCTTTCTGAGTGCTTGCTGGCATGTGCAACCGGCTTTTCTGTTCAGAGCCTGGAGCTATGCATCTGTATCTTGCATACTTTTATATGGAGATATATAGATACACACACACACACACACACACACACACACACACAGGGCTGTTGCTGCCACCCATGTTGCTCACCAACCCACACACCTGGGACTACAAATCCTCCATTGGGGGCTGCGTGATGACAGCCTTACCTTTATATGTATATAGGAGTATAGATATGGTTTTAACATAAAATGACATTCATTGGCTCTGACAAACGCTGTAGTGTTACATGCATATCTTAGCCACATTAAGAAGGGAACATTGAGTGAGACTACTGTCAAATAACCAAATTATTGACTGCATTGCCAAGGCTTCAACTGCCCATGACATAGCCTCTCCATAATTAACAGAGAGAAGCTGGTGTGGTATCAACATTACTTTGGTTTGCATAGCTGATCAATGGGAGCCACACTTTGTCAAAATGATCGTGTTCAGTTTGGCCCTTTTGTGTTGTGTTATATGCTTGGAAAGAGCCAGATCCCGAACTTCCTGCCATCTCCTTTGGGGTCTTTCCAAGGGGAGGTGATTTCTAGATGGGTAGAGGTGAACACAACCTGGCAGCTGTGTCTCATGTATAAGGGGAGGGTCTTGGTTGGTGTCTAGTGACAGGGGGGCCAGAACAGCGTTAGGAAGGGTTCAATGTCCGGCCCATAATACTGGAGACATCAAAAAGGCTTTGCCAAAACCCAGTAAGCTTATCATACTCCCGCCATCTTGCAAACTTAATAGCCAAGGCATTTTCCCCCAGCTGTCTAATGCACAGTGGAACCATTGCTTCATTTCAGGAAAACCCAAGTTTTGCAGAACTGCAAAACGTAATCTGAAAAAAGAAAAGCCACATTTTCAAGAAGGCAGTTGGGGGTGGAAGAAAAAACAGGATAAGGAAGTGGTCCTCAACAGTCAATGTAGATCAATATTGCCTACACTGACTGGCAGTGGCTCTCTGGGGTTTCAGTCAGGCTTTCTGTCTCCCAGACCTGCCTTGAGTTGCTGGGCATGGAACCCGGGGCCTCCTACATACAAGGCACATGCTCTGCCACTGAGCTATGGCCAACTAGAACCCTGAACAGAATCCTTCCCAATGGCCGCATTATGTTGCAGACAGAGGTGTAGCATGGGAGTGCAGGGAGTCATGGCCCCAGGTGCACATTTTTAAGGGGGTGCTCTCACAAAAGGCATGGAGCCCTGACAGCTGAGGCACGGCAGCAGGTGGGTGGGTTTAGTGGGCAGGTGGATGGAGGCAGCGGACAAGGAGCCTGTTGCAAGGTGGGCTCTGTTCACCCTGACAACGTGCCCTCCTGGTACATGCTCCCACCCCAGCTGCATAGTCCACCGGGCATGCACAACACTTTTCCCACCCCGGGTGCCAGCAACCCATGCTATGCAGCCGGTTGCTGATTCCATTTGTAGACATAGGAAAGCTGGTCAGAAACAGAATGGAAACTGTGGTCCTTCTAGGGTTGAGCTGCAGCTCCCATCATCCCTTGGCTATTGGCCATGCCAGCTGAGGTTGATGAAGTCCAAACACACCTGGAGGGACCCTGGAGGGCCAAAGGTTCCCTTTTTAATAGTGGTAAGAACCTAAGAAGTATACCTGAAGGAGCGTCTCCACCCCCATCGTTCTGCCTGGACACTGAGGTCCAGCGCCAAGGGCCTTCTGGCAGTTCGCTCACTGCGAGAAGGCAAGTTACAGGGAACCAGGCAGAAGACCTTCTCGGTAGTGGCGCCCACCCTGTGGAACGCCCTCCCACCAGATGTCAAAGAGAAGAACAACTACCAGACTTTTAGAAGACAAGGCAGCCCTCTTTAGGGAAGCTTTTAATGTTTAACAGACCACTGTATTTTAATACTTTGTTGGAAGCTGCCCAGAGTGGCTGGGGAAACCCAGCCAGATGGGCGGGGTATAAATAATAAATTCTATTCTATTCTATTCTATTCTATTCTATTCTGTGAAGAGACTGCTGCATCAGGCCAATGGCCCATAAAGTCCAGCATCCTGCTCTCACAGTGGCCAACCAGATGCCTGAATGGGAAACTCGCAAGTAGGACTTGAGCGCAAGAACACTCTCCCTCCCCACCAGCAATTGGTATTCAGAAGCTAGTAGTCATCAATAGCCTGGTCCTCCATGAATTTTGTCCAGTGCTCCTTTGAAGCCACCTAACCTGGTGGCCATCCCTGCCTCCTGTGTGGGAACAAGTTTCATAGTTCAACTCGGTGCTGTTGGAAGATTTAGGGCAGAGAAAAGAAAGTCCACAGCATACAGTGGAACAGTGGAACTCTCTCCCCCATGAGGCAGTGAAGGCCACCAACTTGGATGTATTTGAAAGAGAAATGGATGAATTCATGGGGGAGAGGGCTATCGACGGCTACCAGCCATGATGGTTATGCTCTACCTCCACATTTGGTGGCATCGGATGCCCACAAGTTCTGGTGTTTTGAGAGAGAGAATCATAGGATCTTAGAGTGGGAAGGGACCCAAAAGTAATCTAGTCCAACCCCTTTCAATGCAGGAATCTCTGCTGAAGCATCCATGGCTGATGGCCATCCAACCTCTGCTTAAAAACCTCCAAGGAAGGAGAGCCCACCACTTTCTGAGGGAGACCGTTCCACTGTCAAACAGCTCTTACTGTAAGAAAGTTCTTCCTGATGTTTGGTTGGAATTTTCCTTCTTGTAACTTGAAGCCATTGGTTTAGGTCCTAGATTCCGGAGCAGCAGAAAACAAGCTTGTTCCCTCTTCCATGTGACAACCCTTCGGCTATTTGAAGATGGTTATCATAGAAAGTGAGCTCCATAGTTGAACTATGTGCTGTGTGATAACAGAAGTTAGAGTTGTAGTAAGAGTCACAATAGCCATAATAATAGCTGTAGTACAGTGGTACCTCAGGTTACAGACACTTCAGGTTACAGGCTCCGCTAACCCAGAAATAGTACCTCAGGTTAAGAAATTTACCTCAGGATGAGAACAGAAATCATGGAGGCCCCATTAGCTAAAGTAGTACCTCAGGTTAAGAACAGTTTCAGGTTAAGAACGGACTTCCAGAACAAATTAAGTTCTTAACCCAAGGTACCATTGTATTACTTTGAAGATATTATAATACCAGCAAAATGTGACATTGGAAGAAAAGAAGAAGCAGAATACATTCCCAGTAATGAGACAAGTCAGTTGTCTTGTACACACCTAGAAATGGGTTGTATATATCACTTCAGTGAACAGTTTCCATTTTTATGGCTTAGGACTGTATGTGGATATGCATTATCCTGCACTTTATTAGATGAGTACATTAGAAAAAGACTCTATTTTTTCTACAAAGCAATTGTAGAGCTGACCTCCCTCTTACTCTTAATTCATTAGTTCATTAGTTTTATCATGTTTGCTCCCCCTCAGACTTGAGTTAACCCATCTTTTCCTGTCAGAGTTCTTATCTTTTTTCAGTGGTATCAGAATGCTATGTGGGCAGCTCTTAATACGCGGAAGTCAATTTCCTTATCTATTAAGAGCAGGTGTCTAACATAGCCAATTAAAAATAACCAGAAGGTCAGATGGGAGTGCATACATCCTATGGTTATTTCAATCTCTGCTTATTACATCGGCCCAACATTTCCTTCCTTTTTCGGACAAGCCCCCTCCCCCAAATATGTGGTCTGTCCCTTTAGCAAAATCACTTAAATGACACAAACCCCATCGGGAAGAGCCCTGATTACAGCTGACAGAGCAAACCAAACAAAAAATGATTTGAGGAGAGAGGCGCAGAGAGGTTCTGTCTTTCTTAGTGCAGGAACTAAGAAAACGCTGAACAAAAAAAACAACCCATGCAGAGGAAACCTCCCTCAGCCAATCAGAGCGTCCGCTGCCCCAGCGAAGGTCATGCCACTCTGCTAAGCAACACCACCCACTGGCCCCCTCTTAGCTAATTGACTTTAAAACGCTGGCAGACCAAACCCTTAAATTATACCCAGGAAGATCTTTGCTGCTGCACTGCCAACAGTTCCTTCGAATGGCCCCAAATTCCCTTTCCTTGTACTGTGCGACCTAAGATAGGGAACACATGTTATCTGTGTGCACACATGCATGTGTATTTGTTGTGCCTCTGTCCTCAATGGCTGGGGTCCCAAGGGGGCAGGGAACAGGTTTAGCTGCCGAAGCATCAATGTGCTGCGCCCTTTAAAAATTATACCCTGCCTTTCCTTGAAATTCAATATCTCTGAATGCCAGTTGAAGGGAATCACAAGTGGGGGAGAGTTTCTGTTGCGCTCGGGTCCTGCTGGCAGGTTTCTCATTTGGGGGGGGGGTAATCTGGTTGGCTGTTGTGAGAACAGGATGCTGGACCAGACGGGCCGTTGGCCTGATCCAGCAAAGCTCTTGTTTTAAGGACTACAACAAATAAACAAACAAAGAAATATGGCACAAAGTGCACCTGATGAAGGGGATCCAAGCCCTCGCAGGCCCTTGGAAACAATTGATTTCTTAATCTTGAAGATGCTGCAGCAAGTGCAATTCAGAAAAGTCCCCGGTGATCCTATATGTTTCCTTACGGAATTAATTAGTAATTTTTGCTCTGCTCTGTTTTATTCTTGGCATCCGTTGCTGATTTCTGTTGTTCCTGTTGTTGGGTGTGGGGTTTTTGTTGTGGTGGTTGTTGTTTAAATGGTAAATGTGGTGTTTCAATTTGTAAACCACTATGAAATGCAGCTCTTTTAACTGCCTAGAGAAGTTTTTAATGTTTGATGTTTTATTGTGTTTTTAATATTCTCTTGGGAGCCACCTAGAGTGGCTGGGGCAAGCCAGTCAGATGGGCGGCATATAAATATTTGTTGTTTAGTCGTTTAGTCGTGTCCGACTCTTCGTGACCCCATGGACCAGAGCATGCCAGGCACTCCTGTCTTCCACTGCCTCCCGCAGTTTGGTCAGACTCATGTTTGTAGCTTCGAGAACACTGTCCAACCATCTTGTCCTCTGTCGGCCCCTTCTTCTTGTGCCCTCCATCTTTCCCAACATCAGGGTCTTTTCCAGGGAGTCTTCTCTTCTCATGAGGTGGCCAAAGTATTGGAGCCCCAGCTTCACAATCTGTCCTTCCAGTGAGCACTCAGGGCTAATTTCCTTATGAATGGATAGGTTTGATCTTCTTGCAGTCCATGGGACTCTCAAGAGTCTCCTCCAGCACCATAATTCAAAAGCATCAATTCTTTGGCGATCAGCCTTCTTTATGGTCCAGCTCTCACTTCCATACATCACTACTGGGAAAACCATGGCTTTAACTATACGGACCTTTGTTGGTAAGGTGATGTCTCTGCTATTATTATTATTATTATTATTATTATTAAAGAATGGGGAGAGATTTGGTCTGGTTCGGATGTTGACACAAACCTCCCTAATATGCATATTCTGAAACAATATGTGAACTGAAACACATCTGTGCACTGAAATTTGCACTTCTCCGAATTTCAGGATGCTGTTCTCCTGAAGAATAATGTACGAAACAGGTGTGCCTGTGTGTGTTTATGTCTGAGTTCTCCCCTCAGAGAACTCCAATTCCCAGAAGAAAATTACAAGACTACTCTGAGAATTGTAGCTCTGTGAGGGGAATAGGAATTCTCCTAACAAGTCTCAGCACCCTTAACAGACTACAGTTCCCAGGATTCTGTGAGGGGAGCCACGTCTGTTTAAAGTGGCATGATGCTGCTTGAAATGTACAATATAGATGGGACCACAGAGTCTCCAATCAATGCTCTTAACTTTGGAAGAAGCCCCCTCATTCTGAAATATATGGGATGGTTTTTTTTCATTCTGCATATAAATTCACACAATATGTTCTGGTGAGGGACAGGGCCACTCAGGAAAGGAGGGGGTGGGGCAGCATAATCCTTCACAGACCAGCCTGAAAAAAAGCACCTTGAACTGGCGTTGAATAAGCAACTGTGAAAAGAGGTTACTGGACTAGACAGGCCATTGGCCTGATCATATGCTCTTCTCACACTCTCTCACACAGAAAGAGACAGACAGACAGACAGAGAGACCCCTTTTACACCATATGTAACTCTTTGCTGGATGGGATAACTGTTATGCTTAGCTTATTAATTTTTTTAGCTCCTGTTGGTTCATAGCATTTTATAGATCGCAATTGCCTTATTGGTGACCTGTTAATGGTTTTATAGGCTCTATGCTGCGTTTGTGACGTTCTGTTCTTTGTTACGTTACTGTTGTTTATTTGTTTGGAAGCCGCTTTGAGATCCGTTTAAATGAAAAGCAGCGCAGAAATACAAGGAATCAAATCAAACCTTGCCTTTTTCTATCTCTAGCCAAAGCTCAGGTGCCTGGCCCAGTTAACAGGCAGCAAATAAATGCGGGGGGGGGGTTGCTCTGAGCCAGAGGTATCGCTGACCCTTTTCTTGTGAAAGAATAGTTTGCTCAGCCGTTTTTAAAAAATGTTTATTTCAGTCTTCTCTTCTGGGAATAAAGCATATTTGCTGAGGCATGGTGGTGGGGTGCATCGAGAAAGAAGACGCTCTAAATAGAACATTCTCCCTTAGGTGATGGTTAGTTGACTCAGGTGGCTTCTTCCTATAGCTGACTTTTGGTACCCAAGGCTGTTTTCAAGCCAATTCTACCGTAAAGGTAAAGAGACCCCTGACCATTAGGTCCAATTGTGACCGACTCTGAGGTTGCGGTGCTCATCTCGCTTTATTGGCCGAGCAGCGAATGGAAACGCCGTTTACCTTCCTGCCGGAGCAGTACCTATTTATCTACTTGCACTTTGACGTGTTTTCGAACTGCTAAGTTGGCAGGAGCAGGGACCGAGCAACGGGAACTCACCCGGTCGTGGGGATTCGAGCTGTCGACCTTCTGATCGGCAAGTCCTAGGCTCTGTGGTTTAACCTACAGCGCCACCCGCATCCCACAAATTCTACCTTAGGGCCACACAATCTGTGTGCCCAAACACTGGAGCTGTAAACATTTATTCACAGGTGATATTCAACAGGTGTGCAGTCTGTGTATACAACAGTTAGAGCTGTAATTGTACATGCTTTTTCGCACAACGTACATGCGTGTGTGGAGACAGCTGGCACCTGTGTTCAGTGTAACATGTGAGCATGCCTTCTATGTGACTTGAGTCGCTTTGATGCTGCTAACCTGCATTTCTGCCCCTTCGTTATACAAGTAGCAGACTCAGGACCACGAGGGATGCAGTGGCAAGAGGTTCGCTTTCTGTCTCTGCCTGAGTCCCTGCCCAAAAAAGAAAATGCAACTCCCAACTTGCTGTTTGCATTTCAGGGAGCAGGGAGAATAAATAAGACGCGATAAGCTTGCAGTCTTCAAATATTTGAATGGGTGTTGCATGAAGAGATTTTTCTTTTGGGTGCTCTGCTGAGTTTTGGTTCAACAGATTTGAATTAAAAAGAAGGGAAGAGAATTTCCTGATGGTGCACCTGTTTTAACAGTGAAGCACTCTGGCTTTGAACTCCTTTGTTAAAATCTACCTCTCCATGCACTGCCCTGTAAGTTTATTGTGGCAAAATGTTTTGTGAATTAGGAACATAGGAAGTCGGAGCATTTCTCCATCTAGCTCGGTATTGCCTCCACTAATCTATATTATTATTATTATTATTAACATTTTATCATCACTATTTTATTATTGTACATACATGTAAATTTTTCATCTATTGTGGGAGCCTTTTTTTCAGCTGCACCATGTGGTCCATGTTATTGCTGCCTCTGACAATGGAAGCAGAGCAGAGCCATCACAACTAGTAGACACTGATAGTCTTATTTGTTGTCTATGAATTTGTCCAACCCTCTTTTAAAGCCATCCAAGTTGGTGGCCATCACTGCTTCTTGTGGGAAGGAGTCCTGCAGTTTAACTGTGTGAAGAAGTCCTTTCTTTTATCTGCCTGGAATCTTCATTGGAAGTCTGCAAGGTCTAGTGTTAGAAGAGAGGGAGGAAAAACTCGTCTCTGTCCACCCACTCCATGCCAGGCCTAATTTTATACACTTCTGGCGTATTGCCTCTTACTTGCCTCTTATGTACTGAGTTGAATAGGATCCAAAATGCAGCAGTCTGATTGGTCCTAGAACAATAGGATTCAGAATGCAGCAGTCTGATTGGTCTAGAACAATAGAATCCAGAATGCAGCAGTCTGATTGGTCCACAGGAGCCACCCAATCCAACTCCAGGTGGAAGTGAATCCGCAACCTGACTGGCCTACAGGAGAATCCCAGAATTAGCCAATCACGTGGGGCCCATTGTGTAAATAATGTATATAAAGCAGTCACCAACAAAGAAGATGCCAAGGAGAGGGCGATATTCTTCAGCATCTGTGGAGAGGAAACGTTCAAAATCACCCGGGCCAGAAGACATCGCTACTGTTCCTTACAGAACAATTATGGAACGGCTGAAGGGGCACTTCTCGCCGCAGCCCTCGGTGGTGGCTCGTCAAAATGCCTTCTACGCAAAGCGGAAAGCCACTGGGGAAACCATAACACCACCTTTTCTCCTAACTAAAAGACCTGGGCTCAGCAACCTTTCCTCTGAAATCCATAGTGGGTAGAACATGGTACAAACTTCAGTCGGCAGCCTACCCCTCTGGGAGTCAGGAGATCTCTCTGTGCGCCTGTGTGGTGCTGAACGAAGAGACGTTTATCTTCTGTATAACTTAATTACTGGCTGATAGTCAGATGAAGCTTCTAGAGTGAGGTGGTGGTTGGAGAACGAGCCCCATGTTCTCATTTCAGAGAGGAAGAAGGAGTTGCAATGTAATCAGCAGGAAGGAGAAAGCCTTCGTTATATGGAATAGATGGGGGGGCAATTGGGGGCCACATGCCAGCAGTGAGTGGGGCCAGAGGCAAATGTGGGTGGAGCATTGAAGGTGCAATTCACCTTTGTACAGTAGGTTAGTTCAGGCATCCCCAACCTTCGGCCCTCCAGATGTTTTGGACTACAATTCCCATCATCCCTGACCACTGGTCCTGTTAGCTAGGGGTCATGGGAGTTGTAGGCCAAAACATCTGGAGGGACGCTGGTTGGTGATGCCTGGGCTAGTTTCTCCCCACAAACACATTCACCTATCCTCCATCCGGGTAAACATTATCAGAGTTCAAGGACATATCCCAGCCAGGCAAAAACACTCAAGGAGGGTGCAAAGCAAGGTCAAGGAAGGGGTGTGGCCTGAGGAGCAGGGGCGTGGCCTGAGGAGAGTCCTAAGGGCCAGATAGAGAGGTCTGGAGGGCCGCATTCAGGCTTGAGGTTCCGCACTGTGGCTACAGCACTCAGCTGGAAAAAGAACCCTAAGGAAGTATTTTAGGGTGTGCTCTTTTGCTTCTGGGAAGAGTTTGGAAGAAGAAGAGTTTGGATTTGATATCCCACTTTATCACTACCTGAAGGAGTCTCAAAGCAGCTAACATTCTCCTTTCCCTTCCTCCCCCACAACAAACACTCTGTGAGGTGAGTGGGGCTAAGAGACTTCAGAGAAGTGTGACTAGCCCAAGGTCACCCAGCAGCTGCATGTGGAGGAGCGGGGAAGCGAACCCGGTTCCCCAGATTACGAGTCCACCGCTCTTATCCACTACACCACACTGGTTCTGGGGACCTGTCCCTCTTGTAAGAAAAGCATGGTCTGGATCTATGCCTTCAACCAGCTCTCCCTGGAATGTCCAACCCTTAGAGCAGTGGAGGGCAGTGCCTGCAAAACCCCTTGGCTAGGCAATGGTACCTGCAGGCTTAGGAGTTCAGCTGTTCCCAAACCGCAGATAAGGAAACGAGTGGCCCACGCCCTGGATGTGTGATAAAAAGGCGAAAGGGAAAATGGAAAGTTCTCACTGGCCATGATTCATTATGGGCGCAGCAATGACCTCACTCGAGCTCAGCATCTTTATGGTCAAAAGGTGACAGAGATGTTGTAACCTGCATCTTTTTTAAAAACAACAACAACTTTACAAGTTAAACAGGAACTGAAGAAGTGCAAAAGTGAGTGCGCAGAGGGGCAGCTCTCTATCGCTGGAGCAAAACCAGCTATGGTGATGGCAGAAGGGAGTGGCGACCTGACAAAAGGCTGCAGTCAGATGCTGTTCCAGGAGCAGAAGTGGGTGGAAGGAACTGATCACTTAGAAACAGGAAAGCAAATCCCCAGTGGCAGTGTTTTTTAAAAATTCGTTGGCGCTCTATTGTTTAAACCTGCAGCAAGGCTGTAAATCAAGCAGTTGCTCTGATGAATGGTTGCATGTTTGGTTCCAGCCTTAATAATAGGGTACATACACCTGTTGGTAAGTATTTATTAAAAGAAGAAGGAGAAATCCAAAATGTCTCCATGGCACAAGTCTCTCCAGAAGGGTGCAACCACATGATTGAGGTTTTATAAGCATGAGCTGAGGAGTGTCTTGAAATATCAAAATCCCTCTGATGCAAGAGGAACGCCCCTCCCCAAACTGCTGTTGTACTAAGGTGCTATGGAACAACCTGAGGATCTCTGCTTTTCCTAAGTTTCTAGTCCTTGTGACTTGCAGAGAAAAACCTGGAGATGTGAAGGGCATGTATGGTGGTGGAATGATTGGTAGACACAGGTTGAAGTTAGGAACTATGGCTCTAGTGCCCTGGGCTGCCCCATGCTTTAGGAACTTAGGAACTCCATGCCCCATGCTTTAGTAAAACTGCCTTATGTGGGGTCAGTCGGACCTACCTCAGTGTTACCTGCACTGATTGCCAGTAGCTGACTGGGAAAGACTCCGGTCTGAAATCCTGGAGAGCTGCTGCCAGTCCGTGTAGGCAGTAGTGAGCTTGATGGACTCGGTGACCTGACTTTAATAAGGCAACTTCCTGTGTCAAGGTTTGGACCCATGGTCCTACAACATCTGGAGAGCTACAGGTTCCTGCCTCTTCTTTTTTGGGCATTTGCGTTGGAGAAGAGAGCCTTAGAGATCCTCCGGGGTCTCTATGATCCATGGGTTGGCAAACTAAGGCCCAGGGGCCACATCCAGCTAATTGCCTTCTGGATCCGGCCCACAGACGGTCCGGGAATCGCCGCGTTGATCGGCGTGGGGATTCTAATTATTTGGGCTGCACCATCCCCCACCCCACCCCCACACCATGGTGTCTCTTCCCTCCTTCCTCCTGGCTTCTCCCTGCCCTGCCTAGAGGAGGAAGGGGGCTGGGCTTTGTTGAGCCACGGTTGACTGAGTGCCATTTTAAGCAGCCCCTCTCCGGAGCCACCCCTTTTGCGCCACTCATCGTCCCTCCGCCACCGCCAGCCCCTGCCACTCGCAAGGCACAGGTAAGCAGCCACCAGGCTCGTCCGGTGCTGTGGAGAAGGGAGGGGAGAGTAAATCCCCCCATATAGTTCGGCCCCCCCACAAGGTCTGAGGGACAGTGGACTGGCCCCCTGTGGAAAAAGTTTGCTGACCCCTGCCATAATCCATTAGTTGAGAGCTGGACGAGTCCTGCCATCGCCGCAGCAGTGCAGGTGCAAGCACATAGGAGAAGAGGGCAGCCTCCAAAGCAACATGTGCTGCAATGGTGTCAGAAGTGGAGAAGGCTTTTTGTCCCGTGGGTTAAGAAGGGGCGAAGCTGCCCAGGAAGGAGAGAGCCCAAATACAAATTTTGGTCTGCAAGGGCTTCTCCTCCTGTTTCAACCTATTATTTGAGCAACGGCCCTGTATAATTAACAGTAATTTCATTACCTAATGGTTAATTAGGTAATGGCTGGGCTGGCAGTTAACGTGAACATAGATTTATAGGCATCATCAGAGAGGTGTGCTGAAATGTCAGGATCCTCACAAACGGTCTGATTGGAAGTGCTTTTGGCATCCCTAACAAGCCACTCTGCTGAATATAAACAAGATCTTTAAATTTGGGTTTCATAAGGCGTCTATTTGGACACAGCTGGGAGTGCCTGCAGATTTGGAAGCTCTGCTAGCCGGGCTTTCTATTAGATTAGAGGGGGCGGGGGAAATTGGAAAGATGGAGAATGGGATGTCTGTGGCTTTCCCTAGTTGCCTGACCCCAAGTCGGGAAGACGGCACGAAGGAAAAATTGACGGGCCCCCTTCAGCCATCCTTTTTATTATGCATTTGTGAACATCTGTGCTCATGCTGGTATCAGAGCAGTTATACATGATACTACTCCTACTTTCAATATTTGTGTGGCTTTAAAAGAGGCTGGGATACATTCACAAAGGAGAAAACGATCAATGGCTACTAGCAATAGCGGCTCTGCTCTGCTGCCGTGATTGGAGGCTGTGATGCTTATGGATCCAATTTCTGGAAACCACAGAAGGGGAGAGAGTTGCTCTTGTGCTCGAATCCTGCTTAACGGTTTCCCATCTGGTTGGCCACTGTGGGAACAGGATGCTGGATTAGTCCCCCGCCCCCATTCTGGCTCACTTTACATTCTTATGGCTATGTGCTTTGGAGTTTTATTTCAGTCTACAACCATGAGGGCTAGGAACTTATTTTAAAAATTCAAGTATACAGTGGTACCCCGGGTTACATACGCTTCAGGTTACATAAGCTTCAGGTTAAAGACTCTGCTAACCCAGAAATATTACCTCGGGTTAAGAACTTTGCTTCAGGATGAGAACAGAACATTAGCTAAAGTGGTGCTTCAGGTTAAGAACAGTTTCAGGTTAAGAACGGACCTCCGGAACGAATTAAGTACTTAACCCGAGGTACCACTGTACATCGTACCCTCCCTCTGCCTCTGGCTTCTTCTAATTCTTAGGTAGGCACCATATTCTGTACTCTGTGACCCAGCAGTACTGATGGAGACATCCAGGTCCTCTGATTCCTTGCACAATTCAGATGCCTTTAGCGGGTAAGACTTGCTAATCTGACTTGTTGCTGGCATCCATCTGTCTCAAGAGACTATGGAGTGCACTTCTGGAGGTGAAGTCAAATCACTATGTTAGCAGCACCGAAGTGACCTGTCCAGAGTGCAAGTCTAGATAGTGTGCCTGGAGGTCCTGGTCTGCCCAGATGGAAAACACCCCCTCTTGGTCTCGCTGATGTGGTCCAAAGGAAAGCAGAGGAAGATGTTTGGCACCAACTTGGCTGCAGGAGTTGCTGGAAGGAGATGTACAAGGAGCCATCCAACCGCCTTAGGGACTCCACTCCAGATTTGTGTAGGGTTTACTCCTTAGCCTTTTCTTCTCCCAAAGATATCCCACAAAGCAGCAGAGGTTTAGGATCAGCGTTTTCCTTCTCTTAGATGCGCTACCTTCCCAGGTTATAATAATAATAATTTATTATTCATACCCCGTCCATCTGGCTGGGTTTCCCCAGCCACTCTGGGCGGCTTCCAACAAAGATTCAGAATACATTAAAATGTCACACATTAAAAACTTCCCTGAACAGGGCTGCCTTCAGATGTCTTCTAAATGTCAAGTACGGTAGTTGTTTGATCTCTTTGACATCTGATGGGAGGGCGTTCCACAGGGCTTCCTGCTTCCCTGTAACTTTGCTTCTCGCAGTGAGGGAACCGCCAGAAGGCCTTCGGCGCTGGACCTCAGCGTCCAGGCAGAACGATGGGGGTGGAGACGCTCCTTCACGTTGACAAGCCCCATCTGCCCCTCACTTCCCTCTGCAGCAGGTATTGAAATTGCCTTGATGACCTGCTCAACCTGCTAGAGCCTGTGTTTGCAGGCAGAGGAAGTCCCTAACTCGCTGACGGTTTGAGACCCATTGGCTACCCTCTCCTGATTTAGCCTCCCAGACAAAGCTAATTCCCAGGGTGTGGCTGCTGTCTCACGCTGGCAGCTTCTAGGAGCCACAGGTGAGTGCAGGGTGGGGGACCAAAGGTGGAAAACCTATCCCAGAAGGCGCATGATGTGTCTCCCACCAGAGGTGCTACAAAACTTGACTGAATGCTCCTTAAATGTGAGGATGGCCACTGAGGAAACGGTTTGGCTAATTTGCATGTTTGTAGGCGGGTCTCTCTGGAGGCCTGTTTCCTCGACAGCCACCGCAAACAGCTTTGATATGAGCTTTGTCACGTCATCCTCCGGATGAAGAGCAGATGGTTTGGAAAATGAGCAGGATGGAGCTTGTGCAAAAAAAGGTGCCATGTTCTTTCTGATGGTGGCAAAAAGCAGTCCCCCCTCCCCCGCCAGCAATCCCTGGCTCTCTCACTTGTTAGCACTGCTATTTATTAATGGATTCAATTTATATGGGCTACCCTTCTTCTCAAGAAGCTGAAGGCATTTCTCTCTCTCTCTCTCTCTCTCTCTCTCTCTCTCTCTCTTGCATCCGCACAGCCCCCAAGATTGCATTTAGCTCTGATTCCTGCGTTGCAGGAGCGGGTGGCACTGTGGTCTAAACCACTGAGCCTCTTGGGCTTGTCAATTGGAAGGTCTGCAGTTCGAATCCCTGCAACGGGGAGAGCTCCTGTTTGGTGTAGTGGTTAAGAGCGGTAGTTAAGAGCCAGTGTGTTAAGAGCCAGTGTGGTGTAGTGGTTAAGAGCGGTAGTCTCCTAATCTGGGGAACCGGGTTCGCGTCTCCGCTCCTCCACATGCAGCTGCTGGGTGACCTTGGGCCAGTCACACTTCTTTGAAGTCTCTCAGCCCCACTCACCTCACAGAGTGTTTGTTGTGGGGGAGGAAGGGAAAGGAGAATGTGAGCCGCTTTGAGACTCCTGAAGGGGAGTGAAAGGCGGGATATCAAATCCAAACTCTTCTTCTTCTTCTTCTCTGTCCCAGCTCCTGCCAACCTAGCAGTTCAAAAGCACGCCAGTGCAAGCAGATAAATAGGTACTGCTTCAGCGGGAAGGTAAATGGAGTTTCCGTGAGCTCTGGTTTCCGTCACGGTTTAGTCATGCTGGCCACAAGACCCGGAAAGCTGACTGGACTAATGCCGGCTCCCTTGGCCTGAAAGTGAGATGAGCGCCACAACCCCATAGTTGTCTTTGACTGGACTTAACCATCCAGGGGTCCTTTACCTTTTTGTTTACCTGGGCTAGAACGCCCCTGGACTCTCTTCCAACTCTGCAATTCCATAAGATTGGGCTAAGAGTCAGTGAAAGGCTACTGTTCTGAAAACCAGCAGAAGGCAGTATTCTCTCCATTTTGCAAACAGAAGCCTTGAGGGTTTTTTTGTCCACTGGCGGGGAGTTCCTTTCCAAATGGACACACCAATCCCTTACTGGGGGGAAACTCAACCTCTTAGGAAATCACCATTCCGAGTTCTGGTTTGTAGCTTTAAGTGCCTGAAGTTTATATGATGCTTTAAAAAACAACAGCAAAGAGAAAAAATGTAAATGCAAAGTAAACTAAACTTCCAGATGTTTAAAGATTTATGGGTCCCTTAGTTTCCATGGCAATAATGATGTCAGGCAGTGAGAATGTCAAAAGTCAGTAGCAGGCGGGGGGGGGGGACGTAGAAAGCTAAATAAAAGGGAGGAGGGGGTCCCTTTTTGTAAGAATAAGAAAAGCTACCCCCAAATTAGCTTTGAGTTTAAAATAGCAAAGCTGCATAAAGGTCATGGGTTGGAATTTGCAGCATCTGCGATGGAATGAGAGTACATATACGTGGGAACCCAATGATCAAATGATACCATGAGTGATTTGGAGCAGGGATTTGTATTTTCTGGAGCATTCGAAGTTTCATTCCCCACCCCCTCTCTTTTAAGTTCACTGTTTATTTTTAAGATTTGTTGCATAATACGTAAGATTGGATTCGAACAATTTGATTATGGAGACAGCGACAAAGGCAGCAAAACCGTAATGTGATGATTTGCATCAGAGAAGTGAAAGGAGCCATACCTGAGGGTCACAGCTAGGCATAAAGACCACTTTGGGAAGCTGTAGGAAACATTTGATCAAGGATCATAGAATCATAGAATTGTAGGGACTGTGAGGATCATCTAGCCCAACCCCACGTAATGCAGGAATCTTTTCCCCAACTTGGGCTCAAACCCACGACCCTGCAATTAAGAGTCTTATGTTCTACCAACTGAGGAGGTCTGGGTAATAGGTTCACCCAGAAGTAGTAGTAGTAGTTGTTTTTTGTAGTTTGGGGTGTTAAAATGCCCCCCAGCTATATACTGCTAAAGGGAATCCCATGTGCCAATTTGCCATATTTGTTTTCATCCCTGACAACGCTGGGTCAGTGTTTCCAGGGTAAAAGACCTGTCTCTGGTCTACCATAGTTTGAGTATCTATGTTTGGCCCCAGGGACGCAGGTGGCGCTGTGGGTTAAACCACTGAGCTTGCTGATCAGAAGGTCAGCGTTTCAAATCCCCGCGACGGGGTGAGCTCCCGTTGCTCGGTCCCAGCTCCTGCCCACCTAGCAGTTCGAAAGCACGAAGTGCAAGTAGATAAATAGGTACCGCTCCGGCGGGAAGGTAAATGGTGTTTCCGTGCGCTGCTCTGGTTCGCCAGAAAGCAGCTTAGTCATGACCTGGAAGCTGTACGCCGGCTCCCTCGGCCAATAAAGTGAGATGAGCACCGCAACCCCAGAGTCGTCCACGACTGGACCTAATGATCAGGGGTCCCTTTACCTTTAGCTTTATGTTTGGCCCCACAGGTTTAAATAGCAGTTTGGAAATGGATGGCAAGGTGGGGTGGGGGTGGGATAATTTGATCAGGAAAGTGCTTGCGCCGTGGTTCCCCTGAATCGGGCCCTCTTCTTTTAGAAGGTAGCCTAGTGGCTAGAGTGGAGTGGAGAATCCTTTTCAGCTGGAAAGCCACATTCCTCCTGGGGCAATTTTTGGGGAAGTGCTGGGCAGGGCCAAAGACAAAAGTGGGGAAAGGATCACAGTCTTCCTACCCTATGCCAGAGTGGCACACTGGATTGCACCTGATGCCGCCATGCTTGTCCACCGGCTCTTTTCAGAAGCATACCAAAGCTCCCTTGGGCCCTTTACTCGCACCCCTTGCCCTATTCTGGCCCTCGCCAGAGGAGCTGAGCCAGCTGAGTGGAGATGTGCAGTTTTTGCGACCCTCTTAGTCCTGCCCCCTTGATGGGGGTCAACCTCACCAACCCCCAGGTATTCCCCAGTTTGTTTAACAGTGGTACCTCGGGTTAAGAACTTAATTGGTTCCGAAGATCCGTTCTTAACCTGAAACTGTTCTTAACCTGAGGTACCACTTTAGCTAATGGGGCCTCCAGCTGCCTCCAGCTGCCGTCGTCGTGCGGTTTCTGGTCTCATCCAGAAGCAAAGTTCTTAACCGGAGGTACTATTTCTGGTTACAGGTAGGTAGCCGTGTTGGTCTGCCATAGTCAAAACAAAATAAAAAATAAATTCCTTCCAGTAGCAGCTTTGAGACCAACTAAGTTTGTTATTGGTATGAGCTTTCGTGTGCACACGGGTGGCACTCTGGGTTAAACCACAGAGCCTAGGACTTGCCGATCAGAAGGTCGGCGGTTCGAATCCCCGCGACGGGGTGAGCTCCCGTTGCTCAGTTCTTGCTCCTGCCAACCTAGCAATTCGAAAGCATGTCAAAGTGTAAGTAGATAAATAGGTACTGCTCCGGCAGGAAGGTAAACGGTGTTTCCGTGCACTGCTCTGGTTCGCCAGAAGTGGCTTAGTCATGCTGGCCACATGACCCGGAAGCTGTACGCCGGCTCCCTCGGCCAATAAAGCGAGATGAGCGCCGCAACCCCAGAGTCAGTCACAACTGGACCTAATGGTCAGAGGTCCCTTTACCTTTACCTTTAAGGTGCTACTGGAAGGAATTGTTTTATTTATTTTGTTTCAGGGTTAATGGAGTCTGTAACCTGAAGCGTCTGTAACCTGAAGCATCTGTAACCCGAGGTACCACTGTATTTTTATTCTTTTTTCAAAAAAAATCATTGTGCATTATGTGCTTTGATGTTTTTCACCACTCTGGGATTTGTTTAAGCAAAGAGCAGGTGATAAGTGCCCAAAACAAAATGTTGGTTTTGCCTGGGTTGTACAGGGAGTGGCGGTGAGATTGAGGCTTCTTGACATCGTCAGTAGAGCAGAGCAACATTATTTCATGAGTCAGCGTTAATAATCCTAACAAGCACCAGTTGTCAGCTGGCGTTCAAGAGTGAGTTTCCCTTCGGGTTTTGTTTTGTTTGCAGTTCGTGGAAAGGAAGTTGCTGAGTCAGAAGCAGATTCGAGCTTCTGCTTTCTTTCCAGAGACCTGGGACCTTCTCTGCTCCTGCAGGAAGGCATTAGTCCAGGGCAGGGGTCTTTTTCCCCCAGCCCGAGGGTCAAATTCTGTTTTGGAGAACTGTCCAAGGACCTTGCACCTGTGGTGGGCAGGGCCACAGGCAAAAGTGGATGGAACCACAAATGTAAATGTTATTTTAGTACAGTAGCCTAGTTTCTTCGCTCTCCTCCACCCTCCATGCGGCCAAGGACACATTCCAGTCAGGCAAAAACACTTGACAAGAGAGCAAAGGACTCTTGAGGGGTGTGGCCTGTGGGGAGGGGTGTGGCCTGGGAAGAGTCTTGAGGGCCAGATAGAGAAGCTTGCAGGGCCACATTTAGCTCCTGGGACTGAGGTTCCACACCCCTGTACTAAGTTGTGCTATGATTGTGCCTCCTGCTTTGGCAGGGGTGTTAGACTAGATCAGTGCCTCCCAAACTGTTTTGGACTACAATTCCCATCATCCTTGACCAGTGGTCCTGCTAGCTAGGGATGATGGGAGTTGTAGTCCAGCAACAGCCGGAGAGACCCAAGTTTGAGGAACACTGGAGCAGATGATCCTTTGGGTCCCTTCCAACTCTACAATTCTATGGTCCTACAATTGGTCCTACAATTCTATGGTCCTTCCAACTCTACAATTCTATGTCAGGGGGAGCAATGGAGGGTTAGGCACTAACCAGAGTCTCTATAGGTATGTGGCTTTTCTGGGCGCTGATTATCACCAGGCACTCCCATCGACATTGGCAGAAGTCGAACTCGTATCAGTTACAGGCTGGAACTTGGCAAATACCTGCCAGTGTTCAGCAAGCTGTTATCAGCTGGGGGTTATCAGCTGATCAGGTTATTAGCTGGGAGAGGGCAGGGTTTTGTTTTGTTGCGCACACAACCCAAGAAAGAAGTGTCAGTGGAATGGAGGGTGTGTGTGTGTGCGCGCGCACAAGAATGCAACAGAAACTCCAGAACTGAGAGCAAAAGTTGGGTCCATCTAGCTGAATGACATGAGGGTGCTGTGGTTTGAAATGGAGGGCTTTTATGTTCAGCTCTGTTAGCTGACCAAGGAGCTCAGCTGGATGATGTAAGTGGTCCCTTTTCATTTCCAAAGATTCTATTGTCATATATTGTACTAGGAGCTGCCCCCTCTGCTCACTAACCTCTTTGGCTACTCCCTTCCCTCACACTAGCCAATCCTCCCTCTCTTTATACCTTTCCTACCCCCTTGACTATTCCCCCACAGCTCACCCCAACCCAGTAGGCAGCCACACAAACTGCAGTGTGATGACACCCTTACGTTTCTATGTATATAAGAAGATACCAGTACTAGTCCTACTCAAAATATGAATGGAAGTTGCTAAGTTAGGTCCACTTATTTAGATGGGTGTGCTCCGAGTAGGGCTAGCATTGGATACAAGCCTAATGCTTTTTAATTTATTCTTTAAGTAGTAGTAGTTTATTAATGCTTGGGCCATAGGCCATTCACATATAAGGTAGATGGGTACAGTACAAAAACCAGTAGTATAAAATACTGCATAATTTTTTATTTTATTTTTTAGTAAGTGAAGCTTTATTCTGTTTCTCCTGCTCTAAAACGATTTCCTTTTTTGTTCTTAATCTGGTTTATTGCCTAGATTTGGTTTTAATGTGTTTTTTTCCCTTCACACCTTGGACGTCCTTGCCAAGAGCGAAGAAGAGGCATTTTTGAATATATTTTAAAATAAACTATAGTAAATATATATAAATATAAGTTTCCTTTCCTCTGAGTGTAGAGGCGTATGTGATCCAAATCTTCATAGTCTCTCTCTCATATCTATTTATCTAATCAGCTTTGGGGGATATGATTATTTCATGGTTTATATTGCTGCTGGTTTTCCCGTCCTGTTTAAAATAAGGTTTCGTATGAGTGCTGTTGTGGCCTGTGAAATGTTTTCCGACCCCTTTTTCCATTTTGAAGAGTTCTTGTTTTGTTATAATGAGATGTTTTAATTTTTAAGGTGCATTTATGCATGCAAGCTGCGTTTCGGAGGTCTTTGCCCTGAAATATATATAGATCCCCAACTACTTGTGTTATGTACAGAAGTTCTCACCCTGGGCCAGCAGGGGGATACTGTAGATAGTTTTCACTCAGGTCCACATATGCAAATAAAGGATTGAAAGTGACGTTCAGTGATTGGATAGTTACAGAAAATGGTTACTGTTGTGTTCTAGTGGAGCTCTATATAAGCAGGCTGGCTGAACCCTTCAGTTCAGTTCTGTTCTGGCCTGTGAATAAACCCACTACTTAACAACTTCCACGCCCCCTTTCAGGTCAAAGACCCCCTAAACACAATCACATATACAGTCACTTTAAAGTGGCTAGTTGCCCAGGTATTTAAAGGAAACCTCCTTTCCATTGGGAATGGTAGGACGGAAGGCAGGGAGCCCGCCAGCAGGGGGAGCCAGAGCCTCTGGCAGGCAGAGCCACCTGATTCTAGCTGAGTGCCCATCTTCCTCCGCCTCCCTGCTGAGTTCTACAGTGGGTAAGATACTGAGACTGTGAGGAGGAGCAAGCTGACAGGCAGGGGCATCCCTAGACAGGTTGTGAGTAAGAAGGCAGGCCAGTGGAGGCTGCCTGAGGGCAGTCTGAGCTTGGTGGGGCAGTGCCCCCGCCCACCTGCCCAAACGGCCTGCCTCTACTGCTCCATTCATGCCAACGGAGGCTTCCATTTCAACGCAAAGAACTCCGTTGGATATTCCAGGAGAAAATGGTCCTTCCTGGTCTTGTTTTGCATGGCAGCCAAATCCTAAGGGAGATGTTTGAGCATCTCCTGACAGGTTAATTTGTATTTCTTTTGCAATGCAAAGCAGTTGTGAGACTTCCAGTTTGATCAGAGGAAGAGCCTTAACCCTTACTTCTGCTCTTCTCTGCCTCAAGATTGCACACATAGCTTTTCGGGGAAACACAGTAGTGGTGACCTGTAATATGATCTCATCCCCCCCCCTTCTTTTTTCACCAGGAAGGATTTCTTAAAACTGGAATACGGGACTTGTGGTGCAGGTGTTTCTGGGGGTGGGGAAGAAAATAAATCCAATCTGAATGTAAAGGCAAATCAACCGCATTTGTGCTTTCTGAAACAGTGGTACGCAAACTGAAACACAGCCACGCTTCAGAATATATACTGTGAATTGCAGTTTCTCCAGCCCAGGCTACATGCACTATGGGAAGATGTGCTCAAAGTGCGTAGTCTGATTAAAAAGTGTGCTATATTTTTGGAAATCGGTTTGCCAAAAAATATCAGGCAAAATTGCGTACAAAAATCAGCCGCAAACTGCTGGTGAACTTTCATGAATAATAATAAGAATAATAATAGTATTAGTAATAATAATAAATAAATAAATAGCCTCATGTGGAAAACTGAACTTAAAATGGGGGTGGAAATGAGAAAGGGAGGAAAATTGAAATTGGCATATTTGCCCATCCCTAGTGAAGGGTGCTAGTGAAGGGTGGAGTTTACAAGTATGTAAGGGTTAAAAATAAATTAATGGAGTGTCTGTCTGTCTCTTCTCTCCATAGTCACTTCAGATCAAATTGAGAATCTGCATCGGCGATTCAAGCAGCTAAGTGGGGATCAACCAACTATTCGGTACAGTATTGCCTATTCTTAGCCCTATATCATGATGGATTTGTTCAGTGCTTTTCTTCTAAAAAGATGTTTACGGGTATTCTCATTTTGACTCAAGAAAATCAACATTTTGTAGTTCAAATCGGGGGAAATAAATACAGTAAATGGACAAAAGATTCACAAAATGTTTAAGGGTATGCATGCCCTTGCGTACCCCCAGAAAAAAGCACTGGATTTATTCTCTAAGTGTGGATACTTAATGAAGCCCAACGCTAGGAGGGTTCACATGTCACATGACGTAGGGCTGCCAGATGTCGGGAATTTCCTGGACATAGGTGGGTAAACAGTGTCTGGGTGGAAATCCCTTGAATGTCCTGGAAAATTTGTTTTTTTACGAATTTCCTTTAAAATAGCTCCAAACCTCCCTCTCTCTCTCTCTCTCTCTCTCTCTCTCACTCCCTCTCAAGATTTTTTTTTGGGGGGGGCTCAACTTTTGTCTCCGGATTTTCACTTTTTGAAATACAGCAACCCTACATTAAGCAATTGTACAACCTCTGTGCCTGTGTACAGAAGTAGTTGAGCTGTACGCACGTACGTTATTCCTATGGGACTTTCAACAAAGTATACAATCCTGTAGCAGAGACATCACCTTGCCAACAAAGGTCTGTATAGTTAAAGCTATGGTCTTCCCAGTAGTGATGTATGGAAGTGAGAGCTGGACCATAAAGAAGGCTGATTGCCGAAGAATTGATGCTTTTGAATTATGGTGCTGGAGGAGACTCTTGAGAGTCCCATGGACTGCAAGAAGATCAAACCTATCCATTCATAAGGAAATCAGCCCTAAGTGCTCACTGGAAGGACAGATCCTGAAGCTGAGACTCCAATACTCTGGCCACCTCATGAGAAGAGAAGACTCCCTGGAAAAGACCCTGATGTTGGGAAAGATGGAGGGCACAAGGAGAAGGGGACGGCAGAGGACGAGATGGTTGGACAGTGTTCTCGAAGCTATGAACATGAGTTTGACCAAACTGCGGGAGGCAGTGGAAGATAGGAGTGCCTGGTGAGCTCTGGTCCATGGGGTCACGAAGAGTCAGACACAACTAAACAACAACAAATAACAATCCTGTGTGCCTGCATACATGATACTTGAGCTGTACAGACAGACAAGCATTCACTATTTCACACAAACACTTGTACATGCATGTGTACAGACAGCTTATACCTGTGTTCAGGGTAATAATGCATGAACAAGCCTAGACTCATCCATGCATGAGACAGAGGCATCCAAAGTCTTGAGGGTGAGGGAGAGAACCCGAGTGTTGAAGTAGTACAAAAAGGTTTAAGGAGGGGATAAAACCTCATGAGTGAACTTGTACACTGCTTGGAGAATTGTTTTGATCATGCAGTTTACAAATTGTGTTGTTTGGGGGGGATAATCCACACCCTTTTCTATCATTCCAGTGAGGACTGGGGGTGCTCAGTAGGCATGCAATGCTGCCTAGGTGTGTTTTTGGTGGGGAGGGGGGGTGGAAAGAAAAACGGAGCGAGGTGCAATGGGATGGAGTATCCCGAAAGATGGCATAGCTGGCGAACTGAAACCCTGGAGCAGTGGTTCCCTAACTAACTGCCCCCCCCCATTGGACCACTTGAAAATTGCTGACGGTCTTGGTAGACCACTCCATGATTAAATCCCCCCCCCCCTTTTGGTGCAATTGTAATGCACTGTGTTACTTATTTCATTTTATCGTATTGCGATTTGAATTCTGTGCCGTTTGGACTGCAATACAACACAATGCAATAGATAATAAAAGATGCAATAGAAATACTATTAAAAACCAATATGAATGATGAATGCAATGGATGTGCCATCTCCTTGTCTTCAGCCACAAATCCAAAGGCTCACCACGGAACAGCTGAATGAAGTTTTTTCACCGCTGGTGGTCTGCGGACCACAGTTTGGGAAAGACCTCGCTGGAGCACTCCATGCTGCAACATGTTGATACTTTTAACAGGGAATGTGCTGCATTCTTAGGAAGATACCGTCCACTCTGGCTGGCAGCAGCTCCCTAAGATTAGGGGCAGGTATCTTTCCCAGGCCTGGAGATGCTGGGGATTAGAATAATAGAGTGATGGCATTTTAGAGTTGGAAGGGACCACAACGGTCATCTAGTCCAACCCCCTACAATGCAGGAATCTTTTGTCCAACGTGGGGCTCGAACCCATGGCCCTGAGTTGGAGAGTCTCATGCTCTACCGGCTGATCCATGTGATTGAACTGAACAGCATTTTGCATCCTCTATCTCTGAGTAATGGCCCATTCCCAATGCACCAGGAACAGGTGATTAGTGACCCTCTAAATTAGTGGCTTTCAAAGGTCACAGACTCCCCTTTGAAGATCTGGTAGAAGCTATGGACCCCCCTCCCAGAAAAATCCACACCTATACATGAAATGTTGCATACAATTTATTTTATTGCATTGTGTGGGTTGATGGACCCCCCTGATGAATCCCATCCATGGAGCACAGGTTAAGCATCCCTGTTCTGTATGATTTTTGACTCCAGCTCCCATCATGTTTGACCGCTGGCTGTGCTGGTTGGGGCTGATGAAGTGCCATTGTTTATACTGGGTTGGAAGAACAGATGGACTGGACGGAAGCAGCTTCCCCCGTTGCACAGCCAACTTCACAGGGAAGGGTGCAATGTGGAGACTGGTCCTTGTCAAGGTCTGTCCTGGGCCGATCGTCCCATCAAATAACGGCTTGCTAATCAATTGGCTGCTTTCTGCCCTGTTCTCTCCCGTAATGAGATTTTGCTCCTCCAGGCCAAACCCCAGATGGCTCTCTTGAAAGCACAGGCCTTTCTCCGTACAAGGCTTGCGGCTTTTGTGGGGAAGCAGGAGAGGCCATCGACCAGGAGGAAGACACCTCCTCTTTCCTGCTCCTACCACTAACCCATGCCTGGTGCCTTATCGCCGACTGGGTGGGGAATCACAGGGAGAGGAATCTACAAGACCCATAATCTCTGAACCATGGGGCTGATGGGAGTTGGGAGTCCCAGCAACCCTGGCTCCTCATCCTTGGTCCAGATCAGGGAGAGGGGAACCTCCGGCCCTCCAAAGGATGCTGGACTACAACTCCCACTGGCCCCACATTACCCCACTCTTACTTACCATCCCAGGCCGCCCATCTGCGGCCACATCGTTCTTTCTTTTATCAGATCAAAATGATCAGACAACAGCAAAGGTTGCTAGGTTTATTGAAGGTGCAATGAGATTAAGGGCCACTATCTGAACAATAATCTTGGTCATTTGATTCCCCATTTTACCCACTGTTGTCTTTTTATTTGTATATATTGCTTGTATTATGTTGCCATGGCCGTTGGCCAATGCGAATAAAGTTTATCTCATCTTATCTTATCTCACTGACCCCAGCAAGCATAGCCATTGCCCAGTGAAGATGGGAGTTGTGGTTCAATAAATGTTGTGTCTTGATGCTTATGAAGGGGAGGGCGGTGTTCTGAAATGTTGGCTCCCAACTCCTACCCATAGTTTGATGTCAATTGAGAGGGATAGTTTCCTGCGCTGGTTTCTCCTCCTGCTGCTCAGCCGGCTGGCCTCCACCTGAGCTGCACAGCAGGTTGACCTTTCTGTAGGAAAATATACAAACGGTTTCAGGCAGAGTTGCAGAGGAGGCTCGCTCTGTAAGGGGGCATATGTCCTGCCAAGAGGCAGGAGGGAAGCCGCTTCGCCCCTTCCCTAGAAAACCAGCGGAGAGATCCTGAGGTCGCTGGGAAAAGGTCACCCAGTGAGCTTCATGGATGAATGGGGATTTGAACGTTGGCCTCCCAAGTCCTAGTTCGGCACTCCAGTCATCACACCACATTGGATATTAGAACTATTATTTAGCTAGTTACTGAACTTATGTCCCTCTGCTTTTCCCCTTAGAGCCGAGGGTAGCAAACTGGTGTGCCATTTAAAACAAAGCAAAGCATTCTATAAAACAGTTCAAAACATTCCCAAAGCCATGAACCTAAAATCTTCAAAATGCAAAAACAAAAAAACCAAATCAAACCAAACCTCAGCTCTGCCACTGAGCCATGACCCTGTGCTGAAGAGATCGCTCATTTGTCTTTAGAAACCTGTCTCTCTCTCTCACACTATTTCTTTCTCTTTGTCCTTTTCTACTTCCGCAGCAAGGAGAACTTTGATCGCGTCCCTGATCTGGAGTTCAATCCAATTAGATCCAAAATTGTCCAGGCCTTTTTTGACAAGAGGTAATGTTGTGGGTGCTTGGCCTCCCCGGGGGGGGGGGTGGTTCTCTATAGCAACAAGAACTGCGCAGCTCTCCTTAACCTCGAATCCCTCTCCGCACATAAGCCATTAAAAAAACAGTAAAGCACATAAACAAGCACCTAAAAACCAGTCATTGATTGAGGCAGCTTCGACGTCCTGTTTTTCAGTGCCTGCTAAAGGCTGCTTTAGTTAAGCAAAATTACAGACGTGTAATTTCATTAGGCAGACTTGTCGATAGAACCAACCATTTCAAGAACAATCAGATAATTTTATTATGCCTACTGTTTTTTAAGGTCTGGTTTTATTGCTATTCTTCTTTTATTCTAGTGAATATTTTATTGCATTTTATGTAAACGGCTTAAAGCTTTTTATTATTATTATTGATATTCAATGGTCTATAAATCTTGCCAAATAAACAAAATCAAGTATTTCATTTGGTGGCCCCTGTTTGATGGCATCCCAAACATTGCCCCCTTTCCCTGGGTGCCTTCCGCCTTCCTCTTGCATCAGAAGGATGAGACTAGCAGTGGCTTACTAGCCATGATGGCTGTGCTCTGCCTCCATGGTCAGAAACAGGATGCATTTTGCACAGTGCATAGTTAAACTGTGGAACTCATTGCCACAGGAGCCAGTGATGGCCACCAAGCTGGATGGCTTCAAAAATGGGTGTGTGCAAATTCATGCAGAATAAATATGACTTATCAATGGATACCGGGCATGATGGCAAAGCTCTCCTTTGAATACCAGTTGCTAGAAACTAATCCAGAATGCAGCAGCTAGACTGGTGACTGGGAGTGGCTGCCAAGACCATATAACACCGGTCCTGAAAGACCTACATTGGCTCCCAGTATGTTTCTGAGCACAATTCAAAGTGTTGGTGCTGACCTTTAAAGCCCTAAACAACCATGGCCCAGTATACCTGAAGGAGTGTCTTCACCCCCATTGTTCAGCCCGGACACTGAGGTCCAGCGCCGAGGGCCTTCTGGCGGTTCCCTCACTGGGAGAACTGAGGTTACAGGGAACCAAGCAGAGGGCCTTCTGGGTGGTGGCACCCGCCCTGTGGAACGCCCTCCCATCAGATGTCGAGAAAATAAACAACTATTTGACTTTTAGAAGACATCTGAAGGCATCCCTGTTTAGGGAAATTTTTAATGTTTGGTGTTTTATCGAGTTTTTAATATTCTGTTGGAAGCCACCCAGAATGTCTGGGGAAACTCAGGCAGATGGGCAGGGTATAAATAATAAATTATGATTATTATGAAACCACAGGATGGGAGTGTTCTCTCTCTTGTGCTCAGGTCCAGTTTGCTGGTTTCCCAACGTGTGAGAAAAGGATGCTGGGCCTGATCAAGAAGGCTTTTCTTACGCCCCATGCTGTTGCTGCCATTTATTTATTTTTGCAACATCCACATGGTTTCATCCTCAAAATGCCAATGCATGCTTTTTAAACGCTGTTGACCTAGATTTCCCCTTGCCACAGAAAATCCAGTTAGTCAGACCAACTCATCACGCCTCTGCAGTTACTGTTGGTGTAGACAATCCTTAGCACTTTGGGGACTTTGGCTGTGTGTGTGACGCATTCCATTCTTCTATGGATTTGTTTGCAAATGGCAATTGTCACATTTAAATTCTGTAAGTAAACAATTTATCCTCTGCTTATTTTATCACAGTTTATATACTGCTTGATTGTAAGCAGAAGGGAAAACCTCAAAGCGGTTTACCAAAAGAAGAGAACAATGACGTTATCAGTAAAGACGTGAAGCTTTCAAATTAAAATCAGTTATCAGATAAAACCAGATTAAAACACATGTCGGCATTCTGCATATTTGGCTAAAGGTAAAGGTAAAGGGACCCCTAACCATTAGGTCCAGTCGTGACCGACTCTGGGGTTGCGGCGCTCATCTCGCTTTATTGGCCGAGGGAGCCAGCGTACAGCTTCCGGGTCATGTGGCCAGCATGACTGAGCCACTTCTGGCAAACCAGAGCAGCACACGGAAATGCCGTTTACCTTCCCGCTGGAGTGGTACCTATTTATCTACTTGCACTTTGATGTGCTTTCGAACTGCTAGGTGGGCAGGAGCTGGGACCGAACAACGGGAGCTCACCCCATCGTAGGGATTCAAACCGCCGACCTTCTGATTGGCAAGTCCTAGGCTCTGTGGTTTAACCCACAGCGCCACCCACGTCCCTATATTTGGATAGGCTTGCCTTAAAAAGAAAAGGGGTTTTTAGCTGTTGCTGGAGAGGTACCTGCCTCGCGTCAATAGGCTTGGAGTTCCAAAGTTTGAGTGCTGCCACAATGAAAGATTTGAGTTTTTACAAATGTGTTGATTTTATTCAAATGTCTGGGACACCCTCACACAGCAGCCAACCCATTTCTAAATAAGGCTGTGCCTTTGCAAACACACTTCCCTCACCCCATCCCACCTTACCCCACCCCCAAAAGCACAGGGGCCGATGGGTGTGTAGAACAAGGGTTGCCAACACGGTGCCCTCCAGATTCTGCTGGGCCCTGACTCCCATCACCCCTGGCTATTGCCCATGCTGACTGGGGCTACATTGGGAGCCCAGCCAGAGGATGGAGGGCTCTACATTAGGTGTTCCTCATGTCGAAAGTATTCTGAGTGCTTTCGTGCCAATAGGAACCTGCGAGAATCATCGGACGGGTTCGCGGAGGAGATCAACTTCGAAGACTTCTTGACGATCATGTCCAATTTCAGGCCCATTGAGATGGACATGGACGACGAGCAGCTCGATCGATTCCGGAAGAAGAAGCTAAAATGTAAGGTGCTCCCTTTTCTCGATCGAGCCTGTTGCTTTGTTGGCAGACGGGAGGAACGGTCTGCATGAACCCACTGCGTTCATTTTTAGCTGTAAAGAGTGTGGTTCCCGGAGCTTCTCCCCTTCTTCCATGTCTACTGTGTGCCTTCCCATCTCCCACTTCAAAGTCATCCAGAGGAGAAACTTTTTCCTATCGAGGGCCACATTCTGTTCTGGACAAATGAAGGTGCTTTGGATAAAGAACTGATCCTGTACTTATTGAGAACTGCCAGGATGGTTATTGTAGAAATAGTTTTTAAAAGGAATCTTTAGAAGGATTAAATAAGGATTTATGGTACAGTCAGAATCTGGTCCATAGCGATTATGGAAAAATTACCATATTTTTTGCTCTATAAGACACACCCGACCATAAGACACACCTAGTTTTAGAGGAGGAAAACAAGAAAAAAAATATTCTCTCCCTCTCTGCGCAGCGCCTCTCCAGCAAAGCAGGCGGAGAAACGGAAGGGGCTCTGTTTCTCCTCCCGCTTTGCTGAAGGGGCACTGTGCAGAGAGGGAAAGCTGCGCAGTGCCTCTTCAGTGAAGCGAAGTCAGAACAGCAAGAGGGATCGCTGCGCAGCGAAAGCAGCAATCCCTCTTGCTGTTCTGGCTTCTGGGATAGCCATGCCAAGCCTCTTCAGGGCAGGGGGAGCGTTCCTCCCGTTGCCCTGAAGAGGCTTCGCACGGCTATCCCTGAAGCCAGGAGAGTAAGAGGGATCGGTGCACACCGATCCCTTGCTCTCGTGGCTTCAGTGAAAGCTGCGCAGCCTGCATTCACTCCATAAGACGCACACACATTTCCCCTTACTTTTTAGGAGGGGGAAAGTGCGTCTTATAGAGCGAAAAATACAGTACGTCGAAGGTTAAGGTATACCAGAGGACACCCCCCCCTTCCCTGCCCATCATTTTCAACCAGGGGGGTGAAAACTTATTTCATGACGGTGATAATGTTCAAAGGCCTCCTGTGAGTTATGCTCTTTGGCATTCTTGGCGACTTCTCATCGTCAAGAGAGAACATCGTAAACCGTTAAGGACAATATCCCGAGATTTATAAGTAAAGCAAAGCCTATATTTTAAGAAAGAATATGTTACTACGCTCCAATATCAGTAATTGTCTCCCCCCCCCCCCATGGGCTATGAATGAGATGACCAACATTTTTGGTCCGTGTGTGTTTAATTTGCATTTGCATTCAAGCTGTAGTTATTTTTGTAAGTCATTAAATTATATGTTCTTGATTTTGCACACACGCACACAAACACCCTTCCCCTGCCTACTGGCACAAGAACTCTGTTGGTGTTTGATACAGTCCCTGATTTGATGTTAGGCTCAGTTACCATTGTGCAGGGTAAATGTGGGTTCTGAAGGAATTTATTTCACGCATAGTACTGTGCTTTTAAGCTGCTTACTCCTGACCCTAATTTATTTTGCCTTCTCTCCCCTAGTTCTTTTCCACATGTACGATGCAGACAGTGACGGCAAGATCACTCTGCAGGAATACAGGAATGTAATGTATTATTATTATTATTATTATTATCATTATTATTATTTGGGCATCCCACTCCCTTAACTGCATTTTCAACGACCCGGCACCGCTCCTCCTCCTCCAACCAGTTTGCAACTTGCTTCTGCCCTCCAGATTGTGCAAGAGATGCTTTCGGGGAACCCCCACCTGGATAAGGAATCGGCGAGGTCCATCGCAGACGGAGCCATGATGGAGGCTGCCAGCATCTGCGTGGGGCAAATGGTAGGCTGAGCGCAACGCTGCATTCCGAGGCAAGGAAGGGATGTAGCTCAGTGGTAGAGCATCTGCTTGCCCGCAGGAGGTCCCAGGTTCAATCCCCATCTCCAGATAGTGCTTGGAAAGATGGGGGGTGGGTGGAGAGGTACAAAGCAGGATTGAACTCCCCATACACAGCTGCTGATGCTATTCCACTTTCTGCAGCTGTGTCTCTCTGCCCCCACACCTGACATCAGGTGTGTGGCATGTGGGTGTGTTTTTAGAAAAAAATGGACTGGTGGGCCAAGTTTGGCCCAGGTTCCCCAACCATTTTAATGTTGATTTGTGTTTTTCCTCAATTGTGCATTAAGGTTGTGCTGTAAGCCCTTTTAGGAAAACGTCGCCCTTAAGAATGGCATGTAGGTTTTTGCTTTGAGTTAAGAAGTAAGAGCCCTCCGTTTTTTCTCTGAATGCCTCCTCTGCCCTTATAAGACTTTCACCTATCAACGTAATGCTTCTGTTCTTGTTGCAGGAGCCGGATCAAGTATACGAGGGAATCACATTTGAAGACTTCCTTAAGGTTAGAATGGATGCTCACCCTATTGCTTGGCGGAAGTGATGGAGACCAACCTGTGGGAGGGGCGGGGGCAGGAGAGTGAGAGGAGACAGAGAGGAGGGACACAGTGCTAGGCTTTCTGTTACCTCTAAAACTGGATCCTGTTTTATGGGTTTAAATCGCCTTAACCCTGCTTGATATGTTTTTATATTGCTGCTTTATTGGTTTTAGGCTGCATTTTAATGATTTTTTTTCCTGTTAAATTGCACGCTGCTTGAAAGATTTTTTAAAAATTAAGTTGTCATATAAATGTTTGTGGCCTGCAGCATTAAAAGGGCCCCTAACCTGTACTCATGGCTCAAGCTTGCTTTTGTTGCCTCTCCACCGGCAGATCTGGGAAGGGATAGACATTGAGACCAAGATGCACGTTCGCTTCCTGACCATGGAGCCGATTGCGATGTGCTACTGACCATGGAGAAGCTGGGACTGAGGTGTTGGTGCCTTCTGGAGCGACCTGGGACGGAAACCGTCAGGCGGTCGATACGGGTATTAAGGGGGAACTGCATCTCCCACGGCTGGGGCAGTTTTTTTTGCAGGGGGGCGTTGCAGGTTTAGGAGTTGATGTGCCTGGCTTTGGCTTTACAGCTATTTTCTCTCTCTTGTCTACACTAAAAAGCCTCAATAGCCTCAAATCATCAATAAAGCAGGTTTTGTTTTTAATTCTTGGCAGAAGCTTGTTTACTTGTGGATCCTGTGATCAGATACAGTCATGGGACTCAACTTTTAAAAAACCGGGTACTCTTCTTAACCAAGGGTGAGGAATCAGATCCAGATTATCTTACATCTATCTACTATATGTATATTGGAAAGTGATTTCTGTCTGTTGTCTTAAAATATCATTACCGAACTTGGCGTGAGGGTTCCCAGGGCAGGGGCGGTGCTCTCTGTTGACCTTTGCAAGCCAGCCACCATTTTGAACCAAGATGGTGGACTGCACCTGTTCTTTGGCATAGACTTGACCGCTCTCGAAAAACGTGACTTTGGCACATGACTTCCCTCGATTTTTGGAGCAATGAATCCAAACTCACAAATTACACCATCCATTTTTGGGGGGGTGGTTCTACAAAATCCTGGGCAGTCCAAGTACTCTTCGCTAATTGTTAAATAAAACTGGAGCAACATGCCCCAAGGAACAGGGGATGCCCTGTGTAGCATGAAACATGCCACTTTGTTATTCCCAGTTGGTACAGTTATATTTATAAAAGTATTTATATCCACTAAATCACAAAACATACCAAAGGGATTCACAACATTAAAACAATAAAATGTATACGGTAAAAGCACGGGAAAACATTTAAAAGCAAAAAAAGCATCAATAAACCATTGTAGGAGATGTGGTTGAGTCTAATTTTAACAAAGCTCATTTCTTTACGCCATCACCACCACCACCACCACCATCATCATCATCAATAGAAAAGGTTGTTTGTGTAAACATGTCCAGAAGCATGTTATAACTTCCCAAGTGTGTTTCAAGGGCTATCTGACATCCTGGGAGGAAATGGTGAGTGATTTACACATGCTTTCAAGAGGTCCTGTAGTTCACTTGCTATCTCACTGGTCATGGTCCCAGCCCTCACATTTCCCAGCCCCATAAGTAACCTAAAAGATCAGGCCTGGGCCCAAGGTTAGGAAGTCCAGTCTCTCTACCTGCTTGGCTCCCTGTTTTAACTACTCCCTTCTGCTCCTCTTCCGGGCCTGAGTCACTTTGGGCCAGCACTTCTCCTCCATTCCTACTGCGCCATGTCTGGGTTTTGCAAAGCGTCACACCCTGCCCGCTGCATCCGCTCCATCCCTCATCATCATCTGCCTTGCTGCATCCAGGTAGGTTTTAGGGGCATCACTGAGGATCATCTTTGCATTCTCGTCCGTGTGTTTCTGCGGCAGCCACTGCCGTGACCCAGACACCTTCCTGTGGACGTGGGCACCGTCCTTCCTGCTCCACGTTGGTCGGCCTTTGATCAGCACCTCTTACTTCCCGTCGCAGCTAGATGTTGTCGTAGGGGACCGCCAGGCCAATATTGTAGTTGTAGCCTGTTGTTTCGTTGTAAGAGGAGCGGCAGATAGGAAGGATGCTCTCTGCAGCCAGCTGGTCCACCGAGAACTCATACGCATAGATGATTCCTCGATGTCTGATTTGGGGAGAGAATAATAATAATAATAAATTTTTATTTATACCCCGCCCTCCCCAACCAAGACTATGATTAGCATGCATATTATTGTTGTTATTATTATTATGACTCCTTAGTCACCCGTTACCTAGAAACTCCAAGCAACTTAGATTGACAAAACATAAACATAACCGCATTATACCATTGTGGGGAAAAGGAGCACAACATTCATTTCATTTGTATACTGGCCTTCATCCAAAGATCACAGGGAAGTCCACAGCGTAAAAATACAAAATAAAAACACAAAATATGCAATAAAACAAAAGCAGAAGAAACCAATAACCCCGCCCCCCGATACATTTAAAAGATCACAGAAGGTTAAATCAGCCTAATGCTCGATTGAAGAGAACTGTTTTCGCCTGGTGCCTAAATATTTTTTTGGGGGGGGAAGGGGGCAAGCCTCCTTCATATGAAACATTAACATATTAATACAGAAACAAACACATCCTCCTATATTTTTTATTATTATTTACTGAATATATTGGTGGTCTTTTTACAAAGGTAACTGTGAGCAACTTAAACAAAAATCTAAAAGACAGTCCCAAAACATCCCACCACTCCAGGAGGCCACAGATGATTAAGAGCCAAAGGCCTGGCCAAAAAAAGAAATATTTTTGCCTGGAGCCTAAAGGGGACGATGACGCCTGGCCACAGAAAGCTTTTGCAGCACAGGTACTGTGGGACAGATTCGCTCAGTCCCCCAAAGGCCATGGGGAAGAAAGGCAAGTCTTTATCCGAGACTGAAAGGTTCCCAGGAGACCTCACTGGAGAGACCATCCCATAGATGGGGAGCCACAACTGAAAGGCCCTTCCTAGGCAATTCCACAGGGTGGTCAACCCAGACATGGCTGCAGTCATTATTCCCATCAATTCTATTAACCCTCCCACCTCAGCTTTGAGCATTCAGGGGCGTGGCCCACTCGCATTCCCTGCTTCTCAGACTCTTGGCTCTCTTTCTGCTTAGTAAAACTGCTGCGCCTGTGGCTGATTCTTACCTTCGATGAGCAGTCAGGTCATCATCCATGATGCTGGCGCCTCGGGGAACCTTCTCGTCAGGGATATTGGCGGTGATGAGGCTGTGGCTGTTGAACCAGATGTGGCGGACAGGGTGCCTGGAGGGAAAAAGGAATGTTGTCGGTGTTTCTGTTTAATTTTTTTTAAAAAAAAATCTTAATGGGAGTCACGATTAACATTTCTAAATATGACGTGCAAGTTCTTTTAATAGTTTCTCTCCCCACCCCCACCGTTAAAAATGTCTTGTCATTAAAATGCAGAGTTGATTGGAACAAAACTCTACACCCCCACACACATGAAAATGCTAAGTGAAAAAAATGCATTTCCATGCACAAATGACAACATGAATGTTGCATTAGGGGACTGCCCAATATTCATAGCAAAATCAACGTTTGTTATCTGCGTATCAAAACTCAAGTCATTTGCAGGCGGATTTCCTATGGATACAAAATCAACACGCAATGATCCATATGACCGCCCTGAACGATTTGTCTTTTTTTCCACTTTTGAAAAGTAGGGTTGACTCCACCAAAGCCACACTCAAGAGTAGACCTACTGAAACCAACAGCCTTGCATAAATTGTGTCCGCTAACTTCAACAGGTCCACTCAGAGAAACAAACCTGGTGCCCTCCATAGATTTTGGTCCAGAACTCAGGCTGATGGGAATTGCAATCCAAAAATATCTGGCAGGCAACCAGGTGGCGCTGGTCATTCCAAAAGTCTCCATTTGCTGCTTTTTCTTGTTTTGAGTTAAATGGGTCAGTCCAATGCTGTGGCACTGGAGGGGAAGGGGAGAGAAGGGGGTGGGTCTCCATTCAAGCCAATAATAATACAGTGGTACCTCGGGTTAAGTACTTAATTCGTTCTGGAGGTCCGTTCTTAACCTGAAACTGTTCTTAACCTGAAGCACCACTTTAGCTAATGGGGCCTCCCACTGCTGCCGCGCCGCTGGAGCACAATTTCTGTTCTCATCCTGAAGCAAAGTTCTTACCCTGAGGTACTATTTCTGGGTTAGCGGAGTCTGTAACCTGAAGCGTATGTAACCTAAAGTGTATGTAACCCGAGGTACCACTGTAATAGTATTTTTGCTTTTAGCACCACCCAATGGACAATTGCTGAAGTGCAGTCAGATTCCTGAAGCAGGGCAAGGGGAAAAGGCAGCTTCAGCAGATGCTCTGAGAGCCTCCAAGTGGTGCTGGACTCCGATTCCCATCAGCCCCAGGCAGCATGACCACGGATGATGGGAGATGGAGTCCAACCTGGTTCCCCATACCTGACTTATCAGGGCTGGGGTTATACCTGGTGCTAGTCCTGCCCAGAGAAGAGCCACTTAAATTAATGGACAGAAATCAGGCATCCGAGATCCTTTTAACCAGAGATGCCAGAAGCAGGAGTTAAAAGGTGCACTCGGGTATTTTATTATATTTGTAAAAAAATATTTAGATCCCACTATTCCTAGATAGAGAAAAGAACCCCCACCCCCGAGCAGTTTGCCATTTATACATAAAATCATACAATGAAAACCAGTGGCAAAGAGTTCTGCAGGACTGGCCTGATAACACTCAAGGCTCAGCTTCTAAATGAACCTCGCTGGCACTAGAAATCACCGAACAGTCATTCTGGGCTGTAAGCGTTCAAGCAGCCCCTGTAAGACTTTGGGCAATGCCACCGAGAGTGGAATTAACCATTTGGGAGTCCCAAAGCATGGAACTAGACAAATACATTTCTTCAAAATACATAGCCACACAGAGCAGCCAAGACTATATAACACCGGTCCTGAGAGACCTGCATTGGCTCCCAGTACGTTTCCGAGCACAATTCAAAGTGATGGTGCTGACCTTTAAAGCCCTAAACGGCCTCGGCCCAGTCTACCTGAAGGAGCGTCTCCACCCCCATCATTCAGCCCGGACCCTGAGGTCCAGCTCCGAGGGCCTTCCAGCGGTTCCCTCATTGCGAGAAGCAAAGCTACAGGGAACCAGGCAGAGGGCCTTCTCGGTAGTGGCACCCACCCTGTGGAACGCCCTCCCACCAGATGTCAAAGAGAACAACAACTACCAGACTTTTAGACGACATCTGAAGGCAGCCCTGTTTAGGGAAGCTTTTAATGTTTAATGCTGTATTGTGTTTTTAATATTCAGTTGGGAGCCATCCAGAGTGGCTGGGGAGAACCAGCCAGATGGGCAGGGTATAAATATTATTATTATTATTATTATTATTATTATTATTATTATTATTGCAGTAGAGTCTCCCCTCACCAAAGCCCCACCTGCCCGCCTCCTTACTTAAAGCAGGTGCTGCTGCTAGTCAGCCTCAGCGTTGCCGCTTAGGCAAGTACCCGCCCCCCTTGCTCTAATGGACCAGCCTCCACTGGCAGCTGACTCTACCTGGCATGGATTTCCCAGAGCTTGGTGCCCATCCTCTGGTCCCACACGCAGACCAGGCCCTCTTCCCCTCCGCTGACGATCTTCCAGTCGTCCATCTGCACAGAAGAGACTCCCAGCTGGTGGCCATAGAGGGAGCAAACGGAGGCGCTTATGCGGAGGTCAAAAACCCTCACCCTAAGACAAAGACAGAAATGCAGTCAAGTCTCGTGTCACTGGCACAACCCCAGAAGAGATGGTTCCAGCAAGATCTACTTGGAACCACGTTAGATTCCGTACGTGCTGACAGCCAGCCTCTCACTAGGTGAGCCATCTATGAGAGGCAGTGTGGTGCAGCGGTTAGAGTGCCAGAATTAAGACCTGGGAGAGCAGGGTTCAAATCCCCAAGTCGGCCACAAAGCCTGACCCACTTCGCAGGGTTATTATTGTGGGGATTAACTGAGGAAGGAGAGACCCATGTACGCAACCCTGAGCTCCTTGGAGGAAAAAGGTGGGATAGAAACGCCCTAAATGAAAAGGATGTCTATACATAAGAACATGGGAAAGAGCCCTGCCGGACCAGGCCAGTGGCTCATCTAGTGGCCAACCGGATGCCCATGGGAAGCTCACAAAGCAGGGCATGAGTGCAACAGTGCTCTCGGCTCGTGATTCACAGCAACTGGCATTCAGCAACATTTTGCCTCTGAAAGTATAAGTAGAACCCAGAATCGCCATTGATAGCATTAGCTGCTACGGGAGGGATTCCCAAAGTGCGGTCCACAGACCCCTTCATCCAGGCGGTCAGCAGCACATCTGCAATTAAAAATCACGTAGCACCTAGGACAGCGCATGACAATTGCTACAAGAGGCAGAAGAATCCGTCAACAACCTCAGCAATTTTCAAGTGGGGGAAAATGGTTTGCGGACGGCTGCTCCAATTATTATTATTGTTATAAGTTCCCCACCCATCTGACTGTGTTTCCCCAGTCATTCTGGGTGGCTTCCAACATACAGTGGTACCTCGGGTTACAGATGCTTCAGGTTACAGACACTTCAGGTTACAGACTCCTCTAACCCAGAATTAGTACCTTGGGTTAAGAACTTCAGAATGAGAACAGAAATCGTGCGGCGGTGGTGCAGTAGTAGTGGGAGGCCCCATTAGCTAAAGTGGTGCTTTAGGTTAAGAACAGTTTCAGGTTAAGGACAGACCTCCAGAACGAATTAAGTTCTTAACCCAAGGTACCACTGTACAGAAAAACACAATAAAACATTAAAAAGCTTCCCTATACAGGGCTGCCTTCAGATGTCTCTATGAATTTGTCTAAACCCCTTAAAAAACTTAAGAAGAGCTTTGTTGGATCAAGCCAATGACCCATCTAGTCCAACATCCTGTTCTCACAGCGGCCAACCAGATGCCACATGGGAAGCCTGCAAGCAGGACCTGAGCGCTCCCCCCACTTTGAATATCAGCTGCTGGCAGTCATAAGGCACACGGCCTCCGGCAATGGAGGCAGAACACAGCCGTTGTGGCTAGTGGCCACGGACAGCCTTCTCTTCTATGAGTTTGTCTAATCCTCTTTTAAAGCCATCCAAGTTGGTGGCAATCATCACTGCCTCCTGAGGGAGCCCAAATTCCACCGTTTAAGTCTGCACTAGGGGAAGAAGTTATCTCTTCTGTCTTGGATGGCCCATAATTGGACGGTGTAATATGTTGAAACCGTCTTGCTCTGATGAGCAAGCTGGCCGCTGAATTCTGCAACAGCTGAAGTTTCTCCAAACATCTTTAGAGATGCGGGTGATGCTGTGGTCTAAACCACAGAGCCTAGGACTTGCCGATTAGAAGGTCGGCGGTCCGAATCCCCGCAACGGGGTGAGGTCCCGTTGCTCAGTCCCTGCTCCTGCCAACCTAGCAGTTCGAAAGCACAAAGTGCAAGTAGATAAATAGGTACTGCTCCGGCGGGAAGGTAAACGGCGTTTCCGTGTGCTGCTCTGCTTCACCAGAAGTGGCTTAGTCATGCTGGCCACATGACCTGGAAGCTGTATGCCGGCTCCCTCGGCCAATAAAGCGAGATGAGCACTGCAACCCCAGAGTCGGCCACGACTGGACCTAACGGTCAGGGGTCCTTTACCTTTACCTGTAATGTGTTGCAGTAATCTAACCTAGAGGTCCCTGGGAACAGAGATGGAAGAAGTTATTGTGAGCGAAGAATTGATACTTTTGAATTATGGTGCTGGAGGAGACTCTTGAGAGTCCCATGGACTGCAAGAAGATCAATCCTATCCATTCTGAAGGAAATCAGTCCTGAGTGCTCACTGGAAGGACAGATCCTGAAGCTGAGACTCCAATGCTTTGGCCACCTCATGAGAAGAGAAGACCCTCATGTTGGGAAAGATGGAGGGCACAAGGAGAAGGGGACGACAGAGGACGAGATGGTTGGATAGTGTTCTTGAAGCTACCAGCATGAGTTTGACCAAACTGCGGGAGGCAGTGGAAGACAGAAGTGCCTGGCGTGCTTTGCTCCATGGGGTCACAAAGAGTCGGACACGACTAAACGACTAAACAACAACAACAACACTCATGAACCCCTCTCTCTGTGCTTCCTCCAGGGAACTGAGGGGCATTATGAATATACACCGCAGCTTAGCAAAAACACCCAAGGAAGGTGTGACGTGGAGTCAGTCAGGGGTGCGGCCTGGGGAGGCAGAGAGGCTGGGAGGGCTGCCTCTCAGCCTGAGGTGTCCCACTGCTGGGCTCAAAGAGGCTGTCCGAGAGTTGAGCAAGTGGATGGATGCAGGAGGTAGGGCTTAGCAGTTTGATCATCCAAAACCACTGAAGATGAAATCATTGCAGATTGCCAAAAGGGTGTGTGTGTGTGTGTGTGTGTGTAACAACAACAGAGCCCAGAGAGTCTAGCGGGAACTGCCACAGAGGCTGCTGGAAAAGGAATGGAAGCTAATCCTTGGGAAATGATGAACTGCGGAAGCTGGGAGGCCTGAGCGGATGACAGGAGGACCCTCCCTGTGCCAGCACTTCCAATGTTCAGGATCCCTGCTCCGATCTGGAGGCTGTTCCAAAAAAACAATCCAAAGCTTCCCCTCCTTCCCTCCCTCCTCCCCGCATTGCCCTTCTCTAATGAAACCGCTCGGCAGGAGCCTGGGAATAGCTCCGTTCCGACAATTAGAACAAAAAGGAGGACAAAGGCTTCCGACCGGGTGGCATCCATCTGACAGGCTGGAGAAGGGAAATGAGCGTGCTCAGGCAGGCTGGGCCACGCGCAACACCTCCGCTGCCGCTTGTCAGAGCATCCACAGATGGAGTAAACAAAGCCTGTCTCCCGCTCTTCCTCTTGCCTGGGTGGGGGGCTGCGCAGAGCTCGGCACTGGGCGAAACCGAAGCGCTGCTTCCAAGCCCCCGTCCATGACAGCGTGCGGCCTGGCGAGCTGCCCGCCAGCGCCGCGTATGATAATCAGGCCGCCTTCCATCTACCGAGCCCTGGCTGAGTCGTCGTGGTTTCATTTGCAAGGACCCGGCTTCCAGGCATCCGTTCCCGGGGGTGGGGGGGGGGAGACACTTTTCGGGTTGTTGTTGCTTTTGTGCGGCGGGTAAGTCTTACCAACTCCTTCTCCCAGTCTTTGGCTACCAATGCCAGAGCATTGTGGTTCCGCAATGATTGAACCTTGAAAAGGATGGAATTAGGGAGCTGGGTTTAGGATTTAGGGACCTGGAAATCTCAGGTGCTGTCTTCTCTCCCCCCCCCCCCCAAGCTATGAAGCTCACTGGGTGATCTTTAGGCAGTTACTACCTGTCTCTTAACCTACCTCACAGGGTTGCTGCTGCTGTTTTTTAAATTAGTTTTTATTAACGACTGTGTGTTAGAAAACATAGAACTACGCTATATCGCCAACCAAGTGCACCACATAATCCCACACATCCTGGAAGGTGAAACGAAACAATGGGTGCACTTGGAGGTAGATAAAACCAGAAAAACCCCCACTATGGCGTACCCGTTCCTCAAAAACGAACTAAGGAAAATTCCTGCAACACTAAACAGGTTTACACGGCCCATGCTTAAAGGAAAACTGGCCCAAACCCCATCCTCACTGATTCCCCTGGCTCACAAGGTGGTTGTGAGGGCAAAAGGGGGAAGAAAGAAACATGCATGCTGCTCTGAATTGTGTGCATGAAATAAATATAAATTTAAATGAAATGAAGCAAGTATCTAGTCCTCAGGCCCATGGGGAGAGGCTTGGAAGTACAGTGGCACCTTGGGTTACAGACGCTTCAGGTTACAGACTCCGCTAACCCAGAAATAGTACCTCGGGTTAAGAACTTTGCTTCAGGATGAGAACAGAAATGGTGCGGTGGTGGTGCGGAGGCAGCAGGAGGCCCCATTAGCTAAAGTGGTGCTTCAGGTTAAGAACAGTTTCAGGTTAAGAACGGACCTCCGGAACAAATTAAGTTCTTAACCCAAGGTACCACTGTATGGACAACGTCCGATAACTCCCAGAAGCTGGAGAGAGGCTAAGTGCTTAAATATGTTTCCATTTTTAATTGTGTTGCTTTATCCCTGATGTGTTTCCTGCCCTGAGTTTCTTTGGGAAGACGGGTGGGAAATAAATTTAAACCCTCCTCCTCCAGTGCACAGGAGATGGTGCTTTACAGCTACACAAAACCACTTGACCCTGAGTTTGGAGGAAAGGAGAGCAAAAGGTGACACGAAGGAAGTGTAAAAGAAATTATGTACAGCATGGAGAAAGAAGGTAGAGGAAAGTTTCTGTCCTTACCACCACCCCCCGACTCTCTTAACACAAGAACTTGTGTTCTTCTTCATGTGCCTCCTCCACGAGAGGTCTGGAAAGTGGCAACACAAGAACCTTTTGTACGGTGGCTGCCCATTTGTGAAATGCTCTCGCCAGGGAGGTTCACCTGGCACCTTCATTATACACTTTTAGGTGCCAGGCAAAAATAGACAGACAGATAGATAGATAGATAGATAGATAGATAGATAGATAGACAGACAGAGATAGTCGTACCTCGGAAGTCGAACGCCTTGTGACATTTTGGATCTCCTGAACGCCGCAAACCTGGAAGTGAGTGTTCCGGTTTGCTGACATTCTTTGGAACCCAAATGACAGACGCGAGTTCCGATTGGCTGCAGGAGCATCCTTGGTTTCCGAATGTTTTGGAAGTCGAATGGTTTTCCAGAACGGATTCCCTTTGACTTCCGAGGTACGCCTGTACTCAGGATCGATTTGAAAAAGCACTTCTTCACCCAGCACAAAGTTGAATGATGGAACTAGCTCCTGCAGAAGGCAGTTAGGCTCTGAAAATCCAGAAAGGGGAAACAACATGCCTTTGAATCTGATCCCGGACCAAAGTGCCACCTGAGGCCTGATGCATGGGGGGGGGGAGCAAGGTAGAGGGAGGGAGACAGGTGTGTGAGAAGGGGAGAAGGAAAGAGCAGGGAGCTATTACCCAGCTGGCCTTTGGCCACCGTGCGACATCCCTTTGGTGCGGTGTGCTGGACCATTTAAATAATTAACACCCTGTCTCTCCCCCCGTCCAAAAAAAGAAAGAAAAAGAAAAGGTGGCGGGGAGGAGGGGGAATCTAAAAATTGGATGTGGAGGGACGTGGGGTTTGTTGTTGTTTTTTGAAAAAGCACTCTAATCTTTACACGCTGATGACTCTGAGCGCTTCTATGTCTGCCAACAGACACTGAGCGGTGGGGGGGGGAGAGAGGGGGGGAGAGACGTAAGACTGGCCAAGATGAGGAGATAAAGGGGTGGGGAGCCGCAAATCAGCTAAATAGGATCTGGAATTCATTCACGTGAAAATCCTTTTTTGTTTTGGCCACCTTAGAGACATCAACTGCAACCCAACCTACATGATTGCCACTGTTTGGTGGCGGTGATGCTGAGGGGGTGGGGGTGGGTTCTTTTTTTGGCACGTGCGATTCTCCCTTAGGTTATTTCCCTACTTCAAAATTTCAGGAAGTGAGGTTTAAAATGCCAAACTCATTGCTTTCTCCTTTTTTTCCATGAGTGTCCGCAGGAAAGAGGAGGGCCTCGTTCCAAGAGGCCTCGCTGGGCAGTACACCAACTGTGTCCACCAAATGGCTTAAAAATATATATATTATTTTGGGGGGGTGGGGAGAAGAGGAATAAAGGAGGGACTCTTCCCGCAGAGCTTGCAAAACAACGACAGGACAGAACAAAGCAAAGCGAGGTGTGCTGTCCAGCCATGACCTAATATTGCGTCTGATTTTCTGAAAAGTTTATGCAGACTCTTGCCTCTGGTGTGCAGAGGTGGGGTGGGGTGCCAAGATCCAGGCCAGCCCAAGACATTTGGGAAGGTGTTGTACCTCGGTGGCAGAGCATCAATCCCCAACGGCATCTTCAGGCAGGGCTGGGAAATACTCCTGCCTGAAATCCCCCCAAGAGCTGCTGCCAGTCAGTGTAGACCAGGGATGCCCAACAGGCCGATCGCGATCTACTGGTAGATCCTCGCGAGGTTTTGGTAGATCGTGGTCGATCTCTGGATCCCTTTAAATAGCGTCATTAAAACTGACTCCTGCCCCGCCCCCTCGCCACGCCCTCCATTGTTGTATGATCTCTGGAAGGGAAGACGGAGCTTTCTCTGTGCTGCTGTTTTGATCCATTTGTGAGTGAGTAAAAAAACAGGGCTTTTCACCTCCCTAAAAAAAGCACTCAACAACTTTGAGCTGAAACCCCCCACCCAAAAAAAAAAAGGGTAGATGACTGTCAGTTTTTAATTCTGAAAATAGATGGCAGTCTCTTGAGAGTTGGCCACCCCTGGTGTAGACAATACTGAGCTAGATGGACCAAGGGTCTGACTCAGTGTAAAGCAGCTTCCTGTGTTTTGGTACTGGATGAAAATTACAAGATGGCGCCTCCCTGCCGCAATCCACATGCAAGAGTCCACCAGACTGGTTGATTCGTGTTACTGGGTGCACTGTGGTTCAGAGCAGCATGACAGGTTTGGGGGCCCAGGACAAACTGCCTTTCCCCTTAGCAACCTGCCCAGTTCATCTGAGGCCCTTCTCTGCATGCCACCTATAAGGGAAGTCTGGAGGTTGAACACGGCCCTTTCTGTAGTAACCCCCAAGTCTATGGAATGCTGTGCCTCAGGAAGCCTGCCTGGTACCTACTCTCTTTTTGTCCTAGGCACCAGGCAAATACATTTTTTGTTTCCTGGGCACCTGGGTGGTATCCATCGTTGAATGTTTTTATTCTGTTTCTGATGTGTATATTTTTATTTACTGGATTCTATTCTCGCAAATTGATTCGGAACTTTTGGGTTGTATACAGTGTTAGTCCTACTCAGAGTAAACCCATCAACATGAATGGGCCTAAGTGAGCCTTGCCCGTTAATTTTCAACGGGTCTTTGAGTAGGACTAGCGTTGGAGGCAACCCTTTTTATGTGTGGGAAGCAAAATAAAAAGTTTGATAAAGCTAACCTGACCAAATGGGCCACACACAGCTCAACGTGTGCAGTGTGGGGTCCCCTGCCCCACCTTCTTGGGTGTACCTTCTGTCCTTGTTCCCAGCCACCAGCAGGGAGGGAGGGCTGTCCCGGAGATTGACGCAGGAGAAGTCCCCCAAGGAGCTTCCGAGCTGCGCTGTGCACTGTCCCGTTTCCAAGTTGTAGAGAAGGATCTGGGGGGAAAAAACACACCATGGGAATGCAGATTGTCAACCAAGGGTTAGGGGAAAGGGTGGGGATCTTCTGGCCTTGCAGGCCAGTCTTCGCCTGCCAGGGGGTCCAAAGTGGCCTGCATAGCTATTCCCTCCCCCCGCCAAACCTACCTATCCATTAGGTGACATCACTGGGTGATGTCAACCAAGGGGTGGGAGGGTGGAGTTCAATTCTGCTGGGGTCTGCTCTGCCAGTGCATTCCCTGCAAGGATTGTGGTGACCAAGCAGACCCCTGCAGCAAGCAAGACTGCACCCTCCAGGGCCTTGAGGGGTGGGGGAGATAAGGCCAGAGAAGGTTCCCCAGTCCTAAGTGAGATGGCTCGGTAGAGCATGAGACTCTTAAACTCAGGGTCATGGGTTTGAGCCCCAGGTTGAGTGAAAGATTCCTGCATTACGGGGGTTAGACTAGATGGCCATCATGGTCTCTTCCAACTCTACAATTCTATGATTAAGAATCTGTCTCTCTGATTAAGAAAAACCAGGAGTTAGGACTGGTTCCTCTCCCCCAGGAGGTTCCTTTCCTCTCTGTGCCCTTCCAGCAACTATAGACTTGTTATCTCTTAAAATTAACAATATTGGGGGACTATATAACATTGAAAGCTGTCTTATACTGAGGCCACCCTGAGCCAGGGACCTTCTGCATGCAAAGCAGATTCCCTTTCACTAAGTTACAACACTTCCCCAATGAGAAATTAAATTTAACTTATAACAGGGGCTGAATTGCCGGCACAACCATACACAGTATTATTTGAATATGTTGAGGATCTGCTTTTGCAGAATTGATAATGTGTTTGCTAACAGCTGCTCCTACAGCAAAATGCTATAATGGAGTGCTATCCCTGTGTTAGAAGATTGGAATGGGGGACTATAGGAATTGGCTAATTGGCTCATATGATAAAACTAACTAACCTTGCAAGAGTGAGATAAAGGAGTCAACCTAAGACGTGAGAAAATATCTAGCCATATACCGTATTTTTCTGTGTATGACACCCCCTGTTTTTGGGGACTCCAAATTAAGAAAATGGGGGGAATTGTATCCATGTATAAGACAACCCCCAATTTTAAACATATTTTTTAAAGAAAAAAAACCTAGTCTTATACACGGAAACAATTTATAGCTCAGATATTGAGAGGGTTGTATCCAATGGTAATGGTTGCCAGAGCAGACCCACTGAATTAATGAACCTGACTTACTTAGGCTGGTTAATTCCAATGGGTCTCCTCTGAGTAGGCCTTAGTTGGCTACAACCCAAGGTCTCTCATTTCCGTGATTGATTTCACTTGCTTGCTTGGCTTTAATGTATTTTTATGTGTTTGTCAGGGGTTCAGGAGCAGAGGCAAGGGCAAGGGAGGAAACAGAGAGCGAGGGGGAGGAGGCAGAAGAAAAGATGAGTGATGACGACGACCCGAGATCTCCGAGTCTTTCCAGTGAATCAGAAGATTCACAGAAAGGAGCACCAGTGGCCAGGGCAAGGGGAGCCTAGGGGACGCCCCAGGAAGATAGAGCCAGAGGGGACTCAGAGGGAGCAGTTGGAAATCGGGACCAGCGTCACCGCCAGAGAGCAGGGAAGAGGAAGGAGCCAGCGAGCACGCGCAGGCAGCTCACAACAGGGGGGGGCACGAGTCAGGAGTGGCCACACCTCCATCGGGGAGCGAAGAAACGGTCAGACGGAAGGTGGAAGGTTGGGCGCGCGCGCCAAGTTCAAATGCACAGGAAGGTGGCACAGTAGGCAGCCCGGAAAGGGAGCCAGGTCCCAAAGCCCGCCGAAAGGAGGGAGAAGAGTCAGGGGGGTCAGCGTCAGCGTCAGAGGAATCCCGGAAAGAAGAGACCCCAGGGGGCAGAGGGACCCAGAGAAGAACAGTCAGGCGGAAAAGGTGGAGCAGGGCTAGGATATTAAGTTGGTGTACAAGGGGCGGAGACTCAGACGGAGCTTCGCCGGTCTAACCATGAGACGTAGAGTTGCACGCAGCAGTTTGAGAATGGAAACTGTAACTCAATAAAGACTTTTGTTTAATGATCGCTGGCTAGCGTGATCCTCTGTGAGCTAGGATCTGGAAGCAGCTCTGACAGTGTTAAAAATGAATTAAGCATACTTATACATGGGTAGGTGTATACCTGTACAAGTAGATACCGATACTTATATATTGCAATCAAATAAAAATAGGAGGAAGAAAAAGAAGAATTTATATCCCTTTATTATTAACTGTAAAACAGTCCTAAGGGAGGATCACAGCATGCACATCTAATATCACCTATGCATATAAAGACATGTTCTGCCATCTGTTGAAAAAAGTCAAGGCTGATCTTCAAACGTTGCAGAAAAGCATCTTCATATGGCTCCGAAATCAATCAGTGATGGCGGCAGCCTAACATGCAGGGGAAGCGTGTTCAATCAAGAGGGTTCCACCACCAAGAAGGCCCTGCTGACAGTCCCCAACATCTAGACTCATTAGATGTCCAATGCTAACCCTTTCCTCCCCAGCTGTGACTCCCCCATAAATGGTCTCCCATTAAACCATTTAGACAATTAAAAAACACCTCCTATTAGCTTCAAGAGAAGCATTAATTATGGCACAGGGGAGAAGTGAGGAGCAGAGGCCGAAGGTCAGACAAAGAGGTCCCTGGAGCCATATCTAACACGTGGACTGGCAGTTCCGCACTCTGGCTAAAGAGGGAGAAAGTCAGCTGGGGCTAGTTAGGTTTGATCCTGTTGACAAATTTGCTGAGAGTCCCAAGCGCTGGGTGCCAAGGAGGCACCCATCTCAGTCTGAAGTTCTAAGATGGCAGCAGCGGCGACTCAACAAGATTGAAGGCAGGTTCACAGGGAACCTTTCAATTTCAGAACCGAGGGCTCAGCCAGGAACGCGCCTACCAAACAAACAAACAAAGGCGTCCCAGTTTACCACCAGAAATCAAAAAGCTTCTGGACCTGAAGCGGGGACTAATCTCCCCAAACACTGAATAATTCAACGCGCCCCAAACGCCTTAAGACGGCCTTCGCCGCGACTTTGAGTTAAAGCCCTGGGAGATTAGCAAAGCGCAGCATCCATTTCACGGGCGGGTTCTGCTCCGCGTTACAAGTCCCTTAACGACCTTTACCGCCTCGCCCCCCCCTCTCGCTCTTTTAATAAGGCTGAGCAAATGGGACTTCATTTTCGCCGGTTGTTACAGGAGAGCAAAATCAATTATTTATGCCCTGGCTTTCCCTTTTGTTCAGGCAACGCATTAGTCTAATGCCACCTCACCACGACGCAAGTTGGGCGAGCTGAGACCTTTGGCCTTTGCTGGACTGGGGGCGGGTCAACAAGGGTGGGGGGTGCATGGGGAGAGAGATGCAGGCAAAGGGGGAGAAATGCAATTTAGGGGATAAGGAGATACGGGCTTTAATCCAGAGATGGGGAACCTGTGGCCCTTCAATTGCTGGGGGACTCCGGCTCCTATTAGCCCAAGCCAGCATGGCCAATGGCCAGGGATGATGAGAGATGTAGTTCGGCATCATTTAGAGGGCACCAGGTTGGGGAAGGCGGCGTTGGCTCAATAACTAAGGTTGCAGCCATGCAAACAGTTAAAGCAGGCTTCCTCAACCTCGGACCTCCAGATGTTTTTGGCCTACAACTCCCACGATCCCTAGCTAGCAGAACCAGTGGTCAGGGATGATGGGAACTGTAGTCTCAAAACATCTGGAGGGCCGAGGTTGAGGAAGCCTGAGTTAAAGGTACATTTATTCAGGGCGGATAAAAGACAAGACTTCTTCATGCAGTGCAATGTTAAACTATGGAACTCACTTCCCCAGGAGGCAGTGATGGCCACCAATCTGGGTGGTTTGAAGAGAGGACTGGGCAAATTCATGGAGGGGAAGGCTATTGATGGCTACCAGCCACAATGGCTATGCTCTGTCTCCATGGCTGGAGGCAGAAATGCTTCTGAATACTGGAAGCCACAGGAGGGGAGGGGGCTCTTATGTTTGAATCCTGCTTGCCAGTTTCCCACAGGCATCTGGTCGGCCGCTGTGAGAACAGGATGCTGGACTAGACGGGTCACTGGCCTGATCCAGCAGGATTTGTCTTATGTTCTTATTCCATTTTAACAGCCTTGGCTCCCCACAAAGAATCTTGGGAACTTTAGGCTGCCCCTCACAGAGCTCCAGTTGCCAGGACCCTCAAACTACAGTTCCCAGGATCCTATTCTGCTGGGGGGGACGGGGACGAGAGCTATGACTATGAAAGCCGTAGAAGAGTGCTTTGAATGTGCCGAGTGATTGTGGCTTAAGTGCACATCCAGCATTATTGGGGGCTTATTCCTGCGGCCTTCCTGGTGATATTGGACTCCAACCTGCGTCAGCCCCATGCAGTGTGTGTGGCTAATCATCACATCGGCTGGCTAAACACACACACACACAGCTTGGAGATAAGGTGATTTGTTTGATTATAAGATTACAGATGAGCTAATATTCGAAAGACCAAGATCAACGAGAGAGAGAAAAAATTGGGGGTGGGAAACAGTAAACCTATCCAGAAGAAGAAGTTATGGGGGGGAGGGGGGATGAGAGGTGTGTGTGGAATAATAAAAAAAGAGGGCATAAAGCAGTTAATATGTATGAATAATGGATGTTTGATTTAAAAGCCGTTTACTCCAACATGATGTAATTTTTTGACAGCCGGCCAGCCAGACTATCTTGCGGCTCTCTGCCAGGGGGGAGTCAGCATTCTAGCGCAGGGAATGCTACCTCATCGAGGATCACGCGGGTGGCGCGGCGGGGAGGGACGCACATCAACTTCCATGCCATCCCAAAAGTGACTTTCCGTACACATACACACTCTCTTCTCACTCAGGGGCCGAGCATACCTGCCGACCGCTCAGAGGAGGCCACCTTGGGAAATCAGGCGAAGCGGCAGTCCGCCTTCCCAGCCTACGGCAAGGCTAGATGCTCACGGTGCAATGATAATTCTTCGCAGCACCTCCGTGCAAATTAACAGAGATGCTATTTTCAAAACAAAAACACTCAGGTTTCTGGGGGGTTTCCCCCCCTTTCCTTTTTAAAGTTTGAAAAAGAGAGAGAGAGTGTGTCAAAGTGGCCGGCACAAAGCTGCCATCGCCAAACCGAGCCAGGAGTGAGCCCGGATGTCGGTGGTGAATTTTGCCAAAGCACCTGCAGCTCCTGCTGCTTCTGCCCTGGACCTCGTTTCCCTGCGTGCTGCCTTGCCAAGCGGAGTGGGCGACCGAGCCAGGCTGGGGTTAAGATGCGGACAGATGTCTGCCGGAGGCAAGGAAGGAGGTTGCGAAACACATTTAACCTATGGACAAAGGCAAAGTGGGGAGAGAGCAGCCGCCCAACGCTGTGGTCATTTCTCTCACTGAGATGCGAGCGGCGAAACAAGGACTACAAGCTCAGGGACTTGCTCTGCTGCGTTTAGAGCATTAAACTGGGGTCTGTGGACCCCCAGCAGCCCACGGGATTCATGTAGCATGTCTGTGGATTTGTGGTCGAAGGCACACTAAATATACATATTGGTTTCCGATTGCATTTTCATTACTTCTTTTATTTCTTTCATTGTATTACACTTTGAATTCCATGGGATTCAGAGGGCAACAGAGTAAACTATAATATCTAAGAAACAAAATAAGTGATTAAAAATGCATATTAAAATCAGCCAGGATCTAGCAGGCAGAAAAACCATTAAGTGGTCCAGCAAGAGACCCCCAGCAACTTTCAAGTGGTTCTGCGGGGAGGCGGGCAGGGAGATTTAAGGAACCACTGTTCTAGAATATATCCAAAGGACTATAAATTACGTTATGAAAGACCAGTATCTATTTCCCTTAGTAACAATGAGGGCTAGAAACTTTCTCACTTTTTAAAGTGAACTTTATAGCCTTGGGATTCTGCGAGATCTACTGGACAGCTCCATGGTGAATCATAGAAGCACAGTATTGCAGAGTTGGAAGGGACCCCAAGGATCATCTAGTCCAACCCCCTGCAATGCAGGAATCTCAGCTAAAGCATCCATAAATATAATGAAACAAATTAATTAAGGAGACTAGTTTTTAGACAATGGGGCTGAAAATCAAGGGCACAACATACACACATTTCTGTGAGGCTGTTTTGGTTCTGCTGTGCTGCAGCAATAGGGGAGCAATACAAGAAAATGCTTCTTCTAAGAATAAACAGCAGCTTTCAATATTTAAATTTTTAGGTTCTCAAAACAGCATCCACAGAAGATTAGCATCCAAGTTATATCAACCAACTGGCAAAAAGACACATCAGCAAACCAGTAAGTCTTTGATCGGTTATCAGAGCAACGTAAAATAAAGGGCTGGTGTGATTTTTATGGCACAAAAAGAAGCACATCGTCTCGACAAGCGAGCTCCTGCTCATCCAGTCCTTCTGCCAACCAAGTGCAGCACCTTGGCCCAGGAAACCAAAAATGAAACATGACTGCCGAGCAGGAGAGGCGGCTCCATCCCTCCAAAACAAGCCAAAACGCAGCGATACGTCTCTCGCATCAACCTGGAGATTGATCATCGCCTCCTGACCACCATAATCAACCCATGCAAAGTCCCTTCACGTCTGGGGAATAATTATCATAACAGACATTCGTAATTAAGTTTCCGGCGTGATGTCAGCCGGAGCGGGAACGCCAAGCAAGCCGGTGTCCTTGTCAGAGACATCCTAACCGTCTGGGTTCCTTCGGCCCCGTTCCCCCTCATTAGCATACATGCCCCTCGCAAACCATCTGCCACCGCACACCAAAAAGAACTCAGACCTGCATTAGGAAACCACTCCGAACCCACAGAGCGCCATTCGGGAGGCTCCCGCGGAGCTCTTTCTTCTGGTTCCATTTGGGGCATGGACAGGGCACTTTTGTTATGATGCCGACGACAGCCTTGTCCCAGCGCTCCTCCTGAATGCTGCACGGGAGCAAAGCTCTGATGTTGCTTCAGCAACAGCCAGCCTTAGATGGAGCCATATGTAGAGAGGAACAGCTTGGCAAACGCCACCTTGGCTGAAAGGTGCAGGGGCCCCATCAGCTCCAGGGGTCTTGTACCCCCAATGGAAAGGGGGAAACTCGAGCTTTAATGGGGAGTCCTTTAAGGATGGCAATGTGACATTCTCACCAGCTAAACATTGTGATATACCAATCTATCACAATGTCTGAAATAAGTATGGAGCTATGTAGAGTCATTGGCTGGCTTCAGTTTTCCCAGTGTCATGATTTTTAGCATAACACACACACACACACACACCATGATTTGCAATATATTGCCAGGTCAAAAATTATGAAACTACTATCACAATATAGACTTCAAACCGGTTTTGGATGATATATCGCCCAGCCCTAACACACATCTTGATTTGCAACATATTGCCAGGTCAAAAATTATGAAACCAATAGAGCGATATGGACTTCAAACTACTTTTGGAATATATATATATATATATATCGTCCAGCCCTATTCCTCAACCTCATCCCTTGAAGAAAGGCACTCTTAACTCCCAGGATCAGGAAAACCTTGGCCTTCTAACTAGGTTTGAGGGAACTACTTTGCCGCAGTAAAAAATAAACACCGTTGGAAAGGTAAGCAGAGAGATCAGACACAGTGCACAGAGCCGCTGTTATCATTTCCTCTTGAAATCTTTATGAAACATGCACACTTTGCCACCTGTAATTGTATGAGGCACCTGTGGTGTCGGCAGGAGCATCCTTTGGTTGACCAACACAGACAACATGCATTGCAACATTTATTTATTTTTTGCAAGCTTCTAAATGTCACACACTTTGAAACACAGTTGCACAATCGGAATGCAATTGGTTCCAAGGAGTTCTTGTCGCTTGCAGAGTCTCACAGGGAAAGCACAGTGTCTCCTATAAAAAAGCAAACAGTTCCCCCTAGAGGCCTACAGCTGTACAAAAAAGCCTGGCTCCCTCTGCGAGGAAATGAGGCACATTTGTCGCTACAAATCAGCCTCGGCCTCTGTGTCAAGGGAATAATGCAGTTGCTGAGGGTGGGGTGGGGCAAATATTGGGCTGCATTTGGCCTCTACTGGAACAACAGGGGGTTATTCCTTATTCTCAGTGGCACAGCACCTGCTTTGCAAGAGAGAAGGCCCCAGTTTCAATTCCCGTCATCTCCAGGTAGGGCTGGGAAAAATCTTCCTGTCTGAAATCCTGGAGAGCCACTGTCAGTCTGTGTAGGCAGCACTGAACTAGATGGACCAATGGTCTGACTCAGGAGATGGCAGCTTCCCATGTTCCCTTTAAAACTAGGGCGAAACTTTGCTGGGTGAATACGAAGTGAGTCATTTTGGAGCTTTAAACAACAACAACACCAGGCAGATGGGCAAAACTTGCATCTCATGCCTCTAGGGCAGGTGTAGAGAACTACATCATCCCTGAACACTGGTTGTGCTTGCTGGGGGCTGATGGGAGTTGTAGTTCAGGAAGCATCTGGAGGGCCAATGGTTCCTCACCCCTGCCCTGGAGAGCTCTTGCCAACAGCGATGTTAAGATGGCGGAGTAAATGGTATTCGTTGTTAGTTGTGGCATAAAAGTAATAAGCAAGATTTCCACGCAATATAGGAGAGTCAATCATGAGCGAGCAACCATTGATATGCCTTATACAGGGGGCAACTCAAGACATTTTGCAGAACAAAAGGCTGAAATACCTTGTTGGTCTCGTTGATCAACCAGCCGAAGCCTTTCACTCCGAACGCTGCCTCGCTGGAAGTGACGTCCAGGCATGTGGCAGGCTGACCGTAGACAGAATGAAGGACCTTGGCTGAGTCCCCAACCTTCAGCAGATAGATGACATCTTCCGCAGTGGCTACAGCCACAGGGAGGCCCATAACGCGGGGGACCAGGCAGAGTGAGCCTACCTGCAAGGGGTCAGGGGGTTACAGTGACTGCAAGAACCTCAGCTTTGGGGCTCATCTTCTCTCTAACAGCTTCCCTTCCTCTCTGCTGACCCCACACACCCACCCCAACAAAAAATTCAACTGGTGTTTTGCCTTTTTATTTGTCTACTGGCTTCTTCCACTGTTACGAGCCATAACTCCATGGTGGAGCACCTTCTGAATTATGGTATAAAAGAACTCCTCCTTGGGCCCTTGTTTTTTTTCCTGGGCATGAGCATAGATGGCAATTTCCTTCCATCCCAGAGCTCCATATAACAATCACCCAAAGCAATGGAGCTGATGTAATAATAATAATAATAATAATAATAATAATAATGGTATTATTTATGCCCAGCCCATCTGGCTGGTTTGCCCCGTCTCCGCATTTTCTCTCCACTGCAGTGTTTAGAGATGTAAAACCAAACCCACCTTTGTCAAGACACCAGGTCCCCACACCCGTCAGGATGGGGAAGCTCTGCGCCCCTCCACACAGTGGTACCTTGGAAGCCGAACGGAATCCGTTCCGGAAGTTCGTTCGGCTTCCAAAACGTTCGGAAACCAAGGCACAGCTTCCGATTGGCTGAAGGAAGCTCCTGCAGCCAATCGGAAGCCACAGAAGCTGTGCCAGACGTTTGGGTTCCAAAAGAACATTCACAAACCAGAACACTCACTTCTGGGTTTGCAGCCTTCGGGAGCCAAAACGTTCCAACTCGCAAGGCGTTCAGCTTCCAAGGTATGAATGTATATATAATTTTGGATTCCTAGAGCATGTCAACCCCCAGCCAGCATGGCCAATGGCCATGTCTGATGGAACCTGTAGGGTCCCCCGAACCTGTATTAGGGAGAGAAGAGCACCAGATCTGTAGCTGCCATTTAGCGCAAGGTCGAGCTTAACCTGAATGATCTGGTGAATTGGGCTCTTTGGTTGCGGGATGGGGAATCGGTGGCCCTCCAGATTCTTGGACTCCCAACTCCCATCAGCCCCAGCAAGCATGGCCAATGGTCAGGGATGATGGGCGCTGTAGTCTCACCAGTTTCTGGATTTCAAACTCTGCAGCCGTCTCCCAGTAGCCCTTGTCATTGGCGCTCTCCACTTTGACCTGGAAGGCGGATGCGGTTGCTATCGTCGCCCCTTCAGCCGAAAGGGCCAAGCTTTGTATCTTCTGATTGTGCTGGGAGCAATGGATCGGGTCACGGCCGACCAGCAGGCTCCACACCTTAATCGTCCCTGTGCACCAGAAAAACAAAAAAAAAAATGGAGAATCAGTAGCTGTGGTGGAATATTTCCATTCATGCTGCCAACCACAAAACCATCTGGAGGGTTCATCAAACCAAGATCCGTTCCATGGAGTAATCGCTAACATTTGACGAGATCTCAGGGGGCACCTGAATCTCAGCAAGGGCAGCCAGCAGAATCTGGCTTGCCAAATGAAACTGATTGACGGTCAGTTGAATACAAATGAAAGTAGGTTTTTTATTGATTTTCACAAGAAAGCAGCAATATAGAGACAGGTAAGCTCCTCACCAGCACCACCCACAAGAGAAGAAGTAGCTGAAAAGCTTTTGAGGACATCCACGCAGAATAAATTGGCATAGGACTGAAGCCACTTAAGAGCTGTATATACTCCTTAAGAGCTGTATACACTCCTTTATGTATTCCATGAGACATAAACGCTTTCTTCACATAAGAAAAACATAGCTGAGTGACATAGCCAGTTCCCTACACAGCAACTCGCCCTGGCATGCAGCCATCCAGAAACAGACGAAGGCCATGTTTGTACATCATGAGGAGTCAAACCATGGCTTATTGCAAATGCCAGCAAAACTGAAGCCTAAATAGGGCTGCTGAGAAAGGTGAAGGAAGTATTAGCCTGCTCAGCCCCACAATCCTTTAAAAAACTAAGGGTGGACCCCTTCCTATCACTCAAAGCCCAAAGACAATGGAGCACGGTCAGTAGCCATGGACATGCCCTGAATGAAATGGGGGGGAAACCACCAATAGAGAATTGTGGTGAAGTGGAGCTGCCTTCTCTTAGCGAATGGCTGTCAGGAACCCTGAGCAGCCAAAGTAAATGGGCAAAAAATAATAATGGTTATAATATACCGATGGAACAGTAGGAACACATGTGGACTAAAGGGTTAAACGATACATTGTGCTATGACTTAAAGGAGACTTTTTATAATATGATGTATCGTTGGTATCTAACTCCTGAGAAATTAGCTAGAATGCATAAGAGTGTTCCAAATGTTTGTGGGAAATGTCAGGAACAAAAAGGGACATTTTATCACACTTGGTGGTAGTGTAAAAAAAGCTAAGAAATAGTGGATACAAATGCATACATTGGTACAGAAGATTTTGAAGGTTAATGTCCAACTGAAACCAGAGCTGCTTCTGCTGGGGCTTATGGATATACAATTAGAAAAATAATATGGAAAACTATTGCAATACATGATTATAGTGGCAAGACTGTTACATGCACAAGGATGGAAGGACTCATTATTACCTACTATGGAAGGTTATTGAAATTAATGGATTTGGCTGAGATGGGAAAGTTGATGTGCTTAATTAGAGAAAAATCACTGTTGACATTTATTAATGATTGGAAACCCCTTATGGACTTTCTGAGCAATAAGGAAAATGAACTTGTGGTATCAGGGTATGAAGACTGGGGGGAAAAGGATAAGGTTGGGTAATGGGAAGTAGAAGAGTTTAATGTAATTAAGAGGCAAAAATGTTATATATATATTTAAAGCTAATAGATGGAGAGTCTGAAGTTTTTCTTCTTTTCTTTTTCTAGTTCTCTATTTTCTTTTCAATTTTTATGTTAAACACAAGAGCTTGGTATTTGGTGTGTATCTTTGTAGAGTACAACAGACCTCTGGAACGAATTAAATTCTTAACCCGAGGTACCACTGTATTTTTTATTTGTTCTATCAAGCTTTAAATAAAAAATAATAAAGAAAAAAGAAGAAGTCATATTGAAGGCTCCACATGTACAGCTTAATCCTGACCCTTTTTCCACAGGGAGCTCTCCAAGGTGGCTACCCAACTTCCACTTTGCATAGGAATAAATAAAGCTGCCTTAATCCATGTCAGACCAAGGGACCGTTTAGCTCAGTAATGTCTACACTGACTGCCAGCGGCTCTCCGGGATTTCAAACAAATAGTCTCTCCCAGCCCTACCTGGACAAGCCAGGGATTGAACCTGGGACCTTCTGCATGCAGGTGATCCAAGTCTGAACTATGGACCTTCCCCATGGCTTGCATAGGAAGGTAAGAAGCTGTCATATAGTGGCTCAGACCTGTTGAGCCACCTATCAGTGATGTCTACACTGACTGTTGGTGGCTTTCCAGGATTTCAGACAGGGTTCTCTCCTAGTCCTACCTGGAGAGTCTAGGGATTGAACCTGGACCCTTCTGCATGCAAAGCAGATGCTCCTCCAATGATCTATGGCTGATCACTATGACAAGTGGGACCATTGCTCCATCTAGCTCAGTACTGTCAGAGGCTCTCCAGGGTTTTGGGTAGGGAGTATCTCTCTGCCCTACCTGGAGATGTCAAGGATTGAACCTGGGACCATCTGCATGGAAAGCTGATGCTCTACCACTGAGCTATGCCCTTTCCCCTCTGTTTGCAACTCTGGGCCAATCACAGCAAGAAACTCTCGCTCTTCATGTTTCTCCAGCACAGCTTTTCAGAAGTTCAAGGGGAATCGGAGCTGGTAACATTTCCTTTCCCTATCTGAATTTAACAAATGGGGAGAGTGCTGGCTTCCAGAAGGCTGCAGAAAGACTCAGAAGGCAGCTGCAGATGGATTGCAGACATCTCCCCCACATCCCAAAGGAAGCAAAGCAAGAGTGTGTTAATGAAACGGCATCCAAACAAAATTTTAAACATATTTATGTGCACTTCTGCAAAGATTATTTTGGTGCCTTAGAAGCACTCCCCCACCGAGAAATAATGCCCATAATCTCGGGAGCTATCTAATGGCACTCTTTCTGAAAGATTTATACTCCTTGTCCTGGGAGCAAAAAGCCATCACAGAAGCCATTTTGGGGTTGTTGTTGTCTTTATGTTATTATTAGGGATGCATACTTGAATTAATCTATTTGCCTAAACAATTAGCCACCTTGTTCTGCGCGCAACAGAGCCAAAACTGCAATTAGGCTTCCATCAAAGAGCCAAAAAAAGAGAAGGAGTCCCAACTAAAACTGCCCCAGTGGAGCCGTAAGGCACTCCGAGTCGGATTTTTCCAAATTTACTTTGAGACATAATGGCTATTATGTTGATTGTTTGAAAGGTAAATAAGAGCTAAGCTGGTTTTTCAAAAGGGGAAAAAAAGGAAGGAAGAAAAGCATGGAACACCAGCTGCCCCCCCCCTCCCGGCTCCATAAAAACAAGTTAACACTTTTTAAAAAAGCGTTAAACAAAAAATGAGCACTGCGAGCATCATGATCAAGACTACAGCCCTGCAGAGAGCAAGCCACCCAAGTCCAAACCACCATTGCAATGGTGGTGGTGGTTATGGAGGTTATTTTAGACAACAGTCATTGGGTTGCTTCTGACATTTTTAGGCTGCTTTAAAAGAGGGTGGGGAAGCTCTGGTCCAGGGGTCGGATGAAGCCATCTCCATCTGGCTTGAGGAGCTTCCTCTAGGGCCCTGCTTACATTTCACCCTCCTTGAGAGCTGCTGCCTGCCTGGCAATGTGCGAGGGGACCCTTCTCTGAAGCCCTGGAGAACCCCTGCCAGTCAGTGCAGGCAATATTGAGCTAGATGGAGCGATGGTCTGATCCTGCATGAGGCAGATGCACATGGACAAAGCAAGATACCCTTTGCAAGAATCCGAGAGGAGCCCTGCCTTTGTCTGCATGAGTGCCACCACGAAAAGGGGGTCGTTTCTACCCACCTTCCTGTGGCAACTCAAAAACTTTTCATGGTGTGAATCAGACCTGTGCAGGGCAGGGGGTGAAAGCAAACAGTGTCCCCCCTCCCCTCTCCAAACCTCAAGGCTGTGGCTCTGTGCCAGACCCAGGCAAGCATGGAGCAGATGGAGCCCTGGCAAGCCCCCCCCCCCCCACCTTCCAGCATTAGAAGCATCTGCTTCATTACCCAGAAAACCTTCCCCTGCTTTATCTAATGCTCCAGGAAAAGCATTTTGATTTGATTCATTTCGGGTAAAGGCAACGTGGAAGGCAATTAGAGGAGTAAAACAAAAACAACAAAAAAAAACCCAAAGTGGAAGGCAGCCAGTGCTGACAATGGGAAACAAGGCGAAAGAAAATAAGGAGTCTGATCACTTGGAAATTGAACGCCACGACTGTGGATTCGGATGCCAAGCCACCTTGGGCTTCCGAGGGTAGGTGAGCACAAGGGATGAGCCGGCAAAGCTGGGAAGAGATTCCACCACTTCTTCGGTGTGTGGCTGGTGCCTGTTTGGGCTGGGAGGGAGGGAGGCAGGGAGCCCAAACAGGAAGTGAAGCCAGAGCTAGTGGTAAGTGGAGTCAAAGCCAGTAGCAGGTGGAGTCAAAGGCAGTAGAAGGCGGAGTCAAAGCCAGTAGAAGGCGGAGTCAAAGCCAGTAGAAGGTGGAGTCAAAGCCAGTAGCAGGTGGAGTCAAAGGCAGTAGAAGGCAGAGCCAACTCATTCTACTTTGTCTTCATCTTATTTCCTGCTGAGTTCTACAAGGTCAATAATGAGGTAGAGGAGAATGAGGGGGAAGCTGACAGGCAACCCACTGGACTGGTCTTAAGTAGGAAAGCAGGCAGGTATAGGCTGGCTGAGGGCAGGGCAGGGCAGGGACCCATTCACCCTAATGGCTGAGTCTCTACCCATGGCAGAGGCTAGGAAGCTTTGAGGATGATGACATGGATTTGAACAGCGTAGCCCCCTTGCAGTTCCACGGTGGGGTGAGAAAAAGGCTTACAAGTGCCAGAACTTAAGGAACGTTTGAAGCTGCCTAAATCCCAGAGTCCAAAGTCTCAGAGGCAGCAACTCTGAGGAAGAATAAAATGCAACTGAAGGCAGGTTCTATCACCATCCAGATAGGATCGCAACTGAACCACCAGTTGAAGCTGATATGTAAGCCCTAAGCACCATCTTATTCTATTTATAAGAATATTTATAAACTGGCAGCTCCTAAAAATATTGTGATGGTGTATGATAAAATCATTAGAACATCATTAATATTATAAAACACAGAACAAATAACCAAAGCTGAATTAAATTACCATATTTTTTCGTGTATAACACGACCCCTATTTTTTGGGACTCCAAATAAAGAAATCCCCCATATGCACAATCTATGTATAAGACAACCCCCAAATTTAAAATTGAAAAAATTGGGGGGTGGATATAGTCTTATACATGTAAAAATACGGTAATTCTCTAGAAAGTGGATGGCCAATTGTCATGTATCAATTCGCTTTGATTACTGAATTGCAGGGAGTTGGACTAGAGGGAACCTTTGGGTCTCATCAGTCTCTGCAACTCTGTAATTCTATGATGCCAGTTGTGCTTTCAATGGCAGTGATGGATCTGAGCTGAGTGTCTATTCCTCCAGAAGAAGTGTAACCCAATCCAGAAAGGGCAGCTCCTCACCTCTTAAAGATCTTAGCAAGATCTTCTGAGAGTTGGACTTTACTGCCTCCTCATCCTGTTCCTCAGGATGAAAACAGCTGACCTGCCAATGCTTCTTCCTCTTGGCTCCCTTGCTGGCACTGCCCCTCATTTCTGTTTGACTTCAAAAGAAACACAACTGCTGCTCCTACTACTGAGTTTTTGCCTCTCAAAAATTGAGGGAAACCTTCCCCAGAGCAATTCTGATTCCTTGAAACGCTTAGCTCCATCACTGTATTGACCATTTTTCTCCAGGGTTAGCTTGCAGAGCAGGGATAAGCAAACGAGAAGGTCCCAACTGAGCTAACAGCTTATTGCAGTGGTAGCCAACTTGGTACCCTCCAGATGTTGATGGACTACAACTCCCATCAGCCCCAAGCCTGCACTGTCAACAGTCGAGTGGGTAATGGAGGTCCATTTCGGCAACTGAAGGGTGCATTGTGTTTGGCTACCCGTTTTGTAGTGGGTGCGAGCAGAAGGACGCCATCGGCGAGGTGACCCACAGAACTTGCTGCATTGACTGGCAGGCTGTGAGAATGACAAGGCCTCCTCTGAAGGGGCAGGAGCCGCCTTGATGGCTCCTCGCGAAGATCGGCTGCCAAGGGCATCGCAGCTTGAGCTTTGCTGAGCAGGGAAAAAACTGTGTCGTGTCGAACGCGTTTGCAGAGTGGCTTCAACAGAGGAGGCCGACGGCGCTGCCTCCTATTGCTACCAGATGGCTTCTCGGTGCTGGTCGCATGCGCACACACGTACGCAAAAGAAAAGGAAGCAGGGGTTGAGGAAAAGCACGAAATAAAGGCCTTGAGGTAGCTTTGAAAACAGAGCAAATTATTTTGGTCTCTTCTCCCCTGCCGCTCCAGATGCAAAAGAAAAGTCTCAGCAAACTTACCCTTTTAAAAAGGAAAAATGGGGTGGGAAGGAAAATAGGGGAAGGGCTGCAGCTTCAAGTGGGTAGAACATTCGCTTTGATGGCAGAAGGTCCCAGTTCAATCCCCATCGTCTTCAGGTAAAGATGGGAGAGACCCTGGTCTGAAATCATGGAAAGCTGCTGCCAGTCAAGGTAGGCAGTGTGCAGCTAGATGGACCTATGATCTGACTTGGGATAAAGCAGCTCCCTCTATTCCTATGTGCCATTGGGAAAGGACTGGCAGGTGTTTTTGGACTATACCTCCCATCATCTCTGACCATTGGCTGTGCTGGCAAGGGACCATAGGTTTTGTAGTCCAAGGCGTTAGGAGGAGAGAGGCTGCGGAAAGCTGACTTAGGCCCTCTTCATACATTATGAGCTTAGGTTTCTTAAACAATTAAGAGTTTTTTTATTGGTCAAATGTTGTCTATTTGATGGTTACAGTTCAGTAACACAGTGCCTGGCAGGCTTAAACAGTAGTATGAAATAACTACAGAACTTACAATTTAGCGGGGGGGCGGGGAGATCCAACACTTTATTTTGACTTACCTACTGTATATAAAAATATATTACCGTATTTTTCAATGTATAAAATTTTTGGGGGGTCGTCTTATACACGGGCTGCTTGCCCACTCAGGAAGAGTAGACGGTGACAGTACCGTCAGCCAGAGCGGGGGATTGTTGGAAAACAGCTCAACAACCACCCAGTGAACTTACAAAAGATGCTCAACAATGTTTTTGCAAAACTCAACAACTTTCTTAATTTTTAAACTTCTTAATTTGGGGCTTCCAGAAATAGGGTGTTGTTTTATACATGTGTTCGTGTTATACACAGACAAATATGGTCTATCCTGCCATTTCACTGCACCACAGACGGCAGGTTGTAACTGTTTGAAATTACTGTAAAAATGAAAATAAAGATAAAATCTTTTAAAACAAATAAAACACATTATAATCCATTTAAAAAGCAACTACAGCAGAGGAAGCAAGGCAAAAGCTTGGTGGAACAAAAATGTTTTTACCCATCAGCAAAAGGCAGCCAGAGGGGTCCATCTGTGCTTTACGGTGAAAGCTATTCCACTGTATTGGTGCAGCCACTGAAAAGGCCCCACCGCTAATCATCCTCAACAGTCCTCAGAGAAGGGCTTCTCCTTCAGATCTTTGGAAGGAGGGAGGAGGTGGTCCCTTGGGTGTCCTGGGCACAAGCCATTGAGGGTTTTACAAGGTTATCACTATCATCACTCTGAATTGTGTCTGGGAGCAAACTAGTAGGCATGTGTTACTATTAGCATATAAAGCATACCCTCCAACATTTCTCAGATGAATATGTCCATTCTACTGTTCTGTTCTATTCTGTTCTGTTCTATATACCCCACCCATCTGACTGGGTTGCCCCAGCCACTCTAGGTGGATTCTAACATGTATAAAAACATAATAAAGCATTAAGCATTTTTTAAAGAAAACTTCCCTATATAGGGCTGCCTTCAGATGTCTTCTAAAGGTTGTATAGTTACTTATCTCCTTGGCTTGGAGGCTGCATAACTCTATACCCTACAACATTTCTCCAATGAAAACAGGGACATCCTAAGGAAAAGTGGGACATTCCAGGATCAAATCAGAAACCAGGATGGCTTCTGTACATCCGGGACTGTCCCTGGAAAACAGGAGAACTTGGAGGGTCTGTATAAAACCCTTAACAACTTGGGACCAGTTTATGTTACCCCCAACTCTTGGTTTCTATCCCTCTCGCTGTAAAGCGCAAATCAGAACGACCAGCCCAGGAGCTGCTAGGAGGACAAAAACAATAAACAGTCGTAATATCCTTTGCATGATCAACGCAACAAGTTTAGACAGGCCTTTTTGAGTGCAGCTGCACAGGTGGCCATGCTACTTCCGGCAACAACCACGCTTGCTCATTTGGAAAACATGCCTAACAGAGGGCCTCTAGATCCCACAGAAAGAGACCCCCCCCCCCCGCTCTTGTCTCCCTCTGCAAGTGTGCATCCAACACACATTTTTGGCCACGGACACGTGCATTTCTTTTGCAGGCCAGCCACCTTCTCTTGCTGTCCAAGAAGGAAAGGCAGATCAAAGCTGATCCACAGACTTTATTTTGCCATATATTCTCTGTGTGCTCAGCACACCAGAGATGGGGCAGGGGACGGGGAGAGGAAGGGAAACGAGGCAGAAGGCCCGGATTTGCATTCATCAAACAATATCTGGTTCGCTCTTTTGTCTCGTGAGCTGATCTCCCTGCGTCTCAAGAAAAAGGGGGGGGGAGAGAGAGAGCCAAAACAAGTTGTTTGCTCAAGACGAGTTTGGCTGGGCTGCAGCCTGGCACGGTTACCCCGAGTGGCAGCTCCAGGAGGAATTAAAAGCAGCCGTTTTAATGGGCAGCGCGATCCAAGGCCTCCTAATGCACCGAGGGTTACCAGCCAACTTTTCCCCACATAAAAGCAAGTGTGAGCACACACATACACACACACACGTTGTGTGCAGAAAGGATTAGAGTCGCTGTCACAGAGACACACGCGAGCACACAAAAGCTGGGCGCAGCTGCTGGGGGGGGGGCGCTTTTAGAAAACAATATTAGGAAAGAGTCGCCGTTAACTTACCATCCTCGTACGCTGCCGCTGCCAGGGAGCTGTTTATCCTCACAAAGGAGGCATGCGGCCGGGGGCCGGGTTCGGCCAAGCCGCGCTCGGGGTCCAGGGCAGGAGCGGTGTAGTCCCAGGTGCGAGTGTCCCACAGCTTCACATCCCCTGACGTGTAGCTGGAAGGGAAAGCGGGAAACGGGTTCAAAAAAAAAAAGCGAGCGTCGGAGTCAGGGGGAGCCAACGGAGAAGGAACTCGGTGGTCGTGGGCAAAAGCAAGGTGTTTCTCTTCCCGTCCACCATTTCCTCCTCTTGGCCTCCCACTTCGACAGGAACAAGACCCTTTTGCAAATGAGGCTGGACTGCTCTTGGTTTTCCTTTTCTTTTTTTAAACTCATGCTACCAGCTGCGTTCACAAGTGAACAAAAGGGCAACGCCGGGTGTGGGGGAACTTTGGCCTTCCAGGTGTTGCTGAAGAGAAACTCTGATCGGCCCCTGCAAGTGTGGCCCATGGCTGGGGGAGATGGGAGTTCAGCAGCATCTCTCCAGACTTGCGATACACACACAAAAAAGGGTACTGTTTTATTAGAAAACCTCCAAACTCCATTTTGTTTATTTATTCAGGAAATTTATATATCACCTGCTCAGGGGATGGGGTGGGCTTGGGATTATCCAAGCAGTGCAGAAATCTGATTACGGTATACGCAACACATGACAAAAGGTAACCCAAAGAGAAATATACATTAAAACATCAATTAAAAAAACAAGATACAACCAATAAAAAGTTGGAGCAAATGCACCTAAATCAGCTAAGACAGGTTTCCTGAAATGAAAACATTTTCAGCAGGCCTCTTAACATAGTAGAGTTGTGGCAACTGTTACTAGAGGAATGTGCCTTTCTTAGGCCAACCGAAAGAGTCACAAAACAGGTGCAAGCTTTTGGGTTACGCAAGACTCTTTTGTTGGACTAGATGTGGAAAAAAGGCCTGTTGCTCAAGCCTTCCTTGCTTGCGTGTTTTAACAGTCTTAAGGCAGAACGCGATAAGACAGTAGCAGACTTTCAGGAGCTCTGCAGGTGTCAAGTTGCCCGCAGGACTCCTGGGGAGGCTGGTCCCCCGCCTCTGCAAATACAGCAACCAGCTGTCGCTCAGTTCTATCCTTAGGCAAAACGCAGAGATCCCTATTTGGCTTTCCTTTCTTAACATAGGGGAATGTTGCTATTGTACTCAGGTCCTCCTTGCGGGCTTTCCATAAGTATCTGGCTGGCCTTGTGAGAACAGGATGCTGGACTCAGTGGACCTAGAAAATCCTCAGAACTCGATACGGCATTGTACCTAACAGATGTTGCATCTACCTCAAGCACCACTAGGGTGATTAAGATAAGGCTCAGCCACTTTGCTGATGCAAGTTCTGCCATGCTGGGAGGTAGCAATGCCACGGGACGGCGGCGGGGGGATGGGATACAACAATAAGCTTGCGCTTGGGTCCTGCTTGCGGGTTTCCCATTGGGGCATCTGCTTGGCCACTATGAGAACATGAGGCTGGACTAGATGGGCCACTGGCCTGACCCAGCAGGGGTCTCTTTTTTCCATCCTTATGTACAGGAAGCAAAACAGACCCCTAGCACTCTATGACTTGGAAGCAGCTCCCTCTGCTTGGATGCGATGAAAGAAAATCAGGGGGAAACTCAAAAGGAGAGTGTCACAGAAGAGTTTCCATTGCACGCAGTTGGAACGGATGACCAACATAAGCAAGTATGGTGGTGACTCTTAAATAGGGGTTGGGGGGTAGTTTTGGTCCGGTGGGCCAGATCTTTATCTCCCCACCCTATGGTCCAACTCTGACAGGTGGGTGAAGCATATGACATCAGGTATAATGGAGTTGTTGTTGTTTGTGGGGAGAGGAGGAATGCTCTGTCAGGCCAAATGGGGAACTCTAGCAGGCTGAATACTACTTGCGAGCCAGATGTTCCCCAACTCTCACAGGTTTTCCCTCCAGGACTGCGGACAAACAGTCTCTTCCAGGCCTATCCGAAGGAGCATAAAACCTGACAAGAAGTGCTGAGGCCATTCTGTTGTGTCTATGCTGCTTCCTTCCTCAGGACCAGTTAGGACAAGGACAAGAGTAGAGCTTCCCAGGCCTTTCTGAGATGCCAAATCCAGCCTCTCACTGATTCCAAGGTTCACTTGGGAGTTCTCCGCATCTCAATTTTGTTTTCCAACAAAGGATGCCGCAGCATCAAGCTATTCAAGACACAAGGGTTGTGTGGTCAGGCCTCCTGAAGTTTAAGATTTTACTTAAAGGAAGCTGTTTCTTGGAGGAGGGATCTCAGATTTTGACAGGACAGATAGCGTTGGGGAAGTGGGGAGGAGAAGCTCATCAAAATCCCCACCAACCACGTGACAGCTTTTGAACTGAAGAAGAAATGCCAGGAAGTGCCATCATCGGTCTCTCGTGAAGGGGTATGCTTGGCCCATATTTAGTGACGTGCTATAACTCAGGGGTCACCAACTGTTTTGAGGCCAGTGGGCACATTTGGAATTTTGATAAAGGGCTGTAGGAGCCAGTCACAAAATGGCTGCCATGCGTGGGGGGGGCGGCGCCGTCACACATCACAAAATGGCTGCCGTGACATATTGGCTTGTGAGGCAGAGCCAGTGAAAGCAGGAACTGAGCAGCAACAGCAGAGAGCTGCTCATGCATTGTGGATGTTTGAGGGGATGTTTACGGAGACCTTTTGCAGGAGCCACAGGGGGTGCTGGTGAGCACGCTAGCGCCCGCAGGCACCGCGTTGAAGACCCCTGGCTCGGCTTCTTATGCATCCAGTTTCTCGAGCCTGCTGGCAGAGACCGAGGCGCGAATGAGAACCAAACAAAGGAGGTGCTTCAGCCAGGCTGACTCTGCAAGAGGCAGAACGGAGCTGGGTGTTATCCCAACGAAGTGGCAACTTCCCGGAGAAAAAATAAATAAATAAATAAATAAATAAATATTGGAAAGCTGCAGAAAGCTCGAGTCGCCATGCCAAAATCAATCTCTCTCCAGAGCCCCAGATGTCCTTATCATTGCCTAATGGCAATTATACTCAGCCAATTAAGACTCGGCTATCACTGTTGCATTGTTAGTAAGCCTTTGGCCCCTAGTGTTGATGGCTGTCTAATTAGTGTTTGTGCAAAGTACAACTGCAAGATACGCCACGCAAAGCTGACAAACACACCCCAAAATAAGCCGTCAATAAGAGGATCGTCCGTAGCACCACTGCTGGCAAACAGCTATCTTTTGAAGAAGAAGAAATATCTTACTGATGAAAGAGTGGGAGACATTCTAAACTAGTCAAAACTGAGAAGTCTAGCTGGTTCCTGGTTGATTGGAAAGAAAGAGACAGGAGGCTGGTCACTGCACACCTAGAAAACCTAATATCCAACAGCTCATAAACTCAAAATTTCTGCCGTTGGGCTTCATAGGTGAGCACATTCTGGAGGGAGGCTGAAAAAATGAATAAGGTCTTCCCACCCTCCATGGGTACGAGGCCCTTGGAAAGTTAACAATGAGGGAATGTGGCTCTCAAGTTGAAAACTGTCCCCTTGATTTAAGGCATCTCAGCACTCTTTGTTGCTCTTCCAAGAGGGATTCTTCCATCTGCTTAAATTTTAGAACTGACTTATTATACTTATGATGTGTTTTTTGTTATCTCTGCATAGTCACACGCATGCATGGGTTCTGCAGCTGTGCAGACACTGCTCAGGAACCTTCCAAGACTCTGGAAGTTGCTGGGCAGGGAGTTCAATCCTGACAGATAAAAGAAAGTACTTCTTCATGCAGCGCAGAGTTAAACTATGGAACTCACCCCCACAGGAGGCAGGGACAGCCACCAACTTAGACGGCTTTAAAAGAGGATTGGACAAATTCACAGAGGAGAGGGCTATGGTTGGCTACTAGCCACAGCGGCTATTCTCTGCCTCTGCAGTCAGGGACAGTAGTGCTTCTGAATACAGTGGTACCTTGGTTCTCAAACTTAATCCGTTCCGGAAGTCCATTCCAAAACCAAAGTGTTCCAAAACCAAGGCACGCTTTCCTATAGAAAGTAATGCAAAATGGATTAATCCGTTCCAGACTTTTAAAAACAACCCCTAAAACAGCAATTTAACATGAATTTTACTATCCAACGAGACCAGTGATCCATAAAATGAAAGCAATAAACAATGTACTGCAGTCACACAATCAATCAATCAGTAGCTGAACTGGGTTCCACACAGCCACCAAAACAAAACAAAAAGAGCCGCAAAAAAACCACACAAAATAAATGGCAAAAACAGACAGACCTCAGCATAACACTGAAAACGGAGGCGTAACACTCAAAACGGAGCACGTTCGGCTTTCAAAAAAAGTTTGTACACCGGAACACTTACTTCCTGGTTTGCTGTGTTTGGGTTCCAGGTTGTTTGAGTACCAAGACATTTGAGAACCAAGGTACCACTGTACCATTTTCTGGAAACCATGGGAGGGGAGAAGGCTCTTGTGATCATGCCCTGCTTGCAGGTTTCCCACAAGCATCACGTTGGCCACTGTAAGAACAGGATGCTGGACTAGATGGGCCATTGGCCTGATCCAGCGGGATCTTCTAATGTTCTGATCCTGCTTTCTGCAGGGTGCAAATGAGTAGGAACTCAGTCCTGCAAGGTTCAGGCACACCAGGCCATTCCCAGAGGAAACTAAGCCGGATTGAACTTCACGTGCATCAGGTCACTCTTAGGAGGTCCATCCTGCTTTCCGCTGGGTTGAGCTGAAGTGTGGGCTTCCTGAGGATGCATCTCTACCTGCCATACACCTGACATCAGGTGTGGGGCAGAGGCACCTGGTTTGGGGAGGGGGGTGATTCTGCATGCCAAATGGAGAGGTCTGGCGGACTGAGTCTTGCCCATGAGCCAGAGGTCTCCAACCCACCCTCCCCTATACTTAGGCATTTTGATTTAATGAGAGCCAATGTGGTGCAGTGGTTAAGATGCCAATCTAGGACCTGAGAGACCAGAGTTCAAATCTCCCACTAAGCCATGGTTACTGGGTGACCTTGGGACCAGTCATTCACTCTCAGCCTAACCCATCTCACAGGAAGGAGGGGGAAACTGGGAGCAGGAGAACAATGTACGCTACCTTGAAAGGTGGGATGCAAATAAATAATGTGATCTGCGAACCTGGTAGATCAAATTTCAAATATATTGTACTTTTACTGAATTAACAAGAAGATACTTATATTTATTGCATTGATAGCCCTCGTTTTTCTCCAAGGAACTCAAGGCAGTGTATGTGGGTCACTCCGTCCTCATTTAATACCCTGTGAGGTAGGTTAGGTTGGGGGGGGGGAACAGCAACCAGCTCAAGGTCACCCAGTGAGCTTCATGGCTGAGTGGGGGATTCAAACCCTGGTCTCCCAGGTCCTAGTATGACACTCTAACCACTGTGCAACACTGCATAGGTGGCAATGCTAGCATGGAACACACCGTTCGCCAGGTGGAAGTGGAAGTGGAAGAAAACAGCCCCCTTAAGATGGCTTCATCTCGTCTATGGAGGGGGGGGCGAACCCTTCAATTTCACCTCTCTTCCCATTCAGTCATCCGAGGAGATTGATTGATAGGCACTTGAGCTGTGGGGCCGAGAGCGCCTGCTCTCTCGTCACTCGCCTTTCTAAAGAGCCCCGTGCTTATGGCCTGACATCAGAGAACTCAATCTGGCAAGCGCATGTTTATCAATAGCACTTTGCGCTGCGGCGGTTACGATGCTTGTTTTCTGGGTCAGACCTTGGATTCCTTTTCATTTGGAGGCTGCGATGTTTGCGGTTACCTCACCCCTAATCAATGCTGGATACAACCAGCCTTTTCTATGGCTGCGTGTCTCAGATGCGCAGCTTAAAGCGACAGGAGCCTGTGACACGTGGGCCTCCGGTTTCAAAACAATGCAAAGACCTATTTCTTTCTCTCCCTCTCCCTCTCCCCTCCCTCTCCTTCTTTCCAGGCTTACAAAAAAAGCCGCTAAGATGGCACTGCAAAATGCAGACTTCTCAAGGACACTTGGTGCTGTAGACAATTAGCATACAGCAGATTTTTTGTTTAAACAAAAAGAATAGCAAGTATCTGCAGATGGGGAGTTCAAGTTGTTCCTCTATGAATCGCATTCTGGAGTCTAAATTCTCTTCTGCCTTAAGGAACAATTCCAGATTAGAGAAATGAGTAGCTGGCTTGGAGACTATCGATCTGTTTTCAACTCCCCTAATCTCTAGCCGGTGGGGTGGGGGGGAAATGCATCCCCTTCCCCAGTCATCTTCATCCTTCTCTCTAATTCTTCGGTTGGCTTTTATTGACGTTAAGTCAACCAATATATAAGGACTGTTAGATGCTATGGGCTGCGGCTAGTTAAGATGTACTCATAGCGGACCCAGTGAAATTAATCACTGTGACTAACTTAAGCCCATTGATTTCAAATGTTTGTACCATGAATATGTGGCCAGTGTTGTGTAGTGGTTAGAGTGCTGTACTGGGACCTGGAAGAGACCAGGGTTCAAATCCCCATTTGGCCATTAAGCCCACTGGGCGACTTTGGGCCAGTGGCTGCCTCTCTCAGCCTGTATGGCCAGCAGCCAGGGCTGATGGGATTTGTAGTCCAACAATACCCAGAGGGCCACAGTTCCCGCACCCTCCCTAGGGGTTAGAAGGACCAGTACTTTGCTTTAAAAATTCACATGCTCATTAGGAATAGCCAGAACACACCACGGAACAGGAAAGTTTCCTTCAAAAAAAAAAAGAGAGAGCTTGCTTCTGGTAAGATAAGACCAGTTTTTCTATGCATCTCTTATTGGGTAAATTGAGGCTCAGGATGATTGCTGTACATGGTTTCAGTGGGCGTCAAGGCAGCTAACATGCGTAAGACACCTTGGGGGCCTCAACTCCCACAGCGGCACTCTAAAATTAGCCCTGTTGATTAGGTTATCATTTCTTCTGTTTCAGACAACCTGTGGTGGAGGGGACTGGAGGGGGGACGGACGGACGGACAAAAGTCAGTCTCCTTCTAAAACCCAGCTTCCTTCTCTAAGAGAAGGCCCCTCACAAAAAAGCACACCTTTGTGTCACTGCAACAGAAGAGCTGGCAGGAAGGCAAGCAGTTAGGAACACACGGCCAAGCTATGCCATTCTGGGCACTGAACTCTTTGGTTAGGTGGCATGTGTGACTGACAATGACCCAGCCAGTGTAGGGATGCCACCCTCTATGGCTGGGCCGTGCCTCCCTGCTGGGCTTTTCTTTCTCGCGGGGACACAGAGGTGCAAAGGGACTGCGTGGAGAGAGATAGAAAGTGTTGAATGCAGCTGGGTAGATAAAGAGTCTGGCTGGAGAGAAGGCAGCTTTCCTACATTACTACTTCTGGAGCATGGCTGGGGACCAGGAGAAGGGCAAAGTACAGGGGCTGTTCCCTTCGCACCCTATTCGTATCCTTCCTGGAGAAATGCAACTGGCCACAGCCAGAAACATGAAGGCCTTCAAGCAGTGCATTTTTAAACTATGGAACTCTCTCCCACAGGAAGCAGTGATGGCCACCAACTGGGAAGGCTTTAAAAGAGGACTGGTCAAATTCTTGGAGGAGAAGGTTACCAATGGCTATAAGCCACGATAGCTATTGCTCTGCCTCCACAATGGGGGGCAGGAATGCTTCCGAATACCAGTTGCTGGAAAACCACTGGGATGGAGAGTGCTCTTGTGCCCTGCTTGCAGGCTTCCCACTGAGGCATCTGGTTGGGCACTGTGAGAAAAGGATGCTGGAATAGATGGACCACTGGCCTGATCCGGCAGGCTCTTAGGAAGCTAGATTTGTGTGCTTCAATGCTGACTCAGGGAGAGCCACAAAAGCCTTGCTTCTGCATTGCATATACACCCACATTTTTCTCCAAGCAAGTCAGAATTGCACACATGAACAACAACAACAACTTCTTCTTCTTCTTCTTTATTTATACCCTACCCATCTAAGTCACTCTGGGCATCTTACAGCATATCTAAAAACATAATAAAAACATCAAGCATTAAAAACCTCCCGATACAGGGCTGCCTTCAGGTGGCTTCTGAAAGTTGCTCTTCCCCATCCCAATTAATTCCCACTACAGCCCTGTGAGGTGGGCACCCAGTGGGCTTCATGGCCGATTGGGAATAGGAACTCTGGTCTCTCCCAGGTGTTAGTCAGACACTCCAACCCCTATACTACACTGGCTCTTCTAAGATCAAGGTGAGAAGGGTTCTAGTTTCAGTCGAGATATTAAGACCTGCCAGAACTGTGGCATGCAAGACCTGAGTGAGACAGCGCTCTCACCAATGATGATTCACAGAAACTGCTGTTCAGAGGCATGATGCTTCCAGCAGTGGCCAGCACCAATAACGTTTATTCTGCTTTTCAGAAAAGAACTGGTCTTATGATGACCATATCTAATTTTGATTTTATGTCCCCTACCCCCCCCAAAGGGGGGGGGAGCAAAACCACAGTGGATGCTGCTTGGGGTGATGTCAGATTAGACCCCCTCCAAAAAAGCTTGCAAAATGTCTGGATCTCACAGAGGGAAAGCAGTGGCTGAACTGCCGTGTGCCTTGGCTGCTTCCAGAAATGGTCTTTTCAGATATCAGCAGCTCTCCAGCTAGACCGAATCTGCGCAAACATCCGCCTCCCTGGGGTCCTCAAAATGTCACGAGCCCCTCTGCCAAAGATACCTGAACGAGGCCTCGCACCAGCTGCAATCTGAAGCCACGTTTGAAAAGGGGGGGGGGCGGGTTGCAAAAATTAAGACCTTTGAAGGGGCACAGTCAATACCGACTTAGCTATTAGTGGGAGGCAATCAATTCTCAACATTTCATCCTGAAAAAGAAAGAAAAAGAAAAGCGGAGGGAAGAACTACTCCCTGAATTTAGTTCAAGCTGCCTTCGTCTCCGCCACTCAAAGAATCTGGCATTAATGGAGCAGGAGATATATATTTATTTTATACAGACAATTGACTCTAATCCTACTCTACAAAAACGTATCATTAAAACGAAGCGTTGCTGTAAAATACCATACATTGATTTATGGCAGGGCTGAGCCAATTTCACAGTTCGTATGACATCACCACTTCTACTGAGCGCCCGCTTGGTGGCTTCTGAAAGACTGGGAGGGTGGAAAGCAGGGGGGGGGTGCTGGGAGGGGGTGAGGAGAGAGAGGGGGTGGGAGAGGGAGAGAGGGACTCTACCTGATCTATATACTCCAGTCTAGGTCAAGGTAAGATTACTGATTAACCTGGGACAATCATTCTCAAAGCCACCCCCCCCCCTTTTAAACCGTAGGATCAGAATTGATAAGGCTCAGGGCATTAAAAGACCTGCGTTAATAAACCTTTTCAACTCTGCATTGCAGATAAAGCAATTGTGGTGATAAATAGAAACGATGTGCCGTTGTGGGAGTGGACAAATCTCTCTCGGGTGGTTCAGAAAATGCAGCCCAGGGGAGACATTCAGCACTCCAGTTCAAACCCCGTTCCAAGGCATGAAGAAAGGGTATCAAGCGGAGTTTAGCTTTTAACTACTGTCATTGCCTCTCCCCCCCCCCCCCGACATTTCAGCTAAAAGCCACAATAATAAGTTTTATCTCTGTTAAATAACAGATTCAGTTTTATGGTTTGGGGATACATCAGTCAGGCTCTTAATCCAAAGACGAGCTGAGGCTCTTGGCGGTGGGGGGGGGGGAGGGTTAAAAAAAAGAAAATCTCAAATTCCACTGAGCTAAATGAGTTCACCTCCCCAACACCCTCTTGAGCAGCCAGTTCTGGAAAAAAGAAGTGTTTTGAGAGGTTTCAAATTTCTAAGCCCCCTTTTAGGCAAATAAGTGACTAAGCCCCAAGTAAGTAACATCAGCAACAGATACTGTTTTGCAGAGACCGTCTTCAATTAAAAACACACACACACACACAATCCGTGGATAAATCAATGCTTTCAGCTCTAGCATACTTAGTTACTTAGACAGTAACTTTCTCAAGCACAGATTCAGGCTCCTGTTTCCCTTTTGGTCACCTCTGCTGTCCTGTCAGCTTCTCTCCCATAAGGACCAGTGTTCAGCTCCCTTAAGAGCTCCAGCTGCAGCCCAGCTCATGACTTCTTCATGAAGAGCAGTGCTAAAACTCTGGAACTCGCTCCCACAGGAGAGGCAGCGATTGCCACCAACTTGGATGGCTTTAAAAGAGGACTGGACTAACTCATGGAAGATATGGGTATTGATGGCTGGAAGCCACAAGAGCTTTGCCTCCAGTGTTATTAATGCTTCTGAATTCAAGCTGGTGGAAACCATAGGGGCATGGGGTAATAAGTGCTTGTGTGTTCAGGTCCTGGGTAGCCACTCTGAAAAGAGGATAGTGGATTTCATGTCTTAACCTAACAGGACAAAACTGGCTTGCTCTCTTCTTCGAGAGCCGGTGTGGTGTAGTGGTTAAGAGCGGTAGTCTCGTAATCTGGGGAACCGGGTTCGTGTCTCCGCTCCTCCACATGCAGCTGCTGGGTGACCTTGGGCCAGTCACACTTCTCTGAAGTCTCTCAGCCCCACTCACCTCACAGAGTGTTTGTTGTGGGGGAGGAAGGAAAAGGAGAATGTTAGCCGCTTTGAGACTCCTGAAGGGGAGTGAAAGGCGGGATATCAAATCCAAACTCTTCTTCTTCTTCTTCTTCTTCTTCGCCAAGATGTGTGTTTGGTGACCCATCATGCAAATACCTAACACGCCTGAGTTTGATTTTCCCCTCTTCCCTTCTTTCCCCTTATGTCATTTTTAGGGTTTCTTCAAAATCATAAACCTGAGATTGGAGACTGCCTATTATTTTTAACTGATAGTATTTATGCCACTCTTGGAGCTGAAGTATGGTGCACAAATGCTCCAAATAAAACAAACAAACAGGCAGGCAGGCAGGCAGGCAAGCAGACAAGTCTCGCTCCAGGGTTTCTGCTGGAATCCTCAAGTTTAACAGAGAAACCTCTTAAGTGATTCATCTCCTTGAAATACCAGTATGCTTAATCAAATGCTGTGGATATTAGGACCTGCATGGATACTTAACCATTTGTTTCTCAGCGGAGATCCCATGAGCTGCTTAGATATGCCACTGTCAATGTATGGAACGTTTTCCTGAAGCCAAGACCAAGGTTTTGAAATCAGCTGGCTTTTGGTGATCAAGTTTCTCTCTCTCTCTCTCTCTCTCTCTCTCTCTCTCTCTCACACACACACACACACACACACACACATATCTGGATTTTCAGAATTTATTTTGAATGCATTACATCAGGGGTCAGCAAACTTTTTCAGCAGGGGGCCGGTCCACTGTCCCTCAGACCATGTGGTGGGCCAGACTATATTTTGGAAAAAAATATGAACAAATTCCTATACCCCACAAATAACCCAGAGATGCATTTTAAATAAAAGCACACATTCTACTCATGTAAAAACACACTGATTCCCAGACCGTCCATGGGCTGGATTGAAAAGGCTATTGAGACGGATCTGGCCCCTGGGCCTTAGTTTGCCTACCCATGTATTACACCTTGGAATTTTCAGAGGCGTAGTCATGTTAGCCCATTACAGAAAACAAGGAAAATCTTACAAGAAAAAAAACAGATAATTTTTTTGGCTGCCACTTCTAAAACATGTAGTAAATCAACAGCAAAAGAGATGTGATACCTTTGTGTTGCTAGCAAATTATCTGAATTATGGATACTATTCTGGTTAAGTTTGTAAGATCTGTGTAACTGGCCAGAAAGACTGGATGCAAACACACACAGAGCAAAAAATGATTGATTGTGATAGCAGGTTGAGCCCGGAAGATGGCTACTTTGTAGAGCTGTGTTTGAGAGTTTATAAAACTTTATAGTCTTAAAGCAAGGATGGGAAACCTGTAGTCCCCCAGATATTTGGTCTACAACTCCCATCAGCCCCAAGTGTTAGGGATGATGAGAAGTATAATTAGTCTGGCAACACCAGGAGGTCACTGTGGACTGTATCCAACATTCTCTGTTGAACCTGCTGTACTCCTTTAGCCTGACATGCAACTGTACCTGAAAAAATTCCCCTCCCCTGAGAACCTCAATTAGGCTGTCAATTCAATTCTTCTAGGCAACACTCAACATTCTCGGACCCTCAGCACAAGAACCTTTGCTCCAGCGGATGGCAGAATTTAAAAGCTGGCCAACAAAGGAATCTAGAACAACAGTTGTTTTGGCATAAGCTTGTTGAGCAACAGCTGATTCTTGCAGCCCAACAATCTCTGAATACGAATGTGCATTTCCCCTTATGCAACAACCTTCCACCAGCGCAATAAGTATACAGCTAAGCGACTTTAACTCACAGCTACATTGGATACAGCCCATTGCACTGGCCACGCAACATCCAGCGAGGCTGCCGGTGGGAGGAGAAGTGTTCAGTCCGCAAAACAGAACTCTCAGGAAGCCAGCTACCATGTACTTACCCCGCAATGACCACCCCGTCGCAAGAATGCACATCGCACAGAACTTTCCCAAGTTCGTACTGCAGCTGGCTCACGGCGCCAATGCGGTTCTGCAAAGGAAGACAAGGGAGCGGCATTGGCCTTGATCAGCCACGTAGCAATCCCAACCATTCTGCTTCCCCATCACCAGAAGGGTCATAGCTCTGTGCATGCAGGAGGCCCCCACATTTAATCTCGACCATCTCCAGGTAAGGCTAGGAAAGGCTCCTGTCTGAAACCACAGAGAGCTGCTGCCAGTCAGAGCCAGCAACACTAAGGTAGATGGTTCGAGGGTCTAACTTGATAGAAAGCAGCTTCCTGTGTTCCTGTATGCAGGGGAAGGCTCAATAGCAGGGCACATGCTTTGTGCCCAAAAGATGCCAAACTTGCCCCCCAGTGCCTCCAGATAGGGCTATGAAAGTTCTCTGTCTGAAATCATTGAGAGTTGATACCCATCATATGCCTCTGCCTAGGTCACCCACCCTCCTGAGCCGTACCTCTCACCAGCCTGGCAATAATGCATCCTTGAATTCTGATTATGCCTCTTGCTTGCTTGGATGGAAAGGGATGTATGACCGTGTGTGTGTGTGTGTGTGTGTGTAGCACGTGAAAGTAAAGTGGTACCCACTTAGAGTGAAACAAGGATCAGACAGACACAGCTTTTGGAGAAAAAGAAGGTGAGGTTTTATTGCTGAGCAATAATGGACCCAGTTGGAATCTTTTCCAAAAGACTGGGACCCCGAAGCATACAAATCCTGAGGTCTTTATACCTGAGCAAATCACAGATCATGAGACCGTCATGGACGCCAGCGAAGAATAACCAATTAGCGTGCATCTGCCAGGCTCCTAGCCTTGCGCAGAGTTCACTCCCTAACTTCTGCTTTCCATTGTCTGCACAAATGATGCGCAGTCTGACCTTTTCCCTAGTTTGGACAGAACAAGGAAATGAGACTCAGGGAATCTCCTGGCCTTACCTCCCCCAAGTTTTGTGGTTTGGCCCTTCCTGTTCTGTGGACTATTTTAGCCTGCATTTGAGGGGGATTTTGTACCAGTGTCTCTGATTCATGTCTTCCCCTTTCCTTCAGGGTACAGGATGTTACTAGGTGAAAGGTCAGTTCTGGACTTGCGGTTCCAAGCAGTTTGCAGTTAGCTTAGGCAAAGCTTTCCTTTGATTCAAAATGGATTATAAAATTCACTGTAAGCCCTGTTATATGTGAGCATATATGAATATACTGATTACTGATAACTGATTATATGAATAGCATAAGGGTAGCATAAGAGTGGCCCCCCTTTTCTTGCTTTATAGGAACTAGCTTATTATACAAGGTTAAAATTTCCATTCCTCACTCTGCTGACTTCTGCCCCTGGCCCAGCCTGTCACAAGCATGCAACCCTCAGGCTAAAACAGGTCCCCCACCCCTGCCTAATAGAGTCATAATGGATTCCAAAAGAAGAATCCCCCGCAGAGTTTACCTTCCAGTTGGTTCTTAAAACCTGCTCCTTCTCCCGGCATTCCCGGAGGGTCCTTTTCCAGAAAGGAGAATCAGATATTTGACTGTTGGGCAGGTAACCTTCTTTTTGGCACAACCGGAACCAAAGGAGCTGGTCTTCTGCAAGGACCTTCCAGGGCTTGCTAACCTAAAAGCAGCAAGACAGGTATCAGCTCCAGACAGTACGTTTGTTGGAGGCTGGCAGCATCTTCATGCATGGAGTTAAAAGTGAAGTTTGGCTGTGCTGTGTTATAATGGTCTCCCTTCCCCACCTGAGAGGGTAGAGTTGCTGTCATGCTCAGATCCTGCCTACAGGTTTCCTACAGGCATCTGGTTCGCCACTGTGAGAACAGGATGCTGGACTAGGAGGGCCACTGGCCTGATCCAGCACGCTCTTCTTATTTTCTTAGAAAGCAGACTCAAGGATTGTTACAAATAACTCATACACTGTTCCACAGTCAATTGGAAGAATGGAAGAGACAGGTAAATACAAACTGGTTTACTGGCAGTTTCAAATTAATAAGCAGCTTCCTTACAGGTTCTGGGCTGACTTGTTGCTCCCTCCCAAACCAAAACTACAAATGAGAATATGCTGCAGGCGAGGGATAGTCAGGTGCACTTAACTCCTGCATACTCAGTAAAACATCCAGCAAGTCTCACTCCTTGTGTGAGCTTGTCTAATAAAGCAACGCACCACCATCTTTTGGTACCAGTGTGCAAGGTCATTTATTGGAAATCCTTCCAAAGCACATCAAATCAAATCTTTATTGATCATGGCCAGAATTAAAGAAGCAAAATAAGAAGTGTATGGAACATGTTGTCCAGATGGGTCTAGTAGCGTTGAAAACAATAAATAAAAGTAGCACAGAGTAACAAGGGCACCAACATCTTAAAAGTTGTAGTCATGTCACAAACTCCAAAGAGGAAAATTACAAAGTGTCTGGGGTCAGTTCTTGGTGGTTTTTGCTTGGCAACACTGAGAGTGATAGATGCACCTGATCGTCCTGGCAGATTTAATAAAAGTGGTTCAATAAAGATTTTGTGTAGATCTTGACCCTTCCAACGCCTATTCATTGCAGCTCTTGATGCTACTGGAAAATGAACTTGCTCTCCTTTCCCTCCACTTCCGATTCCTTTTCTACCCTGACCATCAGTCCTCAGCCAGTGGGGTAGAGACCCTCCAGGGGGGCAGAGCAGCAACATTACTGCAGTAGAACTATACAGTGTAAAATTAATTCCCAAATGCATGTTTGGGCTAAAGGTGGGTCACCGGTCTGAAAAGGTTGAGGACTCTTGACTTAAAAGTACAATTATAGCATAAAGATTATGACAGCGCAAAAAAGGGGGGAAAGGGAGGGGACGCACAAAACCCAATCTAAAATAATTCATTGGCTCCTCAAAACCTGGGTGAAGAGATGCATCCTGCCCAATGGTTGAAATAAGTAAAATGATGGTGCCAGACACACCTCCAAAGGGAGATATTTCAATAAACAGGATACCAACACAGAGAAGGCCCTGCTATGTGTCACCTAAGAACAGTACCCCACCTCCACCTTAACATTCAGGCAGGTCTACACAGAAGGTAGCATAAAGTCCCTTTGTTCCTCTCTGCTGTTATTCCCCCCAGAATAAACCTTCATGTGGGCTTATCGGCCACTTTAGTTAAATTGCAGCTCACTGCCTGCTCTCTCTCTCTCTCTCTCTCTCTCTCTCTCTCTCTGTCATGCCATATGCTGTAGATCAGGGGTCAGCAAACTTTTTCAGCAGAGGGCCAGTCCACTGTCCCTCAGACCTTGTGAGGGGCTGGACTATATTTGGGGGGGGGATGAACGAATTCCTACGCCCCACAAATAACCCAGAGATGCATTTTAAATAAAAGGACACATTCTACTCCTGTAAAAACACACAGATTCCCGGACCGTCCACGGGCCGGATTTACAAGGCGATTGGGCCGGATCTGGCCCCTGGGCCTTAGTTTGCCTACCCATGCTGTAGAGATATGAAAAACACAAATGCTCTGCTGAATCAGACCGGCGGGGGGGGGGGCATTTAATCTAGGGACAGCTGGCGTGTCGCGCTCCAGGTCTTTCTGTACTACAGTTCCCATCAGCCTCAGCCGAAATGGCCAGGGGTCAGAGGTCATGGGAGCTGCACTCCAGAAATATCTGGATGGTGGCTACCCGGGGTTTAAGGAACATGATGCACACCTGGGAGGGGGGGGGCAGAGAATAACTTCTCACTGGCTGCTCCTGTGCTTTGGAGTTCCTTTTCTGAGACCAGGCCTCATCTAACCCTCTCTGGAAACCTTCCAAAGAACAAGTAAATGTCTTTTTTTAAAAAAAAAAAAAAGATATGATTCAGACAGGCCTTTCGCCCGACAGGCTGATTTGCCTTATGGTTTTTCCACCATGTGTGTGTTTTTTCTGTTTTAAATCGCCCACAGTTTTACTGCCATGTTTCTGCCCACTCTGGTTTTCAGGATGATAGAGAATTGCCTTATACTTAAGATTCAGACCATGGGTCCATCTAGCTCAGCACTGTCAACACAGGCAGGCAGGGGCTCTCCAGGGTTTCAGACGAGGCTCCCTCCCAGCCCCACCTTGGATATACTGGGGACTGAACCTGGGGTCTTCTACATTCAAAGCAGATGTTCTGTCACTGAGCTACGGCCCTTCTCCATCAGCAGCAGAGATTAATGTGGGCTTGCTCCTGTTGCTCTGAGCCCCAGATACATGCAGCAAGAAATCTCACCGCAGAGAAGACTCGCTATCATGCTGCTACCCTCTGGACCTCTCGTAGAGGGAGCACATGAATAACAGTCTCAAATGATGATTGCAGGGTTCGGGTCGATTCGTATGGGGTCCTTGAGGTATTGACATTCTGAGCCGTTTAAGGCTCCGTTCATGACACTAATAATAAAACTAAGTAAAGGGGGGGAAGCACTCCCAAAATCATGATGCAATCTCTCATGGAGAAGGCCAGATGTTGCAGGCCAGGGGGTCCCAAACCGTGGTCCAAGAACTTCAATTTGGTGGGCTGTGCCATGTCTGCATTAAATACACTGGTTTTTAATTGGATTTTTAAAATTACGGCTTATATTCAAATATATTTCTTACATTGTATTTTACTGTTTGACAAACTGAATTCTGCAGAAGGCAAATTCTAATGCAATAAAATACAATAGAAAAAATAAAAACAGCAAGAAAAGTATGATTAAAAATCGCACGGCAACTAGCACAGCACCTTACAATTGCTTCAACATGCAGAAAAATCACAGTGGGGCAAGCCAAGGCAACCAGCAATTTTCAGGTCTCCCACTGGGAGCAGGGATTTTGGGGAACCACTGTTTTAAGCCAAGCTCAGATTCCTTTGGGCACTCAGAGGACATCTTAAGGCAGTGGTTGTGGAACCTGAAACTCCCCTTCTCAACCCTGACCTTTGGCCATGCTGGATTGAGCTGGTGGGTGTTGGAATGCCACAGAAGAAGAGAAGAGTTTGGATTTGAGATCCCGCTTTCTCACTACCCTACGGAGTCTCAAAGCGGCTAACATTCTCCTTTCCCCTCCTCCCCCACAACAAACACTCTGTGAGGTGAGTGGGGCTGAGAGACTTCAGAGAAGTGTGACTAGCCCAAGGTCACCCAGCAGCTGCATGTGGAGGAGCGGAGTTGCGAACCCGGTTCCCCAGATTACGAGTCTACCGCTCTTAACCACTACACCACACTGGCTCTGTTAGCGACCCCTGTCCTGGGGTGCTACTAGCTTTCAAGCGTGAGGGATGTATGCTTGTTGAGGCCACACTTGCCTTCTAGCCTGGGAAGGCCCAACTTTTCTGCACTTCCACTGTGCTGCCTTACACTGTTTTGCTAGCCAGCTGACCTAAGTCATTTCACTGCATTCTATCGCTTACTTTGCTTTGCTTGTTTAATTGTACTTTATTGTATACTTTGTTTTAAGGGTTCACCACTTTTGGGGGCCTTGTGGGGGCCAAGAAGCGGCCAATGAATAAATCCTCATCATCCAAGGTGGATAAATGGAAGTCGTGCCCATTCCGTGTGCTTTTATGAGGTCACAGGATACATGGCAAGTGACGGGAGGGGCGCAGAACACTGGGAAGAAGACAGGAAGGAATGGTGGGCCACATGAGCTTCACTCCTCTAATTCAATCTCAAAGGGGTGACGACTCAAGGAATTCCCAGTCCCAAGTCCTATCAGGCAAGGTTCCAAAAGGCAGTATCACGGAGAGTTAGTTCCTTCCTCAACGGAGTTTCAACATGTGCATCGTGGTTCTCCCAGAAGCACCCTCTGATTAGCGGTGGTGATCATCTCCTTCTTTCCAGGATGGCCTGCCGCTCATCTGGGTGATACAAATGGCCATTCGGTCTCCACTACCCTCAATGCAACTGCAGCTGACGCAGCACCCAGGACGACTGGGAATATCACGGACGCAACCCCCTGCCGGCGACGCTTTGTGGTGTATCGCTGAGTTAGAAGGGTTGATAGAAGCCATGTGGATCGTGTAGCATAGCCAGCTGCTGCTGATGGCTGAGGGCCGCCTCCACCCGCTGCTGCTCCCGCTCCACCCACCTCTCCGTGTCTTGGCGCGCGACGTCGAGGCTGTGGCGCAGCCGGCGCTGCTCGTGCTCCATCCGCCGATCCGCGCGCAGGTTGGCATTATCCTGATGGTCCTGCAACGAGTGCCGATGCAGCTCTTGCGCGGCGAACAGGCGAGAGTCCTTGGCCTCCAAGTGGTCCCAGTGCTGCGCCACCAGCTGCAATTGCCGCTGGCGTATCGCTTCCTCCTGAGCGGGGTCGCTCCTCCAGGAGCTCAGCCTCCGGCGGAATTCCTGCTGCCGCGCCAGCTCCTGCTGCCGCTGCTCCTCTTCCTGCGCCAGGCTTTGCCGCTGCTGCAACGCCCGCTGCTGCTGCTGCTGCGACACCCGCCGCTGCTGCGACACCCGCCGCTGCTGCTCCAGCAGCCGCTGCTGCTCCCGCTCAAGCTCCAGCCGCTGCCACTCCCGCTCCGCTCGCTCCACTTGCCGCCACTCCCGCAGCCGCTCCTCTTCCTGTTCCCGCAGTTCCACAGCTTCCTCCTCCTCTGCTGAATCTCCTGTGATGTAACTGCGCAACTGGGTGATGTAATTGCCAACAAGGGTGATGAAATTGCCCATCGTTACATGCAAGAAGCACACAGTCTTCTCTTTGCAGAGTCAATTGTCCTAGTAGGTTTCCCTGCGCCTATCCATGGAGACTGATATCCAGCTATAGCCTTCCCCTGGCAGGTTGAGCTTCAAGGCCCACAGAGATGGTAAGGATAACTAACATGACTCAACAATAGGCCCATTGATCACTGGGACTTTGCCCACCATGTGCCTGGGCTGGACTGCTTCAGGCTTCAGAGGCTCACAGGAACCTGTTGGTCCAGCTAGTTCAGCATGGCCAACGATGACCAGCAGCGGTTCTGAAGGGTTGCAGAAAGGGGACATTCCTAGTCTAGTACTTACTGGAGGTGATGAGGATTCAACCTGGGATCTTTAGCATCCAAAGCAGGTGCTCAAACCAATGGGTTATGGCCCTTTCTTGAATGACTGAATAGTCTTCAGAAAAAAAGGAGAGGGGAGAGTTATCTCTTCAGGGAAAACTTAAGAAATAGGAAAATTTATACAATGAATTCCTTTTCTCTGTGTGCCATAAGAAACCCCAAGACATCACAGCGGCCCTATGGCACCCCATAGCATAAATACCGAGAGACCAAAAAAACCCCAAACCACACTCTCCCAGTGCTGTTCTCTGGACTAGCTCATATAAGTAACAGGGCCCCCAAATCCCATCCCACGTAGTTGGTCCAGAAGAATATGGCAATCAACAATATTAAATAGCCACAGAAAGCTTGAGAAGGACCAAGATCAGCCCTGCTTGTCCCATTAATAGAGGCCATTCCCGGCAGGGTGACCAAGACCAACTCGGTCCCATGGCCTGGACTAAAGTCAGATTTAAATGGCTCTAGATATTCCATATCATCCAAAAATGCCTACAGTTGTCCCAACCGTCTCCACCACGTCTGCAATGCACTCAGAAGTTGGTAACAATGATTTTTTTCCGCTTTCTTGTTCTCTTTAAAATCAATGTCTGCTCACTGGCTCTCAGTCAAACCTACCTCACAGGGTTGTTTTGGGGACTGAATGAGGAGGTGGAAAGCCATGTGCACCACCTTGAGTTCCTTGGAGAAAAATGTGGGATATAAATGCAATAATTCTTTATTTTTATTATTATGAAGAGGAGGAGAAGGAAGAAAAATTAATAATAAGAATAATAATCCAGACATTGGCATACATGCAAAGACAGCTGCCAGGAGGAGTTAATGCTCTAGCAAAGGGAAAGAAAACTACCATAGTTGATTGCTTCTTTATCAAATGTTGAGATGTTTGCAGTTCCGTGCATGTTATAATTCTGGGAGTAGATGGAAATAGCTCTATGCCCTCCAGGGAGAGAGAGCCTTCTCTACTACGGATCTGGGCTCCTCTCAGGTGAGAGATGGGAGGAGTAAGACATCGTCCAGAGTCCAGTACTGCTTCAGATATCAGGAATACATCTTATGAGTGTACACTTGTCTGTGAACCTTTGCCTGTGGGTTGTAATATTCTTGAATATGAGTGGTTCACGTATGAGTGGCAGACAGAGGTGACGTTTGAGGTAGCGAATGGCTGCAGTGGTTGTGTGAAATGGATGGTGAGCGAGACTGGATGAACGATTTTATGTTGTGTTGTTTGGAACTATATAATTATACTGCCTTGCACTTTTCTCCAATTTTGTTTTGTGTTATGGATTGGATATGGTATGTGTATTTTGCTATGCGAATCGCTTGACTTTTAAAAAAAAAAACTCATAGTGTGCATAAACCACTTTGAGGTCTTTCAGGCAGTAAAGCAGTCTATAAATGGAAGTAGCAATAAATCATATTAAACTCTTCTCTGCTCTCCATTTTAGCTAAAGCAAGTGTCTGTTGACATTGGTGAGGCTTCTGAACAAGAGAGAGAAGTAAACACAATGAAGCTTTGCCAGCCTCAAAGTGAGGATGGGGTGGGGAAGGAAAGAAGCAAGGAAGGAAGACAGGTAAGGAAGAGAGGGGTGGAAAACAAAAGCCAAGGCTTGCCAACATAGAAAGCATTTGTAGCACCACTGCCAAATCTAAGTTAAAACATTGCTTTAGAAAGCACAGACGCTCCTAAGTGGATTCTCGGGTTCCAAGAGGTCCTTTTAACACTCACGGAGGGGAAAAAGCATAACAAAAATATTATCCCACTGTGATTTTAATCAGATTACTTGTAGCCCCACTAGGCTTATAAACCTGGGTTTTTTCAAGGAGGGGCCCTATGACCAGGCACCCCCATTAATGCACCAGGAACTGGCACTGCCAAGCCTAGTAAAAGCTTCGCTGAGCGAGGCACAGCTGCAAGAAACCGCTAATAAAAAGCGTCTCGAGCCTCCTGCTTTACAAGCGCTGCTCCCATTTAAAGCACAGGCAAACACACACAGCATTTGGCTCCAGCTCAAACTTCCTAGCTCAGCTTGAGTTAAGGGTACAGGTGAGCAACTGGATGCCAAAAGATTTTTTAAAAAGAAAAAGAAAAAAAGACTTCCCCCCACTGCCTAAAAGAGATAGGAAGAGAGAAAGAAATTTCACCCTTGATTTTATTGATACGGAGGCCTGTCTGCTGAAAGCTAAGCTGAGCCACTCAAAAGCATCTTATTAATATAAAAATAAATAAATCTGTGAGCAGTGTTAGAAATTGATATATGAAAGCTAGGAGCTAAATGGCAGCTGAAACCTAGGTTACGGGCGCAACAAGGGAATGTCTAGTTGCACTTTTTTATAACAAGAAAACACAGCTGAAAATGAATGAACTGCAGCTAAAATATTATCTTCATTTTTCCCATGGTCTAGTCCCAGACCTGCCCACCTCCCTAATATTCTTAAGAGGGTCTCTTCTCCAGACTTCAGAGAGGAGCTGAAAGTGGGGGGCAGAAAAAGGTTCTCCATTCCTTCCACTCTTCAATTTTAATCTCAAATCTTAGGTGCAGTACTGTGCCTAGTGCTCATAAATTGCTCGCGCAAATGAAATTCCCTGTTGCAAAATGTGCCTACAACAATGGGAGTTTCAAACACTGTCAGTGCGTTATTTCCCAGGTTTCCACCAAATCTTACCAGTAGAATATCCAAGAGCTAAGTACAAATATGCAAGAAATTTGTGTTATATAATCTCACATATATAGCTATTTTAGTGATTAACTGAATCCTAAAAGGGAACCAGAGCAAGCTTGAGTGGAGTGCCATTTAATGCTTTTATGCTTTCATGAGGAAGAGCTACAGCTGAGTGACAGAGCATCTCCTTCGCATGCAGGAGGTCCCAGGTTCAATCCTCAGCATCTGGGAGAGTCGCTGCCAGTCAGTGTAGACAATACTGAGCTAGATGGAACAATAACCTAACTTGGTATAAACCATTTAGACAGTCTAACCCAGTGGACAAATTCTCTGTGACCAAGTTGTATACAGTAGTTTCCTTCTGATCACTGAAAATGATTCATTGGGTCAAAACATTTCTGGTCCTTGACATATTTCATTATCATCTGCTGGTCATATTAGGACTTTGACCTGAGTAGACAAATCAATTTGTTGCCATAGTTTAGTAATTTTGTCAACATTCTAATCTTTTAACGTTAAAGTTAAATTAATTAAATTTAAATTTCCTTTTCCTATTTTATTTAGAAGGATCCAGGTCTTTTATTCTTACCCAACTTTCGAGTTTGCATTGCTCATGATGCCAGTCCACACTAACCAATGCAACTTCACTGACTCTCAAACTGCTCTGCCGCCCATAAGAATCACAGTAATGGTAATAATAGTAATAACAAACGCTAACAGAACAACAGCTGTGAAAAGCAGCATGGCATTCCATTTAACAGAAGAGGTCTTCCATCATTCAGCCAAAAAAATAAAATCAAAAGCACCGGGAGGAAAATGAAAACGGTCTTTATTTTTTATGGCTTTGCTTTTTACTTGATCCCTTTAGAAGCTGACTAAAAGCTTTGGCCATCCATCTTGTTCCAAAAGCCTTGTAAAGCGCAGAGAACTCAGCTGCTCAGCTGCCTCCTAAATATCCTGGGACTGCTTCTCAAGAATGGCTTCAGAAGCCCACCATTTGCTTAATGTCAAGAAGAGAGCATAATAAAAGCAGATCCTAATATATATATTTTTTAAGTGGGAGAAAAGAGTCAAGGCCAGTTTACTGCACCAAGCAATTGGCCTGGACAACTTTGGGGTACAATTTCAGTGTAAAATCTCCATCGCAGGAGTTACAACAGAGTGATTTGAAAGAAAGGAATGACCCGGCGCAACAAAACCCTTACACTATAAACTTCTACTGCCTGCTTAGAAGTCCCCAATGCGAACTGCTCAATCCTTTCCATTTCTTCTGCTCGGGAGTTTCTTTGCCGTGAAAGCATACCACTCTGAGTTAAAAATGGGTGAAAATCTTCCAATACAAAACCCAGATGATTTCCTGATCAGAAGAGGCTGTTAATGCAAGCCAGGGTGAGGGAGCTTTTTCAGCACTCCCTTGTTGGCAACCCTTCGGGGAAACATGACAGAGGTGGGGAGGGCCAGAAGCAAAAATGGCTGGAGTGGCAGATGGGACTTATACCTCTGTACAATGGGCTACATTTCAGCTGTGCAGAAGTCAGATGTTTCTATACTGCCCACATACACTGACCCCTTGATGAGCTTATAAAGTAGTCATCGATCTCAACCCAAATTCTTAAAAAATGTCAAAGTCAAGAAATACCTGTATACAATCTTTTTTTAAGCAATAAAGCAGCAAGGTTTGAGAACATTGTTGTATTGCAGAAACTTCTGACTAAGTACAGAGTAAGGCGGGGCGATATCTGGCTTTCAACAGCACAATAGATCACCAGCTAAACTTTGCAACATACCGATATATCACAATGTCTGAAATAAAGACGGAACTATGTAGAGGTTCCGAACTTTTTGAAAAACTATGCATTGTAAAACTTATTTCCCACTCCTAAGCCTTCCAAGTATGTTTCCGAGCACAATCAAAGGGTTGGTGCTGACTTTTAAATCTCAGTATATCTGAAGGAGCATTTCCACCCCAATAACTTAGCCCAGACACTGAGGTCTTCTGCTGATTCCCTCACTGCGAGAAGCAAAGTTACAGGGAACCAGGCAGAGGGCCTTCTCGGTAGTGGTGCTCACCCTGTGGAACACCCTCCCATCAGATGTCATGGAGATAAAGAATTACACAACTTTCAGAAGACATCTGAAGGCAGCCCTGTATCAGGAAATTTTTATGCTTGATGGAAATCCAGCCAGATGGGCAGGGCATAAATAATAAAACTATTATTATTATTATTATTATTATTATTATTATTGACACACACAACCAGCCAGGTCTTTATTCATCCCCAGAAGAGACCCATCACTCCTAGGGGGTCAATACTGACCGCTTTGGGGAACCTGTTAAATGTTTTATGTCGATATTCCATCACTTTCTAAAGAATGTTCCTGAAATTTCTTCTCTCTAGCCTCTCAATTCTTTTTGTATCTGGTTCACTTTGGTCTCAAAAGTTTCTTCCCCCCACCCCGCAGCCAATCCTGGGAGCTGCATGTAGCTCAGGAAGTGGTCATGAAGCAGTCAAGGTGTCAATGGCTGGGAGATGGGGGCTGTCAAAGTGTTAATTACTGCCAGAGTGCTCCAGCTTCCCTGCAAGACAGAGAGATGTGGCCGCTCTCTGTTCAGACATGATGGAGGACTAGATTTGAAATTGCAATAATAAATAAATAATACTACAGAGCATTATTACTACTCAGTTCGGTACAACCCACTGATCCCAATGGCGTTTACTTCCAAGTAGTACATTCAGAAAGGAAGCGAGAAGCACCAGCAAACCTGGCAAAGACTTACTTGGGCGCATCTCCCCAGTTCCGTCCTGCCGAGGAACTGAAATATTTTTAACGCCAGTTCATAAGGCAGCTGAACGTCAAAGAAGGGAACTTCGTTTATTTCATTCTGAAAAGCAGTCAGAAGAAGTGGGAGACAGGAGTTAAAAATAAAATAAAATTCCACATCCTAGAAGAAACAGGAAAGAGACACAAGTTGCTGGTCTGCTTTTTTGCATGTACGAGCCCACAGACTTCCTTCTGATAAAGAATCTTATAAAGAATTGGCGTAGAATAGGAGCCCTTAACTTTTGGGGACCCAGGGGCTGTGGGCACAGGAAAGTATCTATTTTGCAGAAGGAAAGCTGGCAAGGCACAGAGCCCGCAACCATCCCAAACACAGCTACATGCATAGAGTTGTAACCAATGCTAATCAGAGCAGACTTATTGAAAATAGCTGGCCTAAGCTAGCCTCGACTAAGGCACACACCAAAACAAAATAGTCAAAAAAAAGCAGACAACAGCAACATCAACAACAAGCACTAATAAAAAATTGGGCAAATTCTCAAACAGTGCCAAAAAAAACTCATTAAAAAAAGAAAAAATTGGGGAAAAATTGGGAGTGGAAGGAAGCTCAGCAGCCACCAGAAGGGTGTCTAAGAGCATGCGGTGCCCCCAGATATACAAGCTGCCTTATACCATCTGTACCCAATGCCAGCCCTACTCAGAATGGACCCACTGATGTTAATGGACATGACGAAGGTCCATTCATTTCAGTGGTTCTACTCTAGTAGAACTAATTTGGATACAATCCTATATGTCCCCCTAGCTCAACAGCTCTGCCTGGAAGCAGCTCTTTTCCACCCCCTGCTACCAATCCTTTTACTTGGGGATTGAACAAGGTTTGAAGCTGTCTTGTTCCAAACCTGGTAACCATCGTTTCTCAGTTCAGATGGAACCATAAACTATGGCTAACTGACGACTCTGGGGTTTAACGGCCTATGGCCTGAGCAGGCCTTTGGCTTAGCAGGCCTACTCAGAGTAGAACCACTGAAATGAATGGACTTTCGTCATGTCCATTAACATCAGATGGTATAAGGCAGCTTGTATACCTGGGGGCACCGCCTGCTCTTAGACACCCTTCTGGTGGCTGCTGAGCTTCCTTGCCCCTCCCAATTTCCCCCCGTTTTTTTCTGAGCAGGCCTGGTCGTCCTCTTATATACCTGCTGGGATTGACAAAGCTGCCTCTGCCTCTGATTGGTTATCATTTAACTCTCACGGGAAATAATTTGCATCACATGTCATGTGCATGGAAGTTGCCAAACCAATTAACCAACTAGAAGGATTACTGTTAATAGCACCAGTTTTCCTATACTGTAACTTGATATTGCTGAATATGGTAATACTAAGAAGACAGGAGGTTGTGTGTGTGTGTGAACAAAATTTGCTCAGCTCCGTATTTAGTGAGCATCCAGACAAGATCACTCTCCTGGCACAAAATTATCGTTCAGCTCCATACATGAAATGGAAAGACAAGTGTGCAGAGAAACAGGCTACCTCTCCTTTGGCCCTTAGACCTGATTCAAAAGGTAGCCCAGGAAGGCAGAAGAAAATGACTACTCAAAATAGCTCATCTTATGCTGCCTCTACCAAACACAAATCCTGCCTCAGAGAAAGGCCGTTAGATGAAGCATCCTATTCCTTCAATTTGAGGGAAGAAATCCTTAAAGTAATGCACAATTATTTCTTCACCTTTACAGGCTGTTTTGAGTACGAAATAACCCATCATCAAAAAGCATATAGAGCACATTAAAAGAAAAAGATCCCCTTGCAAAACTAGCTGTAGCTTTTATCAGGAATCCAAAAGACAAACATCGCCATCCGCTCCTTGGAGACACACATTTACACACCAGTGCGCTAATGGAGCTCTGGTTCACTAAATGGATTAATTTACTGCCATCAGAAATTTAATCTGTGCTTTTAAAACAAAAAAACAAAACAAAACAATGTAATTAACCAGAAGGGAGAGGAACAAGCTTCTTCTAACCTTTGTGTTAACTGAAAGTTTTTAAGATTAGCAAGCCAAACAGAGATGCAGGAAGAAGTTTTAAATTTCTTGTTGCATACTGTAGCAATGGACACTGTGCTGAAGGGCAGTATATAAGGGTTGCATCCAACAAAATAGTTGTCTGTTTGTGGCTCAACTTTTGAGTGCAATTGAACTTCCTGTCTCTACACACACACACCCATCTCCAAATCTTCTCTGCAGGAATGGGGTGGGGGGGACTCACAAAACACGTTGGAGAGGTCCATTGCACTCATGTAAGTCATTTCACATGCACACTGGTTTAGTTGGAAAGAACCCTAAATCTTTAAGCAACATAAATCCAACCACCACACTGTACTTTACAACACTGTAAAGTCAGCCCAAGGCCAGCTGAGGGGCAGTTAGAAGCAGTGTAAGGGCTACTCCACTATTGGCAACAACACCCCTCGTGTCAATTGAAGTGTGCAGCCACACTATTCCACGGACTGGGCAGAGGATGGTGTGTACACAAATCCACGGGATTCTAAGCAGGGTTTCCTTGCAGACCTAAAACCACAACAGCCCTAGGGCTGGCATAGCATTCACTTTGAGTATTTACACTGGAGTCAATGGAAGGAAAATACTGTTTTTAAAACCCAAAGGCGGGGACAGCAGAAGAGCCACCTCTCCCACCTAGGGCCTCAACTTGCTGCAGAATTTCCCATTACCACAACCGCACAATTGTTCTCTTAAGCTAGGCGTGGAGAACCTACGACTCTCCAGGTGTTGTTGAACGACAACTCCCATCAGCCCTAGCAAGCATGGCCAATGGTCAGGGGTTATGGGAATTGTACTTATCTTATGCAGTGTACAGTGGTACCCCCCCCCCGCCAGCCCCACAAGCTCACGGGATAGCGGGGAGGCGGCGCGCCGCCACCCTGCTATTCCCCGACCTGATCTGGAGGCTGGCGGTGGGGAGAAGCAAGCTTGCTTCTCCCCATCGCCAGCCCCACAAGCTCGGGGGACAGTGGGGCAAGCCGCTGCTCCACGGAGGCTAGAGAGGCTGTCCCTGAAGGCAGAAGAGGGAGACGGAGCGCTCCGTCTCCCTCTTCTAGCTTGGGGATGGCTGTGCAAACCTGGGGGGGAAATAAAAACTTTTCCCTTGATTTCCCCCCCAAAAAACAAGGTGCGTCCTATGGGCCGGTGCGTCCTATAGGGCGAAAAATACGGTACTTAACCCGAGGTACCACTGTACTGGTTTTTGTTTCTTCTTCCACCTCCGGTAAGAGAAAAGCCTCTACAGGCTAAGACAAGACTGTGCAGGGAAGGGACCTTTTGCATGCAATGCACATGCTCTACCACTGAGCTATGATGCTTCCCCACAAGATTCATAGACTCATAGAACTGTGAAGTTGGAAGGGACCCTGAGGATCATCTAGTCCAACCCCCTGCAATGCAGGAATCTCAGTACACAGACCCCATCCAAATTGAAACTATACCAGACCCTGCTTAGCTTTGCAAATGTGCTGGCAGTTTTATTGCTTCATCCCTCCCTCTTGGAGGCTTCTATTTATCTAGACCATTGGTCCACCCATTGGCTCTTTCTAGGGCTGATGGAGTCCAAAACGTCTAGAGGGCACCACACTGGGGAAGGCTGCTCCATGTTGACAGGCAGCAGCAGGACAGAGACCTTCCCAGCATCACGTCCGAGGCCTCTTACATATTAGGTATGGGCTCTGTCACCCTGTTTTGGTGACTTATAGGAACAGAGGAAGCTACCTTATCCCATGTCAGACCACTGATTCCCCCCGCCCCCCAGCTCAGTAATGTCTACATCAGCAGCTGCTCCCCAGGATTTCAGAGAAGAAGTCTTTCCCAGCCTTACCTGGGGATGCTGGGAGCTTAACAGAGGACTTTCTGCCTGAGAAACAGATGCTCTACCACTGATCTACAGCCATTCACCATACCAGGTTGGTACGTTGCATCCATCTAGGCCAGTATTGCCAATATTAGCTGGTATTGCCAACAATGGCTGGCAGCCGCTCTCTAGGATATCAGACAGGGTGGGGGGCATTCTAAGATCTTCCTACAGATGCCCGGGGGGTTAGTTAGAAAGTGGTACTGTTAAAGTTGCAGGTTCAATCCCTGTATGGGACAGCTGCAAGGGGTTGGACTAGATCAGTGGTTCCCAACCTTTTTTTGGCCATGCCCCACCTAAGCATCTCTAAAAACCTGTGACATATAATTCTTATTATTCAAAAAGTGAACTATTCACCTGGAGGAAGCCTAAAGGGTCATTCACTGTTATTTAAACCCGTATTTTAACCCATATTTTAATTAACTGTTTTTTCTTTTTCTTTTACGTTTTATTGCAATTTTATTGGTGTTAGCTGCCCTAAGCCTGGTTCTGGCCAGGGAGGGCGGGGTATAAATAAAAAAAATATCATTATTATTATTTATTAATAACTCATTCTTAAATTGTCCCCCTTAAAAATAAAAGTGGCCCACGTTGGGAACCACAGGACTACATGGTCCTCAGGATCACTTCCAAACCCTATGATTCTATGACCCTATGCATGCAAAACCTTCTGGTTGTTCCCTCACTGCGAGAAACGAAGTTACAGGGAACCAGGCAGAGGGCCTTCTCGGTAGTGGCACCCACCCCGTGGAACGCCCTCCCACCAGATGTCAAAGAAATAAACAACGATCTGACTTTTAGAAGACATCTGATGGCAGTCCTGTTTAGGGAAGCTTTTAATATTTGATGAATTGTTGTATTTTAATATTTTGCTGGAAGCCGCCCAGAGTGGCTGGGGAAACCCAGCCAGATGGGCGGGATATAAATAATATATTATTATTGTTGTTGTTGTTGTTGTTGTTATTGTTACTACTACTAACTGAAGCATAACGCTTCCCCCTGACCTGTAGCCACTAGTGGTAAAAAACCAAACGAACTCAATACTGCTCTTAATCCTACTCCTCGTTCCTTCCCGTACCAAGTCCAGGATGAGCTGCTCCAAAAGGTCCTCCTTTCCTGCTCCTCGAGCCTCGGCGGCAGCTCCCAAATCACAGTCCGGCGCGGTGGGGCTGCGGGGAGGCCTCCGAGGCGGGGGCGGCGGCGGGGGCGGCTGCTCCTCCTCCGGCTCCCACCGAGCGACGCCTCCGCAGCAGCCCCAGCCCCGCACGGGCTCCGGAGCCCCGCCATCCCCGCCGCGCTGCCTTTTCCGGCCGCCTCTGCCCGCCGGCCCTCTGCTGCTCTTCCTGCGGCCCTCCGGAGTCAGCTCGGCCCGCCAGCGGCGGCGGAAAAGCTCCAGCTCGGCCGCTCCGTCGTCCATAGCAACCCCAACAGAGATACCGGGCTCTGTCGGGGCTGACACCGGACCCGGCCGCTTCCGGTTTCTAGGTCCGCTGGCGACAGCAGCCCGGGCGGAAACTGAGGCTGCCGCTCCGGGGTTCCGCCGCGTCGTCGGGGAGCAGCGCGCTCGGCCAATCAGCGAAGGCAGCGCCGGCGGAGAGGGCGGGGGCAGCTCCGAGTTCCACGCAGAGCCGGTTCGGAGAGATTCCTCTGCAAACCGCGCTGTGTTGCGGCATCTTCTCCCCGCGCAGAAACGTATAGATAATAAAGCAGCAGCAGCGATGTATTTCATGCCACTCCGGCAGCCGGCGCGCCGCTTCGAATTTCTTATTCGTGATTCTGCTTTATTTTGAATTGTTGCTTGTGCCATAAAGCGTTGCACTGCAATACTATGCGTTGTTGTTGTTGCTGCCATTATAATGGGTATACAGTATCTTGCAAGTCAGGTGCGCCACACCTCTCATTTCTTATGATGACACTCTCCGCTTACCCGTCTCCTCGCAAATATCTGGATAACCAGTCTTATCCTTTCTTCTTGTGGGCATAACATCCCATGCCAGCCTTGGTTTGGTTTGGTTCCGTTTAGTTATTTAGTTATGAAGGCAGCCCTGTTTAGGGAAGTTTTTAATGTTTGATGTTTTATTCTGTTTTTAATCTGTTGGGAGCCGCCCAGAGTGGCTGGGGAAACCCAGCTGGATGGGCGGAGTATAAATATTATTATTATTATTATTATTATTATTATTATTACCTCACAAAGTTTCGTTTTGGTATTTGGGTTACATTCACTGCTTTTTTTTTCTAGCCAGAACTCACTGGAACTGAGTTCCCACTCCTCTCAGGTGGACACCCTTGCCATTATAGGAGAACAAGGGAGGCGTTCATGATGAGTTCCAGCACCTCATTTTCTAGAAAAATAACACTGGTTACATGGATAAAATTAAATAACAATATTCCCCACCCCACCCCAAAAAAATCATTATTATTATCATCTATTACCTTACTAAAAAGTAGGCCCACTGAAATTAATCAGACTAAGATAGCCATGCCCATTAACTTTGGTGGGGCTACTCTTGTTGTAATTGTTTAGTCGTTTAGTTGTGTCTGACTCTTCGTGACCCCATGGACCAAGGCGCACCAGGCACTTCTGTCTTCCACTGCCTTCAGAACCTAAATGGATATAATCCTATTAAGTCAATTGCTTTGAAGTGTGATGCATAATTGGTAAATGCTATTATTGTTCCTAACTATACCAGAAAGAAATGGATGTCTCGTATACCCCAGGAAGTGTGGTTGCTGACCTTGAGCCAGACATCCTGGAGAGTGAAGTCAAATGGGCCTTAGAAAGCACTGCTAGTAACAAGGCCAGTGGAAGTGATGATATCTAGGCCAGTGGAAGTGATGATATCTAGTTCATCACTCATAGTTCATCAGTGGAAGTGATGAACTATTTAAAATTTTAAAAGATGATGCTGTTAAGGTGCTACACTCAATATGCCAGCAAATTTGGAAAACTCAGCAGTGGCCAGAGGATTGGAGAAGATCAGTCTACATCCAAATCCCAAAGAAGGGAAGTGCCAAAGAATGCTCCAACTACCGCATAATTGCACTCATTTCACACGCTAGCAAGGTTATGCTTAAAATTATACAATGCAGGTTTAAGCAGTATGTAGACCGAGAACTCCCAGAAGTGCAAGCTGGATTTAGAAGAGGCAGAGGAACCAGAGACCAAATTGCAAACATGCGCTGGATTATGGAGAAAGCTAGAGAGTTCCAGAAAGACATCTACTTCTGCTTCATTGACTATGCAAAAGCCTTTGACTGTGTCAACCACAGCAAACTATGGCAAGTTCTTAAAGAAATGGGAGTGCCTGATCACCTCATCTGTCTCCTGAGAAATCTCTATGTGGGACAAGAAGCTACAGTTAGAACTGGATATGGAACAACTGATTGGTTCAAAATTGGAAAAGGCGTACGGCAAGGCTGTATATTGTCTCCCTGCTTATTTAACTTATATGCAGAATTCATCATGCGAAAGGCTGGGCTGGATGAATCCCAAGCCGGAATTAAGATCGCCGGAAGAAATATCAACAACCTCAGATATGCAGATGACACAACCTTGATGGCAGAAAGTGAGGAGGAATTTAAGAACCTATTAATGAGGGTGAAAGAGGAGAGTGCAAAATATGGTCTGAAGCTCAACATCAAAAAAACGAAGATCATGGCCACTGGGCCCATCACCTTCTGGCAAATAGAAGGGGAAGAAATGGAGGCAGTGAGAGATTTTACTTTCTTGGGCTCCATGATCACTGCAGATGGTGACAGCAGTCACGAAATTAAAAGACTCCTGCTTCTTGGGAGAAAAGCGATGGCAAACCTAGACAGCATCTTTAAAAGCAGAGACATCACCTTACCAACAAAGGTCCGTATAGATAAAGCCATGGTTTTCCCAGTAGTGATGTATGGAAGTGAGAGCTGGACCATAAAGAAGGCTGATCACCGAATAATTGATGCTTTTGAATTATGGTGCTGGAGGAGACTCTTGAGAGTCCCATAGACTGCAAGAAGATCAAACCTATCCATTCTGAAGGAAATCAGCCCTGAGTGCTCACTGGAAGGACAGATTGTGAAGCTGAGGCTCCAATACTTTGGCCACCTCATGAGAAGAGAAGACTCCCTGGAAAAGACCCTGATGTTGGGAAAGATGGAGGGCACAAGGAGAAGGGGACGACAGAGGACGAGATGGTTGGATAGTGTCTTCGAAGCTACAAACATGAGTCTGACCAAACTGCGGGAGGCAGTGGAAGACAGAAGTGCCTGGCGTGATCTGGTCCATGGGGTCACGAAGAGTCGGTCACGACTAAACGACTAAACAGCAGCATTATTGTTCCTATCGGAGGATTTAACTGTGAGGCAGAGTTTTAATTGGTAAGACTGAGAAGTATTGTGAGAGCTATTGTGGCTCTTGGGTGCTACTGCTCCAGGGAATGAAATAAAACTTTACCGAAGGTAGCTTTTTATTCTTATCATGTGGTAACTTTTTCTTACCAAACTATACATTATTATTTACCGCTGATTATATTTATGGCCTATTGCAACTCAGCCTAATCTGGTGCAACTGACACAGCCATAAAAATGTTTATCTCATTTCCCTTTTCCTTCCTCTTCCTTTGTTATTTTCCTTGTTGGTAGTATACTCTGGAAACTCTACACTAAGGAACAGAATAGCATTATGCAATACGCACCCATTTTTTTCTGAGTTGAGTAGACAACACTATACACACAGGTTTCATTTCCTCTGGAGGAAAGAGACACCTGCAGTGTCTTTTACTATTTTCTTTCATTTTATGATTCAGAAAGAGCCTAAGTCAGACCATGGTCCCTCTAGCTCAGGATAGCAATGGCTGTACAGAGTGTCAAGCAGGGAATCTTTCCCAGCCCTGCCTGGAGATAATATGGATGAATCTGGGACCTTCTACTTGCAAGGAGAAGGCTCTACCACTGCAATTGTAGAGTTGGAAGGGACCCTGAGTGTCATCTAATCCAACCCCCTGCAATGCAGGAATCTCAACTGAAGCATCCATGACAAATGGCTGTCCAACCTCTGCTTAAGAACTTCCATATAGAATCTGACAACCATGTCTATGCTGCACACACCATAACATATTTTATGAAAACGCTTGCTCCGAGTACAGATGGTGATGGGGAACCTCTAGCCCTTGAGATGTTGCTGGTCTTCTATTATCCCTGACTATGGGACACGGGTGGTGCTGTGGGTTAAACCACAGAGCCTAGGGCTTGCCAATAAGAAAGTCGGCGGTTCGAATCCCCGCGATGGGGTGAGCTGGAGTTCATCACTCTCTAGAGCAGGGGTCAGCAACCTTTTTCAACCTCAGACCATGTGGTGGGCCAGACTATATTTGGGGGGGGGGATGAACGAATTCCTATGCCCCACAAATAACCCAGAGATGCATTTTAAATAAAAGCAAGGACGGCGGTTCGAATCCCTTCAACGGTGTGAGCTCCCGTTGCTCAGTCCCTGCTCCTGCCAACCTAGCAGTTCGAAAGCACGTCAAAATGCAAGTAGATAAATAGGTACCGCTCCAGCAGGAAGGTAAATGGCGTTTCCGTGCGCTGCTCTGGTTCGCCAGAAGCAGCTTAGTCATGCTGGCCACATGACCCGGAAGCTGACTGCGGACAAACGCCGGCTCCTTCGGCCAATAAAGCGAGATGAGCGCCGCAACCCCAGAGTTGGTCACAACTGGACCTAGTGGTCAGGGGTCCCTTTACCTTTACCTTTACACATTCTACTCATGTAAAAACACGCTGATTCCTGGACCATCCATGGGCCGGGTTGAGAAGGCAATTGGGCCGCATCCGGCCCACAGGCCTTAGGTTGCCTACCCCTGCTCTAGAGGGCTATAGGTTAGCTATCCATAACCTATGGCTATTCCGCATCAGATACCAAGAGATAATGAATCCTTGCCCTCTAATGTATTTCACCTTTTAAACCAACTCACAGCGCTCTCCCCTGGGCTTTCTGCCCTTTTCTTCCTTTCTTCTCTCTCTTTCTCTCTCTCTCTCCCCCCCCCCCCAATGCAAAAGTCATTTCTCCCCCCCACACACACAATCTGCCAAGTTCTCACCTCTCTCTCACCCCAGCAGGTGAATTGCCCATTCAGGGAGACCATCCACAGCTATTAAAGGAACATTAACATTCACTTGTCAAATCTCTTTTCTCTAATTGGGCAACACTTTCAAGGCCAAACCATAGTGATAAGTCCATCAGGAGCAACCAGAACAGCAACCTCGGGTTCAGTATTAAATGGAGGATTTGCAGGAAGAGGGTTAATTTCACACATCACAGGAAATGAAGGGCAACACAAAAAAATCATGGTGTAGGCGTGTGTTTTGTTAAATCTGAACAGGAGCCAAATAAGCAGGAGACACTGGGCCAGGAACCCAGGCTCCCATATAACATGTTCCCTGTACAATTTGTCCCATAGGAGGATAGGAAGCTGCCTTATACTGAATCAGACCATTGGTCTGTCTAGCTCAGTACTGTCTACACTGACTGGCAGTGCCTCTCCAGCATGCAGGCAGAGGACACTCTAGTCTGGAACCCTGAAGTTCTGAACGGAAACATTTTCGTCCAGTATCCCTGAAACTTGCTCCGCGGGGAGCTCTCCGTGGTACTGAACTTCAGCAGCCTGATTTCTGCTTTGCACTGGAACAGAGGGAGCTGCCTCATTCTAAGTCAGACCAAGGACACATTCAGTTTAATATTGTCTGTGCTGACTGGCAGCGGCTCACCAGGATCTCAAAGGCTCTCTGCCAGCTCTACCTGCAGATGCCAGGGATATGTTGTAAACTGCCCTGTTATCTTCGGATGAATGGTGATATACAAATTTAATAAATAAAATAAATTTAACATAGTAGCTTCTGCCTCCAATAATTGAGGTTTATAAGGGGTATGAACTTCATCTGCAAGGCAACAGGATCCACCTGTATTACAATCCACATTGATTGGGTGATTGGGAAATTCATTCATGTAGCTCACTAATGTGTACACCATGAGTGGTTAATCATCTATGAAGGTCTCTGTCCCAAGGCACTTACTATCGTAAACTCAACACAGAGTTAAGAAGTGTGAGGAAGTCTGAAGAAGTGCGCATGCAAATGAAAGCTTATACCCAGAACAAACTTAGTTGGTTTCTAAGGTGCCACTGGACAATTTTTTAAATTTATTTCAGCACATAGGAGACATAAAAGAAAGGAGGCAGAATAAACAAAGGATGAATGTGTTTTTATTTTTCAGTTAACATGAAGTTAAGCTTAGTTAGGAATGGGCAAAATGGCCTGATCCAGCAGGTGGTTTGTGTGTGTGTGTGTGTGTGTGTGTGTGAGAGAGAGAGAGAGAGAGAGAGAGAGAGATAAGGAAGGAAGGAAAGAAGGAAGGAAGAAATAAGGAAAGTAGATAAGAGAAAGAAAGGAGAGGGAAAAGTGAAATTAGGAAAAGTTAGAGGAAGAAAGCAGAGCAAAAGAAGACAGAGGAAAACAGGGGTGCAAGCTTGAAGAAAATATTGGGGTGCCCAGGTAAATCCCTCCCCACATAATCAATCACAGGATGGGAAGCACCCACACCGTTTGAATGGCAATACAAATCAACTTTTTGGGGGCGCCCCTTAAATATTTTATTGACGGGGCGAAGGGACTTCGGCGCCCTAGAAGTTGGCTTCTGTGGAGGAAAAAATGAGAGGAGCAACACCGACGTCCGTGAGAGGGAAAGAAAAACAAGGAAGGTGGAAAGAAGGTGTAAGAGCAGGAGGACAGATAAGAGAAAGAAAAGGAAGGGGAAAGGAGATAGTTGAGAGAGAGAGAGAGAGAGAGAGAGAGAGAGAGTAGGAAGAAAGAAAAAAAGAAGGATGGCCGAGAGAGAGAGAGAGAGAGAGAGAAGAGGAGACGGCTGCTCCGAAAGAGTTAAGCCTCCCTCGCTCGCTCCCTCCCTCCTCGGCCGCGTCTCTCCCTCGCCGCCGTCTTGCGGCCGCCCCGTCGGGGAGGATGATCTCAGCCAGCATGTGACGCCCGAGCGCGCCACGCTCCGCGCCAGACTGACAGCCGCGGCGGCAGCAGCCTCAACAGCAGCAGCGGGAAGAGCAGCAGCAGCAGCAGCCTCGGCGGCGGCGCATCGGCTGGCGTGGCGGCGCGTCTCGGGGCTGGCGAGCGGCGCTGGGCTGGGCGGCGAGGGCGGCGGAGGCGAGGGCGGCGGGGCGCCGGGCCTGGCCACCATGTGCCCGTCGTGCGCCTCCTCGCTGCCCGGCCGCCCTCCGGCCGCCGCCTGCTTCTGCGCGCAGAGCAGCCCGGGCCGGGCGCGCGTCTCCGGGGCGCAGCTCACGGCGGCGCGCCTGCGGGCCATCGGCGATGAGCTGCAAGCGCGGACGGCGGCCAGGAAGGCGGCGCGGGGCCGCCGGGCGTCCGCCGCCGCCGGCACCGGCCTGGCCACGTCCCTGGCGCTGCTGGCCGCCTTGGCCTGGCTGAGCCGCCGGGGGCGCGTGTAGGGCGGCGGAGCGACGGCGCCTCGACGGGCGGCCCGGCGAGTCAGCGGCACCGGCGGTAGGTGAGGGGCCCGGCGAGGCTCGTGGTGGCGGGGACGACTTTGGGGATCCAGGCAGCGGGAGGGGGAATCTGGGGAGCTCGGTCCTGTTTCCAAGTGGTAAGCAGCTGCCAGCCCGTGTCGGCAGTACTGAGCTGGAGGGGCCATGGGTAGAAGGCAGCTGCTTCCCCTGTTCCTGTTTCATTCAGCTCATTACCCTTGAAGACTGGAAGCTTGTTTTACTTTTTATGCGGAGAGCACCACAGCCCAGTGGTTAGAGCATCTGCTTGGGCCCGAAGTTCAATCCCCAGCATCACCAGGTAGGGTTGGGAGAGACTCTGTGCCTGAAACGTCTGCCAGTCAGTGTGGACAGTGGTCTAACTTGGTGTAAGGCAACTCCCCATGTTTAATTCAGCCCTTTATCCAGAGCATTGAGGACTAGAAACTTCTCTTTTTTTGCCAAAAGCGCCATAGCTCAGTGGTAGCACGCCATCTGCTTTGCATGCAAAGGACCCAGGTTCAATCCCTGCAACTCCAGGTAGAGCTAGGAGACAGACCTGTTGGAAACCCCAGAGAGCTGTTGACGGTCCATGTAGACAGTACTGAGCCAGATAAACCAGCTTGGCTTAAGGCAACGTCCTATGTTCCTCTAAGTCTAACCTTTCCTGGCATGGTTGTAGAATTATTGGAGTAGGGTCCCCCAGCTAGAGCCACTTCCCATGTTATGAAATGAGTGAGGGCGCAAGCACGGGGCAGGAGTGCACATCGGAGAGCCTAGTAGCACCTGGAAGACTCGCAAAGTTAATTGTGACACAAGCTTTCCTGAACTAGAGTCCACGGGGGATTCTAGCCCATGGAAGCTGGCCGTTTAATGATTCTATGATTCTATGTTTTGTTAGTCTTTGAAGGTGTCACACAGGACTCTTTGTCTTCAAGAAGCTGGCAGGACTCTCCCCCTTTTGAAAACGTAGCAATAAACATCTTCTGGTGGTAATCTAAAGCCATGTTTCTTTTGCACTGGCTTCACCAGCTCAGCATCCGACAGATGTTGTAGTACTACAACTCCCATCAGTGCTGCCCTGGTTGGTTGAAGGGTGCTGTAGCATATCTCATTTGTGGGATAGTTCCCTGAGCTACAAATGAGGAAGCTTCCTAGCTGGGATATTGTCTCTGCATCGAACATGTTAGGTGGTTTTCAGTTAGCGTTTCCACCTGGAAATAATGATACTGATCTACCTGGTAGGGTTGTTGTAAAGATTACAGCTAGAAAATGCTCATTAAGCCTTTTGAGCCCTGGGAAGCGCTCGACAGGTGTTAAGTCAGATGGCGATGATGAGTTTCATATATAACATGGCATGCTTGCATTGATGTGACCTGATATTAAATTCCTTTCTCCCCCTCCAATATAAAACGCACAAATAGTTTGTGGAAATCCTTGCCACGAGGCACAGAGAGGGCAATTGGTTTAAACGGCTTTTAAAAAATGTTTACATTAGGAGTATTTATTGATGGGCGGCTATGCAGATTCAATTAAGAAAGTGAATGAAAAGGGCCTTAGGAAAACATCCACAGAGCTGCTGGCCACAGTGCCTAGGTGGAGCCTCCACATTCAGCGGCACTCAACCTGTGAGTGTCAGTTGTTGGGTGGCTGGGAAACAGGAGCAGGAGACTTGCATTCATGTCTTGCCTGTGGCTTTTACTGTGGCAAAGAGGACCAGCCAGTCTGGCGGTCTGATCCCCTTTTCCATGTTGCATGTGCGCAGTGTCCAAACCTTTCCTGTAAACTTCACCAGAGCTGATGTGGCTTACAGATGAGACATGGGTAGATTGCCTTCGAAGAGAGATGTTGGACACAGAGCATCACCAGTGACAAGATACCTTTTGCGAGATCTGCTTTCTCGCCTCTGCTTCCTGCCCTTAAAGATAACAGGTGGGATCTTTAAGACAGAACTGGGGAGGAGGACCGTAGCTCAGTGGGTAGAGGGCATGCTTAGTGTGCCAAAGGTCCTGAGTTCAATCCCCGGCATCTCCACGTAGGGCTGGGAGAGATCCCTCGCCTGAAACCTTGGAGAGCTGCTGCCGGTCAGTGCAGACCATGCTAAGCTCAATACACCAATGGCCTGATCACATATAGAGTAACTTCCTAAGGTGCCAGCGGCAACTGACCAAGGTGGGTGCGGTGAGTGTGGCAGCTCCAGGATAGAGAAGTGAGGGTTTGCTGTCAGTAGTTGGCGTAGCTGGAAGCTTCTGACCCTAAGCCAGGGACCTGTTCCAGCCACCCTGCCTGCCAGCGGCTGTCCCATTTAATGTGCAAATTCCCAGTTGGCTCGGCCGGCCAAGTGGGAGGAAGCTTGGGTGAGAGGCGGATGCAGGACCCAAGCTCTCCCAGGCAGGTGTGTCTGTTGGCAGCCAGCGCCAAGCCTTGTGAGCTAAGACACATGCATGCCTAAGGGAGGGAAAGGGGTGCACAATTGCGAAAGTTGCAGAGACAGACACACCGTAGCTTATTGGCAGAGCGCATCATTTGCATGCTGAAGGTCCTGGGTTCAATCCCTGACATCTCCAAGTAGAATCATAGAATCATAAAGTTGTCAGAGACCCTATCATCTAGTCCAGCCCCCCACAGCAACACAGGAATATGAAGCTGTCCCAAGTAGGACAGGGAAAGACTCTTGCCTGCAGAAGATCCCTAAATAGTATCTCTATTTAGGATACTTCCAGCTGACCTGCTTACTGAGCACTCATCCTTATTTTTCTATTGATTGGTTCATTCATCACCTTCCACACCCACGTCTCAAGGCAATATATAATGAAATGCAGTTAAAAACAGCAGCACAGAAAACAGCTCGGGACCAGGTTAATTGAGAGGCCGCCTTCTCCCTTATTTGTCCAGTAGGTCTGTGGGAGAATGTCTCGTGTAAGCCCCAATGATCTCCGAAACACCTCCACTTTGCAGTAATTCATAGCAGGTCCTTCTCCATGGCTGCCCCTTTTCCATAGAGCAGCATCGTGGTCGGGATGTGGCAGATGCTCCTGCTATCTGCACTTTTCGGAAGCAGTTTGAAGATGTTTCTTGCTCCGGCAGGCTTATTATGTTTGTGGGGTGATCAAATGTCGTACTTATTGAACAGTCACTCTGATTTGTTTGTGGGAAGGTTAGAGGTTAGTGGCAACAGAGCAGGAGTTATCCAGTGCCTTCTGGTCCATTTCCCCTTCACTTTCCTTACCGCAGAAAGTCCGATCTTTTGGGGAAATGGGTTTGTCACCCCAGGCCCCCCAACAACAGCAGAGCAGGGCTTTACTGGGATGCAACTGAGTCTCACATGGAAACAGTCTGGGAAAACCTCCTCAAAGAGGATTGTGGATCAAGTGATAGGAAGGCCCTCTTGCATGAGATCTTAAAAGAGAGTTGGCAAGAAATCTGAGCTGGTGTAAGGCACCTTCTGATGTGCCTAAATGCTAATTCCATCAAAACTAGACAAAGCTCTGCTTGAATTGATTGGGGTTCGAATTTCACCCAAAGACTGCCAACCATGTATTTTTTTTAAGAAAACACAAAACCTTAGAAAATACAAACCAATAACAGATCAGCATCCTGAGTGTAACAGTTTGAACGCCTTACTCTAAACTGGAAACCCTTGCTGGATGGAGGCAGGGATTTCTCTGGTAAATGCTGAAAGACACAGCCTCTTTACCCTGGGCATTTGACAGGTGAGGTGTTGTGTTTTGCAGGACCTACCTCTTGGGCTGAAGTTCTGCACTCTTCCCTTCCCTTTGAAGCAGTTTTCTTTGTTCTGCAATGGCAATGGTTCGATCTGCTTTTATAACTCTGTGCTGTACTGTTGCCACCTGCCCTGGGACCTTATGGTGAAGGGCGGATAAGAAATCTTATCAATAAAAATAAATAAAACCCTCTTTCTTCTTCATACGAGGGCAGAAACTGATTTAAAGCAGGAAATTGACAATTGGATTTCCATAGAGGATTTTTTTCCACTTTAAAGTGCCTAGGAAGCGGTTTTTGGTTCCCTTTTTATTAGAGCAGCAGCATTAGGAGAGGGTGGGTGTTCACCCCTCTCCTCTCGTATCTCTCCCCCCAATCTAAATTGCCTACTCCCCTCGAAGCTACGATTAGTCCTGGCCCAGAACGGTGGAGAGTGGAGGGGAAAATATTTTCAGGGTGGAAGAATGCATCTCCCTTTTTTTGCTCTGAGGATACCAATTTAGAGAGTTAGGTGTGTTTTTGTTTGGGGGAGGTTAAATTAGATGGGGTGGGGAAGGTTAAATACTAACCTCCCTCGCTGCCAGCACGGTTGATCTGAGGAAGATCAGAGTCCTTTGCAGCTACTTTATAGTAAGAAAAATAAAGGCAGGTCATGGGCATTCTTGCATCAAGCCCAATTTAAGTCTCCAGCGTTGCAAAGCCTGTTCCTCTCTGTATGAGCAGGAAGACAACTTTAGTAGTTTTCTAAAAGGGTGCCCACGTGGATGTCCTGTTTGAATTGGTGGTAGAGATTTTGCTCAGTGGTAGATGTGTTGTGTGAATTTGGTTTTGGCTCACATCATTTACACTTCCAGAAGGAAAACACCAAATGAAAAGCAGCCGTCCTTTGAAATCCACACCTCTGAATTTGGGGTTGCATGTCTCCAACCCAACAGAGTCCAGAAAAAATATGCATGTGTTATGGGAAAGTGTGCCTGAAAATGCATACATTAGTGAAACTGATATACTGTACAAAGATACATTGTATTTGGGGGAAATTGCTTGCAAAAAGTGTGCCTTTGAATCAGTATTGTACACAAAACATGTGTACATAAGGAGAAATTTGCACCAAAATGCTGATGAATATTCATGGGGAAAAACCTGATGTGGGAAATGGGAAAACTGATGCAGAAAAATGGGAGAGTAAAAATTCAGATTGGAAGAATTAGATAAGCTGCAATCGAGAGATATGCCCATCACCAGTGCATAGACCAAGTGGTTTGCACGCAGAAGGTCCTGACTTCATTCTCTTTCATTTCCAGTTTTAAAAAAGACCTCGGTGTGTTTCAGTAGACCACAAACATTGTTAACCAGATTACCTATCCTGGTCCTGGTTTAGCCTTCTCTCGATATTTCTGCAAAACACAAGTGGCTTATTGTACAAAGTCCTAATCTTCTGCTTGATAGCTACGGTCCGGTTAGCGGTAGCCGATTGCTATAAGGACTCCACGCAGTTCTCATTGTAAATCTGGTCTCTTGCCTAGCCGAAAAACTGAAAAGCAAATACTAATAAGGTTTGAAAGCAGGAGGGACAAATTTGCAGACAAGTGCGATCCTTTTTGCGTTACATGGCCCATCACTGAGGTGCAATACAATTTCCATTTTCCCAAAAAATTGTTTTGGTTTGATTCGTTACTGAGGCATCAACTTCCCTGGCGAAAGCAGTCCCTGATGGTCAAGGCTGAAATGGATGTATTCTGTGTGCTTGCGAATTTTTCCTGCTAGCATGCAGCAGATTGCCGGGCCCTGTGTTGTTATGGTTATGCTAACATCCTTTCATGTCATTGTGTACTGTATGACACTGCGATGTCATGGATTGATGAATAAAAATGTGTGAGAAAAGATCTTGGGCAGCAAAACCCTGAAAGAGCTGCTCTGTCTGTCCTGAGATCGAGGAGAGCTGCTGCCGTTCAGAGCTGATAGTTCCTGGCTCAGTGGTCTAAGTGGCCTGACTCAAGGCCAATTCATGTTAGGGATGCGGGTGGCGCTGTGGTCTCGATCACTGAGCCTCTTGGGCTTGCCGATCAGAAGATCAGCAGTTAAAATCCACACACCTGGGTGAGCTCCCGTTGCTCTGTCCCAGCTCCTGCCAACCTAGCAGTTCGAAAGCACACCAGCGCAAGTAGATAAATAGGTACTGCTGTGGCGGGATGGTAAACGGCATTTCCGTGCGCTCTGGTTTCCATCACGGTGTCCCGTTGCACCAGAGGTTTAGTCATGCTGGCCACATGACCTGGAAAGCTGTCTGTGGACAAACGCTGGCTCCATCAGCCTGAAAGCAAGATGAGCACTGCAACCCCATAGTCACCTTTGACTGGACCTAACTGTCCAGGGGTCCTTGACCTTTACCTTTTAGTGTAATAACCCCCAAAGCTATTGAAGGCTAAGCTGCCCGTGCTGTGCGGAAGTGCCTGGGGATATCGCTGGGCAAAAGGCATGCCATCCTCTTATCAGATCATTCCTCCTCCTAAATGTCTGCTTGGATGGTGGTTTTGAACCTTTCCCAGCTCTTTCTGTCTCTCTCTTGGATCCGCCTTGATCCAGGCATCTCCCCCTGCTCTCCCTTTTTTGGGGGGTACGATGCACGATCAGGAACGGGAAAGTTCTCTGGGGACAAAGGCCACAACACAGCATCTCCATCATGCCGTCCTTGTCAAAAGGCATCATGGCAGCAAAGAATGGACCGCATCTCATTAAGCAGACTTTTTCCAAAGTGCACGCTTCAATTAATTTGCGGCACGTTAAAGGAGTTAACGAGTCTGTTGCTTTTGCCAGGGTGCGGTGCAGGGAACGATAAGCGCACTGCAGTGTCAAGGCAGCAGAATCAGGTTTGTTATGTATTTGCACCTAGTTGTCAAAGACTATCGGAAGCAAAAAGGTTGGCAGTGTGAACGTCCTCCGAGGTAACCTCAGGCTGAGTTAGCCCGGGTCCACTTCAGGGGTGGTAGCTCAGTGGAACGGCATCTGCTTTGCATGCAGAAAGTCCTTGGTTCGATCCCCAGCATCTCCAGGTAGGGCTGGCAGAGAATCCTATCTGAAACCCTGGAGAGCCGCTGCCAGCTGGGGTAGGCAATACTGAGCTAGGTGGACTGAGGCTCTGTATTTGTTGTTGCTTAGTCGTTTAGTCATGTCCGACTCTTCGTGACCCCATGGACCAGAGCACGCCAGGCATTCTTGTCTTCCATTGCCTCCCACAGTTTGGTCAAACTCATGTTGGTAGCTTTGAGAACACTGTCCAACCATCTCGTCCTCTGTCGTCCCCTTCTCCTTGTGCCCTCCATCTTTCCCAACATCAGGGTCTTTTCCAGGGAGTCTTCTCTTCTCATGAGGTGGCCAAAGTATTGGAGTCTCAGCTTCACGATCTGTCCTTCCAGTGAGCACTCAGGGCTGATTTCCTTCAGAATGGATAGGTTTGATCTTCTTGCAGTCTATGGGACTCTCAAGAGTCTCCTGCAGCACCATAATTCAAAAGCATCAATTCTTCGGTGATCAGCCTTTTTTAGGGTCCAGCTCTCACTTCCATACATTACTACTGGGAAAACCATAGCTTTAACTATACGACCTTTGTTGGTAAGGTGATGTCTCTGCTTTTTAAGATGCTGTCTAGGTTTGTCATCGCTTTTCTCCCAAGAAGCAGGCGTCTTTTAATTTTGTGACTGCTGTCACCATCTGCAGTGATCATGGAGCCCAAGAAAGTAAAATCTCTCAGTGCCTCCATTTCTTCCCCTTCTATTTGCCAGGAGGTGATGGGACCAGTGGCCAAGATCTTCGTTTTTTTGATGTTGAGCTTCAGACCATATTTTGCACTCTTCTCTTTCACTCTCATTAAGAGGTTCTTGAATTCCTCCTCACTTTCTGCCATCAAAGTTGTGTCATCTGCATATCTGAGGTCGCTGATATTTCTTCTGGCAATCTTAATTCCAGTTTGGGATTCATCCAGTCCAGCCTTTCGCATAATGAATGATTAGGCAGCTTCCAATCCACCTACCACATCAGCGAAACGCCCCCATTTTTCTTTGCATCACGCCTCTTTAAAAAGGAATATATGTTCTCCTCTTAACGAATATTGAAATAAGGCAAATGAGAGACAAGACGAAATGGATTTACTGATGTCATTAACATAAAATGACGTCAAACCTAAATGAATAAAGGCGTGAAATAAAACTCTGCACCCCCAAATCTTTCCGAAAAGGCACAGCAGTCTCTCCTAAGAGTTATCTGCTTTCATCCGGACAGCAGAATTGGGCTAGGGAGGGGCTGGGGGGAGCAGGAGGGAGCCTGTGTGATCCTTTATATTAATAGCCTTCTGTGCCTGCCCAGGGAAGCATTTTTTAAAAAAAACATTATTTCATGAGTATCTTTGAGGTTCTGTCACATGCACAAACCAAATGGGCCCTGCAACAAAATGTTGCCGCATAGACTTGCTTCCTTGCAAGACAGTCGATGTTCACGGTTCTTAGCAGTTTGCTAAGGGTGCTGACAGTTGTGAGAAGACCTCTTTCTGCTCTCAAAGCTACAATTCCCAGAGTGGTATAACAATTAATTCTTCTTACTGGGGAACTCTGGGAATTGCAGCTCTGGGAGGAGACTAGAGTGTTATCCTAGCACCTCTCAGCAGCACCTTTAACAAACTACAGTGGTACCTCTGGTTACGAACTTAATTCGTTCCGGAGGTCCGTTCTTAACCTGAAACCGTTCTTAACCTGAGGTAACACTTTAGCTAATGGGGCCTCCCGCTGCTGCCGCTCCGCCGGCACACAATATCTGTTCTCATCCTGAGGTAAAGTTCTTAACCCGAGGTACTACTTCCGGGTTAGCAGAGTCTGTAACCCAAAGTGTTTGTAACCTGAGGTACCACTGTACACTTCCCAGATTCCTTTGGGGAAAACCACAATGGTTTAAAGTTGTATTGTACTGCTTTAAGTGCGTAGTGCAGATGCGGCCTTAGAAGGAACGATGCTCACCTGTTTGACGCTTCATTCTGCAGAATTAGCCTTTTACAAGTGCCACGTAATGTTTCTTTTGCCCTTGCAAGAAATAGCTCCTTCGGTGTGGTGGCACCTGCTCGTTGGAACTCCTTGCCCATTGACATTATTAAGCAGGTGCCTTTGCTGTATTGTTTTTGGTGCCTGCCAAACCCTTTTCTTCTTCCTTTTATCCTAGCATGTGATTGTAAACGTGCAATTATTAACGCGCAATTTCATCATGCATAATTGTTTCAAAACGACCAAGTTTATTTATGTTTTGGATAACACGTCAACTGGTTTTTAATGCTTTGCTTTCATCCGTATGGTTTAAATGAACGGGGTTTTTTTAAATTGTTCATGGTAAGCTTAAGAGGCTGAGTAAGCAGTACATACCTTTTGCTAAGTAAGAAATAAATAAAATAGAATAAATTTTGCTTATATGAGAAAGAATGTAGGAAAAGGCCATCTCCCCCCCCTCCCCACTGTAGAAAACACACACTGTAGCTAAGTTAGTCATGGCCGCTTGTCCGAAGACAGGCTGGGAAGCAAGGCAGATAATAATAAGAATAAGAATAATAATTTTATTATTTATACTCCGCCCATCGGAAACTGGTGTAAAAATGAAAAGACACTGGCAGAGAGACTAGGCTTTATACTGTATTTACTTGAATGTAATGCACACCTTTTTTGGCAAATAACGTCGTGAAAGTTAGGGTGCACATTAGATTGGATGGCGTTAGCAAATACTTTTTTTTAGTTACAAGGTTTTGAAAGTTGAGGTGTGCATTAGATTCAATGGCGCATTAGATTCACGTAAATACGGTAATATAGGACCAGGTGGAACCCCATTGGCCCTTTGTGTCACCTGATCCCTGCTTCGCCAGTATCTCTGGCGCCTCCTGCTGGTCACCAAATGCATCAATGTCAATGGGCTGTAAATTTTGGAAGGCATTCTTCCAAGATGGTGTTGCTCTTCTTCCTTACATGCTGGTGGTTACGTGGCTGCTTTCTCCTCCTGGAAGTATTCCCCGGGCGCCACGCAGCAGTTACAACTCGGAGTGATAAATACTGTGTGGTGTTTGTCTGCCTGCGCGATCCCTGCAGGATCGAGGAACACAGGTGGCACGCCATCAGTCCTGTAATTACTATATTATTTATTTATCCCTACAGCTAATTAAGTATATTAGACTTAATGTAAGTTCCAGAACCTTGTCCTGAACGCTGGGGGATCGGTCCTGGAACATGCGGAATAATTGCACACGCCGCACACAGACAAAGCTTTCTTGCACTGAGTCAGAACGCTCCCTTTAGGTGGCCCAAGAAGTATCCGTTCTAAGCTGTCAGCTCAAAAATTAGGGTGGAGGTGATGAACTGTTGGGGCGCTCACGGGCCACATTGCCCATGCCAGGGGTCCCCAAACTGAGGCCCGTGGGCCGGATAAGGCCTGAGGGACTCGTTTATCCTGAAGGGACAGGTTATCCAAACCTGACTGTGTAGTCACCCCAACTAGGCCCCAAAACTTCCCAAATTCTTTCTTTGAAGATGCAAACTTAAAATGCATTAGCTTGAGCTCTATAACACAAACTAGCTGAATAAACAAAGCCTTCTGTTTCTCAATCCATGAAGGCGTAATAGATGGCCTTGTCAGTCCCGAGTGGAGACGGGATGGCGCATCCAACTTATCTTACCGGTTGCAACTATCCTGACCACACTGACGCAAAGACCCCGGAAATGGCGCCAGGAGTGCCAGATAAGAGTACAGAAACAATTTCTATTCATGCTCAAGGGTGCAAACTTACGTGTACAAACTGGATTCCTGGGGAGGGGAAAAGGCTGGATTCCTGGGGAGGGGAAAAGGGGACCCTGGGGACCCCCACCACCGCCACCCGCTCTTACCGGCGCTGCACGGCTGCCCACTTCCGGGTCGGAGGAGCACCGGAAATAGCTTGTGCGCATGCGCAAGCGTTATTTGCACATGCACAAACGTTATTTCCGGTTCACATCCAGGTCGGAGGAGGCGCGTGCACATGCACACAAGCTATTTCCGGTGCTCCTCCGATCCGGAAGTGCGCCGGAAATAGCGTGTGCGCACGCATATGGGCACACACTCCCCACCCTCTGGCCCACCGTGCGATCGGCGCTGGAGACACCGGCCCGAGGCGTGGTAAGTTTGCTGACCTCTGCCCTATGCTCTGCCTCCACGTTTGGAAGCAGCAATGCTTCTGAATGCCAGTTACTAGAAACCACAGGAGGGGAGAGAGCTTTTATGCATGGATCCTGCTTGCAGGCTTCAAACGGGCATCTGCTTGGCCACCTTGAGAACAGGATGTAGGATTAGATGGACCATTAGACCAGAGCTTTCCAAACTGTGCGTCGCGACACGTTAGTTACACACCTGCAGTGTGTAGGTGTGTCGCAAGAACGCTCAAAGGGGTTAGTTTAACCTCTGGTTAAATGGAGCTTAAACAGAGCAATGGATAAATTTTTGAAACAACAAATATCAGCTTTGCCCAAGGCATGATGGATAACAGCAACAACCAGGGGAAAGAAAGACGTAACATCTTACAAGGACAGGAAGAAACAACATGGACAGAATAATTGCCACACACAGGGAGAACGAGGATATAGTTTGAGTTCCTCACTTGTGGTTTTATAAATCATTTAATGTGTCAACACGGATAGAAGTTATTAATATTGCAGTTGTTGTATAAAGGATGACAGTGGTACCTCGGGTTACGTACGCTTCAGGTTACAGACTCTGCTAACCCAGAAATAGTACCTCGGGTTAAGAACTTTGCTTCAGGATGAGAACAGAAATTGTGCTCCAGCGGCACGGCGGCAGCGGGAGGCCCCATTAGCTAAAGTGGTGCTTCAGGTTAAGTACAGTTTCAGGTTAATAACGGACCTCCGGAACAAATTAAGTACTTAACCCAAGGTACCACCGTATTATTATGACTGGAATGTAATGGAAATTAATAAGATTTTGGAACACAGAAATAAAACAACTAATCAAGCCATCAATTCTAGCACGAAATTATATAAT